GAAGGCCACGCCGGCAGCGGCGGCGGCTGGCGGCACCATTGCCGGAGGAGGCGCGGTGCGCACTTCGGGCGGCAACTGCTCTTCCCAGTTGGGGATGAGCTCACGCTTGGTGGTCTCCAGGGTCGCGACGATGACAACGCCCAGGCCGCTGAACGCCATGGACAGGAGGAAGGCGGGACCGTGGCCGAGGAACTCGACGATGAAGCCGGCGGCCACGGTGGAAATGCAGTGACCCATCATGGCTCCGGAGATTTGCATACCGTACACCGAGGCGACGGGGCCGGTTCCGTAGTACTGACGGTTGACCACCGGATAGGCTGACATCTCGCCGCCGAATCCCAGGCCGAACGCCACGCCGAAAAGGAAGAAAGCCAGCGGAACGTCGAAGGAGCCGAGCAACGGGAGGGCTACATTCGCGGTATATCCAAGGATGCCCGATGGCAGCAACAGCAACGCCACCGAAAGGGCCTGGACCGCCAGAGCGGTGGCCATGATCGGCTTGCCGCCGATACGCTCGGTGATGATGGGCACGGCGAACCGGCCGGCGATACTGGAAATCTGGATCAGCGTGAGGATGATCGCGGCGGTGGTAAACAGGACCCCCTCGCTGACGGCGTAGTCAATGACGTAAATCAGGACGATGCCGTGTCCGGCGCAACCCAGTCCGTGGATAACCGGGAGGTTCCAGAAGGCGCGGGTGTGGCGCATCTGCTTTTGGAAAACCTGCAACCGTACCTTGGCGGCTTCGGACGTGAAGACCCGGGTCGGCCTGTCATTGGTGGTGGCGCCATAGGCGAGGAGCCCCTTTTCAGACGGCTGGTTGCGGAAGAAAGGCACCAGGAGGAGCGTGATACCGCCGCCCACGGCGCCAATGCAGACGAATGTGGTGGTCCAGCCGAACTGGACAAGCAGCACCGAATAGACCGGCGCCAGCAAGGCTGCGCCCAATCCGCCCGCCGCCCACATCAGGCCGATACCCAATCCGAGCCGGCGCTTGAACCAGGGGTTCACGGCGGCCATCAGCGGGACTATCGTGATGGACGATGTGAGGGCGAGCATCACGCTGTACACGATGAAGAACTGCCAGATTTGCGTGATGAACCCGATGAGGATCATGCTGGTTCCGAACAGCAGCCCGCCGGCTGCCAGCAGTTTCCGCGCGCCGATGGTGTCGCCCAGGCGCCCGCTATAGGTCGAGGTCAGCGAGCCGATCAGGTAATATCCAGCGAGGGCCGCGCCGATGAGTCCAACCGGCCAGCCGAATTTGCCGCCCTCTGCCAGGGGTTCCCGCAGTTCGGGGATCATGATCCCGGCGGACATCGAAATCGACTGGCCGAAGATCTGCACGACGGCCAAAATCGCCAAGATCACCCAAGCGTAGTGAAAACCGCCGGAGGTTGGGCGCGCACCATTGATTGTGGCCATTCAGATGGAACTCCTGTGAGATGGGATTGACGGCCAGTCAGTGCAGAGGGCACGCGACCAGGAAGGTTTTGCCCCACCAGGTCTCGGAAACAGGATCAGCGGAAGCCAATCGAGGAACGCTGTCGGAATCGACTGCACCGGGCACAGATTCGGGCTGGTACGGGGCGCCGGAGAATCCGGCGGTGGCGGTGGAGGCGAAACTGGAGACACCGGCATCGCCGGAGGCGGCAACTGCCCAGGCGCCGAAGAAGATAATCAACATGACAGTGACCACCATCGCACCGAGGGAGGTCAATATGGCCACGTTGCGCCTCGCGTACCTAACCATAGGGCGGTATTGTACTCCCCCGTTGACGGCCGCGCCAATCGAGAAGCGGCCAGTTACCGAATTATTCGGCCAGGCTCTGCTGGAAAACCTGGTCCCACGCGAGGGCCCAGGGCGGGCGCAGGTAACCGAGGGCGCGCACGTCGTCATACCAGACGGACAGGGGGGAATACCGGGTATACGCGCCGCCTCCTGACAACTTGCAAAGCCGCCCCAGGCAGTCCTCCGCCAAACGGGCCACGCTTTCCTTGGCGAGAAGGAGTTCCCGGCGACCGGTATTGGTCTCCAGGCAGCGGATCGCGCCCTCCCAGGCCTGGCCGATAAGCCACGCCTCCTGCTCGGCGTGGGCCCACTCGACCTGCTGAAACGCGCGCAAGCCGGGGTCAGATGCCATACCGTTCTTGATGCGAGGGCGGACATGATCCATTGCAGCGTCAACCACGCCGACAATTACGGAAGTGAACGCCGCAGAGCCCAGGCCTCCATTGGCTCCCATCAGTTCGGCCTGATGGCTGGGCCACGCGACTCTAGTGGCCGGGAAGTCGGAGAATTCGAAGGCATGACTGTTGGTTGACTTCATGCCGTGGCCGCGCCACTCGGCAGTTAGCTTCAAGCCCGTCGAGCCGTCCCAGGGGTGGTCCCGGACCTCCATGAAGAACAGATCGGGAACGGTCTCGCCGGCGGCCAGGGCCCGGGTGGTCATGAACGACGTCAGGCCGGAGCCGCTGCCAAAGTGCTTCTGTCCCGAGATATGGTAGCCGAAATCGGATACGCCGTCGGGCTGGCAGACGCTGGCGGTACGGGAGGTATCGCCGCCGGAGCCGGGCTCACTGACGATAGTGCCCCACCAGCAGCCGCCGTGGACGGTATCGAAAACCTGGTTGCGCTGTTGGATCCAACCGCCGGTGAAGGGCTCAGGGACGGTGGGCAGGCGCCAGGAGGACAGCACGAGGTGGTGCATAGCGCTGGCGAGGGTGACGGATGGGTCACCGACAGCCAGCTTCCGGAGCATAGAACAAATGGGTCGGGCGGACTGCTCGAGGCTCTCCCAAGTGCCGCCGAGATCGGTGGGCACAGCCATGAGCGGCACCCCGATCTGGGCCAGGCGCGAGTAGTCGGCCGGGTCGGCCTTGATGCGCTGTTGGCGGTCGGCGCGTTCTTCGGCCCATTCCGCGGCCACGACGGGGGCCTGTTCCAGGATGGAGGCGATGGTGGTCATGCTTTTATTCTCCGTGGCCCGACAGCGCGTTCTAGCGGTCGAACACCGAACCATTTAGTTTGAAACCTGAAGGGGGCCACCGCAGGCACACGAGGCAGAGTTACCGGTGATTGCAATGGCCAGGCCGCACGGCCGGTTGACGGGCTATTCGATGGTGATGTCATACCCCACGATGGCGCTGAAGTTCTTCCGCATATTGTTGTAGCGCGGTTCGTGGGACTGAACCTGGCCGACGCTGTCGGTGGCCCGAGACATGATCGTGTACTGCCCGGGCGCAGCGTCCCAGACACAGGACCAACGGCGCCACATCCAGCGCTCCGCAGGTTCCTCGAGGCGGGCGGGCTGCCAGGACTTTCCACCGTCGACGCTGACGTCAACCTGGGTGATGGCGCCGCCGCCGCTCCAGGCGTAACCCCGCACCACATGCTTGCCGGCGGGCAAAGCGCTGGTATCGTCGTTGGGCTGGGAGACCAGCGACTTCACGCCGATGGTGGTGATCAGTTCCTTGTTGGGATCATCTGCCGAGTCGCCGTAGTAGTAGAAGTTGTAGTGGTACCAGCAGTCGGGTTCGTGATCCAGGACTTCCAGCCGACGCAGCCACTTGACGGACCAATTGCCGGACCAGCCGGGCACGAGGAGACGGAACGGGGCGCCGTGCAGATGCTCCAAAACCTGGCCGTTCTGCGCGTAGGCAAGGATGGTGTCGGGATGAAGAGCCTTCTGGATGGGCAGGCCCTTGTCATAGAAGAAAGGCTCCGTGCCTTCCGCAGCAGTAGCGGGCACGCCTTCGTCCCAACCCTCAGCCCGAATGTGGGTCGCGCGGCCGGTCAATCCAGCCTCGTTGAGGACGGCCGCCAGGGGCACACCGGTCCACTCGCTGCCGGAAAGGATCATGCGCTCCTGGGTGCGGGACGGACGGGGTCCCTCGCCTTTGAAATACTCGAAGTAGGTGGCGTCGCTGCCGGAACACTCCATCACGGTGCGGACGGAGCGGGAAGGGAATCGCCGCACGTCGTCATACGAGAGGCGTAGGGGTTTTTTGACCTCGCCGTCGACGGACAGGGACCAGTCACGAGCGGCAACCGGGTCGGGTATGCCGAAATGCTGGACTACGTAGTGCAACTCGGTGGGGGTGGTAAGTCCTTCGAGGTCCATCACCGGGGTGCGGACGCGTTCGGTCTTGCCGTCGGGTCGGAGCAGGGTGACGGGTTCGACCTTCTTATGGGGCCAACCGTACCAGGAGTCGGTGTTGTCGCCGCTGTCCGCAGACTGCGCGCCGTCCATTTCCAAGAAGTCGGGCCGGGCGGAATCACCGGCCTGATTCTCCGGGGTGTTCTGCTGGGTAGTCATTCGGTGTGCGTCTCCATGATTAGATGGCCAGCCGCAGGCCGGCGATGTGCCAGTTTCCCATGCCGGCGGCGCGGCGACAAGTGGCGGCGCGCCCTACGGTGACCGGGTTGGTGATTGCGTGGGGCGCGGCGCGGTGGCAATCGCACGGCCCGAACGTCGTCCACGCTGGCGTGGCTGCCACGTTTCGCTCGCAATGAAAGCCGGCCGGCCTCTAACCCAACGGCATCGCCACGGTCCGTGCGCAATCACGGATTAATCGCGGATAGCATGGCGTGCACGGCGATTTGACACGCGGAGCGACCACGGGAAGAATCGCCAAAGCCGCAAAATCCAGGAACGCCAGGAGGTACCAGTGACCACACTGCACATCATCGTCGAGATTTCGGAGCAGGTTCCCACGGGTCGGACGGAGTGGCGAGTGGACTGCGCGGAATGCGACTGGTACGACATATTCGACGACCGCCGGCGCGCAGAGGACGCGGCGACGAGCCACGTTGGTCAGTCCCATGAGTCCGAGACGGCGTACAACCGAATCGTGCAGACGTTACGGGTAGAGTCCAACCCAGAAGAAAGCGACCTAGTTGACGCGTCAGGCGGACCAAGTCGCTAACTGTTGCTTTGCCCTCAAGAACCGCGACGACAATCGGGTTCCAGCATCGCGGGCTTTCCGAGATGGAACCGCTAATCGGCGGCGTACTTCTCGCCTAGAGCGGTCTCCCACCGCAGGTAATTCTGCATGTCGGCGTAGTTGCGGTCGGGTCCGCTGAAAACAACGTCGGAAGGCGTTCGGTTGATGCCACTGAGGCCTTCTTCCACTGGCAGGCGAGCCGCCTGCCATGAGGTTACCCCGCCGGCCAGGACCCGGGTGTTGGAATAGCCAATCTGGCGCAGGGTCGCCGCCGCCAGCAGGGACTGGCGCCCATCAACGCAGGTCACCACGATGCTGGCGTCATTTGACCTGACGTGGTCCGTGATCTGCCATTCGAGCCATCCTCGGGGCACCCAGCGGGACCCGGCCACGTGACCACGGGCGAATTCCTGGCTGGTATCGACGAAGATGATAACGTCGGGGCGGTTTTCATCGAGGGCCCTGGCTGAGACGGCGGGTACCGAGCGGCGGGCCTCCGCCAACAGTTCGGACTCCGTACCGCCGGCGATCGAACCGTCGTTCAAAGCGGCGATGCTCATGCCGGACTCCAGAGGACGGCCCGCGGCGGCCCACGCCCGGGTGCCGCCATTGAGCGCGTAGACCTCCTGATGTCCCAGTTGGCGGAACCAGGACGCGGTCAGGGCAGCTCGGGCCCTGCCGTCGCAGCAAAACACCAACGGCGCATTTTTCACGACTGCCACGTCGTCGCTACGCTGAACGCACTGGCCGCCGGGGAACCACCGAAAACCCGGAATGCGTCCGCGGTCATATTCTTCCGACGTACGCACGTCGATGAAGTACATGCTCTCGGTCACGCTGCGGTTAGCCATGGCGTCGAGACCGGCAATATCCAGGAAACGCACGCCGTCTTCGGCGGCGCAACGATCGGCGTAAGCCTCCGCCGCGGCGCGGCCCGCGTCAGATACGTTGGGCAGGCGGTCCCGGGTTGCCCCGGATTCCAATTCGTAACCGGCCAGCACCCATCCGGAGGTGCCGTTTTTCAGGCCAACGACCTCGCGGTCCAAGCCCATGCGCTGGAGCACACGGGTCCCGATGATGCTTCGGGTGCGTCCGGCGCAGTTGACCACGACGGTGGTATCGGGATCCAGGTCGGCCGTGATGTCGGTAATCCGGAGCGCCAACTCACCGCCGGGAACGCTCCGGCCGCCGGGAATGCAGAACCGGCGGTATTCCTCAGGAGTCCGCGTGTCGAGGATGACCATTTTTTCGCCGCGGTCCATGCGGGAACGCAATTCGATGGCGTCGATCTCGGGCACATGGTGGACGACCTCGACCTTTTCGCCGAAGTCCTTGCTGGGAACGTTCACTCCCCATTCAGTGGGGTAGTCTAAACTCACCCAACGGTTGATGCCGCCGTCGAGCCAGCCGACATTGTCGAAGCCCATGGCCTCGATCGTTGCAACTGCCTGGGACACGCGACGGCCGTCATCATCGCACAACACGATCAACGACCCGGCGTGGGGTACGGCCGAGTGGAGGTCGAATTCCAGCCTCCGGCGGGGGATAAGGCTGCTTCCCGGTATGTGGCTGGTGTTGAATTCCCCGGGTTCGCGAATGTCAATCAGGGCGAAGGGGGTAGTATCATTGAACAAATCGTTGAGTTGTTCGGATCTAAACGGCTTAGCCATCAGCGCACCTCCATCGACCACGTTCACGTGGTTTCGATCATAAAAATCAGCGGCCGGCGACGCCAACGATAGCGCCGACATGGGTCTACAGTCCGCTCATCATATAGCATGTGATTGGAAGTATATGGACTTCCGCGTGATTTATCTTCACTTCGATAGAAGTCGAGGCGAAGTTGGACTATTGAGACCTGAGCAAGTCCCTGGTTTTGAGATGTAGCGGCAGCGGTGGGTTATTGCCCAAGTATACACGCGTGGCGTCGATATGAGCCCGGCGTGGCGTTGCCGGATTAACAGTTGTCGTATTTCTCGGTCATCATCCGACGTATGGCGCCGGTTTCCAAGTCGTAGCGCACGCGCTCCAGGCCGCGGAGATCCTGGCCATAGACGTGGACCTCGACGGTTGGGCGGTCGGTGAAGTTGTCCATCTGGTGGATTTCGTCAACCTCCGGGATGAGCAAGCTGATTTCGCCCGGCTTCACCACGGAGGAGCGATCCCGTTCCAATTGGGCCCAGTCCGTGCGCTCGTGATCATCGACGCGCCGGAAGCGGGTCTCGGTGAGAGCGTTGTCCATGACGCCGATCATGCCCCAGGTACGATGGTCATGCGGGGCCGCGTGGTCGCCGGGGCCCCAGACGACGGCGGTGACCAGGAGACCGCTGTCGGGGCTATGGTGGAGCAGCCACGACCCGTGATTGGCGCGCCCTCCCGAACCGACCGGCTGGCGGAAACGTCCGGGGATCGCGTCGGGATTTGAGATAAGCCGCGACAGGCAGTCCGAGCCCCTGTCGAAGATTTTCTCCCGAGTAGGTTGGGAGACGAGAAGATTGTCCATGTCATGCACGAAGTCTTCCAGCGTGTATTTGACGGCGACCATTTTGCAATCCCTCCACCTTATCGAGCGGAGTGTAACCGTGCGAGGCCCCCAGTGGCAACACTCACGCCACCTGCTCCTGGGTCTTACGGGCTTCCACATCTGTGGGATTGTCGCTGAGACCAAATACTTGGCCTCCTATCGCCCACCGTGCCAGAGACTCCAGATTTCCCGATTTTGCCGGGATGACGGACGCTGGAAGTGGAAAATCGAAAGACACTGGACCAACACATCCGGGGCACACCACGCGATTGACAGGATGTCGTGAAGGAGTTTGCGCCAAGAGCATTCGGCTGCACTGCTATACTACCGCGACCGATTTGAGCCAACCCAAGTGTCGACGGAGGTACCCCGTATGGCAGACTCCATCAAGATTTCGATGCGCGTGCCCGGCACATCGCCGATGCCGGACCTGCTTAAGATGATAGGCCAAATAGAGGATGCGGGGTTTGACGGAGCGGGGATCCTGGACAGCCAGATGATTTGCCGGGACACCTTCGTGACGATGGCCATGGCAGCCAACGCCACCAGCAAGCTGAATTTGTTCCCGGCGGTAACGAACCCCTTCGGCCGGATTCCGTCGGTGTTGGCCGGAGCGGCGCAGACAGTGGCGGAGACCGCTCCGGGGCGGACCAAGTTCATCATCGGAACGGGGTACACGTCAGCGAGCACGATTGGGCGCCGACCGGCGACGTTGCGGCAGATGCGCCGCTGCATCATGGAGGTCAAAGCTCTGCTGGCCGGGGAGGCCGTGCAGTACGATGGTATGACCAACCGCCTGGATTTCGCGGGCAGCGACGGCGGCGCCGGAGTACCGGTCCTGATGGCGGCATCCGGTCCGCGTTCGCTGGAACTGGCGGGCGAGGTGGCCGACGGAGCGCTGGTACTTGTCGGGTACACGCCGGGCATCGTGGGCAAGGCGATGGAGCACCTGGAAACGGGAGCGAAGCGCAGTGGCCGGACGCTGGACGATCTTGACGTGATGTTCGCGGTGCGCACGTGCGTGGCGGATTCCACCGAAGAGGCGCAGCGCCTGGCGCGACCGGTGGCGGCGCACTGGGCTCTACTGTGGGGCGGGCCCAACTGGCTGCCTTACTCCGGCTTGGACATTCCGGACTACGAGGTACCGCAGGCCGTGCGCGACGTTTATCCCGATCTTGGGCACGCGCCGAATTGGGAAGAAGCGATTGAGTTGACCCGGTTCGTGGACGACGAGGTGAACGGCCAACTGTGCGACGCCCTGGGATTGATCGGAACGGCAGAGTATTGCACCTCTCGAATCAAGGAAATGGCGCAGCACGGGGTCAAGCAGCTATACCTGATGCCGTGCCTGACCTTTGCGCCCCCGGAAGCCGAGGTGCAGGCTTTCGGGAAACACGTGATACCGGCGCTCGCCGCAGCCTGACCAACCCTCGGCGCGTAACGTGCACCATGCGGTGCGTGACGCGGGTGGGGCGGGCGTCCGTGCGGTAGGAATAGCCACACGCAATTTGCTAGCCTCGCGGTCAGTACGCCAGTAGCGTGAGGACGCCCGCGATCGGAAAGTTGCACAGATACGGGCTCGAGGGGAACACGTGACTACGGCAGATCGGTTCCAAGAGTACAGTCTTGACCCGGACGTCTTTGACGAGATGTTTCACGGCGACGGGCGAACCCGGAACAACTGGGAGGGATTGCATCGTGCGCTGACCGACCTCTCTACTGAAGAGTTGACCGCCATCCAGGAAAGGGTGACGAGGTCTTTCTCCAACGAGGGGATCACCTTCACCGTTTACGGGGACGACGAAACGGACGAACACATCATCCCGGTGGACTGCGTGCCCCGGTTGATTGCCGAGTCGGAGTGGAGGGAACTGGAAGCCGGGCTGACGCAGCGCCTGAAGGCGTTGAACCTGTTTTTGCAGGACGTCTACGGCAAGTCGCAGGCGACCAGGGACGGAGTGATCCCAGAGGAAATGGTCCTGGGCTGCCCGCAGTATCGGTTGGAGATGCGGGGGTTCACTCCACCGCAGGGCACCTGGGTGGCGATCTGCGGCACCGACCTGGTACGCACGAACGACGGGTTTCGGGTGCTGGAAGACAACCTGAGAGTGCCCTCGGGCGTTTCCTACATGATCGCGAACCGGAAGGCGGTGAAAACGAGCTTGCGCCGACTGTACCGTGCCTCGAAGGTGCTGGAGGTGGAACAGTACGGACGCTTGCTCCTCGACACGCTCACGGAGTTGGCGCCGACGGAGCGGGCCAGCCCGAGCATCGCGCTGCTCACCCCTGGCATTTACAACGCGGCCTTCTACGAGCACATGTTCCTGGCGCACGAACTGGGCGCGGAACTGGTGGAAGGGCGTGACCTGGTGGTCAGGGACGATTTCGTTTATATGAAAACCACCGCCGGACTCCGCCGGGTTGACGTCATCTACCGCCGCGTGGACGACGATTTCCTGGACCCATCGGTTTTCCGGCCCGACTCGGTGCTGGGGGTTCCCGGGCTGATGGACGCGTACCTGAAAGGGAACGTTGCCCTGGCGAACGCGCCGGGGACGGGGGTAGCCGACGACAAAAGCGTGTACGCCTACGTGCCGGACCTGATCCGTTACTACCTGAACGAAGAGCCCACAATCCAGAACGTGGAAACGTACCTCTGCCGCAGGCCGCAGGAACTGGAATATACGCTGGACAACCTGGACAAACTGGTAGTCAAGAAGGTGGGAGAATCGGGTGGTTATGGAATGTTGGTGGGTCCTCACGCCACGCCGCACGAGAGAGAGGACTACGCCAAGCAGGTCAGGGCCAACCCGGCTGATTTCATCGCCCAGCCCACGCTGGCCTTGTCCCGGTCGCCCTGCCTGATAGATGGCAATTTCGAGCCGCGCCACGTCGACTTGCGACCGTTCGTATTGCATGGGCAGACCACACGGATCGTGCCTGGAGCCTTCTGCCGCGTTGCCCTGCGGAAGGGCAGCCTGGTAGTGAACTCAAGTCAGGGAGGCGGCGGCAAGGATGTCTGGGTGCTGGAGGAGTAACCGAGTTGCTGGCTAGAAGCGCACAGGGCCTCTATTGGATGGGCCGGTATCTGGAACGGGCCAGCCATCAGTGCCGACTGCTGCAACTGCAAACGGAGGCCCTGGTGGACCGTCCGGTCAGCGAAATCTACTCCGGCTGGCGACGGATCTACAACAGCCTGGACCGAGAGCCGCCGGGGGCATCCCTGGAGATGGCGCCCGCGGGTGCGGGCGAATCATTGCAGGTCCAGTGGGAGGTGAAGGCCAGTGGCCAGTCGCAGATGCAACAGGTCAGTGACGAGTTCACGATGGCCGATTCGTTCACCTTGGCCGATGACCTTACCTTCGAGCGCACGAACAACGGTTCGATGTGGAGCTGCTTCGCGTCGGGTCGAGAAAACGCCCGCCAGATGCGGCATTGCATCAGTAGCGAGATGTGGCGGTCGCTGAACCTGTCGTATCTGAAACTCCAACAGATCAGCATCCTGGACATCTGGATGGCCTCGCCGGAGAACTTCTACGCGGAAACGGCGGAGGACATCGAAAAATTCATGGGCGTGGCCGCCGCTACGATGTATCGGGACGAAGGTTGGCACTTCATGCAATTGGGAAGGTTCCTCGAACGGTCCCAATTGGCAAGCAACCTTCTGCTGGCGCAGTTGGATCTGGGGGAAGAGCCAACGGAAGATACGGAGTCGGACTGGACCACGTTGCTTCGGTTCTACCACGCCCAGGAAGCGTACAACCGGAAGTACAACGTGGAGATCGCGGCGGACCAAGTGCTGGACCTGCTGATCACGGACCCACTGTTGCCGGACTCAATGCGGAGGGCCGTGGACACGATGGCCGAGGAACTGGCAGCCGTCGGATCCGGCCCAAACCGGGAAACGAGCGCAGCCGCGAACAGGCTGGCGGGAAGGCTCGGGTCGCTGGTTTTATACGAGTGGCCGGACACCGAAGACAAACGGCAGCTGTTGGGCCGGATCGCGGAACTCAGCCGGCAATTGCACCGCCACGTCAGCGGGGTTTATTTCGACTACTGACCGCAGGCTGGGTCGAATTCGAACGCGGCGGGGCCTTGACCGGTGGCGCCGGCAGTTGTAGAGCGTGGGGACGGTCGGTATCCGGGGATTTTGCGCCGCGACCGTGCTGACACTCAAGGTGCCGAATGCTATAATCGCCTTTGCGTTTTCACCAATTCAGGAGATTCGAACTTGCGTCACTACGAAATGGTAACAATTCTCAGCCCGATGCTGAACCAAGATGAAGCATCGGCCAAATGGGACGAGATCAAAACATTCATCGCCAACCGAGACGGCGAAATCACCGCGGAGCAGATTTGGGGAACCCGCCGGCTGGCGTACCCGATCCGGAAAGGGAACTACAATTTCCTGGAAGGAGCGTATTACCTCAGCACGTTCACCGTGGACAATTCGTTCAACCGGGAGCTGGAAAATTATCTGCGGCTGGACGAGCAGGTGCTGCGGTCGCTGATCGTCAATTGCGACGGGCCGCTGCCCGACAAACCGGCTCCTGGGCCTTTGACCGCCCCGTCGCGGTACATCCCGCCGGGACGCGGACGGCGGCAGGACGGTGGCGGACCGGTACCGGAAGCGGCCGGCAGTTTCTCGGATCGCCGGCCAAGTGGCGCTCCCGGAGTTCTGCCCACGCCGGCACCGAGTCCCGATGCTCCCGCCGCTGGGGCGGCAACGCGAGAAGTTGCCGAACCGGCAGCGGCCGCAGAGGCCAGCGCCGAAGCCACAGCAACGCCCGCTCCTGCTGCAAGCACTGAGCCAACCAGTAGCACCGAGCCAACCAGTAGCACCGAGCCAACCAGTAGCGCTGAGCCAACCAGTAGCCAGCCAGTAGCGCCGAACCGGCCGTTAGCGCTGCCCCGACCGCTGAAGCGGCGCCGGCTCCTGAGCCGGCTGGCATTGCTGAACCGATTGCAAACACTGAGCCAGCCTCCGAAGCTGCACCAGAGCCCGCGACACCCGAGCCCGCGGCGCCGGAGACCGAGCCGACTACCGAAACCGATGGGGACGCCCAGGCGTAATAGGTTCCAGTGAACAAGATCATCATCATCGGCAACCTTGGTCGGGATCCGGAGATGCGGTACTCCGCCTCCGGGAATCCGATGACGTCTTTCAGCATTGCCAGCAATCACCGGTACACGACCGCCGCCGGAGAGCGGCGCGAAGAAACCGAATGGTTCAATTGCACTGCTTTCGGGCGGCTTGCAGATACCTGCAACCAGTACCTCAGCAGGGGACAACAGGTCTATGTTGAAGGCCGCCTCCGTTCCCGCCAGTACGACCGTCGTGATGGAACGCCCGGATTTTCGCTCGACGTGACGGTAACCGACATGCAAATGCTAGGTCGTCGCGACGACCAGATGGATGACGGCGGTTACGGCGGGCAACAGGACCGCAACTCCGGCGGCCGGGCCGACAGCGGCGGGTACGGCGGTCAACCGGAACCCAGCTACGGCGATCGACCCGACAGCGGCGGGTACGGCGACCAACGCGGCGGATACGACGACCGGCGCGGGGCCGGCGACGGAGCCGGCAACGCCGGCGGGCCGATGGACGTTGACGACCTTCCCTTCTAATTAAAACTGCGACACCCGAACCCCAGAAACCCCGAGGAGCCCGAATAATGACCACGCCAGGATCCGCACCCTCATCTCCGTCTTTCAGTACGCCGCCGGCATCGCCAGCAGGTGGGCCTCTTCCCGGTGGACTGGGTGGGCGACCGGGTGGTGGGCCTCCCGGTGGACCGGGTGGGCGACCGGGTGGTGGGCCTCCCGGTGGATCGGGTGGGCGACCTGGTGGACCGGGCGGACGACCGCCGGGACGAGGCGGGCCGCGCGGCGGCGGTGGTCGCGGCGGGCGGCGCTATGGACCGCGCCGGAGAGTGTGCGCCTTCACGGTTGAGGGGGTTACGCCTGACTACAAGGACGTCGACCGTCTGAGGCGGTACATCTCGGAGCAGGGCAAAATCGAGCCCACCCGAAAGACCGGAACTTCGGCGAAAAACCAGCGGCTCCTGGCGCAGGCAATCAAACGGGCCCGCTACCTCGCCCTGCTGCCGTACGCTCCCGAACACAGCATCAACGTCGGCATGCGTTCGGGTCGCTGATCGGCCCCATCCCAGATGCTGAACTTAACGCTGCCCTGGAAACGCAGCGCCGCCGAGGCCGACGAACCGTCGGAACAGCCTTCCAGGCGGCGTCCCACCAGAAACGCGGCCAGCCGCAGTCGTCGGCTGGGCACGAGCGACGCCGACATCGCGCAGGCAGCGCGCAACCGGCGCCGGCTGGATTCACGCCGGCAACGGATTGCAATTGTTGTCGGAGCCGTGCTGATACTGGTGATCGTCGGCGTGGTGCTGGCCGGCGTGTTTCAGCAGTTTATCCTCCCGCCGCGGGTAATGGCCGGAGAGGTCAGGAACGAACAATTCAGCATGGGTGACCTGGTCGAGCGGATCCGCGTGCTGCAGGGGATCAACCGCTACCAGGGTGGACAGGTGGATTTCAGCCGGATACCGTTCCAATTGCTGACGGACTTGCTGCACGCCGAGATATTGCGCCAGGCGGCGCCCGGTCTTGGCATAGAGATCACCGACGAACAGATTGACGATGCGATCAAGGGCCAATTCCGGCCGGAACCGGAGCCGGGGCAGGACGTAAGCGACGCCCAATTGGACGCCGAGTTCGACAACACCTACACGAATTTCCTGACCCAGGTCAACCTGACAAACGACACCTACCACCGGATCATGGAAGAGCGGCTACACCAGAGCTCGTTGTTCGGCATCATGCTGGCGAACTTACCGGAGGAGGCGCCGCAGGTAGAGATCCAAGCCGTTACGCTCAGCCTGAACTCCACCGCATCTCCCGAAGGGGTACGCGAGCGGTTGGTGCTGGGTCAGGATTTCGCGTCCGTTGCCCGAGAGATTTCCGGCTCGGATGGATACATCGGTTGGGTGCCTGAAGGAGCGTTCCCGGAGTTTGACCGCTACCTGTTCGGCGAGACCGACATAGCCGAAGACGGGAGCGAAACACGCAAACCTGCCACGCTGGAACTTGGCGAAATATCCCCTCCCATCTACGTGGACGAGTCGATCTTCATCATCCAGGCCATCGGTGGGCCGGAAACGCAGGAGGTCGATTCCCGAATGCTGTTCCAAATGGCCAGCGCGCTGGTCGAGAAATGGAAGGACGACCAGTTGCAACGCGGGTCCGAAGACGGGTGGGTAAAGATCAACTTTGATAGCAACCGGTACGCTTGGGTGACTGACCAGGTTCGTTTGACACGACCGCGGGTCACTCCCCAACCGCAGCAGTAGGCTTCCCAGGGACCTCGATACGCCCGGGAAACCGGGCCCCCGGGTCACGACAAGTTCCAACGCCTCTCAGAGCCAGCCAGAAAACAGTATTTCGATATGCCCGGTACGATGGAACCAATCAATATCGGCCTGATGGGTCTGGGTACTGTCGGGGGCGGCGTCGCTGCGGCACTATCGAACAACGCGGAAGAGATCCAGCGGAAAACCGGGCGCACGGTCTGTTTGCGGAGAGCGCTGGTGCGCGATGCCGGCAAAACCCGTGAGCCGGCTCCTCCGGCGGGAGTGCTGACTACTAATCCCGAGGATATACTGGCCGACCCGGAAATCCACGTGGTCGTGGAGGTGATGGGGGGAGACTCTCCGGCCGGCGAATACCTGGAACGCGCCTTGGCCGGCGGCAAACATGTGGTGACCGCCAACAAAGAGGTGATGGCCCGACGCGGCGCGTCATTGCTGGCCTTGGCACAGTCCCAAAGCGTAAACCTGCTGTTCGAGGCATCGGCCGGCGGTGGCATCCCCATCGTCGGCTGCTTGATGTCACAGTTGCTGGCCAACGACATCCGTTCGATCCGGTCAATCATCAATGGAACCACTAACTATATCCTGACCCGGATGGCGCGAAGCCAGACCCCGTTCGCCGAGGCCCTGTCAGAAGCCCAGAGCCAGGGATACGCCGAAGCGGATCCCACCAACGACGTGGAAGGAATTGACGCTGCGTACAAACTCTCGGTGCTGGGCAGCCTGGCGTTTCACCAATCAATACCCCACGAGGCCATCCACACGGAAGGCATCAGTCGCCTGGGTCCCGAAGACTTCCGTTATGCCGCCGAGTTGGGCTACGCCATAAAATCCCTGGCGATCGCGGCCGCCCAGCCGGACGGGACAGTCCAGGCCAGGGTTCATCCGGCCCTGGTTCCCGAGGACCACCTGCTGGCCAAAGTGGACGGCGTGTATAATGCCGTGGAAGTGACCGGTGACCTGTGCGGCCAAATCATCCTGCACGGACAGGGAGCCGGACGCGACGCCACGACCAGCGCGGTGATGGGTGACATTCTGAACGTGGTGAGGTTCATCGACAGCGCCGGCCCGCCACCGCTGTTACCGGTTCCGAACGGGCGCGGCCACCAAGTCGGGAACTCCATCCGACCCATCGACGAACTTTCCAGCGCCTACTACCTGCGACTGACGTGCGCCGACCAAGCCGGCGTGCTGGCCCAGATAGCGCGGCTGCTGGGCGACGGCAACATTTCCATCGCCACCGTGATCCAAAAGGATACCGACCCAGGCAGCGGCACCGCGCAATTAGTTATCACCACGTATCCCTCCCGGGAAGCGGACGTGCAGACGGCTCTGGCGGCGGTTGCGAAACTGGGAGTGGTGGTAAGCGTGGACAATCTGATCCGTATCGAACAGTAGAGCGATCTCAAACGACAACCCGACGCAACGATTGAAGTTACCAGGCAAGACCGAGGCACGATCCCGCCAGACTTGGTAGAGAATGGGCGTAGGCGTTTTACAACAGTACCGGGACCTGCTTCCGGTGAATGAAGAGACACCCATTTTTTCGATGGGCGAGGGCGATACGCCGCTAGTGCGGTCCCGTCAACTGGGGCCCGAGTTGGGTTGCTCCGACCTCTTCTTCAAACTGGAGGGCTGCAATCCGACCGGATCGTTCAAAGACCGGGGCATGGTGGTGGCGATGGCCAAAGCGTTGGAAGAACGCAGCGTTGGCGTCATGTGCGCCTCCACCGGCAATACGAGCGCGTCGGCCGCAGCCTACGCCGCGTATTGCAACCTGGCCGCCTGGGTGCTGATTCCCAAGGGCGAAGTGGCGCTGGGCAAGTTGGCGCAGGCCATGGCGTACGGAGCCCGAATACTCCTGGTAGACGGCAATTTCGACGCGGCCCTGGCCCTGGTGAGGGAGTTCACCAAGACCAATCCGATCACCCTGGTCAACTCAGTCAATCAGCACCGCATCGAAGGGCAAAAGACCGCGGCATTCGAGATATCCGACGTGCTGGAAGACGCGCCGGATTACCTGTTCATTCCGGTGGGAAACGCGGGTAATATCACGGCGTACTGGCGCGGCTTCGTCGAGTATCACCAGCTTGGCCGGAACGAAATTCTGCCCAAGATGATGGGTTTCCAGGCGGAGGGGGCTGCGCCGATCGTACGCGGCGAGCCAGTCCCGTATCCGCAGACGATTGCGTCGGCCATACGCATCGGGAACCCGGCGAGCTGGAAATTTGCGGAGCGGGCGCGTGATCAGTCGGGAGGCGTCATCGACGCGGTAAGCGACGACGAGATCCTCGAGGCATACCGGTTGCTGGCCTCGCGAGAGGGCATATTCGGGGAACCGGCGTCGGCCGCCTCGGTCGCCGGCCTGATCAAATTGAAACACAACGGACTGGACCTGACCGGGAAACGGGTGGTCTGCATCATAACGGGCAGCGGGCTGAAAGACCCGGACATGGCTGTCAGCAGCGCCCAAGCCGACACGGTTGAAGTCAAGCCCAATCTGGAGGCCATCGAGAACGCCATAATGGAAACGCTGCCCGCCAGATGACCAGCGCCGGACCCAAAATAAACTTGGCGGCCGTCGAGGTCGCGGTGGGCGCCATCCTCAAGTACATTGACGAGGACAGCGGGCGTGAGGGGCTGTGGCGAACGCCGGAACGCGTCGCAGAGATGTACGGGGAACTTTTTTCGGGAGTGGGGACGGACCCGGCGGCCGAGATCGACGCGATCTTTTCGGATGACGTGACCCACGACCCGGTACTGGTCGCCGATCTACCCTTCTATTCGATGTGCGAGCACCACCTCCTGCCTTTTTTCGGGCGAGCAAGCCTGGTGTACGTACCGGACCGGCACATCGCAGGGATAAGCAAGATTGCCCGGGCATTGGAAACAACCGCCCGGCGACTGCAGGTGCAGGAGCGCCTGACCGGCCAATTGGCCGACGCCGTAATGTTCCGGGTAAAACCGCTGGCGGTGGCCTGCCGCGTGGAGGCGGAGCACCTGTGCATGTCCATGCGCGGGATCCAAAAGCCGGGACATAGGGTCATCACGACCGCGATACGACAAGGGCCCGGCGGCGGGGAAAACGGCGCCACGCCGGCGTATACGCCGAGCGACCTACTGGGCCTCCTGAACAACCGAGGATAACCAACGCTGCCAGCATGACATCAACCTCTCCAGCAACCCCCATCACTTCATTCGACGAAGTTCGGCAGCAATGGCAAGAATTGCTGGGCCGGTCGGTGGTGAACAACCTGTACATCACGCCCGAGTGGCAGGAACTGTGGTGGAGCGCCTTCCAAAACGGCCGGTCGTTGGCAGGATTTTACCTGACCGACGCTGCGGGCCAACTAACCGCCCTGGCATCACTGTCGCGCTGTGGCGACAATTTTTCCTTCGTGGGCAACAGCGACACGTTTGATTACAACGATTTCGTGATCGCCCGCGGGACAGAGCCGGCATTTTTCCCGGCTCTGCTGGACGCAATCGACTCGGGCGGCGGCCGACAACTGGACCTCTATTCGGTTGGGGAAGATTCTCCAACGTTGGCGATGCTCCCCGAATTGGCGCGGGCACGCGGATATTCGGTGGACATTGCGGAGGAAGACGTTGCGCCACGAATTGATCTGCCGGCCACCTGGGATGATTATCTGGCAGGGTTGAGCAAAAAGGACCGGCACGAGCTGCGCCGGAAACTGCGCCGCCTGGAGGCCCACGAGAACTGGCGGTGGTTCTGCGTTTCGGATCCGGCCGAGGCCGCCGACCGCACGGACACGTTCCTCGCACTGATGCGAGACAGCGACCCGGCGAAGGCTGAATTTCTCACCGCTGACCGGGAAGCGTTCTTCCGGCGGCTCATCGCGGCCACGGCGGCCCAGGGAGTTCTCCGGCTCTTCTTCTTGGAGATGGACGACAAACCGGTGGCCGCCTCACTGTGCCTCGATTACGATGGCGTGCGGATGCTGTACAACAGCGGTCACGATACGGAATACCGCTACTACAGCGTCGGGTTGCTGCTCCACGCGCTGTGCCTGCGTGACGCGTTGGAAGGGGGATATCGATACTTCGATTTCCTGAGGGGGAACGAACCCTACAAATACAGGCTGGGCGGTCACGACCACCATCTCTACCGGATAACGCTGGAGCGCCCGGGTTAACCACGCGATGGCGACGAGTAGCGTCAGAATGCTGACACGGGCGATGCCCAGGATTTCGACCATAGCATCCAGGTTTGCCGCGCCGGGGTTTCTCCCCGGTCACCGGAGGGCTACCCGTTGATATCTGACTGTCCGCAGCGTGTCGCCCTGATCTCCTACCACACTTGCCCGCTGGCCGCGCCGGGGCAGGGAAAGGCGGGAGGAATGAACGTGCACGTCCGTGAACTGGCGCGGGCACTGACGGGAAGGGGGGTAACGGTCGACGTATTCACCCGGGAGCACGATTATCAGTGCGACGAGGCCGGCGTCGACGGAGCCAACTACGTGCACGTACCAGCCGGGCCCCCTGACGCCGCGCTGCCCGATCTGGCCAACTACCTGGATGATTTCGTGGCCGGCGTGAGGGCGTACCAGAAACGCAACGATGTTCAATACATAGCGATCCATTCTCACTATTGGCTGAGCGGATGGGCCGGAACGCGACTGGCCGCCGCGAGCGGGACGCCGCACGTGGTCACCTTCCATACGCTGTCGCGGATCAAGATGCAGTCACGGTCAGGCGAGCAGGAACCACCGGTGCGGCAAGCGACCGAAGAACGCATCATCGGCGAAGCCGATTGCGTGGTGGCGTTCAGCCCGCACGAGCGAGACGCGATGGTTCGGCTGTACGCGGCTGATCGAAGGCGCGTGGAGTTAATACCTTGCGGGGTCGACCTGGGACGATTCCAGCCCATCGGGCGGACGGCGGCGCGCCGCGAGCTGGGCCTGAACGGACACAAGGTGCTACTGTTCGTCGGCCGGATCGAAGCGCTGAAGGGCGTGGACCTGCTGCTCCATACCGCCGCCTCACTGGAATCCGAAGAGGGATTGCAGGTGTTGGTGGTGGGTTCCGATGCCGACGGTAGCGGAGAGATGGAAAGGTTGCACCGGCTCTCCGATGAACTTCGACTGGGCGACACAGTCGAATTCGTGGGCAGGGTGCCCCAGGAACAATTGGCCCTTTACTACTCCGCCGCCGACGTATGCATCGTGCCGTCGTTCTACGAGAGTTTCGGTCTCGCCGCGCTGGAAAGCATGGCGTGCGGAACCCCGGTGGTGGCTTCCCGCGTGGGCGGACTTTCCACAATAGTCCAGCATGGCAGGACCGGGTACCTGAAATCGTGGCGCTGCCCCGAAGCGTTCGCGCAGTCGTTGGAGATGATAATGGCCAACGAGGACCTGCGGGACAGCATGGGCCGGGCCGCGCGAACCCGGGCCGAAGACCTGAGCTGGGACCAGGTAGCGGGTCGCCTGCTGGCACTTTATGACCGCCTTGGATCGGCCGGACTTGATCAGGACACGGCCCGCTGATGCGGCCATCTGCCGGGCCACTCTCACCGAACGACTTGGGATTCCCCAATTTCCCGGGTCAAGGCCGGCGGAACCCGCCCCGGCGCCGACGGCCGTTCGCCTCCGCCCTGCGCCACCTGGAGGGACGCATGGTGGCAGGTCTGCTGGTGTTCCTGCCGGTGCTCGTGACCTATTTTGTCTTCAATTTCTTTTACGACATCCTGGCCTCACTGCTGGAACCCGCCGTACGTGCGCTGAATATCCCCAAAACGGGCGGGTTCGATTGGAGCGACCTGGTCGGCATAGCCGCAGTCCTGGTGGTCATTTACGTCGTAGGCCTGCTCATAGGCTGGGCGGTGGTCAAATTCCTGATCAACCAGGTGCATGATGTGATTGGCCGGATACCGGTAATAGGCGCGGTGTATAACACGACGCGGGTGGGTATCGATTTCCTGTCAGATACTCAGGAGCAGCAATACCGCGGGGTCGTGCTGTTTGAGTTCCCTCGATTGGGCGTATTGTCGATCGGCCTGATTACGTCCAATCTGGGCAAACTGGACGGCGTAGAGGAGTATCTGTCCATATACGTGCCCACCACGCCGGTGCCGTCGTCCGGGTACCTGGTGGTGGTGCCGTCGAGCAAGGTGACCTCGACCGATATCACCGTGGACGAAGCGATGCGCATCATCATTTCGGGTGGCATTCTGGCCGGCGAAATCATTCCCGACCGGGTTTCAATCAACGGGGCCAAGAACTCGACGTCCGACTCGCATTGGTTGTGGGGCGACGACGGAGACGCCAAGCCGTTGCCGGACGCGCTGCCGCCTCGCGCGCAAGAACCGGTCCCAGTGGTCACCGGCATACAAGACTAACCGGGATCGACAACCGTCGTCCGAACCGGCCGCTCACGGCATTTCATTCCACACACCCTTTGACAGCATCCAGACCGGAGGATCGTATTCATGGACTACACACCCGAACGCGCACTGGTGGTTATTCCACACCCCGACGATGCGGAGGTGTGGGCCGGGGGCACCATAGCCCGTTGGGTCCGCGGCGGCTCGGAAGTCCATTACGTGCTGTGCACCGATGGCAGCAGAGGCACGGACGACGCCGAGATCAACCCGGCCGAACTGGCAGCAATGCGTGGCCGGGAGCAACTGGCGGCAGCGGACGTTCTTGGCGTGACAAACATGGTGATGCTGGGTCGGCCGGACGGCGAACTAGAAGACACGTCGGACTTCAGGAGAGACTTGGTCCGACAGATTCGCCTGGTCAAACCCGACGTGGTGCTGACGACCGAACCATACCGCCGCAACATGCAATGGCACCGCGACCACCGGATTGCCGGGCAGGTGACCCTGGACGCCGTGTTCCCGTACGCTCGAGACCACCTGCACTTCGGCGAACTATTCGCCGACGAAGGAATAGAACCCCACAAAACTGCGGCGATCATGTTCTGGGGCTCGGAAAACCCCAATGCCTTCGTGGACATAGCCGCCGATTTCAGCGCCAAGATGGACGCGGTGATGGCGCACGGCACGCAAGCGCGCCAGAGTTCCCGAGAAGACCTGGAAGGGTTCGTGCGGGCGCGGGCCAAAGAGGCCGCCGAAACTGGCAACAACTACCCGGACGAGGAGTTCAGCGGCCTGACGCTGGCCGAAGCGTTCCGGCGGGTAACGTTCCGGACGTAGCCGACAACCTGAGGAACGGCGCCGACTAAGGACTGTTCACACTAAAGCAGTGCACCGATGTTGAGCGCGTAAGAGATGAACCTCAGGAAAAGCACGTCGAGCTTCTCAAAGCGTGAGAAGATGCGGCGGAATCCCTTCAAGCGACGGAACAACCGCTCGATCTCATTCCGCCGCTGGTACATCTCTCGGTCATAGGTCCAGGGGTCGACACGGGTGCTCAGCGGTGGAACCACCGGCATGAACCCCAGGTCCAGGGCCAGTTGGCGGGTTTCATTGCCCTCGTAGGCGCGGTCCATCAACAGGAACGGTGGCGGGCGCTGCGGGCCAAGACGGGTCAGCGGCTTACGCCCTTCCGGTGCGTCATGGGCCTGGCCCGGAGAGAGCGAGAACGTTATGGCAGTTCGAGCATCCGCGGCAACCATATGAATCGTGGTGGTCCAGCCGCCTCGGGACCTGCCGATGGACTGGGGCCCGTTTTGTTGAGCGCACCCGTGCCGTCCGGGTGGACCTTGACCATGGTGCTGTCCATCGCTACCGCTTCAATTTTGATGCGCACGATCTGTTCCCGCTGCAAGTGTTCAAACACGCGGTCGAGCACGCCATTCTTCGACCAGCGGTTCATCCTGGTGTAGACGGTATGCCAATTACCAAATCGGGCCGGCAACCCCCGCCACGTGCAGCCGTGCTCGACGACGTACAGAATCGCGTTGAGCACCTGCAAGTTGGACAGTTTGACGTTGCCTCGCTGAATGGGAAGGACCGAGGCAATACTTTCGTACTGAGCTTGTGTAATCTCCATGCGGAGATAATATCATCTCCGCATCGCTAGTGTGAACAGTCCCTAGACCGGAGCGCGCTGAGTGTGCCAGTCAGTGGCCTCCTGATAGGCGTAGGCGGCCCGCAGGATGGTCCCCTCGGCGAAGGGCGCTCCGCCAACCTGAACGCCGATGGGGAGGCCGTCTTCCGTGAAGCCTCCGGGGATAGACACGGCCGGCATTCCGGCCAGCGGATAGCAACCGGTGTACGAACGGCGGAAGAAGAACCGTTGCCGCACATCATCGGCCGACTCGAACGGAGCGGTCAGGGCATCGTGCCGGGGCGCCGGATATGGAGCCGTGGGGGACACGAGCAGGTCGACCTCCCGAAAGGCTTCCTCGAACTGGAGCCGGAGCAGGACTCGAGCCTTCATAGCCCTATTCTGAACCTTGGCCGGCACCAGGGAGGCGCTTTGAAGGCGCGTGCGCGAAGCCCGGTCCAATAGTTCGGGGGCTCGCCGCATCAGCCCATCGCGGGCGCCGGCGCCCTCGGTGTCGGCGATGCCCACGAAGATCGCTCCAGCGATTTCCGTGAGCGGAAGGGAAACCTCGGTGATTTCCGCTCCCAAACCGGCGAGGGTTTCCAGGACGGCATCCGTGGCGCGCCGCACGTCCGGGTGCATGTCGGGCGCGTCGCACAACTCGGTCATGCGACCAATCTTCATGCCACGTATGTCGCCATCGAGCATGCCGCGATAGTCGGGAACCGGTCGCCGACTGGTGGTGGGATCCATAGGATCGTAGCCAGAGACCGTCCCCAGAACCCGCGCGCAATCCTCCACGGTCTTGGTCATGGGCGATGCAGCATCCATGAACCAGCACATGGGGGTGATGCCGTGACGGCTGATGCGCGTGAACGTCGGGCGAAGTCCGACGGCGTTGCAGTACGAAGCCGGTCCGCGCCCACTGCCGCCGGTATCCTCCCCGACTGACGCGGCACAGAGATGAGCCGCCAACGCGGCTCCCGACCCGCTGCTCGACTCACCGGGGGTGTGTCCGCGACGCCAGGGATTGTGGGGGGTACCGTACGGGGGATCGGCGGTTCCGCCCATGGCCAGCTCGCTGAGGTTGAGCTTGCCGAGCAGGATGGCCCCGGCGGACTTGAGACGGCTGACAACCGTGGCGTCCTCGGCCGGCACATGGTCCGCGTAGGCACGGGAGCCGTTGCTGGTTAGGATGCCCTCAGTGTTGAACTGGTCCTTGATGGCCATGGGGACACCGAACAGGGCGCCATTCGTGGCAGAATCATCACCGCGACGCAACGCTTCATCAACGTCCGCGGCGGCGCCCAGAGCCTCCTCACGGCACACGGTGATGTAGGACTTGATCTCGCCATCAATGGCATCGATGCGGCGCAGGTAGGCGTTGACCGCATCGGTGGCGGTGAAATCCCCGCTGCGGATGGCGTCCGAGGTCGCTTCAGCAGAAAGAAAGACGATGTCGTCGTGGGTATGGGACGAGGTCATGGTGCAGCTCCGGCGGTTTGGCCTGTCTGGATAACGGAGTATTCCCGATTGATGATTTCCTGGAAAGATGGGGACAGATCATGCCAGTCGAGTACATCGACGCGGTAGGGTAGAGTTGAATCCTGGAACGCTTCAATGAGACGTTCGACGTTCTGCCAACCCAAAGAGGATGGCCCGGCCACTGCCAGGTCGAGGTCAGACCACGGCTTGGCCAAGCCTTTAACCCGAGAGCCGAAGGCTCGGACTTCCCATCCGGGAACGAACTCCTCCAGTATTTCTCTGATTTCGGCCAGTTGCTCCGGCTTCACGTCAATCATTGCGAGCCTCCAACGCCGCGAGCAGCAGTTGAGAGTCCTCCAGGAAGGCCGGTATCACCGCATAAACTTCGTTGGCTGTGGTTTCCCGGTAAGTGTGAGACGTCCGGTTACGCGCCTGGTGATAGCGCATCCACCGGTCGACGTCGTCTATCAGGCGATTTTCCGCGCCCAGCCTGAAGAGCTCGCGCCGGGTAACACCGTCTCCCGTGTTCGGGCTGACGTTGGTCTCCAGCCACCGCTTGATGAACAACCACGAGGGTTCGTAGGTTAACTCGAAATGCTTGATGACTCCGGACCGGATCACAGTGCGCAGCGTATCCGCCAAGCCGTCCATCAGGGTCGCATCCTCGCTATGCTCCAAGGCTTGCCGGAGGCTGATGGTAGCATTCCGCAGGCTGCTTAGATCCAGGGATATGGGGGCCAAACCGGATACATCCAAATGCCCGGTTTCAGCCTCCTTCGGCATCGGGAAAGCCTGGGTCTGGAAAGATGGTGACGGGCTCCAGGCCCTCCAGGTCCATGTGACGCAGTAGGTCAAGTTCCTGCATCAGGCTGGCAAACCGGTTTGCCACCTCGGGCAGATCGGCGTCGTCGATGGGTATGCCGACCAGGTCCGCCATCTTGCGTACCTGTTCAGCGCTCAAATCGGGGTTGGTCATGGCGTGATACTTCCTTTGAGGATGCTGAGTCAAACGAGCAACGGCTCTCATGCAACCTGGCTGCGATGGCGCCGGGTGCCGCTCATCAGAGCCAACGCCGGAACCAGTCCAGCATGCGCTCCAGGTATTCCTGCCGCAACGCGACGTGCCCCGTCCGTAGAAACCCGTGGCCGCAGCCGGGGAAGCGAACCATCTCGACCTCTTTGCCCAGCCGCTTCATAACCTGGAAATACTGCTCGCTCTGTCCGATGGGACACCTGGCGTCGGATTCTCCGTGGAGGAGGAGGACCGGGGTTTCGACCTGAGGAGCGAACTTGATGGGCGACCGTTGGAGCAAGCGAAATGCCAGAGTGTCCACACCCTGTGCCAGCTCACCGGCCAGAGGGCGGCTGATGGGCATGCCGCCGGCCAGGCGGATGGCCCACTGGGTCTCGCCGAAGCTGGTGGCGATGTCGGATGTGCCGTACATAGTCCAGAGGTCGATGCACGGCGCGCCAGCCACGGCGGCGCGGAAACGGTCGGTGTGGCCGATCATCCAGGTGGTCATGTAACCGCCGTAGCTGTAGCCATGAACACCCAGCCGGTCGTTGTCCACGTAGTCTCGCTGGCACACCGCATCCACGGCCGCCATCAAGTCGCTATAGTCGTCGCCGCCCCAATCTCCGAGGACCGCGTTGACGAATTCCTCGCCGTAGGTTGACGAACCCCGGGGGTTCACGGCGAGGGTCAGGAAGCCAGTGCCGGCCAACACCTGATGCCACGGCACGAAAGAATCGTAGAATGCCCCGTTGGGACCACCGTGAATCTCGAGCACCAAGGGGTAACGCTTTGCCGGATCGAAGCCGGGCGGATAGTACAAGCGGCACTCGATGTCCCAGTCTTCCCGCTGCAGGACAAACTTCTCCATCAGCACGGGTGGATGCTGAGCCAGCCAACCGTCGTTATGATCAGTGAGCCGACGCCGGCTTGACTGATCCGTCCCGGCAGAGCGCTCAATCAGGTAAGCGTCGGACGGGTTCGTCGGGTCCGAGCCGGTGACCACCAAGCGCTTTGCCGCACTATCCATCGCGACGCCCGAAAGGAGCTCGCCTCCCGCGGTAATAGCAGTGGGAACGGCGGCGCATTCCGGTGCTATGGCGACCTCATAAAGCCTGGTTTCACCTTCAGAGTCGCCCAGGAAGACAATCCGCTCGTCGTCACCGTCGCCATCCAGCCACCGCAGTTCGAGAGGAGGGGAAAATACCCGGGTAACCCAGGCACGGGCGGAGGCTGTCGCCGGTCAGTTGGCGCGGAGGGCAACCCAGCTCCAGCACGTACAGATATGCCTGCCAAAGCACCATGAGCCCGTCGCCGGACCCACCCGCAGCCAGCAGCCGGCGACCGTCGGGCGCCCAGGAGACGGCGGCAACGTCGGTCAAATCCCGCGACCACAGTTCGGGTTCGGGTGCTTCGCCGTCTGGGTCGACTCCATCCGGAACCTCGACCACGTAGATTTCGTTGGTGGCAGTGACGTCCCTGGAGCCGGAGCGACCGGAGATGAACGCCAGGCGACGACCGTCAGGCGACCACGAGGGAGCCATGTCGTCCCAGTCTCCGTCAGTCAACTGAACGCAAGCGGCGGTGGAGGCGTCGACGAGAAACAGGTGAAAATGGCTGTCCCCGCGCCAGCCGATGGCGTCGTGACGGTAGCGGATGCGATGCACTTCCCTGGTGGTGGGCAAGTCCGGCTTTTCGGGATGATCCTCCGGTGACACGTCCGACACCACTGCCAACCGGGACGAATCGGAGCCCAGGCGAACTCCCTGACGCCGCCGGGCATGTCAGTCAGCGGGGCGGCTTCGCCGCCGCCCGGCGGGCATCAACCAAACCTGGCGCGTAGAATCCCGTGTGGCCCGCGCCGGCTCGCAGGAACGCCAGGATTGCTCCGTCGGGAGAGAAGCGGGGATGCCCGTCGTTGTTGCCTTGGGTAAACGGCTGCGGCCTCCCGTCTCCGTTCGAGGAGTCCAACGCCACCTGGTATATGCGCGCCCGCGGTTCCGAGGTATCGTCGTCGATCCATGAGAGCACATAAACGCATTTGCTCCCGTCGGGGGAGACTGTCGGGTCGCCCACGGTTTTCAGGCGACGGAAGAGGTCTGGGCCAATGAGTTCAGTCATAGGGGCAGTCTGCCAGTTTGGCGAGCACAACGCCAGTCATGGATTGGCGCGTATTCTACCGCATTGACGGCATCAAACCAGCCAGGAAGACCTACCGGGAATCAGGGGTGTGACGCGCTCACCATCGACGCGTCGAATCGGGATATCCGGCGCGGCTTTCGTGCGGTAAAGCCGCGCACCCGTTATGCTAGAATTGTTCTGCCCGTTCAGCCATCGAATTATGGAGGGTTACCGTGCCCGAGCGCATCTTGATAGGTGTCGCGTGGCCTTACGCCAACGGCCCGCTACACATGGGACACATCGCCGGCTGCTACCTGGCCGCTGATATTTTCGCCCGCTATCACCGCATGAAGGGCAACGAAGTGCTGATGGTGTCGGGTTCCGACGCGCACGGCACGCCCATAACCATCCGCGCCGACCAGGAAGGGGTGGAGCCGCAGGAAGTGCTTGAGCGGTACCACGAGCAGTTCCTGGACACCTGGAAACGGTTGGGAATTTCATTCGACCTGTTCACCTCGACGCACACGGCGAACCACCAGGAGGTGGTGCAGGACTTTTTCCTGCGATTGAAAGAACAGGGCTACATCTACCCCGACACGATGCTGCTGGCCTACTGCGCCGGCTGCGATAGGTACCTGCCCGACCGGTACGTGGAAGGCACGTGTCCGCACTGCCGGAACGAGCGAGCCCGTGGCGACCAGTGCGACAACTGTGGCCACACGCTGGACCCCATCGAACTGGTGGATCCGTTCTGTAGCATCTGCAGGGACACACCCTCGTTCCGCGATTCGGAGCACTTCTTCCTCAAGTTGTCCGCTTTCCAGGAACCGTTGCTGGACTGGGTCAATCAGCAGCCACACTGGCGGCCGAACGTAGCCAACTCGACGCGGAGCTTCCTGCAGGGGGGCCTGAAAGACCGGGCGATCACCCGCGACCTGACGTGGGGCGTTCCCGTGCCGCTGGAAGGGTACGATGACAAACGCATCTACGTGTGGTTCGAAGCGGTGATCGGCTATCTTTCGGCGGCCGTGGAATGGGCCTCGCGCAGCGGACGCACGGATGCATGGACGGACTACTGGAAGGGCGGGAACGCGCGGGCGTATTACTTCATCGGCAAGGACAACATTCCCTTCCACAGCATCATCTGGCCGGCGATGCTGATGGGGTACGGCGGTCTGAACCTCCCCTACGACGTGCCGGCCAACGAGTTCCTGAGCCTGGAGAGCCGCAAGTTTTCGACCAGCCAGAACTGGGCGATCTGGGTGCCCGACTACCTTGACCGGTATGACCCGGACCCGCTGCGCTACCTGCTGTCGATCAACATGCCGGAAACGGGAGATACCGATTTTACCTGGAGCGAGTTCGTGCGGAGGAACAACGACGAGCTCGTGGCGACCTACGGCAACCTGGTGAACCGGGTGCTGCGGTTCACCTACCGGAACTTCGACGGCCAAGTTCCAGTGGACGCCGCCGCTCCGGAGGACGCGGAACGCGCGCTACTACAATCAACGCGAGACGCGATGGCAGCCGTGGACGACAGCCTGGCCCACACGCGATTCCGCGCCGGCGTATCTCAAGCATTCGGCTTGGCGCAGGAGTGCAATCGCTACCTGGACGGGCGCGCGCCCTGGCAAGCGATCAAGACGGACCGGGCCGATGCCGCCCGCGCCCTCGGCACCACGATCCAGGCGCTGAACTGCCTCAAGGTCATGCTGGCACCGTACCTGCCGTTCAGCAGCCAGAAGCTCCACGAATTCCTGGGTTTCGACGGCGACGTGACCAATGAGCCGTGGAACAGCGACGCACTGATCACGGCCATCAAGCCCGGCGGCTTCCTGCGGAACCCGTCGAATCTTTACGCCAAGCTGGACGACAACGTGGCCGAGCAAGAAGCCGCGGAGCTCGGCGTTTCCGTCTAACGGCCCGGAACACGAAGGAGACCCCGTGCAGCCCGGGCTAGACCTGCAAACCGTATCGATCTACGCTCCGGTGGTCGACAAACTGGCCTTGGTGGAAGAGCAGCTGCACGAGCTGTGCCAGACGGACATCGCCGACCTCGACCCTTTGCTGGACTACGCCCTCCGGTCGGGAGGAAAGAGAGTCCGCCCGGCGCTGACCCTGCTGGCGTCAGAATTTTACGAAGACGACCAAAAACGTTCGCAGATCATGGCGGCAGCGGTGGAGCTGCTGCACCTGGCCACCTTGATCCACGATGACACCGTGGACAACGCCGGCATGAGGCGCGGCAAGCCGACCATCAACAAGCTGTACGGCAACCACGTCGCCGTGCTGCTGGGAGACTACCTGTTCGCCACGTCCGCCACATTCGTCTGCGATACCGGAGTGATCCGCGTCATTCGCCGGTTCTCGGAAACGATCATGGAACTGGCCAGCGGGCAGTTGATCGAGTTTTTCACAACCTTCGACCCTTCGAAGGCCCGCAGGTTGTACGACGAACGCATCTACCGGAAAACGGCTTCCCTGTTCTGCACCTCCGCCGAATCCGGAGCGGTACTGAGCGGAGCGCCAGAGCACCAGGTGCAGGCACTGCGCAGGTACGGATACAACGTGGGCATGGCGTTCCAGATCGTTGACGACCTGCTCGACATCCAGGGTGATGCCAGCGAAATCGGCAAGCCCGTGGGCAACGACCTGCTGCAGGGAGTGCTGACGCTGCCCACTATCATGTTGATGGAAAGGTATCCCGAGGACAACCCGATAGACAGGCTTTTCACGTCGATAACCGACGGCGGTCCCGACGTCGATCACCTGTTGCAGAAATCGCTGGACATGATTAACGGTTCCGGCATTGTGCCCGACTGCTTTGCGGTAATTCGAGACTACTGCTCGGAAGCTGCGGCGGCCCTGGAAGAACTGCCGGACTGCCCGCCACGGCGCTCGCTGCTGGAAATGGTGGACTACATCCGCGAGAGGTCGCGCTAGGGACGGCAGCCGAGGCAGGCGGTCCGCGAAAGGGTCGGCGCCGCTTCCCGGTGTGGTGAATCGGGCTACCCGTCACCGGACATCCCGGCGACGCATTCGAGCGTTCCATCCCGTATAGTTACGGCGGGCGCAACGCGACGACGCCGTTCCAAATCCAGGCAAGCTGACGGAGCAAAACCATGACCTCACCCGCCAACCTCGAATCGAGCCTGCAACCGCTGCCGCTGCAGGGGTTACGCGTACTGGATGCCACGCACATCGTGGCCGGGCCGTTTTGCGCGATGATCCTGGCGGACATGGGCGCAGAGGTGATCAAGATCGAAAGGCCGGGCAGCGGAGACCGTGCCCGCGAGAACGATCCTTTCGTGGAAGGCCCGGACGGTTCACAAGTGAGCGCCAGGTACTTGGGCGTGAACCGAAACAAGAAAAGTGTTGCGCTGGATCTGCGGGATCCGGTGGGCAAACGAGCATTCGAAAACATGGTGCGCGTTTCGGACGTCCTGCTGGACAACTGGGGCCCGGGCGCAATGAGCCGCCTGGGGTTCAGCTATGAACGGCTGAGCGAGATCAACGCCGGCCTGGTATACGCCAGCATCAGCGGGTACGGGGACAGCGACGGATTGCGCGGGCCCTACTCCAACTGGCCGGCGAACAACCCGTGCGTGCAGGGCATGGGCGGGTGGATGGTGACCACCGGGACGCCCGACAGCGGGCCGCAAATGGTGGGCGACAACATGGGTGATTCAGTGCCGGGAGTCTGGACGGCGCTGGGGGTGATGTTGGCGCTAGAATCGCGGCGGAAGACCGGACTGGGGCAGCATGTGGACATGGCAATGTATGACTGCATGGCGGCCCATACCACGAGCAGCATGCCGCTGTTCCAATCCACGGGCCAGGTGACGACCACGGCCCGGGAGAACATGTTCTCGGCGCAACTGACCCTGCGCGCGTCGGATGGCTACGTGGTGCTGGCCGGGGCCGGCAACGCGGACGACAAGTGGACGGCGATGTGGAACCTGGCCGGCCGGCCGGAGCTGGCGGCAGACCCGCGGTACCTGGGCCGGGGAGTAACGGGGCCGTTCTACATCAGTCACATCGTGCCCGCCATTGAGGAATGGTCCCAGAATATCCCGAAACGGGAGCTGAACCAGCACCTTCTGGATTGCGGGTTTTCCATGGGCATCGTGCAGGATGCGGCGGACCTGGACAGCTGCCCGCACCTGGCAAGCAGGAACATGTTCGTGGATAGCGGCGACACCTACGGTGGGTCATTCCGCACGGTCAACACCCCGGTGCAGCTCACGGGATGCGTCGATACGCCGGTAATTCCGCCGCCGACGCTGGGTGAACACAACCACGACGTGCTGTGCACCATTGGCGGGTTGACGGCGGAAGAAGTGATCCGGCTGGAAGCAGAAGGCAAAGCCTGACGAGCTGAGCGGGATGCATCGGCACGCGACCGGACTTCCGGCGGCCGATGATAGAATGAACAGCAGACGCGCTTTCCGGGCCACCGGGCAGCGTGGTGCGGATCGTCCGCCGCCGGCGAAACGGGCACCGGCCGCACGCCCAGCCAAGGATCAACGCGGATCCTGGATCGTTTTGTACCCGCGACGAATGCCAATCCGATCATAATTCGCTCGGCCAATACCGAAGGAGCGTTGACAACACCATGCCCACCTTTCAGGCCCCCCGGGGTACCGCCGACCGCCTGCCCGAAGAGCAAAAATACTGGCGCTACATCGAGTCGCACGCGACCAACGTGGCGCGCCGGTTCGGTTACGGCAGGATCGACAGCCCAATGTTCGAGGACGCGCGGCTTTTCGTGCGCGGCGTTGGCGAAGGGACGGACATCGTCGAAAAGGAGATGTACGTCTTCGAGGACCGCGGCGGCGACCAGCTCACCCTCCGGGCGGAAGGCACGGCCCCGGTTTGCCGGGCGTACCTGGAACACGGGATGCACAATCAGGCGCAACCCGTGCGGATGTACTACCTGTGCCCGGTGTTCCGCTACGAACGGCCGCAAGCCGGCCGCTTCCGCCAGCACCACCAGTTCGGCGTGGAAGCCATCGGCGACGGCGACCCGTCGGTGGACGCGGAAGTGATCGAGTTGGCGTGGACGTTCATGCACAACATCGGCCTATCCGATATCACGCTGCTGACCAACAGCATCGGCGACGGGCAGTGCCGCCCGGATTACATCGCCGCCCTGAAGTCCTATTACCAGAAGCAGACCAGCAACCTGTGCCCGGACTGCCGGCAGAGGCTGGAGCGCAATCCTCTGAGACTGCTGGACTGCAAGGTGGAGACGTGCCGTGCGCTGGGGGAAGAAGCGCCGAAGTCCGTGGAGTGTCTCTGCGCAGAATGCCAGACCCACTGGGATCGGGTCCGCTCGTACCTGGACGCTGCCGGAATCCCCAACCGGGTGGACCACCGGCTGGTGAGGGGGTTGGACTATTACACGCGCACCGTGTTCGAGATCCAGCCGGCGGTTGAAGGCGCGCAGTCGACGATTTGCGGGGGCGGGCGGTATGACGCCTTGATCGAGCAGTTGGGCGGACGGCCCACGCCCGGCATCGGGTTCGGCAGCGGCATTGAACGCCTGGCGCTCAACCTGCGACGCGCTGAAACCCCGGTTCCCGATGAACCGTCGCCGCGCTACCTGATTACAACCATCGGAGAGGACGCCCGCATCGAGGGGGTGCGCCTGGCGAGCCGAATGCGCAACGGGGGTGTCGGTGCGATTCTTGCGAACGGCGGCCGGGCGTTGCGGGGGCAAATGCGGCAGGCCAACGCGCTGGGGATAGCCTCCACAGTGATCATCGGCGAAGATGAGGTCAGGGACGGAACGGTGGTGGTCCGGGACATGCAGACCTCCAGCCAAGAGACGATTCCCGTCGAGCAGTTCCTCCGGCAGGCAAACGGCGGATAACAATTCGACGTAAACTCGCAAGTCAGGCCGGCCGTAACGCCGGCCTTTTGTATTGTCAGTCGGCAAAACAATTGGAACAAACATCCGAAAATCTGACGGCTCAGGCATTGACACAGAACAGACGTTTGTTAGAACATGTGCTCAACACAAATGCGCTGCAACCAGCGCGACAGGAGCCGAAATGAGCACCGATACCCGCAACAGTGTCATCAACGCCACCCACGCCGTAGCCACCGCCCGGATCCCGGCGGGCGGGCGACGGATATCCTACCGAGGGTACCTGATCCATGGCGAGGTGCCGTCGATTTGCTACGTGATCTACGGGCGCAACGGGTTCGGCCAACTGACCGAACTCGGCGCGACGCGCAGTTTCGCCGATGCGATGGGTTGGATCGACAAGCACATAGCCAACATGCAAGGAATGATCCCGGCGGGCATCGGGCACACGAGCACACCGCCGGCGCGCGACACGCTTGGCGCAGCCGCCTGAGCGCTTCAGTTAATACTATGGACCGGCCGGAGCGGATCATCGCCTATCGCCGGGTGGTGGATTTGACGCACCCAATCAAGCCGGGCATCCCCACCTGGCCGGGCGATCCGCCGGTTCAATTCGAAACAACGGCCACCATCCAGGATCACGGTTATTGCCTGCGCCGGTTCAGTATGGGCGAGCACAGCGGGACCCATATATCGACACCGTCAGCGTTTTGGGATATAGGTCCCGGGCCGGACGGCATTGCACCCGAGGCCCTGGTCGTTCCCGCCGTAGTTATGGATTCAAGGGGTCGGGCAGCACAGGACCCGGATTACGCGCTAACAGTGGATGATCTTGCAGAATGGGAGCGCCGCTACGGTGAGATCCCAGCCGGGTCGATTACTCTGCTGCTGACCGGGTGGAGCCGCTATTGGGACGAACCGGAACAGTTCATCAATCTGGCGTCCGATGGGCTGATGCACACGCCGGGGTTCGCAAACGAGGCGGCACAGTTGCTGATGGACACCCGTGAGGCGTCCGGGATCGGGACAGATACGCACGGCGTAGACCCCGGGGCAGAGGTCGGACTCGAAGTCAGCCGGACGGTTTCGCACCGGGGCGGCATGATCCTGGAATGCCTGAACAACCTGGAACGGTTACCGGCCACCGGCGCGACCCTGGTCATCGGGCGGCTGCCCCTGGTCGGCGGGAGCGGGAGCCCGGCATCGGTACTGGCGCTGACGCCGTGACCGACATGGAAAATCCGCCCGCGAGGCTGTGGCGCGCTGGCGGCGCGCCTGGCCGCGGACGGATTCCGGGTTCGACGGGTGAGTACCTGGTTTACAGGGCCGCCGCTCCCGCCGCGGAGCACTGTTCGTCTTCCTGGCTGGTGCCGCCGCCGACACCGCAGGCTCCGACGACCGCGCCGCCCTGCACGATGGGCACCGCGCCCTGACCGAAGATCATCTCGGAGCCGGAGCGCTCCCGGATACCCGCCGGCGTGGGAGCCGTGGCCCGGTCCTGCATCTCACCGCTGGGCCGTCCGAAAGCCGCCGACGCGACCGCCTTGCCCTGGCAGCCGTAGGCCGACGCCCAAATCGCCCCGTCCATGCGCTGCAAGCCGATGAGTCGACCTCCGGCGTCCACGACGGCCACGCTGATTTTGATGTTCAGTTCCTCAGCCTGCGAGATGGCCGCCGCCATGATCCGGTTGCTGTCCGCGAGTGTCAATGCCATTGTTTGCCTCCTGTATGCAATCGGCCTGTGGCCGCTGTTCAATGCACCATCATAGATGCCCACCGAGTACCCGGCAACAATTTCAAGCACCAGCGTGGCCAGTCAATTTGGGGCGAATGCTATACTATTCGCACAAACCTCCCCTGAACGCATCCGCCCGTTGTGCTTACCCGCCGCATCATACCTTGCCTGGACGTCGACGCTGGCCGCGTCGTTAAGGGCACGAGTTTCGTCAACCTGCGCGACGCCGGCGACCCGGCGGAGCTCGCGGCCCGTTACGACCTCGAAGGCGCGGACGAGTTGGTTTTCCTGGACATCACCGCGAGCAGTGATTCCCGCAATACCATGGTCGACGTGGTTCGCAGCGTTTCCGAGCAGGTGTTCATACCGCTCACAGTGGGAGGCGGCATTCGATCCCTCGAGGACGTGCGGCGCATGCTCAACGCCGGGGCCGACAAGGTGTCGGTCAATACCGCCGCGATCAACACGCCCGAGTTGGTGTCGCAAGGAGCGGGACAGTTCGGGAGCCAGTGCATCGTCACCGCCATCGATGCCCGTCGAGTCGAGCCTGGCGAAGAGTTCCCGGCGCCAAAAGACCCATCGCTGGCGGTTGACCTGAATTCGGGGTGGCAGGTCTTCACGCACGGCGGCCGGAACCCAACCGGGTTGGACGCCGTCAAATGGGCGCGGCGGACGGTCGCTCTGGGTTCAGGAGAGATCCTGCTTACCAGCATGGACGAAGACGGACAGCAAGACGGGTATGACCTGCCCTTGACCCGAGCCATATCACGCGCCGTTCCGGTTCCGGTGATAGCCAGCGGAGGGGCCGGAACCCTGGAGCACCTGCACCACGCCTTTACCGACGGTGAGGCAGACGCGGTGCTGGCTGCCAGCATCTTCCACTTCGGAACCTACTCCATCGCCCAAGCCAAGGAATACCTCGCCGCCTGCGGCGTTCCGATGAGAATCTGACCCCCGCCGAGCACGAACGGTAAGGAACCTGATGAGCGCCATCACCACGGTAATATTCGACATGTTCAACACGATAGCGCAGGACGGGGCCGACCTGTGGCAGCGGACGTTCGCTGCCATCATCGAGGAGCAACAACTCAACACCACGCCGGAAGAGTTACGGCACGCGTGGGACTATGGGGCGGGCAATTTCCGGGATCGGCGAACCGCGCCGGGAGCACCGTTCATTTCGTACCTGGACGGCTGGGCTCACGCGTTTGCCACGGCGTTCACCGAGCTGAATGTGCCGGGGGATGCGATGGCAGCCTCACAGAGATCCATCGATGACCTGGGCACACGGCCGCTGTTCCCCGAGGCGGTGGATGCGTTGTCGATCCTGAGCCAAACTCACCAACTGGCGGTGATATCAAATGCTGACGACGCATATCTGGACCCCGTAGCGGCGCGCATACCCACGAATCTGGGGGCCGTCATCTCGTCAGAGGCCGTGCAATGCTACAAGCCCGACCGACGGCTGTTCGACGCGGCGGTTGAGCGGCTCAAGGTGCAGCCTGCAGAATGCGCCTACGTGGGTGACCGCCAATTCGAGGATGTCATGGGATCGCGGGCGGTGGGAATGGCGGCGATATGGATCAACCGGTCCGGTCACGCCGCGGATCCTGACCTGCCCACGCCGGACGCGGAGATCCGTGACCTGCTGGAATTGCCTGACATCCTGGCGAAAATCGGCCAGGAAATGCCCCATGGAGGAACGAATGAGCGAGGTTAAGCTGGACGACAAAGGGTTGGTACCCGCCATCGCGCAGGACATCAACACGGGCCAGGTGTTGATGCTGGGCTACATGAACCCAGGCTCGCTCAAGCGGACGGTGGAAGGCACCCAGGTGTGGTTTTACAGCCGCAGCCAGGAAGACCTGTGGCACAAGGGCGAGGTGTCCGGGAACTACCTCAACCTACGCGAGTGGTACGTCGATTGCGACGCGGACACCATCCTGCTCAAGGTGGACCCGGACGGCCCCGCGTGTCACACGGGCGAAGTGTCGTGTTTCTACACCAGGATGGATGACCTGCCTGACGAGTACACGAACACCGAGGGTGGCCCCCGGGTGCTGGACGAGCTATTCGCGGTTATCAAGGACCGGCAGAGGGAAATGCCCGAGGGCAGTTACACCGCCAAGCTGCTGTCTGAGGGCCCCAGCCGGGTGGGCCAGAAGGTGATCGAAGAAGCCGGCGAGGCCGCGCTTGCGGCGGCGACGGGCGAAACGGACAACCTGCCGGCAGAGATTGCCGACCTGCTGTACCACACGCTGACGCTGATGGCTTCCGTTGGCGTTTCGCCGAACGCGGTTTGGGAGGAGTTGCGGGCCCGGCGAGGCTAGGAAACCGGGCCGCTGGCCTTCAAGCCAGGCACCGTTTCCCCGGCGGCGTACCGGCGCCATTGGCCGGAGCGATATACGGTGACGTTACCGGCGCCCAGCGCAGTGGCGCCGTCAGGATCAAGGAGCACCCCGGAGCCGCCGTCGATGCCCAGGACAGTGAGGCCGAAGGTCGCCGAACCAGCGAGCTGACCGGTGACAGCGTGAGGGTCACTCCTCTCGTGATGGGGGAGCACCATCACGTCGGGGACGATGTTCAGTGCCGGTGATACCGGGGAGCCCGATGACGGGCGGCGCATCACCGATCCAAGAACCATGGCGCCGGCGCTGGAGCCGGCCCAGATCGCGCCGCCGTCGCACGCGGCGGCGACGGCCTCCAACAAGGGTGACGCCGCGAGCACCGAGTGCAGGTGTTCCGGGTTGCCGCCGGTGAAGTAGATGACATCAGCGCCGTCGAGTTGCGCCACGACACGGGGGTTTTCGGCGTCTTCGCGGCGAACCACATCCACACTGAACGCTGAGGCTCCCAAGCCTGCGAAGTGGCGCACACCATTGGCCGCCGCGACGCCGGGGTTCTCAAAGGCGGCAGCCGTTGGTACGATGGCAACCCGGGGGTTCGACTTTCCGGTCAACCCGAGGATGTAGCCGTCCATGCCGGCGCCAGACGCTCGGAACTCTTCGCCCCCGACCAATAGGATCCGCCTCTCCACCGTTTCGTGCCTCCGCTCCCAGCGTAATTTTATGCCCCAGGAGAACTGCGATGTTCGAGTTTATACATCACGTCCGAATCCTTGTCCACGACGCCGACGCCATGGCGGAGTACATCGAGGAAAACTTCGGCATGACGCCGGTGAAGATCGAGGTCTTCCCCGCGCGGGGAATGAAAAACGCCGTTTACCGAGTGGGCCAGACCAACGTGGAATTCACCGAGCCGCTGGATCCCTGATTCGGCCATGGGCCAATACCTGGAGACCTTCGGCCCGGGTCCCTACCACATGGCCTTTGGCGTATCTGACATCGCCGATAAGGCCGCCACCCTGGCGGGCAAGGGGAACGAAATGCGCGGCGAAAACGGCATGTCCCAGAGCGCGGAGGGATACCTGACCGCCAACATCGCCGCAACCAGCGGCTTGGGCTATCCCTTCCAAATCGCAGAAGGGTAACGGTCTTCAGGCCAGGGGCGCCTGGCGCCGCGTCCCCTTCTGGGCGCTTTAGCCACCGGAACGCCCGGAACCGGATCTGCGACGCCGTGCCGTAATGCGGCACGGGCGTTTGTTGGGGACGAGGGCGGTTTTCCCGAAACCGGTATCCGCGTTCGCGGTGACCGTTACCGGGACGCGCAATCGGCCCGGATGCTACCATGTACAATCCACCGCAATCTTTTCCCCAGTTGGATGACCATCATGCTAGTGAAAGACGCCGTAGCCGCAATTGTCGCCGCCGCACTGGAGCAGGCCAACCGCGACGGGGTGATCAATGTCGACGCCGCGCCTGACATCGAGATCGAGCGGCCGAATAACCCGGAGCACGGGGATTTCGCCACCAACCTGCCGTTGCGCCTGGCGCGAGCGGCACGAGCGAACCCGATGCAATTGGCGCAACTGATCGCGGAACGCATCCAACCTGGTTCCGAAATCGGCAGCCTGGAACCGGCGCCCCCCGGTTTCATCAACTTCAAGCTGAGCGACGAATGGCTTCAGCAGCAGGTTGAGGCGGTTCTCGCTGCGGGCGACGGGTTCGGCGCGGCGGATGTGGGCAACGGACGCAAGGTGATGGTCGAGTTCGTGAGCGTCAACCCAACGGGTCCGGTCCATGTGGGGCACACTCGGGGAGCGGTGCTGGGCAGCGCCCTGGCCAACACGATGCAGGCGGCCGGGTACGAGGTCACTCGGGAGTATTACATCAACGACGCCGGTTCCCAAATGGAGGCGTTTTACCGCTCGGTGTGGACCCGTTACCAGCAGGCCCTGGGCCGGGAAGCCCAGATGCCGGAGAACGGCTACCAGGGCGATTACATTGCCGAAATTGCCGCGGAAATCATCGAGGCCGAGGGCCCGGGCTTGTTGGAAATGCCGGAGCCGGCCTCCATTCGCCGGATCGGAGACATTGCGCGGGAGAAGATGGTTACCGTGATCCGGGATGACCTGGACGCCATCGGAGTGAATTTCGACAACTGGTTCAGCGAGCGCTGGCTCTTCCAGAACGACGACGCTCCCGCCAGCGACTATGACCGGGCGATATCCATGCTGCGCGACGGCGGTCACCTCGCGGAGCGGAGCGGGGCTCTCTGGTTCAATTCAATCGCCCTGGGTGATGACCGGGACAATGTGGTGGTGCGTTCCTCGGGTGAGCCCACGTATTTCGCGTCGGACATCGCCTACCACTACAACAAGTTCAGCGGGCGGGGGTTTGACCGGGTAATCGACATCTGGGGGGCGGACCACCAGGGCCATGTGCCCCGGATGAAAGCCGCGGTTTCAGCGCTGGGAGTGGAACCCGAAAACCTGACCGTGCTTATATCCCAGATGGTCACGCTGAAACGCGGGGACGAAACGGTGCGGGCGTCAAAAAGGACCGGCGATTTCGTCACGCTGCGAGAACTGGTTGACGAAGTGGGGATGGACGCCTGCCGGTACTTTTTCCTGGCGCGCGCGGCGTCGACTCAAATGGAATTCGACCTGGAGTTGGCGACCCGCGAGTCGTCGGAAAACCCGGTGTACTACGTGCAATACGCCCATGCGAGGAACGCCAGCATCCTGAGCCTCGCTGCCGAGCGTGGCATCGATTTTTCCGCCGGGGACGTTTCGCTGCTGACGCATCCCAATGAGCTCGCGCTGATCCGCACCATGCTCAGGCTGTCCGAGTTGATCGTGCAGGTGGCGGAGAATCTGGAACCACACCACCTGCCCCATTACGCGATGGAGTTGGCGACCGCGTTCCACCACTTTTACGAAAACTGCCGGGTGATTTCGGCTAACCCGGAAGACAACGAGTTGACGCTGGCCCGACTAAAGTTGGTGGGGGCGGCGCAGGTGGTGTTCCGACGGACGCTGACCCTTATGGGCATGTCTGCGCCGGAACGGATGGAACGTTAGACGACGTTCAGTTCGAGGAAGCGCGGAGATCAGGACTCTGGTCCGCCTTCGTGCGCCGGGTCAATAAAAGAAGGGCGCCAAAGGCGGGACAGAGCCGGTCCCGCCGTCCGGACGGTTGAGCCCTGACGCGAGCGGGAACGGTACGGGGCTCAGAATACTTTTGACCAGACGGAGCCAAAAAGTCGTTACGAAGTCAGCGTAAGCGTTGCCGAGCCAACGTTTTAGGTGTATATTGCGAGCCCTATGCTATCTGATTTCATAATCGCATCCGGGTTCTTAGCGGATGCCGTGCGCTCCTGTGATCTTTCGTAGTTTGGCGGCCAACACCCTGAGCGGGTGGCCGACCGATCGCATCGCAGGCAAAGGTCGATAATGGGCATACTCTGGCGCATCATCGGCATGGCCGCCGACTACCCCATCCGCCTGGCGCTGGCTTACATCACAGCACTGCTCGCAATCGGTTTCTCGCTGGCCATTCCCTGGCTATTCGGGAACGCCATCGACCTGATGGTTGGCCAGGACCCAAACACCAAAGGGTTCTTCGAGAAAGCTTTCTCTCTCCAGGCGCTGGCGGTTTTCGGTGTCGGTATCCTGGCGGTCAGCCTTGGTCGCGGGTTCTGCGACCTCGGCCGGACGTACACCACGGAATCGCTGTCGCAGAAGGTCTCGTTCGACTGCCGCAACCTGCTGTACGACAAGCTCCAGAACGTCAGCTTTGCGTTCCACGACAAGGAACACACCGGCGACCTGATGTCGCGCGCGACCGCCGACGTGGAGGCGATGCGCCGGTTCGTAAACATGGGCATGATCCGCTCGCTGGACGTGGTCATCCGTATCCTGGCCATTCCCATCATTCTGGTCCTGGTTCACTGGCAGTTGGCGCTGGTCAGCATGATATTCGTGCCGGCCATCGTCCTGCGGTCGTCTTTCGTGATGCGCTCCCTGCGCCGCAAGTGGCTGCACGTCCAGGAAGTGATGGGTCAATCAGTCACGGTGCTCCAGGAAAACTTTGGCCGGCATGCATGTCGTCAAAGCCTTCGCTTCCGAAGACTACGAGCGGGTCAAATACAATCGCAAAGCCGAAGAACTGCGCGTTGAGTACTACGACGCGGAACGGATGCAGGGCACCAACAGCGCGTGGATGACCCTGTACTTCACCTTCGCCCTTGGCATCATCCTCTGGATCGGTGGTTGGCTGGTGATTCGAGGCGACCTCACGCTGGGCCAACTGGCGATGTTCTTCCTCTACCTGAACCAGCTTACGTTCCCCGTTCGCATGTCCGCCCAGATCATCAACACCTTTTCGCGGGCGATTTCGTCCGGACAGCGGCTCTTCACCGTTCTGGACACGGTATCCCCGGTCTCGGAGCGATCCAACGCGGCTGACATGGGCCGGGCCACCGGCCACGTGAAATTTGAGAACGTAGCGTTCTCCTACGAAGACCGGTCTCCCGCCCTGCGCCAGGTTGACCTGGACGCCAAGCCCGGTCAGGTGACCGCGATACTGGGGGCGCCGGGCAGCGGCAAGACCACCGTGGTCAGCTTGTTGCCCCGTTTCTACGACGTGACCTCCGGAAAGATCACCATCGACGGCTCCGACATCCGGGACTTTACGCTCCAGTCGCTGCGGCACAACGTGGGCATCGTCCACCAGGACGTGTACCTCTTCAGCGCCAGCATCCGAGACAACATCTCCTACGGCGTCGTGGGCGCCACCCAGGAAGACGTGGAACGCGCCGCCAAGGTTGCCCAACTGCACGATCAGATCATGTCCCTGCCCGGAGGGTACGATACGTGGGTCGGAGAGCGGGGCACGACTTTGTCGGGGGGGCAGCGCCAGCGCTTGTCCATCGCGCGCACGATCCTGATTGACCCGCCGGTACTCATTCTGGACGACTCCACCTCCAGCGTTGACGTGGAGACGGAGCGACAAATTCACCGCGCCATGACTGAGGTGATGAAGGGTCGGACGACCTTCGTGATCGCCCATCGCCTGAGCACGGTCCGGGAAGCGGACCAGATCCTGGTGCTGGACAAAGGGGTCATTGCGGAACGAGGCCCCCACGCAGAACTGGTACGCACGGGCGGCATCTACCAGAGCATCTACGAGCTGCAGCTACGGCCGCAGGAGGAAGTCCTCCTCGAGGCGGCGGTGCCGGCCTACGGGAGGGCTGCCTTATGATGCGCGGCGGGGGCATGGGCGGGGGCATGATGGGGGGGATGCGCGGCACTTCGGCCGACAGCATGTTCGCGCCGTCCAACGACAACCTGACCGACGAAGAAGTCGTGGGACGCGTCTACGACAACCGCGTGGTTAAACGGTTCGCTACGTATATCGGCCCCTATCGCAAGTACGCGCTGATCGCGCTGGCCTCGCTGCTCACCTATGCGGCGGTGAACGCGTCCATTCCCTTGCTCATCAAGTACGGCATCGACTGGGCCGTCGCCGGCGGAAACGTCAATCGGGTGCATGTCATTGGCGCGGCCTTCATGGTCATTACCGTGATCCATTTCCTGTCGAACCGGCTGCAGTTCATCTTCATCTCGCTTACTGGTCAGCACATCCTGTACGACCTGCGGGCGGGAATGTTCAGCCACCTGCAGAACCAGTCCAACTCGTTTTACCACCGGACACCGATCGGGCGGATCATGTCCCGGATGCAGTCCGACGTATTGCAGTTGCAGGAAACCTTCGAGTTAATGGCGCTGGCGTTGGCGGAACTCGTCACGGTCGGCGCGATCATCATCCTGATGCTGGTGATCGACTGGCAACTGGCGTTGGCGTGCATGCTGGTGGTACCCATCCTGACCTTGATCCTCATGTACTGGCAACGGTTCGCCCGACATTCTTTCATGCGGATACGGCGCGCCATAGCCATGGTCAACGGCGAGTACAACCAGAACATTACCGGCGTTCGCGTGGTGCAGAGCCTCAACCGGCAGGACGAAAACTTAGCTCACTTCCGAACGTTGAACAACGAATATCTGGATGCCAACCTGGAAGCCGCGCGCTACTCCGGAATGTTGCAACCAATGGTAGAGTTGCTTATCGGACTGGGGATCGGTGTAGGCGTGGTCCTGTTTGGTGGCTTCCTGCTACAGCGGGATGCCCTGGAGGTGGGGACACTCGCGGCCTTTGCACTATGGATCCAACGGTTCTTCGAGCCCATACGACAACTCACCATGCAGTACAGCCAACTGCAGCGAGCGATGGCGGCCGGCGTCCGCATCTTTGAGGTGCTGGACCTGCAACCGGACGTCACGGACAAACCCGACGCCTCGATCCTGCCGCAAGTTGACGGAGAGATCCGATATAACGACGTCGTCTTCCACTACACGCCGGGTACCGACGTTCTCAAGAACGTCAACCTGCACATCAAAGCCGGCGAGAACGTCGCTCTCGTAGGATCGACCGGCGCGGGAAAGAGCACGCTGGTCAACCTCCTGCATCGGTCGGCCGACGTGACCGGGGGATCGATAACCGTCGACGGGCACGACCTACGGGACGTGACCCGGCAATCCCTGGTACACCAGATGAGCATGGTGCTACAGGAACCGTACCTTTTCTCCGGTACGGTGCGGGAGAACATCTGCTACCAGAACGCGGGAATTACCGACGAGGAGATGATCGCCGCATCAACAGCAGTCGGCGCCCACGACTTCGTCATGGAACTGGCGAACGGATACGATTCCGAGCTGGCCGAGCGTGGCGTCAATCTGAGCATCGGTCAACGACAGTTGATCAGCTTTGCCCGGGCCATCGTCGGCAATCCCCGGATACTGGTGCTGGACGAGGCCACGGCCAACATCGACACCCACACCGAATTGCTGATCCAGCGGGCCTTGAACCGAATCTTGAAGGACAGGACGTCGATAGTGATCGCACACCGCCTGTCGACCATTCGCAACGCCGACAAGATCGTGGTGTTGGACCAGGGACGCGTGGCCGAGGTAGGCTCCCACGACGAGTTGCTGGAATCGGGTGGCGTGTACGCCCAGCTATATGCCATCAACTACGGGCTGTCCGGGCCAAGCATCGATGTTGCGCCGGTCGGCGGGGAAGTCATAGGCGCGGACGGACTGTCGCCGGCAGCTGCCGACTGATCAGCCCGCAGCACGAGCGAGGAGAGCGGTCGCAGCGGCCGCTCTTTTTTGTATCCGTTTGCGCTAATCCTCGGCCAGGAAGCCGCGGATCACCGACGCCAGCTCCTCGGGTTTGTGGTATCCAATGTCGTGAATGGTGTCCGGGATCCAGTGGACGCGCCCGTTGGGCAAGGCCGCTTCGGCAGCAGCGACCATCACCTCGCGCTGCCGGGAAAACTGGGAATTCGCGCGGTCGGCGCGTGGGCCGGCGGCAACGACCAACGCGGGCACAATGATCTTAGGCAGCACGACGGACGGCGGCTCGTTCCACATGGTCTCCAGCACCTGCGCGTGATTCTGCGGGCGCAGGTTGTCGTGCATCTGGCCGCCGGGGCCCTCGTGAACCATGGTGAGAGCAATTTCCGCCAGGTCTTCTCCCCAGCAAAACGAAAGGTTGTCGGCGAGGCGATTCAGATACTCTTCTCGTGTTCCGACCACCAGGCGGGGTGATAACCGCTGCCGGAAGGCCTCCCACGTGGGGTCCGGCATCAGCCCGCCGTCCTGGAAACCGCCGTCAATCATCACAACGCGCGTGATCCGGTCGGGAAAACGCATGGCAAGATTGCTTGCTACATGCCCACCCCACGAATGCCCCATCACCGGCGCCCGGGAAATCCCAAAATGGTCCAACAGACGCACTGCATCCTCAGCCAAGGTCTGCCAGTCGTAGCCGGAGGGGGCTTGAGTAGTTGCGCCGTGGCCCCTCTGGTCGGGGGCGATGATCCGGTAACGGGTGGTCAGAAACGGCGCAACCCGACGGTACCAGTGACCGGAAGAGGCCAACCCGTGGAGGGCGAGCAAAGGATCACCGTCGCCGCCCCAATCGAGGTAGTGCAGGTTCAGGTCGCCGATAGCGGCCACACCGGACAGCGGGGCGGATCCGTTGCGAGGCGTCTCAGAGTTTGGCATGTGCATCCATTCGCTCCCGAAATTTGGCGCAGATTATACGCCCGGCGGATAACTGTCGTTTCGGGACCGCGCGGTGGTACCGGGGCGTGGCTATTGTCGTTGTCGGGAATTACGCGGCGCTGGAGTGACGGAGCGATGCTGCCGCTTTTAGCCAGAGCCCGGAGTAAGGCGACGGGATTGCCACGCTGCGCTCGCAATGACATTCGAGGCGCTCGCGATCGCGTTGAAGATGCTCGCAATCGCGTTTGGCAACGTCGAATGTCCCTACAGGGTTGCGAAACACGGTGTGCTAAAATCGCGGAATAGCGTCCAGATGCCGGGAGAGGGAGCTGCCATGACCGAGCGCTATCACCTCGGCGACTATTTTCAATTGGTGGCGAACACCGCTGCCAAACTGGATTCCAATAACGTTACGGCTCGACTTCGCGGCCACGATCACACCCTGTGGAGCGATGACCCCACCGAGATATCCGACCGTTTAGCCTGGCTCACGCTCCCGACCGACATGCGGTGCGAAGTTTCCGGGCTTGACGAATTTGCCAGCGCGGTCCGCTCGGCCGGATACCGCCATGTGGCGCTATTGGGAATGGGCGGAAGCAGCCTGGGCCCGGAAGTGATTCGACGGGTCGTCGGATGCGCATCGGCGGACGGAGAATACCCGCAGATGATCACGCTGGACAGCACGGTGCCGGATTGGGTGGCCGCAAACCGCGGGTTTGATAGATCCAGCCCGCACTCTCTTCGCGATATCGTCCAAGTCGGGAACCACTACCGAGCCGCTGACTTTCTACGCCTACTTCCGCGATCTGGTGGAAGCGGCGCTGGGCGTAGAGGCCGCCGGTGACAGCTTTATCGCCGTCACCGATCCGGACACCCCGTTGGCCATAAAGGCGATTGAGGACAATTTCCGTCGCGCGTTTTTGAACAACCCGGACATCGGCGGCCGCTATTCGGTGCTCTCCTACTTCGGCCTGGCGCCAGCCGCGCTGACCGGGGTTGACCTGGACCGGCTCCTGGCATCGGCGGAGCGGATGCAAACGCGGTGCCTGGCCGACGGACCGGCATCCGCAAATCCGGGCGGATGGCTGGGAGCGACGATCGGCACAATGGTCAAGCAAGGGCGGGACAAGCTCACGCTGATCTCCACGGACAGCATCGCGCCATTCGGCCTATGGGTAGAGCAACTTCTCGCGGAAAGCACCGGGAAGGACAACACCGGAGTGATCCCCGTCGCAGCGGAGCCGCCGCCCGATCCCGGCGCAAACTGCTACGGAGATGACCGTTTCTTCGTGCAACTGCGACTGGCCAACGACGATAACAACGTGCCTGATGGATTGGTGGGGCAATTGATGGCGGCGGGCCATCCGGTTGCCGTTCTCGAGTTGGCGGACGAATACGATTTGGGAGCAGAGTTCTACCGTTGGGAGTATGCGACCGCGGTTGCGGGGCACGTCCTGGGGATCCACCCCTTCGATCAACCCGACGTGCAAGGGGCCAAGGACCGCACCATCAACGTGCTGGAACAGTGGCGGCGGGACGGACGGCAGCCGGCTGCCCGGTCGGACGACACCGCCAACCTGGCAAAACTGCTGGAAGCAAGCGGATCCGGCGACTACCTGGCGATTATGGCGTATCTACCGGATACGGACAGGATACGCGAAGCCGTGAACGATTTGCGCCGTCGGGTCATGTCCAAATACCAGATTGCCACCACGATGGGATACGGTCCGCGTTTCCTGCACTCGACGGGGCAGTTGCACAAGGGGGGCCCGGCCTCGGGCATTTTCTTGCAACTCACCCAAGACCACCAGTCGGACATCGCGATACCCGGGTGGAATTTCAGCTTTGGTGTATTAGCCGACGCGCAGGCCCTGGGCGACCTGCAGGCCCTGGAGGATCTCGGCGGTCGCACGGCGTCGTTGCACCTGGGCAGCGACCCGGCAGGCGGAATCAAACGGCTCACCGACGCTCTCTGATGTGGTCCGCATTCTGATCATCCAATCATACGACGAGATCTCATAGATCGAGCGAACAGCCGGCCAGCCGCTACGGACCTCACAGGTCGCCAGGGACATCACAGGAGAAGATTGTTTTGGAAGTCGGAATGATTGGTCTGGGCCGGATGGGCGCTAACATGACCCAGAGATTGCTGCTGGCGGGGCACAAAATTGTCGTCTATGACCAGAACTCCGACGCCGTGACCGCTAGCAGGGCAGGTGGCGCAGTCGCCGCGACTTCGGTCGCGGAACTGGTCGACAAACTAAGCGCTCCGCGCGCCGTGTGGATCATGCTGCCGGCCGGCACGGTGACCGACACCGTGATCGATGAACTGGCGGGACTGCTAGCGCCCGGTGACGCAGTCATCGACGGCGGCAACGCCAACTACAAGGACACGTTGCGCCGGGGCGAACAGCTTTCGCATCGTGGCATCCACCTGCTGGATGCCGGTACCAGCGGCGGCGTCTGGGGTTTGGCCGAAGGGTACTCATTGATGGTGGGCGGCGATTTGGATACCTTCCGGCGACTGGAGCCGATCTTCCAGGCGCTGGCTCCCGCCGAAGACAAGGGTTACTCGCACGTCGGACCCACGGGTGCCGGTCACTTCACGAAGATGGTTCACAACGGGGTCGAGTACGCGCTGATGCAGGCCTACGCAGAGGGTTTCGAGCTGCTCCAGGCCAAGCAGGGCGACTTCGATTTGGACCTGACCGCGATCGCCAAGACGTGGCAGCATGGGAGCGTCGTTCGGTCGTGGCTGCTGGACCTGGCGGTTCGCGCGCTGGAAGACGACCCGGCGCTGGAAAGCCTGTCCGCTTACGTTGACGACTCCGGTGAGGGCCGCTGGACCGTTAACGAATCTGTGGAGTTGGGGATACCCACGCCGGCCATCACCGCCGCGTTGTACCAACGGTTCCGGTCGCGTCAGGAGGAACCTTTCGGCGCGCGATTGCTGGCGGCGTTGCGAAATCAGTTCGGGGGGCACGCGGTTCGCACATCGAATCGGGAGACGGAATGACGACCCCAACCTCGGTGGGCGGTAGCATCAGTGACGGCGCAACCGTATTGGTCATCATGGGGGCCAGCGGCAACCTGACCCGGACCAAGCTGGCGCCAGCGCTGTTCAGCCTGTACCACAAAGGCCGGCTGCCCGAGCACCTCCACATCGTGGGAGTCGCCCGGGACAACCTGGACGACCAGCAATTTCGCGACCAGTTACGCGGTTCGATTCCGGAGGCGACAGACCAGGAGTGGGACGAGTTCGCGACCCGTTTGACCTATGCCACCGTTGACGTCACGAGCGCCGATGACCTGTGGGCCCTGTACCGGCGCCTCGACGAATTTGATCCTGACGAAAACGGCAAGCTGAACTGCCTCTATTACCTGGCCCTGGCGCCCAGCCTTTACGAGCCGACGATCAGCGCTCTGTCCGCGGCGGGGATGGCTGACGACCGTCAAGGCTGGCGGCGCATCGTGATCGAAAAGCCTTTCGGGTCCGACCTCAACAGCGCGCAGCGGTTGAACCGGCACGTTCACGACGTATTCCGGGAGGAACAGGTCTATCGCATCGATCATTACCTGGGCAAGGAGACGGTGCAGAACCTCCTGGTGTTCCGTTTCGCCAACTCCATTTTCGAGCCGATTTGGAACCGCAACTACATCGACCAGGTGCAGATCACGGTGGCCGAGGACGTGCTGGTGGGCGAGCGCGGCGAATACTACGACCGGTCGGGCGTGCTGAAGGACATGTTCCAGAACCACCTACTGCAGTTGCTGGCGCTGATCACCATGGACCCGCCGTACGCGTTTGCGGCCGACGCGCTGCGGAACGAAAAGGTCAAGGCTTTGAGCGCGGTGAGGCGGTTGTCACTGCGGGACGTGCGCGACAACCTGGTGATCGGACAATATGACGGCTACCACTACGAGCCGGGCGTCGCGCCCGGCTCGCACACGCCAACCTATGCTGCGTTGCGGCTTTACGTGGACAACTGGCGTTGGCACGGCGTCCCATTCTACCTGCGGTCGGGGAAGGGGCTGTCCCGCAAGACCACGGAGATGGTCATCCAGTTTCGTTCGCCACCCCACATGCTGTTCCCAGTACCCGACGACACGGTCATACCCGGCAATACGCTGTCGATATGCGTACAGCCGAACGAAGGGATACGCCTGGAGTTCCAGTCAAAGGTGCCGGACGAAGATCTGGGGATGAAGCCGGTTTCGCTGGAGTTCCACTACCACGACGGATTCGCCGGGATAGACCTTCCAGACGCCTACGAGCGACTGCTGCTGGACGCGCTGGAGGGCGACGCTGCGCTGTTCACCCGCAGCGACGAGATCGAACTGGCCTGGAGCATCATCGACCCCATCGTGCACGGCCTCGACCTGCCGGGAGCGCCGGCCCCTTTCCGCTACCTGCCCGGCATGGACGGCCCGCCCAACGGAGAGGAGTTGCTCCTGAGCGACAACCGCCGTTGGATACCGGGCTGCGTGGAAGTGGGCTACGGAATTTAGCGCGGAGATCCTGGCACAAAGCAAGTAGGGGCGAATGATCATTCGCCCCTACTTTTTGTAGCTACACGGTGGTGGCGACCGTTAGCCGTTGTTGAAGATGTCGTTAGCGATATCCATAGCCCCGCGGGCGAAGGGGATACCGGCGTAGAGGGTCATGTGGCCGAACACCTCGATGACCTGGTCCTGGGTGAACCCGATGTTCAACGCGCCGCGGATGTGGCTGCGGAGCGGGCCCTCGCGGCCGAGAGCGGCGAGGCAGGTCATGGTGCAGAGGCACCGGCTGGGCAGATCAAGGCCCGGACGGGTCCAGGTGGCGCCCCAGTAATATTCGCCAGTGGTGCGGCTGAGCTCGCGTTCGGCGTCGGTGGGAGGCGCGGACCGGGCCCCACCGCCAGTACCCATGTAGTTGCGGCGGTACTCATCGCCCCGCTGGAACAGGCTGTCCGGGTCCTCGCTGGGGTCGTGGATACGGGCCGGCGTGAAGTCGATGCCGCGCTCCTCGAACACCTCTTTGCACCGGGTCAACGCCTGGATGCCGGCTGGGGCTCCGCCGTACCAGGTGTCGTGGATGATTAGCTCCACAACCTGCTCGGGGGTCAGGCCGACATTCAGGGCGTTGCCCAGGTGCCGCTTCAGCTGGACCTCACGGTTCATGACGATCAGGCACGACAGGGTAATCATCTCCCGCTGCACCGGGGTCAATGCTGGCCGCCGCCAAATGGTTCCAAAGAGGCCCTCACCGAGAATGCGTTCCAGGTCGGGTGCGATGTCCCATGCGCTCGGAGACGAGCCGCCGGTGATTTGCCCGCCGCCGAACATGCGCCGGGTTTCCTGTCCGCGTTCGTAGCGGTCATCCAGTTCTGTCATTTCATGCCTCCAAAGCGGGTGGACCCTATGGGTCACCGGCAGTGTACGGGGGCGCTCCGACGCGCGCAACCGCGCTTGCGGGTCTGCCGCCGCATCAGGATTGGTTGCCCAAGTTGATGGTGTCGGCCGTCATTGCGACGGACGCTTCACGGTCAGAGGGCACGGCCTCCAACACGGGATGGTCGAGCAACGCAGCGATGCACTCCCCGCTGGCGCCGACGTAGGTAGAGTCCAGGTCGATGTCGGTGGCGACGAACCAGGCCAGGTCGGCCGGCCACCAGATGTTGGGTGGTTCTGACAGGAAATTGCGGTAAAACCCAGAAATGTCCGGCAACTCTCCCTGGTAGAGGAGGTAGTCACGACCAACACCCTTGACCCGCCGGGCTCGCCTGACGTCACGGGGCGCACGCAACGGCCTGCCGCGTCCGTCGGCAGTGAGCATCGAGGTACTGCCGTCCGAGTATTGACCGTAGCCTTCCCAGACCCCGAAATAGCATTGCCCCGGCGTGGTGGTGAATCGCGCCAGCAGCGCTGACAATTCGGTCGCCACTTCCTCATCCATGCTGCCGTGGTTGGGATCCTCGTCCCACGGAGGTGGGCCCAAGCCATGGCCGGACGCGGGCGCACTGATGCCCTCGAAAGACATCAGAGGGTGGTAAACGCGGCCGGACCATTCGGCCACGGCGGACCACCTTAGCCGGCGGTCGGTCCCGTTCCGCGCAGGATGCAATAGTCGAGCGTAGGCCGCGTAGCCGCCGGGGACCAAGGAACCCATGGATCCGAAGGAGCGCGCCAGCCCTTCTTCAACCCATCGGCCGGGAGTGACGTCCGTCAGGAAGGTCAGATTGGGCGGATGCACGCTGTACTCGGCGGAATCCAAGTACCGTCGCCTCCGAGGTATCAGTCTCCTTACTATTCGCGAAAACAGATTCAGCATGGCCGCCGGTCCTCAACTCTCGTGCTATCATCCGGCCATGATAGACCTACTGATCTGTAATGGGCAGGTAATCGACGGCTCCGGCAGCCCGGGGTTTCGGGCGGCGGTGGCGATATCGGGCGATACGGTGACAATCCACCGGGGCGACGATGCAGACCTGCGAGCGAACGCGGCCCGCGTGATCGACGCGACCGGACACGTCGTGTGCCCGGGGTTCATCGACCTCCATTCCCACGCCGGGTTGACGATACTGGGTGAGCCGCACCACGATCCGAAGGTGCGCCAGGGCGTGACCACCGAGCTGGTGGGCATCGACGGCATCTCCCACGCGCCCTTCAAGACGCAGGAGGAACTGCACCGGTACATCTGGCTGGACGCGGGACTGAACGGCTACCCGCCCATGCCGGCGGACTGGCTCACGGTCGCCGACCTGCTGGGAAAGTACGACAACACGGTGGCCATCAACATGGCCTACATCCTGGGCAATTCGCCGGTGCGCATCTGGAGTGTAGGTTGGGAGCAGCGAGGGGCGACCGAGGGTGAAATCGCCGACATGCAGTCGGTGGTGCGGGAGGCGATGGAAGAGGGCGCGTGGGGATTGTCCACGGGCCTCGACTATCCGCCGGGCGCGTACGCGGACACGGACGAATTGGTCGCGCTGTCGGAAACGGCGGCGGCGCTGGGTGGCATCTACCACACGCACACACGGGCCAGCCTGCTGAGCCAAGGCTACCTGGCGCCGTGGCACGAGGCGGTGGAGATCGGGAGGCTCAGCGGAATACCGGTGCACCTGACGCACTACCGACAATCGGTTTCAGGGGTAGGCAGTCACCTGGGGCACCTGGGCCTGGTGGAAGACGCCAGGGCGGAAGGGATCGATTGCACCTTCGACTGTTACACCTATCCGTACTCGGGCACGACTCCGACCATCGGGCTGCCGCACTGGGCGAAGGACGGCGGACCGGAGCGGCTCATTGCGGCCCTGCAGGACGCGGACGACCGAGCTCGGATGAAGCGAGAGATCACGCTGAGCCGGCTGGAGAACAACTGGCTGACCAACTTCACCAGGCCAGAGAACGAGGTCTACGACGGCCGGCTCATCACCGACATAGCCGAGATGCGCGGGCAAGATCCGGCCGATACGTTGTTCGATCTGCTGCTGTCGGAGAACCTGGGCATCAGCACCGTGGGCCTGGGCACAAACGCTCAGACCCTTTACGCCTTCGTTTCGCACCCCTACGGGATGATCGCGTCGGACGCGATCCTATTTGGCGAGTATCCCAACCCGCGGACGTACGGGTGCTTCCCCATCGTACTGGCGGAGTTTGTTCGGGCGGAAAAAGCACCTGCGGCTGCCCGAGGCGATCCGCAAGATGACCTCCTTCCCGGCGCAGCGGTTGGGGGTCCCCGACCGGGGACTGCTGCGGGACGGGTTCAAGGCGGACATCGTGGTGTTCAACCCAGACACCGTAAAGGCACTGGCGACGAAGGAGAACCCCAAGCAGTACCCGGTTGGCATCGAGTATGTCATCGTCAACGGGCAGGTGGTGATCGAGGAGGGCGAGAATACGGGAAAGCTGCCGGGGCGGGCGTTGCGCCGGGGCAGGGCGGAGACGTAAGCCACGTCGATGACGGACTCGGTTTCTCCCGATTATCGCTATTGTCCCCGGTGCGGCAGGGAGTTGGGCACGAGAGTTCGTGGCGGACTGCCACGGCCTCCTGCGGTTCGTGCGGGTTCGTGCACTTTCGCAACCCGGCAGTTGGTGTCGCAGTGGTGGTGTTGGACGAGCAGGGAAGGGTCATGCTGGGGCGCCGGTCCGCCGGTGGTAACGTGGGCGAGTGGTGCATTCCATGTGGTTATGTCGAGTGGGGTGAGGATATCCGCGATGCCGCACGGCGTGAGTTTGCTGAGGAAACCGGGTTGGCAGTGGAGATCGGCGAGGTCTGCGCGGTGCATTCCAACTTTCACAACGCGGCCTCATTGACTGTGGGCGTGTGGTTTTACGGGAAAATCACCGGCGGAGAGGCCGGAGCTTCGGATGACCTCGACCGGATTGACTGGTTCCTGCCGGGAAATCCCCCTGAGCCCCTGGCCTTTCCGACGGACAGGCTCGTGCTGAAAGACCTGACCGCCCGGGCGACGTGAATCGATGAACAAACTCGCAGTAATCATCCAGCACCATCCGGTAGAAACGCTCGGGCGCAATTTCGCGGGCATCCTCGCGAACGCGGGGTTCGAGCTGGCGACCGTGCCGGTGTTCGCCGGCGCGCCTGATTTCCGCGACTTTAGCGCACCCGATCCATCCGACATCGGCCTGATCGTGGCGCTGGGCGGGCCGATGTCGGCCAACGACAACTTCCCGGCGCTGATCCAAGAAATGGCTTACCTGCGCGCGGCGGCTACGGGCGATGTCGGCAATCGTGAGCCCGCGCCCGTCGTCGGCATCTGCTTGGGAGCGCAGCTTTTATCGCGCGCGCTGGGCGGCGCAGTTGCGCCTACCGGCGGCTATCAGTTCGGGCTCAGAAAAATCGACGTTACCCAAGCCGGCGTCACCGACGCTGCGTTCCGCGAAATCACTATCCCGCTGGTTCCGACGTTGCACGGCGAGCAGTTCACCGTGCCGTCCGGCGGGACGCTGCTGGCCGAGGGCACGATGCTGCGGCGGGATGGTGGATATGTCCGGTTCCCGATGGCGTTTCGTTACGGATTATCTTACGGTTTCCAATTTGAACCGCAGCTGACCCTGGACGAGTTACGCATCTGGAACGCGGCACTGGCCGGCGACTACGACCTGATGGGAGAACGGTTCGACCCCGCTGAGGAGGCCGCGGGCAACCTGCGTGAGTTCACGGCTTTTGCCCCACACCACGAGGCGCAGATGGGCCGGATGCTGAAGGCGCTGCTGGCACAGGTGAGATTGCTGTAGCGGCCAGTGGCGCGTGCGAGATGGGCACGTTTGGTTTGACTCGCCGCAGGGCGGATAGTAACCTTCCGGCGTGCGTCGCAAAGCCCCCGTGAAATGCGGAGAGGCGTGGACGCGTGTACTAACGCAAAGCATCCCTATCGCATCGGAGGAAACACGCCATGGCTTACCAAGGAATGACGGCCGAACACATCTGGGTAGAAGGACACAACGGCGACGGCATCAACGCCTACCTGGCGCGCCCGCTGGGCGCGGGTCCGTTTCCCGCGGTGATGCTGTTCCACCACATGCCCGGCTGGGACGAGGCGAGCAAGGAAATGGCCCGCAAGTTCGCCCACAACGGCTACATAGCCATCATGCCCAACCTGCACTACCGCGAGGGCCACGACGACCCCGTCGCCAACAGCACCAGCATCCGCGAGGCGGGCGGCATGCCCGACGACCGCACGCTGGGCGACGCCGAGGGCGCGATCGGCTACCTGCGCCACCTGTCCAACTACAACGGCAAGGTGGGCATCATCGGGTTCTGCTCCGGCGGACGCCAGGTGTTCCTGGCCGCCTGCAAGCTCAGCGGCGTCAACGCGGCGGTCGACTGCTGGGGCGGCGGGGTTACTGCTCGCGACAGCGAGCCTCCCACCGAGGCCATGCCCCACGCGCCCATCGAATTCGTCGGCGATTTGTCGTGCGCACTGCTAGGAATATTCGGGGAGGATGACGCCCGGCCCACCGTCGACGAGGTGAAGGCCACCGATGCCGCCATCAAGGCCGCCGGCAAGTCCTGGGAGTACGAAGTCTATCCCAACGCCGGCCACGGGTTCGTCGCGGTTGACCGGACCAGCTACGCCGTGGAAGCCTCCAACGCAGCCTGGCCGCGCATCTTCCAGTTCTACGGGCAGCACCTGTCGTAGAAATCCAGCAACCTGAGCGCCAAAAAAGGGGCGGGTCCAAGACCCGCCCCAAATTCTTGATTCAGCGCCCCGGTTTAGTTGTCGGTGGACTCGAAGGCGAGGGTGGCGAAGCGCATGAAGACGCCACCGCGCGGGGCGGCCAGCGGTCCGTTGAGACAGAGGCAGGCGATCACGTACCGGGAACCGGGCTCGCCGACCTCGGCGATCTCCACTCGGTGAGGGGTGTTCAGCCCGACGATACTGCCGTAGGCGCGGTCGATTTCACCGTTGACCCAGACCTCGCCGTAGTTGTCGAAGTTGGTCTCGAACCAGACACGAGCGCCGGCGACGTTTACGCCGTCGATGGTCCCGGGGAGCGTGACGGCGATGCGATACCAGGCGAAGGTGAAGCCTTCGGAAAGGCTCTGCCGGACGTTGTCGCAAACGTCCCATGCGGAGTCATCGAAGTCGGCGAGGCGTGCGGGAGTAGCGAGAAGGCGGGCAGTCAGGCCCTCGTTGGGTTCGCCGGGGACAAGGCCGGGCGCGACACGCCAAGGTTGTCCGCCGACCTTGGAGCGGCCGTCACCGGTGTTCAGGTCAACTGCAAATCGCGGCATTGTGATGCCTCCTTTCATGGGCAGGGGCGAAGCAATATTCGCCCCCGCATAGCGCCGTGATGGTATCGCGCGCCTATAGAAACTCCCAGAGGCTGGCCGCGGTGCCGCCGAACACCATGTCCCGCGCCTCGACACTGGGATAGTCGATCAGATCCATGGGGAACCGGAGGGCGTTGCGGTAACCCTCGCGGTTGGCCGAGGGCGGGAAGTCGCTGCCCCACATGAGGCGGTCGCCGCCGAAGGCCGTGACGGCCATCTCGATCAGTGGCGGGACGTTGTCGAATGGGATCGGCTGGCGGAAAGGCTGAGGCCGGGGGCAGAATTCGCCCAACCCCGGCACTTTGACGTACACATTGGGGTACTTGGACAACTCCAGCGCGCGGCGGTAGGTATCGAGAGGGATCTCCTTGTCCTCGCGGCCCGGGCCCCAGAACGCGCCCACGCCGGCAAGGTGCTCCACAACCACTTTCAGGTTGGGCAACTCCCTGATGATTTCCTCGAACTCCGGTGCCGCGTACTGTTCCACCGTGCCCATGACACTGGCGACCACACCGAGTTCGGCGCACTTGCGCCAGAGGGCCAGCGGGTCGTTACCGACAGCGCGCCAGGAGCAATTGAACCGCAAGCCGTCGGCGCCCTGGTCGTGGAGCGCGGCGACGCGGTCGTTGGCGTCGGGTTGGGTATGATCGACGATGGCGATAACGGCGAACCGGCCGGGAAAGCGTTTGACGGCCTCGACCAGGTAGCTGTTGTCGAAGACGCCGAAGAACTGCGTCAGGACTGCCTGATCCACCCCAACGCGTTCCATCTCGTCGAGGAGGATTTCCACCGGCTCGAACCAATAGGGCGAAGCATGGCAGTGGGTGTCGATTACGGTAGCCATATCGGCGCCTCCCTAAGCGGCGGTGGTCCCGCCGTCGATCACCACCTCGGAGCCGGTGACGAAGGACGACTCGTCGGAGGCCAGGTAGATCGCGCCGTAGGCGATCTCGCTGGGTTTGCCGACCCGCCCAAGGGGCAAACGCTGCATCCGCAAGGCCATGTTGGCGGGGTCATTCAGCGTGTCGGCGATCATGTCCGTTTCGATTGGGCCGGGGTGGATGGAGTTGCACCGGATGCCTTCCCGGGCGTGCTGGATGGCAGTGGACTTGGTGAACAACCGGACCGCGCCCTTGGTGGCAGTGTAGCTGGCGGAACCGTTGGGACTGCCCACCAGGCCGGCAGTGGAGGAGATGTTGATGATGGAACCGCCGCCGGCCTCCCGCATGGCGGGAATAGCGGCTTTGGTCCCGAGGAAGACGCCCTTGGCATTGACCGCGAAGATGCGGTCCCAATCGTCTTCAGTGGTTTCCTCAATGCTCTTGCGGATCAGGATGCCGGCGTTGTTGAGCAGGACGTCCAGCTTGCCGTAGGCACTGACCGCCGCCTGCACCGCAGATTCCCAGTCCGCCTCGCTGGTCACATCCAGGTGGACATACGTGACGTTGTAGCCGAGCTCCTGCAGTTCCGCCTCCGTCTGACGACCCTGATCGTCCAGGATGTCGCCGATTACAACGCTGGCGCCTTCTTCCGCGAACATTCGCGCCTCGACTGCGCCCTGCCCGCGCGCTCCGCCGCTGATGAGCGCGACCTTGCCTTCTAACCTGGCCATGTTGTTGCCTCCTGTTCCTGCGTTTCCTATGCCTGTACTACAGCAATGCAGGCACTTTATATGGGTTGGCAAAGAGGCGCAACCGAACAATCAGCCCTCGGTTCCCGGGCTCCACAACCGGTTGAAACTGATTTCGCCAGTGTAGTCCGCATTCAGACGGTACACGTCGGGGTTGGACAAACTCTGCCATCCCGCGTAACCAAAGCTCGCATCGATCGAGTGCAGAACCAAGGCCAGAAGGTTGCCATGAGTGACGACCGCGGGGAGGTGATGGGGACCTCGTAGCAGCCGGTCCAATGCGGGCCGGGCCCGCTGGAGTACCTCGTTGGCGGACTCGCCGCCGGGCGCACGCAGATCAGGATCAGCAAAGGAATCTCGCACCATGTCACGCCAGTTGGGTATGGGGCCTGGCGACAGGGTACGCTCGTTCAGGCGCGGATCGACCACAATCGCCAAACGCATGAGATGCGCGAGAGGTTCGGCGGTTTGTCGCGCTCGTCGGTATGCGCTGGTAGCGATGGCATCGATGGGAAAGGTTGACAGGAAATCCGCCAGGTTCCGGGCTTGCTGCAAACCCAGTTCGGTGAGCGGAGCGTCGGGTTCCTGACCCGCCGCCTCGCAGTGCCGGACGAGGATCAGGCTGACCATAGATGAGGCTACGGACGCCAGCGGAGCCGGGCGCCGACCTCGGTGAAACCGGCTCGCAGGTAGAACTGGATCTGCCTCTCGCCGTGATACGGAGTGCCCAATTCGACCATCGCGCAATCGCGCGAAACGGCGTGTTCCAAAGCGAAGCGGAGAACATCCATGCCGACGCCGGCGCTGCGCACTTCCGGGTCAACGTACATTTCCTGGATGATCGCGTAGCGGCCCGCGCTACGGAGGGCGTCGACGAAGGACACGGTGCAGACGGCGGTGAACCGACCATTATTCTCCGCCAGCACCACATACCCGGATGGTCCGTCGGCGGCGAGCCGGCCGAAAACTGGAACCATCGCTTCTGCGGATGCCGGCGTGCCGCCGAGCTCGGTGAGGAGCTTGCGAACCAAATCTATGGCAGCGTAGCGGTCGCCAGCGGTTGCCAATCTGATACTCGTCATCGTGCCGACCTCAACATCTCAGCGAAGGAATACGCGTCTGGGATTGCGCAAGATACGCAACCGGCCCGTACCAGGGATGCTGTTCGTCACCACGCTCACCATTCCGCCGCCGTCTGGGGTCAGGGAGCGGGCTGCGCCGCCCTCATTCCAATCGCCCTCGGGGAAGGGCCTTTCACAAAAGTTGGCGGCCCAAGCGCGAAAACTGTCGTTGTCCCGGAGTGCGTGCCAGACGGTTTCCGCTTCGGCGAATATTTCGATGGGAATCGCAGTGGGACCATTTCAGCCGGGTGCGTGTAAAGGGAAGATCGATCCGAGGAACGTTATCCCTCGCGGGACGCCGCCTCCAGCGCTCAACCCGGATCCTCGACCTACTAGCCGGGCACTCGCAGCGGACTGGTGGCCAACGAATGGGGCACAGAAACCGTTGGGTCGGGGATCGGCAGCATGACAGATTGAGCCTCAAAGTGTGTCAAAACCACGCCAGCCTGGCAAGGCGGCCACCTGCCGGACCCATGACGCCATTTGCTCCTCATCGAGTTCGCCCTCGTGGATGTTGATCCAGCGTGCGTCGGGGTCTTTGCCTGCGCCGTGCGGCACGGGTTGCAGCGCCGCGCCATTCAGGAAGGTGACCTTCACGTAACGCGTGAAGACGTGGTAGCTCGCAAACCAGCCGGCGCCCTCTAAACCATACCAGGGGGAATTCCACCTCACAGCCTTGAGGACGTTGGGCACGTTGCACACGATGAGTTCATCAATGCGGCGACCGACATCGCTTTTCCAGCCCGGCATAGCCGCGATGTAAGCCTGGACGGGGGCGTCGCCGTCGGCTTTAGCGATCTGAGGGTTGCCGCCTGACAGGAGCGCCAACTCGGGGCCAGGATTCTTGGAGGTGTCCGTAGGGGCCTTCGTTGACTTGGTCGACGCATTATCGGCCATTGCCATCACTCCGGAACGCGCTGGGCGCCGCCGATTTGGCTGGAGATAAGTCCCGCAAGAAAGAAAGGGCGGATCCAAACCGGCCAGCAAGGTCTACGGGTCTGGATGGCACAGGAGGAGCTTGGTGGGCCGTGTGGGGATCGAACCCACGACACCCGGATTAAAAGTCCGGTGCTCTGCCAGCTGAGCTAACGGCCCATGCGTGCGGCGATCCGCAGGTTGCAGTTCAGTATAGCACAGGGCGGGTCGGGGACCGGTTGGGCTACGACATTTTTTGGCCGCGGCTGCCCTTGCCAAATCAGCGGATATGGGGCATAATCGGCCCCGTTACTTTCTGGTGGTTCAAGCGGGGTGGCCCCACCCGTACCCATCCCGAACACGGAAGTGAAACGCCCCAGCGCCCACGATACTGCTCTGGTAACGGAGTGGGAAAATAGGTCACCGCCAGAAAGTACCAAAACGCAAAGGTTATGAGGGGCGGGCGTGATGGCGCACCAAGAAATCGCTGGCGATTGTAGGCCAAGTAAGGCGATAGGTTGATTTTTCAACCGAGCGGCTTCACCGTTACGATTCGGTGGCAAGGCCGCTTTTATTTTTGCCCGAATGCGGTAAAATAGCGCCGCCAGCACGCAACAGTTGGTTTGACCTCAACCCAGGAGAGTCGCATGGGCAGCAGATTCGAGAAGTTCTCAGAACGGGCACGGCGGGTTTTGTCGCTGGCCCAGGAAGAGGCGCAACGGTTCAACCACAACTATATCGGGACTGAGCACATCCTGCTTGGGCTTGTACGGGAGACCGAGGGCGTAGCCGCTCGAGTGCTGTCCGGCCTGAGCGTCGATCTAACCAAGGTACGCTCGGCCGTAGAGTTCATCATCGGACGCGGAGAGCGCCCGGCACAGGGCGAGATCGGTCTTACCCCCAGGGCCAAGAAGGTCGTGGAGTTGGCCGTTGACGAAGCCCGACGGATGAACCACACCTATATCGGTACGGAGCACTTGTTAATCGGCCTTTTGCGGGAAGGGGAAGGCGTCGCCGCTGGCGTGTTAGAAAGCCTGGGCGTCAACCTTGAGAAGGTCCGCGCCGAGACACACCGTATCCTCAGCAACTCCGGCACCGGGAGTTCCACCAGCAGGAGTTCGACCACCCGTACTCCCACGCTGGACCAGTTGGGCGTTGATTTGACTAACGCCGCCCTGGGCGGGAAGTTGGATCCGGTTATCGGGCGCGACACTGAAATTGAACGCGTGACCCAGATCCTGAGCCGCCGGACCAAGAACAACCCGGTCTTGGTGGGAGAGCCCGGCGTGGGCAAGACCGCCATCGTGGAAGCGATGGCCCAGCAAATCTCCTCTGGCGACGTGCCGGATACCCTGCAGGGCAAGCGTCTGGTCACGCTGGACATGGGCGCCCTCGTAGCGGGCACCAAGTACCGAGGCGAGTTTGAAGAGCGGTTGAAGAAGGTCATTGAAGAGATCAAGACCTCCGGCAACTGCGTCCTGTTCATTGACGAAATTCACACCTTGGTGGGGGCCGGCGCCGCCGAAGGTGCGGTGGACGCGTCCAACATCCTGAAGCCTTCCCTCGCTCGCGGTGAGATCCAATGCATTGGCGCAACCACGCTGGACGACTACCGTAAGTACGTCGAGCGGGACCCGGCTCTTGAACGACGCCTGCAACCGGTGCGCGTCGAGGAACCGGACGCCGAGATGACGGTGGACATACTTCGTGGGGTGAAGAGCCAGTACGAGGACCACCACAACGTCGACATCACCGAAGACGCGGTGCGGGCAGCGGCCACTCTGTCGACCCGGTACATCCCCGACCGCTTCCTGCCAGACAAGGCTATTGACCTGCTGGACGAAGCGGGGTCGCGGGTACGCCTGCGCGGCAGCCATGCTCCGCAGGAAGTCAAGGACGCGATGGAAGTCCTGGATCGGGTCCGCAAAGAGAAGGACGACGCCATCGCCTCGCAGCAGTACGAAGTCGCCGCCGAGTTGCGCGACCGCGAGCTCCACCTATCCGAGAACGTGGGCGACATGGAACGCGAGTGGAAAGCGGACCGGAGCAAGGAACGCACGCAGGTTACCGAGGAGGACATCGCCGAGGTAGTCAGCATGTGGACGGGCATCCCGGTGACACGGCTGGCCCAGGAAGAAACCGACCGGTTGCTCCGGATGGAAGAGGAACTGCACAAGCGGATCATCGGCCAGGACGAAGCCATCGTGGGCATCTCCAAGGCGGTGCGCCGTGCCCGGGCTGGTCTCAAGGATCCGCGCCATCCCATTGGCGTGTTCCTGTTCCTCGGACCCACAGGTGTCGGGAAAACCGAGCTGGTACGCGCGATGGCGGAATTCATGTTCGGGCACGAGGACAACATGATCCGGCTGGACATGTCAGAATTCCAGGAGCGGCACACCACAGCACGTCTGATCGGCGCACCTCCGGGCTATGTCGGCTATGACGAGGGTGGGCAGCTCACCGAAGGCGTTCGTAAGAAGAATTACTGCGCGATCCTGCTGGACGAGATCGAAAAGGCGCACCCGGAGATTTTCAACATCCTGCTCCAGATCTTCGACGCCGGCCAGTTGACGGACGCCCGCGGTCGCCGCGTGGACTTCCGTAACTCGATCATCGTGATGACCAGCAACTTGGGCTCCGACCTAATCAAACGGGACACGTCACTGGGGTTCGCCACCAAAGCCGATCAGGCGCAGTCGGACCACCAAGCGTACGAGCGGATGAAAGACAAGGTGATGGACGAAGTAAAGCGCTTCTTCCGCCCTGAGTTCCTGAACCGGTTGGACGCCACCATAGTGTTCCACGCCCTCAGCAGGGAGGAAATCCACCTGATCGTGGACCTGATGATGAACATGGTTCGCGACGAGCTGAAGGAACGGGAAATCAGTGTCGAGCTCACCGAACCGGTACGGGAGTACCTGGGCGAAAACGGCTTCGATCCGGTGCTGGGTGCACGACCGTTGCGCCGCCTGATCCAGAACGAGGTCGAAGACCGGTTGTCTGATGAATTGCTCGGAGGCAAATTCGAGCCAGGGGACACGGCGATCGTCGACATGGATGAAGACGGCAAGGTCTGTATCAAGGTGCGGAAGGCGGAAACAGCCGCCTTGCCCGTGGCCTGAGCCGCAACGCTCGGTCGATAGAAACAGCCGGGGGCGCCCTGAAAAAGGCGCCCCCGAATGCTACAATCATCGACCAATTGGAATGGATCCCAGGTCCGCCGTCCGGGTGTAGCCCGGGTTCGGGTTGACGGTCATGGCGGCCTTTCATTATAGTTTGGCAGTATTCACGGCGAACTTTGAGGTGACACTATGGCAAGGCGTTTGCTCAAAGAACTGGAACGCTCCTACGGGTTTGACGAAGTTGCAATCGTCCCGGGCGATGTCACGATCAACCCGGAAATGACGTCCACGCAAATGAGCATCGGCCAATACTCCTTCGAAGCTCCGGTGATGGCTTCAGCGATGGACGGGTCGGTGTCGCCACGATTTGCGACGCTGATGCACGACATGGGCGGACTCGGCGTGCTGAACGGCGAGGGGCTATACACCCGTTACGAAGACCCCTATTCGGTTTTGGAAGAGATCATCTCCATGGACCAGGGCGAGGTGACGGAGTACCTGCAAGAGGTTTACGGCCAGCCCGTCCAGGACCACCTGATCGGCGAACGGGTGCAGGAGATCAAGAAATCCGGGTCCATCGCGGCCATCGCGTTCACGCCCCAAACCACCAAGCAGCTGAGCCCGCTGGCGGTGGAAGCCGGAGCCGATATCATCGTCGTCCAGTCCACGGTTACGACCGCGCGCCACATGTCCCGCAGTTACCGGGGCCTCATCTTTGCCGAGTTGATCGAGTCTCTCGATGTCCCCGTGGTGGTGGGCAACTGCGTGAGCTACAACGTGGCCAGCGAACTGATGGAAACCGGGATTGACGCGATCTTGGTTGGAGTCGGCCCGGGAGCGGCTTGCACGACGCGAGAAGTCACGGGCGTAGGTGTGCCCCAGGTGACCGCGACGCTGGAATGCGCCGCCGCCCGCGAGGACTATTTCCAGCGCACCGGCCGATACGTCAGCGTGATAACCGACGGCGGGCTGCGTACCGGCGGCGACGTGTGCAAGGCCTTGGCCAGCGGAGCCGACGGAGTGATGCTGGGAACGCCTTTTGCCCAGGCGGCAGAAGCGCCAGGACGTGGTTTCAACTGGGGCATGGCGAATGCGCATCCCGAACTACCCCGGGGAACCCGCATCAACGTGGGCACCAAGGGAAGCCTGAAGCAGCTGATGCACGGACCATCTAGCGTGACCAACGGCACCCAGAATTTGGTGGGCGCATTGCGGGTTGCGATGGGCATGTGCGGCGCGTACACGGTCCGCGATTTCCACAAGACAGAAATGGTCGTCGCCCCGGCCATCAAAACCGAGGGCAAGCACTATCAAATGCTCGGCTGAACGGAGGAACCATGACCACGGCAACGATCCAGATCCTGGACCCGCGTCCGGAGCAAAAAACTGAAGAGAGGGCGTCAGCAGGCCGGCTGCCCGGCTTGGCGGGCAAGACCATCGGACTGCTTGAAAACCGCAAGTACCACTCGGACAATTTCCTCCAGGAACTCCAGGTAATCCTCGAAGAAAAATACGCGGTCGAGAAAGTGGTCTACCTGCGCAAGTTCAGCTTCAGCTCCCCGTGCTCCGATGAGACGATCGAAGAACTGATCGAGCAATGCGATGCGGTGGTGCACGGAATCGCGGATTGAGGGAGCTGCACAGCGTGGGGTCTCCACGACACAGTAGTTACCGAAACCCGCGGCATCCCGTCCGTAAGCGTCATCACCGAGAGTTTCACCAGGGCGGCACACGCTCGCGCCTCCTCGCTGGGCATGCCCAGCGTTCAGATCCTGGCGTTGCCCAGCCCGCTGGCTCCCCGTTCGATACCGGAAGTGCAGCGTCTGGCCCACGACTACGCCGGCCAAATCGCCGAGATGTTGACCGACGGCAAGTGATTGCCGACCGCATCGGCTAGACCGCCGCTTTCCGCATGAAAGTGGTCAACTGGAATGTTCAATGGGCTACGCCCGGTTCGGTGCGTAGCCCAAACATTTTGTGCCGCATCGCAGAACGGTCGCCCGAAATCGTGTGCCTCACGGAGACGGACTGCCGGTTGTTGTCCGCATGGGATGGGCGCTCAATTGCAGCCAGATCCAACTGGGGTAAAGTCGCGGCGACCAGCCGGCGCAAGGTTCTGCTCTGGTCGAAACGGGAATGGACGAACGTTGACGACTTTGGCAGTGCGGATTTGCCGCCGGGACGGTTCATCTCTGCGATGACCGAGACATCGGCGGGTCCGGTGACAGTAATCGGCGTCTGCATCCCCTATCACAACGCGAACGTCAACGTTGGCGCCAAGAACCGCGTTCCCTGGCAAGACCACAAAGCGTATTTGAACGGCCTATCTTCCATACTGAAAAGCAAATCGCCTGGACCGCTCATCATAATGGGCGATTTCAATCAGCAAATTGGGCAGCGGAGAAATCCCTATCCCCGCTCTCTCCCAACCGGTTCGCTCCGGACTACAGGAAACGATGCAAGCCTGGCGGCCGCCGGGCTTGACCATAGCAACGGCCGGGCTCGGGCTGCGGGGCCGACGCGCCATCGACCACATTGCCATAAGCGGCGATTTGGTCGCTGAATCTCTGGCCACGGTCGACAATGTGACCCAAGAAGGCAGAATTCTGTCCGATCATTTCGGCGTCGTTGCCCAACTGTCCACCCATTCCACGACCCCACCAACCACCCCGGTAGAGTGATTTTATGTCCACCAACAGTCGCGCTTTGAACTCGCGCCGCATCACCGTCAGTGACACCTACGACGCGGTCCAGGACTACTACGAAGAGCAGGGATGGACCGACGGGATGCCCGTCGTCCCGGCCACGGAGGATGCCGTGCAGCGGATGCTCGGCCCGTGGGGAGAGGACCCGTCGCTATCCCTCGGCGTAGCGCAACCTTCCAACTCGGAAGTGACCATCGAGAAGGTCGCAATCAACGCGGTGATGGCCGGCTGTCGCCCCGAATACTTTCCGGTGGTGGTCGCCTGCGTGAACGCCGCCCTGCAAACGCCGTTCAACCTGGCCGGGTGCCAGGCAACCACGGGCGGAGCGGCCCCGGTCGTGATCGTGAACGGCCCCATCGCAGAGCGACTGGGCATCAACGGAGACTCCGGGGCGTTCGGACCCGGATACCGGGCCAACGCGACCATCGGGAGGGCGCTGCGCCTTTTCGTGCGCAACGTGGCCGGGCTCATCATCGGCGAAATGGACAAGGCCACGTTGGCGATGCCCGGAAGGTACTCATTCTGTTTCGCCGAGAACGAAGCGCGGAGCCCGTGGGAGCCGCGGCACGTGGAATTGGGGTTGGACGCGGAAGACAGCATGGTTACTCTCCATGCCATCCGGGCCTTCTACCCGATCATGGAAACCACGGTGTCGCGGGGCACGGACGTACTCAACACACTGGTGCAGGGCACTCGGGCCACCGGCTTCTCGAACTTCTATCAGATCGGAACGGGGGCACAGGTGACTTTGGTGCTGAGCCCCGAGCACGCAGCAGAAATCGCAGCGGACGGGTTCACCAAGCAAGATGTTCGGGAGTACGTGTTCTCCAACGCGCGGATGTCCATTCATGATCTGTCCGGACTGGGACACTGGGGTAACCGGAACTACCCGGACTGGGTGAACGACGAAGATCCAAATACCATGGTGCCAATTGCGCTCAAAGCCGATGACATTGTGGTAGTTGTAGCGGGGGGCGACGGCCGCCATTCGGCGTGGCTGGCGGGGTGGGGGGTCACCCGGGTAGTGACCCAGAAAATTGAGGTTCCGGGTTAGCTCCCGTCGAATGACCCTGCGATCAGCGGCCCGCCGATGCGATGCTTGGCGGGCCACAGTGTCACCCTCGCAAGGGGAGCTCGCGGGCTCTGCACAAAGCGCCGGGCGATGGCGCGAACAGCGGTCCGCTGCTATTATTTTCGCGGCTTCCATATTTTGAATTCTTAACCAATAATAGGCTCGACAATCGTGTTCACCCACCTGCATACCCACACCGAATACAGCATGCTCGATGGCATCAGCCGCATTCCGGATCTGGTGAACCGGACGCGCGAACTGGGCATGGACGCCATGAGCATCACCGATCACGGTTCGCTCTACGGCGTGGTCGATTTCTATTCCGAGTGCAAGGAAGCCGGCATCAAGCCGATCATCGGGTGCGAGTTCTACGTGGCGCACGCCAGCCGGCACGACCGCACTCCAAACGAGCGCACTGCCAACCACCTGGTGCTGATCGCCAAGGATAACGCCGGGTATCGGAACCTGCTGCAACTGGTGACCCTCTCCCACCTTGAAGGTTTCCATTACCGGCCGCGCATCGACAAGGAGCTTCTGGAGCGGCACCGGCAGGGGTTGATCTGCCTATCCGGGTGCCCCTCGGCCGAGGTGCCGACGCTTCTCGCCGACGGCAATTACCAGGACGCGAAGCGGCAACTCGGATGGTATCGCGAGCTGTTCGGCGAGAACTATTTCCTGGAGCTTCAGCGGCACGAGCACATTGAGCAGTTGCCCCGGATCAACGACGGCCTGGCGCGATTGAGCCGGGAAACCGGCGTACCTCTGCTGGTCACCAACGACGCGCATTACGTCCGACAGACTGATTACCAGTACCAAGACGTGTACATCTGCATCCAGACGGGCACCAACGTGATGGATGAAAAACGGTTGCGGATGGAGGATTCGTCCTACTACATCCGGTCTACCGCCGAGATGGCGGCGCTGTTCCACGATTTCCCGCAGGCTGTGGACATCACCGGCGAGGTCGCCCAAGAGTGTGATGTCACGTTGGGATTCGGACAGATGCACCTACCCCGGTATGCGACGCCCAACAACGAAGACGCCGACGCCTACCTGGCGCGAATCTGCTGGGAGGGGTTCAACCAGCGGTACGGGCACAACAACGAGGCCGCCCGCACCCGGATGGAATACGAACTGGAAGTGGTGCGGCAGACCAGCTTCGCCAACTACTTCCTGGTGGTGTGGGACATCATCTCGTTCGTCCGCAAGCAACAGATCCTTTTCGGCGTCCGGGGCAGCGCAGCGGCCAGCGTGGTGTTGTACTGCCTGGGGATCACCGATATCGACCCGATGCGGTACAACCTGGTATTCGAGCGGTTCCTGAACTTTGAACGGAAGGAAATGCCCGACATCGACATGGACTTCCAGGACGACCGCCGGGACGAGGTACTGCGTTATGTAATCGACCGGTACGGCAGCGATCGGGTGGCGCAGATCATCACCTTCGGCACCCTGGGCCCCAAGGCCGCCCTGCGTGACGTGGGACGCGGGCTGGGGATGAACTACGGCGACGTCGACCGCATTGCCCGTATGGTGCCGTTCAAGTCCCGAACGATCGCGGACGCCATGTCGGCGAACCAGGAGATGTCGGACACCTACGTGCGCGACGCAGCGATCCGGGAGTTGGTGGACCACGCCCAAGCCCTGGAAGGCATCGTCCATCACGTCAGCACCCACGCAGCGGGCGTGCTGATCGCCGACGAACCGCTTACGGAAACGGTCCCGCTGCAACGTCCTTCCCGGGGGGACGAAAGCAGCCCGGTCATGATGACCCAGTATTCCATGGACCCGGTGGCCAAGTTAGGTCTGCTCAAGATGGATTTCCTGGGCTTGACCAACCTCACCATCCTGGACCGAACCATCAAACTGCTGGACGAGGAACGGGGCATCCGCATCGACCTGGGCCGCCTGACGCTGGACGACGAAGCGACCTATGAGTTGCTGGGCACCGGCAATACGACGGACCTGTTCCAACTGGAAAGCGCGGGGATGCAGCGGTACATCAAGGAACTCAAGCCGTCGGATCTGGGAGACATCGCCGCGATGATCGCACTCTATCGACCGGGTCCGATGGAACACATCGACCGGTTCATCCGGTCCAAGCATGGGAAGGAGCAGGTTACCTATCCCCACCCCAGCATGAAGGAGCTGCTGGACGAGACCTACGGCGTGATCGTGTACCAGGACCAGGTGCTGCACGTGTTGCAGAATTTCGCCGGGTATTCGCTGGGCGAAGCCGACACCGTGCGCAAGGCGATGGGAAAGAAGATCCCGGAGTTAATGGCCGAAGAGCGCAACCGGTTCGTCTCGGGCGCCGTGGAGAAGGGATACAGCGAACAGATGGGGGCGGAGATATTCAATCTCATCGAACCGTTCGCCGGGTACGCTTTCAACAAGGCGCACAGCGTGAGCTACGCCCTGATCTCCTACTGGACCGCCTATTTCAAGACCCACTACCCGCTGGAGTACATGGCCTCGGTTCTCAACTGCCGCCTGGACCACGGCGACCGCTATGTTGCGTCGATCAACGAGTGCACCCGCATGGGGATCGGGATCGAGTTGCCCGATGTGAACAAGTCCGGCATCCACTACACCATCGACACCCCAGCCGACCGGACCCAAATCGGCAAGCTGCGCATCGGGTTGGCGGCGATCAAGACCGTGGGCGAAGGCGCCATAACACCCATCGTCACCGAGCGGGTGGCCAAAGGACCCTATGCGTCGATCACCGATTTCTGCCGCCGCGTGGACGTGTCGGGCCTGAACCGCCGCACGCTGGAGGGTCTCGCCAAAGGCAGGGGGGCTTCGACTCCCTCGGGCCACGGGCAACGGTGGTCGGCAACCTGGACCGCATCTGGGCCCTGGCACAGCAGGAAACGCGGAACCGCAATTCCGGGCAGTTCGGCATGTTTGGTGAGGAGATGGACAGCGGTGCCGGCGGAACACTGCTGGAAATGGACACGTCGCAGCCTGACTACATCCCCCAGGAAAAGGCTAACCTGGAAAAGGAATACCTGGGGGTGGCCCTGTCCTACAACCCGCTGCTGGCGCTGGCCGCCATCGACCCGGGCGACGCGTACAACTCGGTCGACCAGCTGGACGAAGGGATGATCAGCAGCACGGTGACATTGCTGGGCCACGTTGCCGGGGTCACCGAGCGCTACACCCGGGACAACCGGAAGTTCCTGCGGATCGACCTGGCAATGGTAGGGGGCCAGGTTGAAGCGATGGTATGGCCCGATTCGCTGGAAAAGACCGCCCACGTCTGGGAATCCGGGCGGGTGGCGCGAGTAACCGGCCGCCTCCAGATCCGGGGGGACGATTTCTCCATCTCGTGCTACGACGCCCAGGAGTTCCAACTGCCGGAAACCGTTCCCGCCGGGGCGGCGCTGCCGGCATCGCCCGGCAAGCCGGAGCCGGCGACACCCAAGGCTCCGGCGAGGTCTCCCGAAGTCCAACGGCAACCGATCTGCACCGGCGCAAAACGCGTCCCCGGCTTCCAATGGTCACCGGGAGTCGGGCGTCCTGATCAAGATGGTTGAGACCGAGCAGCCGGATGACGACCGGTACCGCCTACGGCAGGCCATTCGGGTTATGCTCGAATACACTGGCGACGACAAGGTGTACCTGGAGCTAAACCTCAAGGAAGGCCGCAAGGTCCTGATGGAGATTCCGACGGTATCGACTGCGGTGTGCGACGAGTTGCAGCAGCGCGTTCAGGATCTACTGCTCCAGGACGAGAGCTGTACGGAGTACCCGGCGCAAGCCGCGTGAAGGTCGGGCTCAATCACCTGTCGCTTGCGGGTAGTCCTCACTCGGACGCGGGAATCTGCAAGCCCAGACCCGCTGCGATAAACCGGCGGCCGTTTTCCTGATAGCGCGCGGTCGGGTTTTCCAGTCGCTTGCGGTGGACCTCGGGCAGTTCCCGGATCCGGCCGGGCACGCCGATAACCAGCGATTCGCTGGGGATGGGCGTGCCGGTGACGATGGCGCCGGCGCCGATGAGGACGTAGTCGCCGACCTTGCAATCCTCCAGGCAGACCGCATTGACCCCGATCATCACGTTGTTGCCGACGATGCCGCCGTGTATCACCGCGCCGTGGGTCATGAGCACGTTATCGCCCAGTTCCAGGTAGTCGTCCGTGTGCAGGACACAGTTGTCCTGAATGGAACAGTTCTTGCCGATGACGATCTGGCCGTAGTCGGCGCGTATCACCGCCCCAGGCCAGATGCTGGTTCCCTCGCCGATTATCACGTCGCCAACGATATAGGCGGTCTCGCTTACGAACACGCTGGGATGAATTTGCGGGGTCTTGCCGTCGATGCTGCGAATCAAAGGGTTCCTCCTGATGGCTATCGGGTTCGGGCAATTATAGCCGGCGCAGTGGACGGTATTGGTCCGTACAGCCTTTACGGAATCAGGACACCGCATAGCGCCGCAGTTGACCCGGTACTCTCCTGGTCGGGATTCCACGTTTGACAACTTGCGGGTATGCTGGCTAAAATCGAAGTCTGTTTGCAGTTGGCAACAACCACGGCCCGGTGGTGTAGCGGTTAACATACGGCCCTGTCAAGGCTGAGATCGTCGGTTCGAATCCGATCCGGGTCGCCATAGAAATTTCGAAACGGCTCACCCATATGAGCCGTTTTTTGCTGCCCGGAGCCTATTCATCTCGGCCGGATGGATCGAGGTCTATTTGGATACTAGCCGCGGCTGCATGCGTCGATCCGCAGGACATGACCACGCGTAGACAGTTAACGACAGGTGACGAAACAAGCGCCTACTGCGATTGAGCCGGAGACCGCATCCTCGTGGCGCACGGGGGTTGCGATACGGTGGGCGCGAGACACATTGAAAGGGCCACAGCCCAGTTTCGCGCTCGGACGGCGCCGCATGATAGTTTGGGAGGAACCCGCTGTGCTGAATACATCTGTATCGCGCCGCCAACTGCGCTGGGCGTCCTTCAGCATCGTCATGTTTATCGTCGCAGCGGTGACATTTGGAGCAGCCTGGCCATCGGCTGCGTACGACACTGACCCGCAAGCAAACGACGTCATCGCCTACACCTCGCCTCAACCACATCCATCCGGCGGATCTCCAACTCCAGACGTGCGGATCGAGGTAGCGCGCAACGTTCTGGCGGCAAGGCTCGTAGTGCAGGCCAGAAGGCTCCTGTTTGTCAGCAGTAAAGAGGTGCGATGGTCGGACACATCACTGGGTTGCCCGGAACCGGGCAGAATGTACGGCAAGGTGATAGTGCCAGGCTACCGGATCACCTTCAGCTACGAAGGGAACCACTACGAGGTGCACACGGCCAGCAAGACGGGAGTCGGTTACGCTCTGTCGCCGGTATCCTGTGAAGGAGGGCTATCCTACTAAGCCGGCCTCGAAGGTCCCCACCGCTTTTCGGTGGTCACTACACCAGAAAGTCGGGAGTATAGATCTGCGAGCCGGCGGTCCGGGCGTTACTCGGACCGCAACGGCACGAAATTCCAGGCGGGCATGAAGTAGAAAACGGAGCGGGTCGCAGCGGCCCGAATGACCGCAAACAGCAGTATGGTAGAATTGGAATTGCCCCCGTAGCTCAGTGGATAGAGTGCTGGCCTCCGGAGCCAGAGACCGGAGTTCGAGTCTCCGCGGGGGTACTTTGTCGGATCGCCGGGCTGATCGGGGAAGAGCATCGGGGTGTGGCCTAGCGGCAAGGCGCCTGCTTTGGGAGCAGGAGATCGGCAGTTCGAATCTGCCCACCCCGACCAGGTCATATAGCGCTTCGATGGGCCGGACCAGTTGCAATGGCCAGCTAAACGGGCCAGTCCTCCAGGGTCCAACCCATCTCCCAGAAGGCCTGCTCGTAGCGCGTGCACGTGATGTACGCCTCTTTCATCGCCGCGATTTCCGCCGAACCGGCGGTTGCCGCGATCCGGTCACAGATGACGCGGCATTCCTCCGCGACCGACTGCTGCCCGGCGGCGGCGTACATCTCGATCCACTGGGCATAGCCGGCGTGATCCGGCAGACCCTGGTCAGCCAATCGCTCCCCGACACGCCAGTATCCCCAGATGCACGGCAGGACGGCCGCGACCAGCTCGCCGAACGTCCCCTGGTGGGCAACCCGGAGCAGATAGCTGGTGTATGAATAACAGGTTGGAGCATGGGTGGTTGCGTCCAGTTCGGCTTCGGTGATGCCGAACTGCGCGCAGTAGGACCGGTGCAGATCCATCTCGGTATTCAGGATGTAGTCCACGGCGCGGGCAAACCATGACATCGCCGGCAGGTCGGGGGCTTTGGCGGCGGCGAGGGCGAGGCAACGGGCGAAATCGATGAGATAGACGTAGTCCTGCGTGATGAAGTGTTTGAACCGGTCCAGCGGCAGCGTTCCATCTCCGATGCCCTGTACGAAAGGATGGAACGCCATGGCGTCGCGCTGTTGCTGTGACTCTCGCTCGATCTCGTCGCAGAAAGACATTAGGGCCTCCAGGGTTGGCCGGGTGTTGGTTTCGGCCCATTCTACCGTACCGGGCAGGTTGGTCCAGACTCCGGGCGCTCGTCACTCCGTGCGGAGCAGAGCTCGGATAGTCTATAATGACTTGCCCGAAACGTATCCTTGATGGTCGCGTACGGCGCAACTACAACCATTGCCGGCGGCGACAATGAATTTAGAGAGGCCCTTCCCATGATGATGTTATTCCTCCACGACGTTCCAGACCAAGCCCGGGCTGGCGAGATCAAACGCGTCTCGCGCGGCTACGCGCGGAACTACCTGCTGCCCAAAGGGCTGGCGGAGCTGGCGACCGACGAAACGCTGAAGCGGCTGGACAAGATCAAGGTCGAGGGCGACCACCAGCGGGCGCGGGAAACCCAAGTCGTGGAGGAACTGGCGGAGGCGCTGGACAACCTCACCGTGACCATCCAGGGCAGGATCACCCCCACCGGCCGGTATTACGGGGCCATCAGCGGGATCAGGATCGCCGACGCCATCGGGGAAGCGCTGGAGCGCCAAATCGACCGGCGGATTACCAACAACGTGGAACCGATCCGAGAGCCCGGCGAGTACGAGGTGGTGCTGAACCTGTCGAGCGACATTCGCGCGACCGTCAACGTCATCGCGGCGGTGGAAGAGTAAAACTCCAGCAGCCGCCACCTTGTCGTAGCGCATAGCGTTGCGGCTATCAAGCAAAGGACCGGTACGCCGTGGTTGCCGACCCGTACAGCGAACGGCAGTTGCCCCACGACCCTGAGGCCGAGGCGGCGGTCCTGGGAGCGCTGCTCATTGACGGCGACGCCCTGCATCGGGTGACGCCGCTGATCAAGCCCGAGGACTTCCACCGGGCTCGGCATCAGTTTTGTTTTGCCGCCTGCCTGGCCGTTTTCACCCGCCAAGAGGCCATCGACCAGATCACAGTCGCCCGGGAGCTGCAAACCCAGGGGCGCCTTGAGCAGGTAGGAGGGCTGCCCTACCTGGGGCAGCTCATCGCCGGGACGCCCACATCGGTCAACGTGGAGCACTACGCCGCCATCGTGGCCGAGACGGCGGCCAAGCGGCGCATCATTGGGGCGGGCAACCGGATCTCCGAGTTGGGGTTCGACGAGAGCTCGGATGTGGACGAAACCATGCGGCAGTCGGTGGAGGTCCTTTTCGGGGTTCGCCCGGCCGCCGATGACCGGGGGTTTCATTCCACTCAGTTCGGTGCTCGACGTTTACCTGCAGGGCGACATCGGCGACGTATCGCTGACTGACGAACCGCCCCTCCAGAGTGGCTACAGCGACTTCGACAGCATCCTCGGCGGGATGCAGCGTTCGGACCTTCTGATCGTGGGGGCGCGGCCCGGCCTGGGAAAGAGCAGCCTAGCGCTCAATATCTGCACCAACGCGGCAAAAGCCGGCCAGACCTGCGGGATCTTCAGCCTGGAAATGAGCCGCGAGCAGGTGGCGATGCGGATGCTCGTCGCCGAATCGGGGGTCGACTCACACCGACTGCGTCTTGGTCTGCTGTCAGAGAACGAGCAGAACGTGATCTCCGACGCGGTGGGTCTGCTGTCCGGTCTTCCCATCTTCATCGACGACACCCCGTTCCAGACCACCATGGACATGCGGAGCAAAGCCCAGCGGCTACAACTGGAACACGGTCTGGACTTCCTCGTAGTCGACTACCTCCAGCTGATCCAGGGCGGGGGCCGTCGGCAGGGATACGGCGAGAATCGTGTGCAGGAAATCAGCGAGATATCGCGTTCCCTAAAAGGCATGGCCCGGGACCTGAACGCGCCGGTGTTCACCTGCTCGCAACTCAGTCGGGTGGTGGAAAACCGGCCCGGGCATCGCCCGCAGCTTTCGGACCTGCGCGACAGCGGGAGCATCGAGCAGGACGCGGACGTGGTGACCTTCCTCTTCCGGGAGGACCGGGTCTTCACCGAGGAAGAGTGGGAACAGCACGCGCCCGGCCGGCCCGTACCCGCGTAACCTGGTTGAGCTGATCGTGGCCAAGCATCGCCACGGGCCGACGGGGAGTTTCCACCTGTACTTCCGGGACAACCTGATGCGGTTCGACGAGCTACAGCGCTACGAGGAGTCCGTCGCCTAGATGGATGATGTCGCTGGCAAAGCCCGGATTCATCAACAACCTTTGCCGGCCAACGCACGCCGGATCCCGATACCGGCGGCGGCCGTGGGACAATGGCTCGCCGACATCGACGACATCGCTGAACTCAAGGTGACGTTGCGGGCATTGGCCCTGTTGGCAGACGAACCACGGAGGCGGTCAGTACCACCTTCGATAGGATTGGACGATCTGCTGGACGACCGGTTCCTGGCTCCCGTATCGCCGCGAATTGCAGATGGTTCCGTCCGAATGGGCCTGGCGGCCGCGGTTCTTCGCGGCACGTTGGCCGCGGTTCGAGACACCGGAACCATACGCGTGCTGCTGAACGACGAGGACTGCCGGCGATACCTCCAAACTGCCGGCGTAACGGTTTTGAACGCCGCCGACCTGGCGGAGCAGGCAGGAGGCGAGGCTCCGCAAGCGCCTCCCATGCAGCCGCAAACCCGCGAAGCGCGTGCTAACATATTCGCGTTATACGAGGAGCATATCGGCACCTACGGTCACACCGTCGCGGAGCAGTTGAGGGCGGCGGAAGAGGAGTACCCGGCGGCATGGATTGCGGATGCCATAGCCGTGGCAGCGGAGCGGAACACCCGCAGTTGGAACTACATCCAAGCCGTCTTGCGTAACTGGAAGCAAGCGCGACAGCCCAGTCCCGGGGCGGGCATAACCGACCGGTCAAGAGAAATCAGCCATGAGCATGGAGAGCCTGGGAACGATACTGCGGCGGATCGCCGCACGGGATACCTGGAAAGCTATCGGCGACGATATGGCCGACTACCCTGGGAACCCGGAGAGCCGGAACACGACCAATGATTGCCAAGCGTGCGGAGGCGCGGGCTGGGTTACGCGGAGGGTCCGCGTTGCCAGCCCGGATTTTGGCAAGGTGTTCCCGTGCGAGTGCCAGGCGCAGGACGTCGATAGGGGCCAACGGGTGGAGGCGCTGGAGCGGTACAGCAATCTGGGTTCGCTCCGCCAGGCCACGTTTGATAACGCCAATCCGGACGGCCTGAGCCAGGAACCCGCCGCCCAGCAATCTTTTCGCGACGCTCGGACGGCGACCGTGGCCTATGCCGAGAATCCCGAGGGTTGGCTCACCCTGGCGGGACCCAGCGGAAGCGGCAAAACCTACCTCGCCGCGGCCGTCGCCAACCGCCGTATCGAAACGGGCAGTCCGGCTCTGTTCACCACGGCGGCAGATCTCCTCGACTACCTGCGCGGCGGTTTCGATGACGATGCCGACCAACCTTTCGTTGACCTTTTCGATCAGGTCCGCAACGCCCCACTATTGATTTTGGACGACCTGCCGACCCGCCCGGCAACCCCGTGGACGCAGGAGCGTCTGTTCCAACTGCTGGCGTCGCGGCACGCGGCGCGCCTGCCCACGGTGGTCACCCTGCGCGGCGACCCGAACCGGCTGGACGATTTCCTGCGCACACGAGTGGAGTCGCCGGACGGGTTCGGACGTCTCTACCGGCTGGGCAGGGTCGGGGGTTCAACGGCCCGATCGATTGGAGCAATACCGTCCAACATGCGGGCACGGATGACGTTCGCCGGGTTCGATCCGTCCGGCAACGGCCGCTTGACCGATTACCAGCAGCGAAGCCTGCGGGCGGCCAAGTCCTACTTGCAGCGTTGGGCAAATAGTCCCAACGGTTGGTTGAGCCTGCATGGGCCCTACGGCGTCGGCAAAACGCACCTGGCGGTCGCGGCGGCAGGTGAGCGGGAAAATCGGGGCGACGAGGTCTTCTTTGCCACGGTGGCCGACCTTCTCGATTACCTGCGGGCCACGTTCGCGCCGGACAGCGCGGTCAACCACGACGACCTCCTGGACCGGATTCGCAATGCCGACGTGCTGGTGCTGGATGACATGGGAGCCGAGCGGAGCACACCCTTCGCGGAGGACAAGCTGTTCCAGATCGTCGGATACCGCTACGAGGAACGCCTGCCGACCATCATCACCACGTCGCAGCAGATCGAGGCCATCGCATCAGCCCGCCCGCGCATCGCCTCGCGTCTGCAGGACCCGCTGGTAGTCACCGAGATGCCGATGGAGGCGCCGGACTACCGGCGGGGCGGCCTACAGCGTTGATCAGGGAGCGCCACGGCTCCGCGGACCAGGACACGAACCGGACGGTGCGATTGTCGTCGTCTAGAATGACACGACGCGGCAGTGGCGGAGCAATATAGCTGCTTCGGGAAAGAGCCCTGGCTACCGCAATGAGATTGCCGAGCTTCGCTGGTACTGACGGTTGGGACCATCTGATGGCCCGCGCCACGAAGGCTGCGGTTCGCGCCCTGTGTCGAATGATGGCATAATCGCATTTCGCCCGAACCCGACCCTGCGAGCATTTATTTCATGACCACCCACAGTTTCGCCGACTGGAACGACGCCCAGGAGTATTACTTCGCCAACGGACTCACCGATGGGCTGCCTATTGTTCCCCCGACCCCCGAACGGGTGCAGGCCATGCTGGATTACGCCGGCGTGGACGCCGACCACCATCTGGGAACGGAGATCATCCGGCAGAAGCGGTTCACGGCGGGCAAAGCAGCGGTGAACGCCGTAATGGCGGGTTGCCTGCCGGAGCATTTTCCGGTGGTCATCGCATCGCTGGCGGCAATCTCGGAGCGTGGCTTCAACCTGCACGCCAGCAGCACGTCGACCAATGGCGCTACCGTGCTCACGGTAGTCAGCGGTCCCTACGCCGACGCCATCGGAATGAATGCCGGCGTGGAGATGATGGGCAACGGCGCGCGGGCCAACGCCGCCATCGGGCGGGCGGTCAACCTGTTCAAGTCCAATTTCTACGGTTCGGTTCCGGTGGTGATGGACAACAGCACCTTCGGCCACGCGGGCAAGATCACCTTCTGTTTCCCCGAGAACCTGGCCATCAGCCCCTGGCCATCGCTGGCATCGGAACTCGGCTATGGGGACCGGGCCACCATCGTGAAAGCGTTCGCCACCCTGGCGCCCCTGCAGGTCACCCTGCACGGGGGCCGGGATCCGGCCGACTTCCTGACCACCGTGGCGCACGCCATGCTAGCCTTCGGCCCGGGAATGCCAGAGGTGATTTGCGTCATCAGCCCGGAGGCCATGCAGCACATCGGAGCGGCCGGCTGGACGCGACAGCGGGTGGCCGAATTCCTGCACGATAAGGCGCGGCTCCCCGTGTCGGAGTGGATGCGGTGGAAGCGAATGGGGCATGAACTCGATCACGACCGGATGGTCCCGGTGGTGCCGGAAGCCGACCGGATCACGGTGCTGCCGGGGGGCGGCATGGCCGGAGCCTTCATCAGCCTGATCAGTACCTGGGGCTCCAGCCGATCCGCCATCCGGCAGGTGGACGTACCCAACTGATACCAACCGGATCTCGGGCAATCCGGCAAGTTGGTTCTGAACAAGGAGGTCATCGCATGGCAACGCAAACCACCCCCATCGTCACCCTCGACCCGCGTGACGACGCACCACCGGCTCCGTCACGGTTGGCGCAACGCCCGGCGACGCTGGATGGCAAGGTTATCGGGCTGTTCGCCAACAACAAGCCGCACTCGGAGGACCTGTTGCGCCGCGTCGCCGCCATCATCGGCGAACGCTATGACATCGCCGGCGCCGTGGAGCACAACAAGGGCGGATGGCAGTGGCCGGCACGCATCGAGGACCTGCAGCGGACGGCTTCCAGCATCGACGTGGCGATACACGCCACCGCGGAATGAGGGTCCTGCACCGCGTGCAGTGTGCACGACGCAATGGAAACCGAGCTGCTGGGTATCCCGTCCACCGTGTTGACCACCCGGCCCTTCGTGAGCCAGGCCCACGCCATGTCCCGCATGCGCGGCGACCCGGAGTACGGGCTGGCGATCATAGAGCACCCCATCGTCACGCTGAGCGACGCGGAACTCTCGGAAAGGGCGGCCACGGCCGCACCGCAGGTAATTTCCTGCCTCGTAGACCGATAGTCAATCCACCAGGCAGACGCAAAAAGTGTAGGGGCGAATAGTTATTCGCCCCTACGTTTTGGCCGGAATTATCTGCACCCTACAAAGGCAGGTACACGGCCTCGCCGGTTTGGGCGCTGACGGTGACCGCTTCGGTCCATTCCATGTAGTGGACGCCAATGTTGAACGGGTGCGCATCACCGGGGCTCCATCCCGAACGGAGGCGATGAACTCCTGCTCGACGGACCAGGAGTAGCGGTTTTCCGGCGGGTTGGCGATTTCCTGCAACTCGGAATCGCCGCGCTTCCCTCCGTAAACGCGCATCTGGCTATCGACGTGGATGGTCCCGTCGGTACCATAGATCCAGACGGAGTTTCCGGGGGACAGGCCGGCGCAGGCGCTAAAGCGCATGTGGGCGTTGGCGCCGTTGGCCAGGCGGCAGAGAACGTCCACAGTGTCGGGAACCGTTATCGAACGCCAGTTTCCGTCATCGTCGCGGCGATGGGGGATGGTGATCTTGCTCATGGCCATCACCTGCGTCGCGCGGCCCACCCAGCGGATCATGGCCTCGTACCAGATGCCCATGTTGAGGATGTTGAATCCGCTCAGGTCGCGGTCCTGCCGCCAGTGGAGGGTGGAGTCGCGGTCGGTAAAACCGGTCTGGGACTGCACGTCCACCGAAACGAGGTCGCCGAGGAAACCCTCGGAGATCAAGCGGATGAGCAGGGCGTCGATGCCGAAGGACATGGGCGAGGGCACGATCTGGGCGACCAGACCTGGCGTGGCCTGGGAGGCCGCCAGCATCTCGTGGGCCTCGGCAGCGCTCATGGCCATGCGGGCTTCGCACAGGACGTGCTTACCAGCGGCGAGCGAAGCCATTGTCAGCGTGCGGTGCATGTACGGCCAGGTCCCGATGCAAATGGCGTCGAGGCTTTCGTCTTCCAGCAATTCTTCCCAGCTGTCGTACACGGTCGGGATGTTGAACGCGTCGGCGACTCGCTGCCCCGACTCACGCGAACGGTTAGCGACAGCGCCGATCTCCACTCTGGGAGTGCTATCGAACCCCGGGATGTGTCGATCACGGGTATTGCGGCCGGCGCCGATCAGGCCGACGCGGACGGATTCGATTGCCACAGTAGTACCTCCTAACGATACCTTGGGGGCGCGCCGGGCTGCGAAAATGGGGGCGCGGCGCAAGCGATTATAGGGTAACCCTCGCAGCACGGTCAAAACGGCGGCTACGCGTAGACCCGGCGCGTTGAACATGGCCCCGGGGCTCAGCGATCGGCGACGCGGTAGATGGTCGTGCGGTCGTTGGTGTAGCCAGATCGAGGTCGCCATCGGCTACCATCTGGTCAAATTTTTCAATGCCGTGGGGGCAGATAATAGATCCGCTCCAAGTCACCCACGACGATGTAACGCACGCTCATAGTGATCGACTAGGTCGAGCGCCGCCTTCTTGCTGAGAGTGTTGTAGATGGTGGACACGTCCCGCGCCCGTCGCTGTATCAAGTTCCCAGTCGTTACGCTGCTGGGTCTGGTGCCACGGCCAGCCGATGACGGTGGGCAATCCGGTGTACACCGAGAACCTCCCGTTCCAGCGATACTGGTCGCCGTGCGCCTCCAGCACTACCGGGGATCCGGTGGCGTAGTCCTGCAACCACCTGATTGCGTCGGCGTCCCAGCGGAGTTCGATGGGTTCATCGCGCTCCCGATGCACAGCGTCGGACATCCACGCCGCGCCGTCCAGGGTCAACGGCGCGGGGTTGAAGCGGTCCTGAATGCGGACCGGCGTCGCCAATACCGGATATATCATCACGCCAACTGCCACCGCTGCTAACAGCGCGGCGAACGTCCATTGGGTCGCGCGTCCGTAAACACCGCGGCGGAGACGCCACGCCGTCCAGCCGCGCCAGAAACCGTACGCCCCAGCTACTCCGAGCAGCAGCCACGCCACCAGGTAATACTTGAAGAGAGTGTTCATGCGCGCGATGTCGCCTTCAACCCGCACAAAGTCCACGCCGATGCCTATGGCCAAGGCGACCGCCAGCATACCCAACGCCGCCACATCCGGGCGTACCGTTGGTTCGTCGCCGTTCAGCACGGTCGCGACCAGCGCCCAACACGTCAGCGTCAGGAGGACCATGAGCAAGCCGGCGGTCAGGAAGCCGGCAGCCCAGAAGTACCCGGCAAACACAACGCCGACCGACGCAGCCACCAGGAGCCATTGGTGCACTGCCGGCATTCGCGTGCCGGTCCTGATCCTGGCCAATAGTGGGCCGCAGGCTCGGGGAAGCACCGCGGACAACAAGGCGAACGCCGCCAAGAGCGGCAGGGCGTGGATCAGCAGGTAGTTGGTCAACGGGGTGCGCCAACGCGTCGGCTCGATCCCCGTGCCGAAGGTCTCCGTCGCTCCGTGGAAAGGCAGGAAGGCGGCGTAACTGACCGCCACCGCCACCAACGCCAAGGCGATCCCGACGGCCAATCGCACCTTGAGTTCTCCGGGCATCATCCATGCCGCGGCCAAGCTGAACCCTACCATGAGCAGGACATAGGCGGGGTATTCCCACGAGTTGATGGTCCACAGGCTGCCCACCGCCAGTCCCGTCAGCGCGGCGCAGACCCAGGTCCGGATGCTTTTCGGCCCGCTGCTCGACACGCCCACCAGCGTCGCAAACCCCAACGCCAGGGCGAGCAGCGCAAAGGGCATAGACATCATGTGGGCGTGGAAATCGGCGAAGAGGAAGGTGAAATACGGAAACTCGGTGATGTGAAACCCGAGGTCAACGTGATCGCGCGTTTCCAGCCACGGGGTGAGCGCGCTGGGTTCGAAATTCGCGATCTCCGGTATGGCGCGGCTACTCCGCCAGAAATCGAAACTGGACAGGGGCGCCGCCATCCCGCCGATGCGGGCGGCAATGATGTGAAACAGCTGAACCGCCCCGTCGAGGTTCCCGCCACCGCTACCATTGCAGCGGAGGCGAGACCGACCACGGCAGCGCCGCCGGGCAGCCATTGCCGGACACGGCGCCGCGAAGCCGCCCACCACCGGGTTGCAAGGAGTGACCGCTCCGACGACGCGGTTCCCGCCGGACCCGGCTGGGCTGCCTTCACGAAGTAATATGCGAGGGCGCCGGCCCCCGTTGCCGTCAGGGCGAATAGCGTAGGCACGGCCAGATTGAACGCCGTGGCCTGGGGAATGCCCGTAAGACGGGTGGGAATGGAAAGGATGAAGTATCCCCAATAATAGTAATTCAGGTAACCGCCGCCGAACCAGGGATCGAAGGGGGGCAGCACCGAGGAACGGGCCACGGCCGTGAAATAGGCCAGCTCCATGGGTTTCTCGCCCCCACGCCACGGATGCCAGAGATCAGGATTGGCGGCCCGGATCAGCACAAAGGCCACGTACGCCAGGACGAAAAGGGCCTCGGCCGCCAGCACCATTCGCCAATGGTCACGCAGCCAGCCGACCATTTCCCGCCAACGTCGCGCCAGTACCACAGCCGACGGTATCGCCACAATCAACATGGCCAATGCGATGCTGGCCATCGAAAACTGGACGACGCCGGTGTTGACCAGCATCCACGCTACCCACGCCACCAGAAGCAACCCGACTACCCGGGAAAACAGAAGCCCGCGGTCGTGCAGCGGACGCAGCAACCACCAGGTCAGGGGGAACGCGACCAGGCAAATGATTTCCAACACCAGCAACCAGCTCAGCCACGGCACCCGGTTGGGCCAACCGTCCCGCCGAAACACCTCAGACCAGGTGCCGCCGCCTTGCTGGGCTTCCAGTGCTTCAGGAGCCAACATCAACGGCGGGGTTTCCTCCCGCAAGGCAGACGCATCGTCAATGCGAGACCGTATCTCGCTGGCAGTCAGTCGGTCAGCATTTCGGAACACCAGCACTTGCGGGTGATCGTATCCGATGACGTTTTCGTCGGCGTACCCGAGGTTCAGGCCGAGGCCGGTCGCTTCATTTGGCTCGTCCAGTACACGGAACCGGAGCCGGGAGTCCGGCACGCCCGTACGGATCGTCCCGCAGCCGGAAGCCGGCCAACGACGGATACGATGCGAACGACCGCTCCACCCGATAGCCCAAATCGCCGGCGAACAGCAGACGGAGGAACGCAGCGCTCTGCGGATATTCGCCCGGTAACCGGGCCACCGACCCATAGGCCCGGTTTGAATAGAAAACCATGTAATCGCTGGAGGACAGACGATCCACCAGTTCAGGGATTTTGTTGCGGTCGCTATCGGGATGGTAGGCGGGAAACGTCCAGACATCGTACCGGCCCAGGTTGGGTATGCGTTCGTCCCAATGGGATCCGCCGTTGATGATGGACGCGCCAGGAGGAACGTTGGCGTTGATCCATTCTGCGGCGGTCACCGCGGTGTGAGGCCGACTGTAGATGCCGGAGAAGGCGATGGCGTACAGGACGGTAGTCCCCAGGACAATCGCAACCGTCGCTACGCTGACCGGGTATGCGTATCGCCGGGCCAACTTCGCCAACGTTTGCCGACGCGATCCCGGTGGGTCCGTCTGGGCCATGAGGTGCAGCGGCTGACCCGTCGCCGATACCACCAGCCCTCCGGTAGGAGGCGTTGCGTGCCATTCCTCCGAGAACGGGGCATCCTCGCCGAACAGCGGCTCGTCGAAAATCAGGTCGTCGCCAACGGTGGGAGGCGTCGCGTGCCATTCCTCAGAAAACGGGGCGTCGTCTGGCAGGGCCGCGGTGTCTCTGGCATATCCCCGGCGTTGCGACTGCGCCCATTCCACGAAAGCAACCAGCATCCGGGCGCCCATAAGGACATAGAACGGCATCAGGGGGAACACGTAACGCAGGAACTTGACCTCGAAGAATTCCAGGAAGACGAACGCCGGGACCGACCAGGCGAGGAGCAGGAGATCGAAGCGCTGCGCGACTCCGCCGCGCCAGGCCATCCACGCGGTGAACGGGGCAGCCAGCCAGGCAACGATGCCGAGGGGCAGTCCCAGTCCCCACACCGAGGTCTGCCGGATCTGATACCAGAAGGCGGGCGTATCGGCGTATTGCCAGGTGAAGGGCCAGTGGCCCGCCTCCCGGGCCATTTCCGCCTGGGCCCGGATGTCGGCGATGAACGTGCCGACATCCAGCACGGCGTAAGGGGTAGTGATGAAAAACGCTATCGATGCCAGCAGGGCGGCGACCAAAACGATCGGCGCGAAGCGGACGGCTGACCACACCGTCAAATCGCTCCACCGGCCGCCGGCCCGATCCCGCCAAGTCCAGAGGAACACCAACGCCAACGGCGCAAGGATAGGCGCGACCGAGACCTTGGGCGCCATAGCCAAGCCCACCAGGAGGCCCAGCAGGGCGGCATCGCGCATTCGCGCGGTGTCCGCGAATCGGAGCATCGCCCAGAAAGCCGCCAGCGACGTGAGAACCGTAAAGGGTTCGGGTCGGTAGAAGTGCGCGTGCTGGATGTGGATCACGGCAAAGGCGGTGAGGGCGGCCGCCAACAGGCCGGTCCACCTGCCGTACATTCGGCGGCCGATGGTGAACACCAACGCCACCGACGCCGTGTCGGCAAGGGCTGCTAAAGCCCGGCCGGCGAACCGCATATCCAGGGCGGCCCAGTCGGTGAACAGTTCGGCCACCGACCGAACCAGCACCAGCGCGTAGATCAAAACGCTCCCCAACGGGAACCAATGCGGGTTGAGGGGGCTGCGCTCGGCGGACAGCGCGGTTTCAATGTTGGGCAGCCCGACCCGCATGTCGGGCCATTGGCTCAGCCAGGTCTCGTGTCCCGGGGACATGGTGAGCACGCGGAACATGTCGTCGGCGCGCAGGTAGAAGGAACGCTCGTCCGGGTGGAATCCGTGACCATCGTCCCAGTCGATGCCGTACAGGCGGAGCGCCAGCGCGGCGACCAGCAGGGCCGGCAGCAGAAAATTAGGCCCCCACAGCCTGCGCAGGGGGGCTAGGAGACGAAGCCGTTGGGCATCCATCAGAGATGAACGCATCAACCGCCGACGATGCAGCAGAGATCCGCAGTGCGACAGGAATAACCCCATTCGTTATCGTACCAGCCCAAGATCTTGACCATGCTGTTGTCCAGGACCATGGTGCTAAGGCCGTCGAAAATACAGCTGTGGGTGTTGCCGCGAATATCGGAACTGACGATGGGGTCTTCGGTGTACTCCAGTATGCCCCGCAGCGATCCGTCAGCCGCGGCCTTGAAAGCGGCGTTGACGTCGTCCCTGGTGACATCCTGTTTCAGGTCGGCGACGAAGTCGGTGGCGGACCCGACGGACGTAGGGATGCGGTAGGCGATGCCGTGGAGCTTGCCATTCAGCTCGGGGAGCACCACGCCCACGGAACGGGCTGCGCCGGTGCTGGTCGGGATGATGTTCTGAGCGGCAGCGCGGGCCCGGCGCAGGTCGCGATGGTTGCGATCCAGAATGCTCTGGTCGTTGGTGTAGGCGTGAATGGTGGTCATCAGCCCGCGCTCGACGCCGAAGGCATCGTGCAGCACCTTGACCATGGGAGCGAAGCAGTTGGTGGTGCAGGACGCATTGGAGATGATCCGGTGCGCTCTATCGTCGTACACCTCGTCGTTCACGCCGAGAACGATGGTGGCGTCCGCACCGGTGGCGGGAGCGGAGATGATCACCTTGTTCGCCCCGCCGCTGTCGATGTGGGCGGCCGCCTTGGCGGCGTCGGTGAAGTGGCCGGTGCATTCCACCACGATGTCAACACCCATTTCGGACCAGGGGATATTGGCCGGCTCGGCTTCCTGGAACACTCGGATGGGCTTGCCGTCGATGACCAGATTACCGTTGTCGTTGCCGACCGTTCCAGCATATGGCCCATAAGTGCTGTCGTACTTGAAAAGATGCGCGGAGGTTTCGGTATCTCCCAGTCCATTGACCGCAACCAAGTCCAACCGATCGTGGTACGTGGGTGAAAGAGCAGCCCGGGCAACCAAACGTCCGATCCGCCCGAACCCGTTGATGCCGATGCGCGTCGCCATCGTGGAATGCCTCCCGTCAGTTCAATAGTGGCCAATGCTATGACAGGCAAAGCACGTGATATACGTACTGTCCAGCCGGCGGACCCGACAATCGGGCGTCGAATTCGGCCCACCCGGCGTCCGCGATTATATCACCGAAACGGTGAATCCGGGCCGACGGCTGACCCCCAACGCTGGCCACCACACTACCGAGAACCGAGTCTCCCGTAAACCTCTTTTCCGGAGTACCGGGCTGCATTGCCCAACTCCGCCTCGATCCGCAAGAGCCGGTTGTATTTGGCAACTCGCTCGGAGCGTGCCGGAGCGCCGGTTTTGATCTGACCCACGTTCCACGCGACGGCCAGATCGGCGATGGTCGTGTCCTCCGTTTCCCCCGAGCGGTGGCTCATCACCGCCGTCCAGCCGGCGTCGCGCGCCATGTCCAATGCCGCAGCGGTCTCGGACAGCGTGCCTATTTGGTTGGGCTTGAGCAGGATGGCGTTGCCGGCCCTGTCATCGATACCGCGTTGGAGCCGACCGATGTTGGTGACGAGCAGGTCGTCTCCCACCAATTGGACGGAGTCGCCCAAGCGTTGGGTCATGGTGGACCACCCAGCCCAATCGTCCTCGAACAGGCCGTCTTCAATACTGATGATGGGGTACTCGTCGCACCACCGCGCGTACAAATCCACCAGTTCGCCGGCGTCGAGCGACAATCCTTCCCGTTCCAGATGGTAATTCGAGGCGTCCGCATCCCACAGTTCGGACGCCGCGACGTCCAGGGCGATGTGGACCTGCTCGCCCGGTCGGTATCCGGCGGCCTCGATGGCCTGCAACACCACTTCGATAGCGTCACGGTTGGACGGCAGGGTAGGGGCGAAACCGCCTTCGTCGCCGACGTTCAGGTTGTGCCCGCCGCTCCTCAGGATGGACTTCAACGCCTGGTAGATCTCCACGCCGGCGCGCAGCGCGTCGGAAAACCGGTCGAACCCAACGGGAGCGACCATGAACTCCTGTACGTCGGCGGAATTGGACGCGTGCCGGCCCCCATTGAGGATGTTCAGCAGAGGCACCGGCAGGCTCACCTGGCCGTCACCCGCCAGATGCCGCCATAGCGAGCCTCCCGCTGCGGAAACCGCGGCGGCCCGGGCGGTGGCCATGGAAACGGCCAGCACCGCGTTGGCCCCCAGGCCGCTCTTGTCATCGGTCCCGTCCAGCTCGTTCAAGAGGCGGTCCACGCCAGGCTGGTCGAATGGAGACGCTCCCATCAGCGCAGGACCGATACGGTCGTTCACGTTGGCAACGGCGGTCAATGTACCGCTGCCGCCGAATCGGGAGCGGTCACCGTCACGGAGTTCCAGGGCTTCGTAGCTGCCGGTGCTGGCGCCCGAGGGAACCAGCGCCAAGCCGACACTGCCGTCCGACAGGGTTACTTCCGCTTCGACCGTCGGGTTACCCCGGGAGTCCAGGGCTTCCCGGCCGACCACGGATGCGATGGTGGCATCAGCCATTGGGTATCTCCGGCAGGGGTTCGGAGTAGGCGACGGTCTGGGTCTCGTCGGTGCGGGCCAGCGCTGCGGCGACGGCTTTGTCCACCGCGTCGATGGGATCGTCAGCGATGATGTAATTGTCACCCACCGGCAGGCCGTCGCCGCGCACCGTCAGCGGCCAGCTGCTCAGGGCGACCACGGGTATGCCATAGCTGAGAGCGTAGGCGATTTCGGAGAGAGTGCCGAACGCGCCGCCGACGGCAATGACCGCCTGGCCAGTGCTGACCACCGCGACGTTCCGAGCAAACCCCATGTTGGTGGCAACGGGGAAGTCCACGTACTCGTTGGCGGTGTGCGGCGATCCGCCGGGCAGGATCCCGATGGTGGTGCCATTCTCGGATTTCGCCCCCTTGCACACGGCTTCCATCACGCCGGTGAGTCCGCCGCAGACCAGGGATATGCCGCGACGGGCCAGTTCCTTGCCGACGCCTTCGGCCAGGGTCATAGACATGGGGTGGCGGGTCGTAGTTGCCGACTACTGCGATGATCATCGAGACGATACCTCCGTTTGCGACGCGGAATCGCACGGGCGAATGATTTTTCGCCCCCGCAAGTTGGACAGTTTACAACTATGAGCCTTCACCCCAACGGCACGATGGCAGCGCTGGCAGCGTCGATCAAGCCCAGCAGCGGCGCCGGGTAAATGCCCAGCCAGGTGACCACCAGCAGACCCACGCCCATGGTAGCCGTCAGTATCAGTGACGGACGGGGCATCGGAGTAACCGGCGGCTCCTCGTGGCGGTCGTGTCCGTGTGCCTCCGCGTGGTCCCCGTCGGGTTCGTGTACATCGTCCTCGCGCCCAGGGCGAGGGGCCGGCTCGATGTACATCTGCCGGAGCACCTGAAGGTAGTAGTACAGCGATATCAGGCTGCCGAAGATGGCGACGCCCGCCAGCCATAGGAAACCGCCGTCGGCCACGGCAGCAAAGAGGTAGAACTTGGCGGTAAACCCGGCGAATATGGGCAGTCCGGCCAGCGAGAATAGGCCGATGGCGATGGCGGCGGCAACGAACGGCTGACGGTCGGCCAGGCCGGCGAGGTCCGCGATGTTGTCCTGCCCGGTACGGTTGTAACATGCGGTGAGGCCGGCGAACACCAGCAGGTTGGTCGCGGCGTACACCACCAGGTAGAACACCACCGCCTTGGCGGCGAGGGCGAAATCACCGCCCAAAACCGCAACACCGGCCAACGCATAACCGACGTGTCCGATGCTGCTGTAGGCCATCAACCGCTTCAGGTTACGTTGAGCCAGCGCGACCAGGTTGCCCAGCAACATCGTCAGCGCGGCCAACACCGCGATGACCAGCTGCCAGTCGTCCCATCGGTCCGCCGCCGGAACAAACGCTTCGGCGAACAGACGCAGGGTCAGCGCGAACGCGGCCGCCTTGGAGCCGATGGCAAGGTAGGCGGTCACTGGAAGGGGCGCGCCCTCGTAGGCGTCGGGGGCCCACATGTGGAAGGGCACCGCCGAGAGCTTGAAGCCGAGGCCCACCACCAGCAACGCCACGCCCACCCACAGGACCGGGCTCAGAGTGCCCGGAGATGCCAACTCCTGGGCGATTCCAGCGAAGAACGTGGTCCCAAGGGCGGTGTAGATGTTGCTGAGGCCGTAGAGCATGATGGCCGAGGAAAGTGCGCCGATGATGATGTACTTGATACCGGCCTCGTTGGAACGGGCTTCCCGCAAACCGTAGGCCACCATCACATAGAGGCTGAAGGACAGCAACTCCAGGGCGATGTAGGCGGTGAGCAACTCCCGGGACATGGCCATCAGGTTCATGCCGAGGATTGAGAAGAGCAGCAGCCCGTAGAACTCGCCGCGATGTTCCAAGCGGTCGCGACCGTATTCCACCGAAAGGGCGATGATGCCGACACCGATAGCCAGGAAGAAAATCTTGAAGAACAGGCCGAAGCCGTCGACCACGATGAGCCCGCCGTATAACTCCACGGGGCCAGACGGACGCATGAGGATGGCGATCACCATCACGACGACCAGACTCACTACGGACAGGCCGGCCAACCATTCCTTGTTGCGCTCGGGCAGGAACAGGTCAACGGTAAACACCAGGAACGCCAGAGCCGTTAGAGCGAACTCTGGAGTCAGCAGGTGCAGATTGGCGGTGTAGTCGATTGGCATATGAGTAACTGCCTACGACCCATTTACAGTTAGAGGTTCCATGTCAATCAATTCCGCCAAGCGCAAGCGAAAACCGTTTCTTGAGAACCCGATGCATCGTTCCGCTCGCACCTGAGATCTCCCATGGGTGTTTGCGCGGAAACTTGTCGGACAGTGGTATGTCTGCGAGTTTCGTACTCGCAACTCATTTCCTGTCCTCCCTCATCCCCATAAATGCGACTAGAGTTGCAGTATTCCTTACCGTCAACGAAGAGGGAGAGGCCGAATTCATTCACGTCGAAAGCCGGATCAGCCAATACGGCTAGATGGTCACCGTCGTTAGTGAAATAAGCCCACAAGTTCGCTCGTGTGGTTTCAGCCAACGATATGGATGGTGTGGCAGTTGGCGCTGGCGTGGCCGTGGCCGAGGGTGTGGCAGTTGGCGCTGGCGTGGCCGTGGCCGAGGGTAGGGCTGGGGGTAACGAGCACAGTGACCGGGATTTCCCTGGTCACCTCCCGCGTAACCTCAACGGTCTTTTCTACGACCTGGGTAACCGGCACAGTGACCTGAACCTCGACCGTTTGCTCGACTATGCGGGTGACTGGAACAGTGACGTCAATCTCCACGGTTCGGTCCACTAACCTGGTGACCTCCACCTGCTCAACTACGGGTTCTGGCGCGGTGCAGGCCGTCACCAATAGCGCTACGACTGTCGCAATGACTGTGGCGGATTTCTTCATGTGCTCGTTTCTCACTTTTTAGGTGAATTCCCTAAATGTTTCCGATCACTAAAACACCGACAGCGTGCTTTCGACGCCGGTGTTGATGACGCGCAGCAGCGGGGCCGGCCAGACGCCCACAGCGATCAGAATCAGGACAAAGGCCGCACCCACGCCCTTTTCCACCGGGCTGGCATCGGTCAAGTGGTCCCACTGCGGGTCGCCCTCGCCGAAGAAGGAGCGCGCGAGCAGGCGCAGGATGTAAACGGCCGTGATGGCTGCGCCGATGACACCCAGGACCGCCAGCGGCAGGTAGGTGCGGAACGCGCCGGTGAACACCATGAACTCCGCGATGAACCCGCTCAGGCCGGGCAGGCCCAGGGAGGCCAGGCCGGCTATGGCGAAGAAGAAGGTGGTCGTACCCATCCGTTTGATGAGGCCGTTGAGGATCATGCTGTCGCGGATGTGGGCCCGCTCGTAAATTGCGCCCACCATGGCGAACATCAGGGCTGTCATTATGCCGTGGGAGAACATCTGCAGCACGGCGCCGGCCAGACCCACCGGGTGCAGGGTGGCGATGCCCATGAGCACGTAACCCATGTGGCTAACACTGGAATAGCCGATGACGTACTTGAGGTCATTCTGGGACAACGCGGAGATCGCGCCGTAGATCACGTTCACCGTGCCCAATCCGATGAGCACCGGCATCCACACCTCTGCCCCCTGCGGCGCGAGCAGCATGCCGACCTGGATGATTCCGAAGGCTCCTAGCTTCATCAGCACGCCGGCGTGGAGCATACTGACGCCGGTGGGCGCCGCAACGTGGCCGTCGGGCGACCAGGTATGGAACGGCCACAGGCCAGCGAGCACGCCAAACCCCAGCGCGAAGAAGGGGAATACCCACATCTGGGTGAGCCGGGATACGTGGCCGTCCAGTTGCAGTTGGGACAGTTTGTCGATGTTGAAAGTGGGGTCGCCGGCCTGCGACGATGCCACGTACAGGGCGAGTATCCCTACCCAGATGAAGATGCTGCCGGCAACGAGCATCAGCATGAGCTTCATGGCGCCGTATTCCTTGGTGCGCAGGAAGGCGCCGAAGTCGGTGCTGCTGCCCCACACGCCAATGAGCAGGTACATGGGCAGCACAGCGAGCTCGTAGAAGAAGAACAGGAAGAAGAGATCCCGGACGACGAACACACCGAACACGCCCGATCCCAGGGCCAGCAGCAGCACGAAAAAATCCCGTGTCCGCCGTGTGATGGTCTGGCTGATTAGTACCGCGCCCAGAAGCACGATACCGTTGAGCAGCACGAGGGGCGCGCCGATGCCGTTCAATCCCAGACTCAGGTTGATGTTCACGGGCTGCCCGATCCAGGCGTACTCCCGAACCATCTGGACCCCGCCGGCCCCGTAGTCGTAGCGCAGGAAAACAATGACCGACAGGACGAAACACACCAGCGAAACGAAGATCGCAAACTGCCAGGCATCCCGCGGGCGGTCCTTGGGCAGTCCCATCGACAACACCGCGCCGGCCAAGGGCACCAGCACTAAAAGCAGCAGAGATACCTGGTCGAAATTGTCCATCGTTACAGTAGGTTAACGCCGGCGGTTACACCGAGCGCAGCCACCAGAATATCGCCAAGCCGATCACGCCCAGGGCGACGGCGAGGGCATAGGAGTAAACGTGGCCGGTGACGTGCAGACGAAGCGCGACGCCAGCCTTCCGCACGATGTCGGCCGGGCCATTCACCGCTACGTCGTTCACCACGGCGCGGTCGAAGAACGCCAGCGTAGCCGATACTGTCAGCACCACCCGATCAATGACCCACTGGTACGCTTCGTCGACGTAGTACCGGCGTTCCACGACTCGCAACACCGCCGCGAAACGCGCCCGCCAAGGTTCGTGGGAGATCGCGCGACGCACGTAAATCAGCCATGCCAGCACGAACGCGCCGACGGCCAGGATGATCGACAGCGCGCCCAGGACAAGGTTGAAGTGGAACTTTTCCGCGTGGTCGTAATATACAAAGCTGCCGAACCCGTCGAAGTTGCCCGGCCAGTTGAAAGCGATCCAACCGAAACCCACGGCCAGCACTGCCAGAACGGACATGACACCCGTCATCAGCACGGGCGACTCATGGGCGTGGTGGCTGTCCTCGCCTTCGGGTCCGAAGAACACGACGAACATGGCGCGCGCCATGTACAGCGCGCTCAGGAAGACCGTGAGCATTGTCAGGACGATGAAGATCACGGGAAGGTTGTGTTCCACCGCGATCAAAATTTCGTCCTTGCTCCAGAACCCGGACAGGATCGGGATTCCGCCCAGGGACAGCGCGCCGATGGAGAACACCACGGCCGTGACCGGCATCGCCCGGCGCAAACCCCCGACGCGACGAATATCAACGTCGCCGTGGGCTCCCACGCCGTGCATCACGCTCCCCGCGCCGAGGAAGAGCAGGGCCTTGGCAAAGCCATGCGCCATCAGGTGGAACACCGCCGCCGTCCAGCCGAAGGCGCCCAGGGACAGCATCATCAATCCCAGATGAGAAACGGTGGAATAGGCCAGGATTCGCTTTAGATCAGTGGAGACGAGAGCGATGGTGGCTGCCCCCAGAGCAGTGATCAACCCGACGATCGCCACGATCATCATGGCTTCCGGAGACGCGGCGAAAATGGGGTAGGCGCGGGCCACCAGGTACACACCGGCGATCACCATGGTCGCGGCGTGGATGAGCGCGCTGACCGGCGTGGGGCCTTCCATAGCGTCGGGAAGCCAGACGTGGAAGGGGAATTGTGCGGACTTGCCCATAGCGCCCAGCAGCAGCAGGATGGCGGCCGCGGTGGTTACGCCACTGCCTAACTCTCCGGAGGCCGCGGCAGCGAAAGCGTCCGTCATGCTGAAGCTGCCCACGTTCACCCACAGCAGCAGAATACCCACCAGCAGACCCACATCTCCGATCCGCGTTACCACGAACGCTTTCTTGGCGGCTTCTCGCGGGCCCGGGTTTTCAAACCAGAAACCGATGAGCAAATAGGAGCACAGGCCCACCAACTCCCACGCGATGTACAGCAGCAGGAAATTGTCCGCCAGCGCCAGGGTGAGCATCGCGGCAACAAACAGGGCCTGCCAGGCAAAGTACCAGCCGAAGCGCGGATCACCCTTCATGTACTCTAGCGAATAGAGCTGGACACCGATGGCGACGAAGGTAACCAGGCCGAGGAGCACGATGGTCAACGGGTCGATGATGACGCCCCAGTTCAGGTGAATGGCCTGGTCGACCGTGGCAGCCGCCCCCGGGATGCCAGCCTGGAACCATTCGGTGGTGAAGTGGCAGGTCAAAGCCCCCGTGATACCGCTCACCGCACAAGACGGATCGTCGGCGGACGCGCCCAGAAATCCCAACGTGGCAACGATCCATACTGCGAAGCCGCCGACGATGGCCAAAATCGCCACCGGGGCGCCGCGCAGCGGCAGCCAACGCTGGAACAGTATGATCAGCGGACAGGCGGCGAAGGAGAAGACTGGTATCAGGAATGCCAGCGGCATATCACCACTTCAGCAGGTTGATTTCGTCCACGTTGACGGTTCCCCGGTTGCGATACATCCGCAGGATGATAGCGAAAGCCAGTCCGACTTCCGCAGCCGCCACGGTGATGACGAATATGGCGATTATCTGGCCGTCGAATGCGGCGAAGCGACCCGTACCGTTCAGGTAGGACGCGGCCGCGATCAGGTTGATGTTGACGGCGTTCAGCATCAACTCGATGGACAATACGATGAGCACCGCGCTTCTGCGGGCGAGGACACCGTAAAAACCGATGCCGAACAAGGCAACGGACAGTAACTGGAAATAAAGGAGGGGCACCATAGTTCGGCTAACCCTCACCCTCGGCAGACGGCTGGCCCGGCGATGAACCGGGTTCCGTAGTGTTGCTTTGAGTGCGGGCGATGATAATTGCCCCGATCAGCGCGACCAGCAGCACCAGAGAAGCGATCTCGAAGGGCAGAGCCCACTTGGTGAAAAGAGACGCGCCCAATTCCGTGAACACGGGAGCCTGTGGTCCGGCGACAAAGTCAGCGTCAGGGGCCAGCCAGAAAGCAGTGCCCAGCACACCGGCCAGAACGATTGCCGTGATCAGCGCCAACGGCCACTGGCGGTTGTCGGTTATCCGCGGGTATTCGGAAGAGCGGGTGAGCATCACGGCGAACAGCACCACGATGGTGACGGCGCCGCCATAGATCAACACCTGAACCAAGGCGAGAAACTCGGCGAACAGGAGCAGGTAGGCGCCGGCGGCTCCCAGCAAAGACAGCAACAGGAATAGCGCCGCGTGTACCACGTTGCGAGTAGCCACCACCCCGACGGCCCCGCCAAGGGTGAAAATAGCAACGATTACGAACAGGGCCAGCGCCACGGGTCTATGCGTCCGGGCTCACCGGGCTCCACACGGAGACTCCGGGTACACTGGCAAAGTACGAGCCGCCCCGTTGGCGGCTCCGGTGGTGAGGGTTTGGTTTCAGTGTCGGCATTGCTGAATAGGCTGACCGGCCCTGGCGTTATGGCGGACCGACGCCTAGATCGACTTGAGGAGCGTGCAGGTTGCACACTCGCAGTCGGCCTTATGTTTCTTCACCGGCTCGGCTATCCCCGACGTCCGGCCGCGCGCCTTGCCCGACGCTCCGGATTTGCCCCGGCGCTTGCCCTTGCCGACTTTTCCGGCTTTTGCCGCCTTGCCGGCGATCTTGCCCACCAACCCACCGACCTTGCCGGCAACCGATTCGCGACCCCACTTTCTCTGCTCGACACAATCAACGCAGGTGCAATACTCCGGGTGGTGCGGCGACATGTTGCGGAAACGTTCGTCTTCTCTGGGCACGGTCAGCCTCGGTTCAGGTTGAAGCTTCGGCTTCCGCCGCCGCTTTGGCCGCGTCAGCTTTCTGCTTGGCGATCACGGTGGGCGGGATCCAAGCCGTCTGGTCCTGGTATTTTTTGCCGATGTGCAGCAACGCGGGCAGATCGACCCGGTCCCCGTTGCGCACGTAGGTGCTCATTTCGTGCTCGTGGCTCATCACAATCGCATCGAAGTTACAGTACTCGACACAGATGCCGCACAATATACAACGGTTCAAATTGATTTCAAAGTAATCGACGATCTTGCGGCGGCTGCTGTCGCCGTCCGCGTGCTTGGGATTGTCCATCATACTGGCTGACATGCACTGGGTCGGGCAGTTGCGGATGCACACCATGCAGCCGGTGCAATAGGGTTCGCTGATCTTACCGTCCCAGGTGAGTGCCGGGAACCCCATGAATCGGGGCCGCACGGGAGTTGCCTCCTTGGGATACTGCTGCGTCACCGGTTTACGGAACCCCGAGACCGTGGACGCGAGGGTAAGCATCATACCTTTCAGGCTTTCCAGCATGGCTACCCATCCTCGGGTGCGGGTCTACCGCAGCGGTCGAGCACCGCGAATATGTCGGCCACGGCGCAAGAGAAGCCGGGAATTTCCGGTTCACAGGTCACCACGTCGCCGATCCCCAAAATCAAGTCTGGCGAGTCGGGCCGGCGTATGGTTACGGCCCTTGGGCCCGGGTCTACGATCCACATGGCGGTGGCGCCATTGGCAAAGTACTCACGAGCCTTGCGCGCCAATTCGGACGGCGTGTTGCTGGGGGACACGATCTCGATGGCCAAGTCCGGCGCGAATCGCGGCCATCCACCGGCGTCTTCGTCATAGGTCGCCATCTTGTCCCAATTGGTGACGTGCACATCAGGAAAACGAAGGGTGTGCCCGCCCATCGCGAAGCCGGTGGTTACTCCTACATCCAGCGGGAACTGCTCGCGATGAATATGCCCGCTGATCAAGGTGTATACGTGTCCCGTCATTCTCCCGTGCCTGGGGGGCTCCGTCCATATCTACCAATTCTCCATCCACGAGCTCATAGCGGTGGCCGGGATCGCTGGCCATCTCCCAGAACTCGTCAACGGTGATTTTGTGAGTACTAGTAGTCATGGACGGAATTGCTCCGATAGCTGCCAATCGGATGGCTGCCAATATGATACCAGCATCGGTGACTAGCTGCGTGCTCCGGCGGCGGAGCGCTGCCGGTCGGAGAGCCGGCGCTGCACCTCGGCCACACGGCGAGCCGGACCGGCCATGCGCCGGTAGATGATCCACCCGGCAACCGCCAAGCCTGCCGAAGAAAGGATTGTCAGGCTCCACCAGGGCAGCCCATAGAACCGGTACACGGCGGCGATGATCACCGTGTAGAACGACAGCGGCACCATCACCTTCCACGCGAAGGCCATCAGCTGGTCAATCCGTAGGCGCGGAAAGGTTCCGCGCACCCAGAACACCACCAAAACCACGGCGTATGTTTTGAACAGGAACCACACCACATCCGGCAGAGCCGGACCGCCCCAGCCGCCCAGGAACAGCAGCGTCGTCAGCGCGGCGATGGCGAAGGTGTTGATGTACTCGGCGAGGAAGAACACCGACCAGTGGGCGCCGCTGTATTCCACGAACGGGCCCCCGACCACCTCACTCTCCGCGTGGTAGATGTCGAAGGGCGTGCGTCCCACCTCGGCCAAACCGGCGATGAAGAACACCACAAAACCGAGGGGCAGCACTACCAGGTAGGGGTACGAAGATTGCTGGGCAACGATTTCCCGCATGTCAAGGGATTGGGCCAAAATGGCCACCGCCGCGGCCACCAGCACCACGGGGATTTCGTAAGAAATCAATTGGGCGGCCGACCGCAGCCCACCCATGATCCCGTATTTGTTCGCTGATCCCCAGCCGGCCAGGACGAGTCCGAGGATACCAATCACAGCGAAGGCGATGATGTAAAACAGTCCCAACGGCAGGTTGCGGATAACCACGTTGTCGCCGCCCGGAATGGTCACCCATATGACGAACGCAGACACCACGACGATCACGGGGGCAATCCAGAAGACGGCTTTTTCCGATTCGTCGGGAATGATGTCCTCTTTGATGATGAGTTTCACCGCATCGGCGATCGGTTGCATCAGCCCGAACAGTCCCGTCCGCGTCGGCCCGTAGCGCAGTTGCAGCCGGCCGAGAGCCTTGCGCTCCAGCCAGGTCAACGACAGAACTATCAAGGACAGCACGGCGAACATGACCGCCAGTCCGAGAGCGCTCCATCCGAGATCGATGAGAAAACTCACCGGTCCACCTCACCAAGCACGATGTCGAGGGATCCCAGCACCACGACGCTATCCGCCAGCCAGGTGTCGGCGAGCAGCCGGCGCAGCGCGGACAGGTTGCAGAATGACGGTGGCCGCACCTTCAGCCGGTATGGCTTGTCGGTGCCGTCACTGACCAGGTAAACGCCGATCTCACCACGAGGATTCTCGGCACGGATGTATGCCTCGCCGGCCGGCGGGCGGATCAGCCGGCGTCCAAGCGACGACGCCACCGGTCCGTCAGGCAACTGTTCCATCGCCTGCTCCACGATTCGCAGGGACTGGTACATCTCCTGAACGCGGACCCAGTGCCGGTCCCAGCAGTCGCCATCGAGACCGACGGGCACGTCAAAGTCGAAACGGTCGTAGATGGAGTACGGTTGCGCCTTGCGAACATCATACTCATACCCGCACGCCCGCAGCAGCGGACCAGTGAGCCCCAGGGCTATCGCTTCGTCAGCCCCAATGGGGCTCACATCCTTGAGGCGGGACAGAAAGATTTCATTGAAGGTCAATATGCGGTCGCTTTGCTCGACATCGTCCCGGAGCAGCGGCATTAACTCGGCCACCATCTGCCGGAAATTGTCGGGTACATCCTCCTTGAGGCCGCCGATGCGGAAATAGTTGTGCATCATGCGGGCGCCGGACACCGCTTCAAACAGCGCCTGAACCCTCTCCCGGCCGCGGAAGGAGAACATCACCGGGGTCATAGCTCCGGCATCGAGGCCCATGGTTCCCACGTATAGCAGGTGACTGGCGATGCGATTGAGCTCGCACAGGATCACGCGGATGTACTCCGCCCGCTCCGGCACCTCCAGGCCCATCAGCTTCTCCACCGCCATGCAGTAGGCCTGCTCGTTGTTGAAGTTGCCGATGTAGTCCAGGCGATCGAACAACGTGACGACCTGGTGGTACTGCTCCCCCTCACAGAGCTTCTCGGATCCCCGGTGCAGGTAGCCGATGTGCGGTTCGACGTCCACCACCTTCTCGCCGTCAACCCACAGCACCATTCGGAACACGCCGTGGGTCGAAGGGTGCTGAGGCCCCATGTTGAGCAACATCTCGACTGGCTGGGTGCCCTCGCGGACGCCGTCGGCAACCTGTGCAGTCATAGCGGTGTGATCGACCATGGTTCAGCGAATATCCAGCGACAATGCGGCGATCAGCCCGACTGCTCGCGGGTTTCGGGAAAGGGCGACCCTATGAATCGCAGGTTAGGCTGTGGCGGTTCCACGCGGCTGCTCATCCAGACTTCGCCGTTGTCGTAGAACCCCGCCTCGATCAGCACGTCTTCCAGCTCGCCCATTTCCTCGCAATCTTCCAGATAGGCCGCCACCTGCCGTCTGAGGGCGGTGCGGGCATCGTCCTGGGTATCGCCGAATGCAGTGACTTCCAGTTCGGGGCAGTGAGCCTCCCAACCCGAGGCGGCCCGGACGGCTTCGATCTCGTATACGATGCGATCCATAAATTAACCGCCGGCCTATTCTTGGCCTGCCGGTTCTTCGTTCACGAACCGCAGCACAATTTCGGTTTCTTCGTTCAAGTGGTCGATACCAAGAGCCAGCCCCAACCGGCCGACCGTGTCCTGGCGCTCCAGCCAGCCTCGCATCGCCTGGACCAGCCCGTTTTCAGCGGCCTCCGGAGTGCGGCCGCTGCTCTGCAAATCCAAGCCGTCCACCACGGCGACGAATTGATGGCCGTCCGGCACCACCCGAGCTATCAATTCCACCGGAGCGGCGGCGTCCGGGACACTGGCGTCTATGTCTTGAGCGGCAGTCACTAGAACTCCCGGTACTCGAAGAAATCATACGCTTTGCGGCCGGGATAACCGTCAAACTCCGGGTACAGCAGGAGGGGCGACAGGTCAGGGTGGCCGTCGAACGAAACGCCGAAAAGATCGTGGGCTTCGCGTTCATACCAATCGGCCGCCGGCCAAACCGCGCATACCGAAGGCAAAGCCGGGCGGTCGTAGGACACTTGCGTTTTTAACACCAGAGATTGTTCATTCGCCAGCGACTGCAGGAAATAGACCAGCTCGAAACGCTCCTCGTAGTCCACGCACGCCAGGCAGAGCAGCATACGGCAGTCCAACGTGTCGTCATCCCGACACGCCAAGCAGGCGGACACGATATCGTCCGCGGGCACGGTCACCTGAGGCAGGTCCCCCAATGCGCCCGGCACCGGCGAGTGATCCGCAAGCGCCGTAACCGCCCGATCCAGCGTCGCACGCCGCCGGGGCGACAGCAACTCGACCGGGTCTGGCGGCGGCTCCGCGTCCGCCTCGGGAGCGTTAGGCCGAGGCCGAGGCATTACCGTCTCCCGCGTCGGCCATGATTTTTTCCTGCAACTTTAGGATACCGTACAGCAGAGCTTCGGGGCGTGGAGGGCAGCCCGGCACGTAGACATCCACCGGAATGATGTGGTCAACGCCCATCACCACCGAGTAGGAACGATAGTAAGGGCCACCATTGGTGGCGCAGCTTCCCATGGCGATCACCCACTTTGGCTCCGGCATCTGTTCGTAGAGCAACCGAATGGGTTCGGCCATCTTTTTGACCACCGTTCCGGCAACGATCATCACGTCGGACTGGCGGGGCGAAGGCCAAGTCACGACGCCGAAGCGGTCTAAATCGTGGTGCGCCATGTAGGTGGAAATCATCTCGATGGCGCAACAGGCCAGGCCGAAGCTCAGAGTCCATAGCGATGACTTACGCGCCATGGCAAAGAGCTGCTCGGTCGTGGCTGTGATGACGCCGGGCACCCGTCCGTCGGTAGCCTGGTTGAGCAGGCTGGGGCCGGGCCGATTGCCGGCGCCGAGGATGATTTCGGTGGCGCGCGGCGGCATCGCCAGAGGCGACAACGCTTGATCTTCCGGAAGCCCGGCAGGTCCCGCTGTGGAGTTTACTTCTGCCAATCCAGAACCCCCTTGCGCCACGCATAGATCACCGCGAAGAACAGCATGGCCAGGAACAGCAGCATCGCGTAGAAGGGAATCGCGTTACCGTTCAGCGCTTTTTCCTGCATGAACACGACCGCCCACGGAAACAGGAAGACCGCTTCCACGTCGAAAATCAGGAACAGGATCGCGAAGATGTAGAAGCGGATGTTGATGTTCGACCACGAGAATGGTGTCGGCGGAATGCCGCATTCGTAGGTCGTGAGCTTGACGGCGGAACGGCGCCGGGCCGACAGCAACTGAGATCCAGCGAACATTGCCCCGACGGCCGCGAGGGCAATCGCGACGGCGATTACCACCGCCAGCCAATTGCCGGCGTATTCGGCCGGGTTGAACGTTTGGAGCAGCATCGGGTCAAACATGGTCTGAATTATCTTCGACGGTTCCGGGCTGGAGCGGATTAATCCTAGCAACGGCCCCAATGGGTGTCAATTGAGGCGATGGGTTTCGCGTATGGCTGTGGAGGACAGGTCGCGCCGGAAGTCGGTCTCCGGTATCTCCGTAAACATAAGCCGGAACCCATCCGGGATATTCACGTCCGCAAGCGACCGAAACGCGCCGCCGTCATCGGTGCGCCCGCCAACCGCGAAGCGGCTGCCACGGCCCCACATGGCGGCCAGGGCTTTCAACATCGCAGCATCGGAATTTCCGTAATATCGGGGTTGAATCAGCCGGGTAACGGTATCCCATCCGATGGCGAAACCGCACCCGGGGAACAGCTCCGACTTTTTGATGAAGGTCTCCGCCCTGGTAAGCACCACCGTGCCAATCCCGCGGAATTGGTCCAGTCGGCCGTGGACCTCCACCGCAGCCAGGGGTGGTTTGTCAACATTCGACACCGACAGCTCGTATGCAACAGGAACTCCGAGTGCGCCGGTCACCGCCTCAGCCAATTCCGTGTGACCCGCGTGAAGGGGGTTAAAGGAGCCTGGCAGCAGGGCTTGCGGCGCGTCTCCATCGACAACCATCCGACCGTCCGGATGGACTGTGACCCAGCTGGCGTCTCCATCCAGCAACCGTTGCACCGGCTCGGCGTGGCGGAGGGTTTCGGTTTCGACTCGCTCCGAGGACGCCAGCCTCAGATCGAGTTCGGCGGACACGCCGCAGGCGCGGGCGAGGGCGGCAATGACCAAACGACTGACCACCTCCTCTTCGCCGGCGCGTTCGCGCAACCCCTTGTCAAGTACGATTACGTCGGTAGTTGCCACGTCATGATCCCAAGTCGCGATGAACGCCCGGTGGTCCCCCCGCTTGGTGCGGTCCGTGGCGATCGTCGCGGTGCACGCCAACCCGACGATGGGCGCGTCCTGCTCCCGCAAGGACAACCCTCGACCCCATGCTGCTCGGGCCATGCGTCGCGCGGTGTCCGCGGAAACGGTTTGCTCGGGAGCGTATCCGCCGAGGAAATCGGTCATCGCCAGGTATCCGTACGGAACCCGGGTCTCAAGCACAGTGCGCGAGGCCCCACCAACTCCGAGGAGCCAGGCCAGAGCGTAGTTGCCGGCACCCGCGACGGCCAGCACGGATTGCTGGGGTGTGTCGTGGATTTTCGCGACTATCTGGGCGATTTCCTGGTCCATACCGGCCTCGGACGGTGTGCGGAGTCCGACGCCAACCGATTTGTCCGGAGGCATCGGCGGCATTGTACCATCCTAGCGTTGGGGGTTTTTGAAACGGTCTGTCCACGCCGCCGGGTCAATGCGATTCATTGTGGCCAGGGAGACGTCTATTTCTCCAGTGATCTTGCGGTCCCACTCGTCAGCCCATCGCTGGGGAAGGCGCGGCCTGGCCTCGCGCCAGGTCATTCGTTTGCCACCGTTGGTCCGACCGTCTACGACTTCCACCAGGAACGCGGTCATGTCGCCACCGTCCATGGCATTGATCACGCGGCAATCGAGGAAACCGTAACACCCTTCGAGCAATGGGCTGCCCGTGGCGCCGGTGGCGCAGCCAAGGCCCGCAAGCTTGTCGCCGTCCCGTCCCGAGTGCATGCCCAACTGCCAAATGAGCGGCAGCTGGTCGCTTTCCAGGAAGTTGATCGCCAGCACCCCGCTGGAGGCGATCAAGCCATGGGTGAAGTTGGTGTGATAGATCTGAACGATCAGCCGAGGCCGTTGAGGAACTATAGAGGCGGCGGTGACGGCCACGGCGATTTGAGCGTTGCTGACGTCTCCGGCACGTGTTGAGATGGCGGCGAGGGGAGCGCTCAACCCGCCCAGCAATGGCCCCACGTCAGCGGGGTTGACGTCGGACGCAGAGTCCAACGAATCGTCTCGAGAATCGCTCACCGTGCCTACCAGTCGGGGTGGGTGTCCATCGCGTCATTGACGGTAAGCCGCATTTGGCCGGTCCCGTCTGCGTTCATGTACAGGATCTCGGCGTTCCCATAGGCATGAGAGACGAACGCGATCCGATCGTTTTCCGCTGACCACACGGGCATCAGATCGTCCGCCGTGTTCTGGGTCAACTGTCGCTTTTCTGAACCATCGACCAACACGGAGAAGATCTCGGACTGATCGTCGAACCGCACCACGAAAGCCAGCCTCCTGCCGTCGGCCGACCAGGCTACGGAGAACTCGTCATGGTCGTCTTCGGATACGGCTACCTCGTCAGTATCATCGGCCCAATTGTCCGAGTTGGTGGGGCGGAGGACGTAAATGTCGCGGCTACCATCCGCGCTGCGCAGGAAGGCGATGCGGTCGCCTTTGGGCGACCAGACCGGGTCGGAGTCAGGCCCTGCCGTCAATTCAATACGGTTGACCCCATTGGGGTTACGGAGGAAAAGCCCGTCCTTTCCGTATTCAGTGAAGACCAACCACTCACCGTCGGGAGACCAGTCTCCGACGAGTTCGCGTTCGGGGCTGAAGGTCAACCGCGTTTTCTGCCCGCCCTCAAGCGTTACCATGTAGATGTCGGGCTCGCCGTCTGCATCCGAAATGTACGCAATACGGTCCGAGCCAGGCGCCCAGATGGGAGGTTGCTCGGCGTCTACGTTCGAAACCAGTGATGTGACGCCTTCGCTGCCGACGTCGTAAACCATTAGTTCGGTCTTATTGCCGACTGATATCCACGCTATCCTGGATTGGTCTGGCGACCACCGTGGTTCCTTTGCGTCGGCGCTCAGGGAAGATATGCGCGACGCATCGCCTTCGCCGGGTTGCTTGACCCACGCCTGGGCTCCGTCTTGGTCGGAGACTATGTACGAAATTGCTGGAAGATCGCCGCCGACTAAATTCCCGGCAAAACAACCGCCGAACGACAAGGCCACGGCTAAACACAAGGTCAGGATCCAAAAACGAGAAATTCCCGAGACCGATCTCATCATTATTCGTTCCGGTAAGAGGTTATGTCGATTATGTGATTATATCGTAACCCATCACTTGCCCATCCTGCCTCTATGAACCATTTACGCGCTTTATGTTCCTTGACATCGGCGGGGGCCCAAATTAGCATCGCTTCACCCTAGTAGTATCCCGGCGCCGTTGATGGGTCACCCGATCGGCTGCGCATTCGACAAAAACGAGAGGTCGATCATGCTGGCAATAGTTGGAGGAAATCTCATCGACGGCTCCGGCGGACCGGTGATGAACAACGTGACGGTGCTGATCGACGGAGATCGCATCCTGGAGGTCGGCCCACAGGCGGCAGTGCCCATCCCCGAAGGCGCCGAGGTGCTCGACGCCAGCGGTCATACGGTAATGCCCGGCCTCATTGACGTGCACGACCACCTGGCCTCGGGAGGATACGGACTCACCGGCCGTTGGGGCATGGACGAACCGCTGTCCCTGTCCAACATCAGAACCGCCCAGGTCATTGAGGACACGCTGGCCGCCGGCTACACCACGGTGCGCGACGCGGGCGGCCTGGACGCCGGGTTCAAAATGGCCGTGGAGCAGGGCTTGATCAAGGGGCCGCGCCTCATCATCTCGGTGAACATCATGTCTCCTACCGGCGGGATCGAGGACAAGGTGAGCGGTAGCGGCCACCGCAAGGTAATCCTGGGCCACGATCCTCTTTCGCCGGACGGCGTCGCCGACGGCGCGGAGGGAGTACGGGCCAAGGTACGCGAACTGGTCCGCTGCGGCGCCGACCAGATCAAGTTTGCGACCACCGGAGGCGCCTCCGGCCGCCCCGGCAACGGTCCACTGGACCAGGCTTACGCGCTGGATGAGGCGAAAGCGTTGGTTGATGAAGCCGCAGCCATGGGACGCAGCACGCTCTGTCACGCGGTGGGCGGCACCGGACTCCCCATCGCCATCAGGGCCGGAGCCGGTTCAATCGAGCACGGGTGCTACTTGGCCACAGATCCCGACATGCTCAAGATGATGGCCGACCAAGGGACCTTCTTCACTCCGACGTTCGAGGTGTACGACTTCCACAGCACGGTCAGCGCTCCCCACATCAAAGTGCGCGCGGAGGCGCTGATGGAGATCCACATCCGGAGCACTGAACTTGCCATCAAGGAAGGGGTCCGCATCGTCGCTGGCACCGACGCTGGTGGATTCGTGCACGGCGACAACGCCCGCGAACTGGAACTGATGGTAGAAAAGGGCATGAGCAACATGCTGGCCATCCAGTCCGCCACCGGCTACGCCGCCGAATGCTGCGGGATTGGGAAGGAGGTCGGAACCATCGCAGCCGGCAAGCAGGCCGACGTGTTGGTGGTGGACGGCGACCCGCTACAGAACATATCCGTCCTGCGCGACCGCGAGCGCTTGCTCCTGATCATGAAGGGCGGCGAGGCCTACTCCAATCGCCTGGCAGCACGGGAATTGCAGCCCGCCTAGACACGTCAAGGGTTGGATCAACACACGCTGGCGGTACAAACCACTTCGGCCGGTGGAGTACCGCCCGGTTGCGGTTTAGATGCGTTTCACTGTCCTGACGCTGTTCCCGGAATCGTTCCGGATGATGGAAGAATACAGTGTGCTGGGCAGGGCGCTCCGCAGCGGACTGATCGAACTGGAAACAGTTGACATCCGGCAGTTCGCGACCGACCGGCACGGCACCGCCGACGACTACCAGTTCGGCGGGGGGCCGGGCATGGTAATGAAACCCGAGCCGGTGTTCGCCGCGGTGGAATCCGCGTTAGCGCGTGTCCCAGTCGAGGAACGGTCCGCGACGCCCGTGGCCCTCACCTCGCCACAGGGAGACAACCTGGACCAAAACCTGGTGAACGAGTTTGCCAGCGCGCCGGGCATGATCGTCATTTGCGGGCACTACGCGGGTGTTGACGAGCGCATACGACAGGGCTTGATCACCCACGAAATTTCCATCGGTGACTACGTGCTCACGGGCGGAGAACTGGCGGCCATGGTGATCATCGACGCGATCTCCCGCTTTGTGCCGGACGTCATCGGCTCAGCAGAGAACGTGGAGCACGACAGCATCACCTCGGGTTTGCTACAGCACCCGCTGTACACCCGACCCGCCGCGTTCCGAGGGATGGGCGTGCCGGAGGTACTGACATCAGGCAACCACGCCGACATCGAACGTTGGCGACGCCGGCAATCGCTGGAAAGGACATTGCGCCTCCGGCCCGATTTGCTGGATACCGCGCCGCTGACCAATTCCGACCGTGTCTTCCTGGCCAGCCTGGGATGGAGCGGCGACGGCGATTGACATGACTCAACTGCGTTCGGACTACCGTTTCGGTATCGACGTGCGGGTGCGCTGGCAGGAATGCGACGCACAGGGCATAGCTTTCAATGGCAGCTATCTGGGCTGGCTCGAAATCGCACAGGCCGAGTATTTCCGCAACCTCGGGTTCAGCATCTACCGCGTCGCGGCGGCCGGATACTTTGACAGCGCCGTGGCCAAGGTGACCATTGAGTACAAGGCGTCGGTAAGGGTCGACGAAATGTTGAACCTTCGGGCCCGGGTCGCCCGGATCGGCAACACCAGCCTGGCATTGGAAGTGGGCATATTCGTCGAGGGAAGTTCTCCCGACGACACCGCCCTCACGACCATTGAGGCGGTATATGTCGGCTTCCACGCAGACACCGGCCAGACCAGACGCGTGCCCGACTCGATTCGAGAACTGGTGGACGGTTGGGAGACGGCCGGTGAAATCCTGCCCCTGGCAAGTTTCCCGGAACTGGCGGCAGCACAATCGGGGATCGGCAACCGCGCCTCCCCCAAAAGCTGAGGGTTGGACCGCTAAATCATGAAGACCGGGGAGTCGTCCCGGTTGATGCGGGTCTCCGCGGCAATGCCGTCCCGAACGTGCTTGGGCAGGGCGAACATGGATTCGTGAGTTAGTCCGTCGTAGTGCCGCAGCGGCTTGGCAACCCGTTGTTCGATCAACCGGTCGACATCGGAGGCAGTAAGGTCACCCAGGGGAGCGTCCGACGCAATGGTAAATCCCCACAGGGTGATAAAGGAAGGAACGTGGACCTGGCAGGGAGCCGCGTGGGTGAAGGTACTTTCCAGCGTTTTGTAAATGGTCGTAAAGCACTCGTGCAAGCTCAGAAACCCGGCAGGGCCGGACTGCGTGACGAGGATCCCGCCCGGGTTCAGCCGCGCACGCGCGATTTCGTAGTATTCCTTGGTATACAGGAGATACGCCGGGCCGCCCTCCAGGGGATCGACGAGGTCCATTATCATCACGTCGAAGGACTGGTCAGTCGACTCCAGGAATCTGCGGGCGTCGTCAAATACTACCTCGGCCCGTCCGTCGTCGAACGCTCCCTGGTGATGCCGAGGCAGGTGCTCACGGCAAAGATCAACCACCTGACGGTCGAGGTCGACCATGACCGCCTTTTCCACCGAGCGGTGCGCGAGGGCTTCCCGCAGTGTTCCGCCTTCGCCGCCGCCGCCGATGAAAACCCGACGGGGATCGGGATGCAGCAGCATGGCCGGGTGGACCAGGGTCTCGTGGTAAATGTGCTCGTCCCGCTCGGTTGACTGCGTTTTCCCGTCCAGGAGCAGACTGCGCCCGTACACCTCGGAATGCACAACTTCAACTCGCTGGTATCCCGTGTGCCCCGAATAAAGCACCTCGTCGACCTTGAGCATTACCGCCAAGTCCGGCATCACGGTCTCGATCACCCATTTGCCGGTGATCTCTTCCATTGGGTAGCTGGCCATCAGGGCTCCATCGGTGACAGGGGATCTGTCTGGGGAAGAAGGCACCCAACAAGCGGCCGGAAACCCGGCCGTAACTACATCTCGAGAGCAAGTGGGTGTCAGTTCAGGTGGTGGGCTTGCTGCAGTTCAACAACGTGCGCACCCGTGAGCCCACGGCGGATCTGGGTGATCTCCGGGTCCCGACAGCACAGCGCTTCAATTATCACGGCCGCCGCGCGTTCCGCCATGGTGTGGTCACCACAGGTGAAGATGTCCGCCGCCGCGTAGCCGTGCTCCGGCCAGGTATGAATGGAAATGTGGGATTCGGCGATGGACAAGATGCCCGTTACGCCTTGGGGCGCAAACTGGTGGAACGACTCACCGACCACGTGGGCATTTACGGTGGACGCCGCCCGCAGCATCTCCTGCCTGATATGGGTGAGATCGTCAAGCAACTGGGGATCGCAATCTCTAAGTTCCAGGAGCACGTGCGTACCTAGTACATTCAATCACCCATTCCTCCGTGTGAATTGGCTCCCCCGGCCGGGCAACACGTCAACACGGACCCTTGGGAACAGCAGGCAATGATTCTACCCAATCTTGGCTGCTGATACAAGTACGGATCGCTGGCCGTAACAGTTCAGGGTTGGAGAGGTCAACTGGCTGAAACCCGGATTGCGAGTTGCTGGCAAAGCGCGGACCGAACTCGCGGGCATACTGGAGCGCATCCCAGGCAGCGCGGTCGTCCACGCCGATGAGACCGGCTGGCGGGCAGACGGGCACAACGGCTGGGTGTGCGAGCCCTTGACCGGTCACCTTCAGCACCCCCGACCAGCGGTACTTCCTGCGACCCGGTCGAGGCAAGGGCGTGGTCGACACTGTTACTGATTTTTGAAACAGCAGTCGAGCCCTGCGTGATTGGGGAATATGCGCTTTGTCCGCAGCCCCAGCCAAACCGCTGTCAACAAGTGAGATTTGGACTGCGGTTGGTCGAGCGTGGACGGCCCGTGAGCGGCATGGCAAACCCAGCGGACACGCGGCCTCACGCTGCGGGGCGGAGGTTTTTCCGCTCCCGCGAGGGACAGACTCGGTCGCCATGCGCGGCATGCCACGCTGTGCCCTATGCTATACTCGCGGGAAACTAGAAAGCCTTTCGATTGGGGCCGATTTCGGCTCTATTAGAGGTGTTAATTATGCAGTGGGCTTCTGCGCTATCACAACAGAACAGCCTGCGCGCCGCCCTCTCAGAGTGCGCCGCGTCGATCCGGGCGAACATGGGCGACACCGCGGCCGACCTGGCGGTGGTTTTCGCGTCATCAGAGTATGCTTCGGACTACGCCAACCTGCCCGAATTGGTAGGAGAACTCCTGGGTCACCAGGCGCTGGTGCTGGGTTGCTCGGGCGGGGGGATCATCGGCGGCGGCAGCGAGGTAGAGCAGGAACCGGCCGTGTCCGTCACCGCCGCCAGCCTGCCCGGTGTTGTCATCCACCCAATCAGGTTGGAGGGCGACGACCTGCCCAGCCTGGACGCGGCGCCGGACGATTGGCACACCGCGCTGGGCGTCGATCCGGCGGACCAGCCGCAGTTTGTCCTGCTGGCCGATCCGATGTCGTTCCCCGCGCAGAACCTTTTGCTGGGGATGGACTACGCGTACCCGTCCGCCGCCAAGATTGGTGGTTTGGCCAGTGCGGCACAGGGAGCCCGGCAAAATGGGCTGTTCCTGGGGCGCGACTACCACGACTCGGGAGCGGTCGGCGTGGCGTTGTCCGGGAACATCATAGTGGAAACGGTGGTGGCTCAAGGGTGCCGGCCCATCGGGTCACCGATGCACATCACCCGCAGCGACCGCAACTTCCTGGTCGAACTGGACGGAGAACCGCCCGTGAACGCGCTACGGAGCATCTTCCAGGGAGCCGACCAACGCGACCGGGATCTGATGCAGAGTTCCCTGTTCCTGGGCGTGGTGATGGACGCGCTGATCGATGAGCCGCGGCAGGGCGATTTCCTGATCCGCAACGTGATGGGAATGGACCAAAGAAGCGGGGTCTTGGCAATCGGCGAGATGCTGAAAGAAGGCCAGTTGGTGCAGTTTCACCTGCGGGACGCGGACACCTCGGCGGACGACCTGTCGGCGGTGCTGGAGAGATACGCGGTGGACAACCGGGAAAACCCGGCACACGGAGCGCTCCTGTTTTTCGTGCCTGGGAAGGGGCAAGTACCTGTACGGTCGGCCGAACCACGACACCGAGTTGTTCCACGACAAGGTTGGCGCGGCGGTGCCGTTGGGAGGTTTCTTCTGCAACGGAGAAATCGGGCCGGTGAGCGGAACCACCTTCCTGCACGGATACACCAGCAGTTTCGGGATTTTCCGCCCGCGCGAGTAGGGGACCAGGGCAATGGCCGCAACCGTAAAGGTCGGGATATCAGCGTCGCTGACCGGCCAGTTCGCCACGCAGGGCTGCCAGGCGTTGGCAGGTCTGACCGCGTGGGTCGAGTACGTCAACGAGCAGGGCGGCCTGGCCGTGGGAGGCGACAAACACCCGGTCACGTTGGTCAGTTACGACGACGGCAGCATGGCGGGCGCAACACGCCAGGCCACGGAGCAGTTGATCAGCCACGACAAAGTCGACTTGCTGTTCGGACCCTATTCCGCCGGGCTGACCACGGCGGCGGCGGAAGTTACCGAGTCCCACGGCAAGGTGATGTGGAACCACGGCGGCGCGGGCGACGCGCACTATGCCCGAGGGTTTCGCAAAGTAATCAGCATCCTGACGCCGGCGGACAAGTACCTGGTAGGGGCGCCGGAATTGGTCCGGCAGGCAAATCCCGAGGCCAACAAACTGGTGATCCTGCGTATCGACACGGGCGCTTTTGCCAGGCTCGTGACGAACGGAGTTGAAACGGTGGCGCACGAACTCGGGTTCACCACCGTGTTGGACCTGCGCTACCGGCCGACCCAGGTCAACTTTACCGAGATCGCAAGGCACGTGGCCGAACAGGCGCCGGATCTCGTGATAACCGTCGGTCGCATTCGCCATGACATTGGCACCGCCAGGGCGCTGGCCAGATTGCCGAACCGCAGCCACATTGGACTGGCCGCGGTGGTTGCGACTCCACTGGACGGGTTTGGGGAGTTGCTGGGCGATGCAGCCGACGGATTCGTGGGGCCCAGCCAGTGGGAACCGGCCTTCAGCATACTGGCGCCGGAGGTCGGACCAGGATCCTCCGAGGCGCTGCGGATACTGAACGACGCGGCCGAGACTTCAGGCGTGCCTGTGGACTATCCGATGGCGCAGGCGATGGCGACCGGGTTGGTCGCGGCGCATTGCGTCGCCTTGGCGGGCGACCTCCACGACGACGCGCTATTGGGGGCGGCGGTAAGCGCAGACTTCACGACGTTCTACGGGCGCTTTCAGATCGACGAGGCGGGTCGTCAAGTTGGCAGGTCGGTTGCGCTGGTGCAGCGCCAGGAAGGACGCAAGATGGTGGTGTGGCCACCGGAACTGGCCGACGGGGAACTGCGCTATCCGTTCTGAGTTAGCGAAGCCGCCGGGTCGCAGTTGGCCCGGCGGCTTCTTTGGCGCGTGGTGTTTCCGCGGATCAGTCAGGGCGCTGGATGATCTCCAAGCTGACCTTGTCGGGCGCTTCCACAAACATCACTTGGGACCCGGACGGCATGGTCCACGGATCGCAGATGATGTTGGCGCCGGTAGACTTGAACCGCTCGAAGGCCGCCTGGATGTCGTCGGTCTGGAAGCCGAAGTGGTCCAGGCCAAAGCGCGGGTGGGTCGACCCGGCTACGGCGTTCTCGCCCTCGGCCTCGCCGGAGACGGTGAGCAGGGGTTGGCCGTCAAGTTCCAGCTGATGGGACACGGTGTTGGCGAGGGGCCGCGTGGAAACGATCTCAGCGCCAAAGTTATCGACGTAGAACTTGGCGGCGTTATCGGGGTCCTCGCTCCTGAGGTGCAGGTGGTTGCAAACGAATGCCATGATGATTTCTCCGTTCTTGCGTAGTTCGAGAGTTCGCTATCTACCTGAGGTAGTCGGCAATCTGCTGGTCGTAGTCAGCCTTGCGCGTGACCTGGGCAATGAGCTCCGGCGAGGCGCACTGGTCGCGTAGATCGCCAGGAGCGACGCCGTCACGCAGCGCCTTGAGGGTGTCGTAAACCGCCTTGATGTGAGCCTGGAATGACAGGTGCCCCTGCAGAGCGACGCGCACGCCGTTCTGGCCGAGCCACGCCTTGTCCGACAGTTCACCGCCGGCTCCGCCGAGGAGCAGGGGGATGTTCAGCTCAGCGTTGACCGCTTCAACCTGGGCCTTGGTGGTCGCGCCGGCCAGGAAGATGGCGTCAACGCCGGCCGCCTCGTAGGCTTTCACGCGGCGGATGCACTCGTCCATGCCTTCGCTCAGGCTGCTGGTGCGTCCCACGATTACGAGATTGGGGTCGGTGCGGCCGGACAGAGCCGCCTTCATCTTGCCGACGCCTTCTTCGAGCGAAATATATCCGCTGGCGCCGCCGAACTGCATGGGCAGCACGGTATCTTCGATGGTCAAAGCCGACACGCCGGAGGCTTCCAGCTCTTCCACGGTTCGCTTCACGCTGAGGGCGTTGCCGTAGCCGTGGTCGGCGTCAACCATGAGGGGCAATTGACCGGCTCGGCAGATGCGGTAAATCTGCTGGGCAAACTCGCTGAGAGTCAGTACGACGTAGTCGGGGGCGCCGAGCACCGTGCCGCTGGCGATGGAGCCGGCGAACATACCGACCTCGAAACCCAGGTCCTCGGCAGCGCGGGCCGAGATCGGGTCAAACACGGAGCCGGGATGCACGCAAACATCGCCGGCCAGAACGGCTCGATACCGCTCCCGTCGCTTGGTGTAGTCCATATGCTCTTGGCTCCTTTGATTGCTTCATCGGGCGGTATGTTAGCATCCGCCCCGTGTATTCTAACCAATTTACCCTCCTGCGCAACCTGTAGCCGGGACGCTGCGGACGCTGCCCTAGAGCGGCGGCGTTGCGCGACCAACGACACGATGACCACGATAATCGGTGTTGACTTCAGTGGCCACCGGGAGGACCGCAACACGTGGACCGCCCTGGGCAACCTCACCGACGATGGAGCCCTGCTGCTGGACTGGGTGCAGCCGGTGAGGCGCGATGACCTTTACCACCTGCTGGCGAATGTCCCGACACCGGCGGTAGCCGCATTGGATTTCCCGTTTGGAGTTCCAAGGGCGTTTGCCGAATTCCTGTCCAGAGAGTGCCAGCCACAGGATATGACCGACGTGTGGCGCGTGGTCTCTCAACTGACGGCAACCGAGTTTGTTGCCCAGCGGTACGCATTTGTGGGTCAACGGGCTGGATCGCCGCTGTTCGAACGCGAACCCAAGCGCGCCGGCGACCTCGCGTATCACCGGGAGAGCTATTCGCCCCTGCACACCGTCAACCCGAACATGCTGCCGATGACCTACGAGGGAATCAGGTTGCTGCATCGGTGGCATCAGGAAATGGCGCGTCGGTGGCACGTGCCGCCGCTGGAACCCACGGGTTCTCCGTCGAAAAGAGTAACGCTCCTGGAGTTGATGCCGGGAGCGTTCCTGAAATCAGTTGGCCTGCCGTTCAAGGGTTACAAGAAGGGGCGCAACGCACTGGAGAAGCGCGACGAAATCCTCGGCGGATTGGCGGATGCATCCGGCATTGGCCTGCCCAACCTCGACCGAGCACGCATGGCTTGCAGAGCCAACGACGACTGCCTCGACGCGGTGGCTGCGGCAGTGGGCGCGGCGGCGTGGGCCAGGGAGGCAGCCGGGTTTCACCACCCAAAAGGGGACGAACTCGCAGACGCCAAGTTGGAGGGGTGGATTTACGTTCCGAGAAGCGTCGGGGCCGACGCTTCAGACTGACTGGCGACCGCGCAGGAGCAACACCAATCCGATGGCGAGGCCGGCGCCGATCAACTGCATCACAACAAACAGCGGCGCTGAACCTGGGTATATCCCGGCGAAGGTGTCGGAAAACATGCGGGCGACCGTTACCGCGGGATTGGCAAAACTGGTTGATGAGGTGAAGAAATACGCCGCTCCGATGTAAGCGCCAACTGCCACCGGAACCACCGCGGCTCGGTGACGCGGGATGAGAAATATAACGGAGAGCAATCCGAGGGTGGCGATGACCTCAGCGAGCCACAGATCGGGTCCGCTGCGAACCTTTGTCGACCAGGTAACCGGCGGCAACGCGAACATCAGGTTGGCCAGAATCGCGCCCACGATTCCGCCGACAACCTGCGCCGTGACGTAGGCGATACCCTCCCGAACTGAGCGGCCGTGCAACACTACGTCAGCCAGGGTCACCGCGGGGTTGAAGTGCGCGCCGGAAACGGGACCAAAGGCCCAGATCAGCGCCATCAAGGCAAAGGCGGTGGCTACGGCATTTTCAAAAAGTTGGAGTCCGACATCACCGGGGCTGAGGCGCTGCGCGGCGATCCCGCTTCCGATTACGGCCATGAGCAGAAAGACGGTGCCCACCGCCTCCGCGAGTAGCCGCTGGCCTAGCGCGGGCAAGGACAAGCTCCCGGCGGAAGGTTGATGGGCAGGCATACAAAAAGGGCGGAAAATCCGCCCTCGTGGTTGACTGGATACAGCGTCGCGGCACCATAGTAGATCATGGTAATGGGAGTCTACCGGTGGGTAACGCGACGGTCAACCGCGGCTGCGTTGACGCTCCGGGCCAGAGATTACTATAATCCCGGGCATCACAAAGCCAACTGAAGAGGTACCGGAAGCGATGAACCTGAAGACTGGACAACGATATGTGGGCCCCGGTGGCGCTGAAATGATCGTCAGCAAGGCCAGCGGCGAAGGCGACTTAACCGATGGGGATACCCCCCTGCAGGTCAAGGGCGCCAACGTCGATTTTGGAAGCGCAACTGCGGCCGCGGACGCCCCCGAGGTGACCATGGGCAAGCGCCTGACGTCACCCGACGGGAGCGTGTCGGTCCTGATTACCAAGGCGGGCAAGTGCGACCTGCGCTTGAACGGCGAGTCAATGGAGTTGCAAGAGGCGAAGCAGTTGCCCTCGTCAGACTGACGTTCCGTTACACCGCAGAACGGGCAGGGGCGGGTGTGAGACCCGCCCCTTTTGCTTCGGCGACGAAGCGGTGATCTGCCCCGTCGCCGCCTCTGGCGACGGCGACGGGGCAACCACTCCTACAGGAAGTGCGGGATGACGTACTTCCCGAACATGCGGATGCTGTTCATTATCTTGCTGTGGGGCAAGTTCCCCATCTGCATGAAGCAGAGGATCTGGTCGACGCCGGCCTCGCGGTACTTTTCCAGGGTTTTGATCACAGTTTCAGGGCTGCCCATGGCAAAGGCGCCCGACTCGATGTGGTCGGCGGCGGTCTTGTCTACCCGCTCCTCCTGGACGGCATTGACGGCGAAGCGGTAGCTGTCGGGCACGTTGCGGCCGGACCAGGGGGCATAGAGTTCCTCCGCTTTGCCTACAAACCATTCACCCTCACGAGCGGCGGAGTCGTAGGCTTCTTCGTCGGTTTCGGCGACGTGGACCATGCACAGGGCAGCAATGTTGTCGTTGACCATCCGCCCGATGGGATGGGCATTCTGCACCGCGTCACGGTAGATCTGCACCCGCTCCACCAACTGCTCGTGGCCGCCCAGGTTGAAGCAGAGGACGCCCACTCCCAGATCGCCGGCCTCGCCGAAGGAAGTCGGTTGGCTGCACGCCATCCACATGGGAGGGTGCGGGTCCTGCACCGGCTTGGGGATCACGGACCGGGGCGGGATGTTGTAGAACTCACCGGAATGCGAAAACGGGTCTTCAGTCCACATGCGCGGGATCATCTCGATTGCCTCGCGCCACTGGGCCTTGGTGGTCTCCGGGTCGACCTCGAAGCCATCCATCTCGATGAGCGTAGTGGAGCGACCGGTTCCCAGGTCCATGCGGCCGTCGCTGATGATGTCCAACACCGCAGCCCGTTCGGCGACCCGCACCGGGTGGTTGTACGCACCCGGTAGCAACGCGACCGCGTGACCGATCCTGATGCGCTTGGTGCGCTGGGAAATGGCGCCGTACAACACCTCGGGGGCTGAACAGTGGGAGAACTCACGCAGGAAGTGGTGCTCAACGGTCCAGAAGTAGTCAAAACCGACGTCGTCAGCCAACTCCACCTGGGCCATGACCTGCTTGTACCGGTCCGCTTCGACGCCGGGATAGTGCGGTTCGGGGATCTGGATTTCGTACATCAATCCGAATTTCATTGAAGGTCTCCTTTGAGCATGGGGGAGTCGTCGTCTCTGGGTTTGACTTGCTTGGCGATGGCAACGCCGGATTTGCCCTCCGCGATTTTCAGATCGTACGAGGTTTGCAGGTTCATCCAGAGACGCTCCCCGGCGCCAAAATAACGGGCCAGCCGTAGCGCGAAGTCGGCGTCGATGCCTCGCTTTTCGTGCAAGATTGCGGCAACCGTTCCAGCGGGGACTGCCAAGCATCTGTCCAGTTCATCCGCAGACATTCCGATTTCTTTGAGTTCGTCCGCCAGAATCTCTCCAGGATGGATTGCCGGCAGCCCATCCTTCACAGGCGGGAATCGGTCCCGTGCCTCCATAATCCGCTCCTCGTCAATGGTAATCAACGATCTCCACGTCGTGAGGCCCGTCATCTAACCACCGAAAACAAACGCGCCATTGGCGGTTCACCCTGATGCTGTGCTGGCCCACGCGATCGCCCGAAAGCAATTCTAACCGATTGCCTGGATACGCCAGCAATTCCGACAGGGAGCTAGCATCGTTGAGTAGTCGTAGCTTACGTTGAGCTTGCCTCTCGAATCCCTGAAACGCCGGAACGTGCTGCCCTGAGAAAAATCGTCGGGTGTTTCGGTCTCCGAAACTCCGGATCATTGAGCCTCTACGGCACCAGCATCGCTCGCGTAATCTCCGTCTGGCGCTGGCTCCACTCCGCCGCCGTGAAGGCTTCGTTGACATCCGCCAGGGGGAACGTGTGCGATACCAACTTGTGGAAGGGTAGGTTCTCCTGGTTGCGGACGAGGAAGTCCAGCAGTTCAGGGAGCAGCGACGGGCGATACATCAGGCTGCCCACGATGTTCTTGCCCTGCAGGAGCTTCGACGGGTCGATTGACACTTCCTGGCCGCGCACGATGTCGCCGATTTCGACGAACGTGCCGCCGTTGGACAGCATGTCAATGCCTTCCTTGAGCAGGTCGGCGCGACCGACCAGCTCCATGACCACGTCGGCGCCACGGCCGCGGGTCAACTCACGGACCCGGCGGACGCGGGTTTCGGGCGTGTTGAACTCCTCGATGTTGATGGTGTCGTCGGCGCCGAACTCCTCGGCGAGAGCCAGGCGATTCTCCAGGCGGTCCAGCACGATAACGCGGTCGGCGCCGCGTTCCTTGGCCATGGCGGTGGCGTGGATGCCCAGGCCGCCGGCGCCCATGATGACCACAGATTGGCCGTGGGCCATGCCGGCTCGCTCCAGGCCGGTGGTCACGGTGCCCATGGCACAGTTGACCGGTCCGAGGATGCTATCAGGGAGTTCGTCGGGGACGCGGAAGAAGGGGTGTCGCGGCGGAAGGTACAGGAAGTCGCCGTAGGTGCCGGTGAAGTAGGGCCAGTTGCCGGCGGCGGGATACTGGCGATTGGCGCACCAGTTGGTGTTCCCGCGCAGGCACATGTGACAGTGGTAGCAGGGGAACACGGCGGCATACACCACGCGGTCGCCTTCCTTCACATCGGTGCCCCAGTAATCGGAAGTCACCCCGTCTCCCAGGTGCTCGATGACGCCGGTGCCCTCGTGTCCCATGACGCGGCCGGTTTCGGGCAGCGGATTGTGCTCCTGGGTCTGGTCACCGCGCCAGGTGTGGAGGTCGGAACCGCAGATGCCGGCCTGGGTCATGCGGAGGAGGACTGCTCCGGGTTGGGGTTCCGGAACGTCGTACTCTTGGATCTCAAAGGGTTTGCCGTATTCCTTGACAACAACGATGCGTCCTTTCATGGGGTCCCTCCGATACAGCGTGCTAGATGATGGTGGATGGCCGGTATCCTAGCATACGGGCGGGGGATGGGTAAGGGCGAAGCGGGCGGCGCGGGGTCGAGGCCGCGCGCAGCCGCTGTGATAAACTGCGGGCGCGGACAGAAAAATCGACACGCCGATAATCACGGGAACGGCCATGAAGATTGCGATCGGTTCCGACCATGCCGGGTTTGAGTACAAGGGCAAATTGATGTCTTTGCTGGCGTACCTGGGCCACGAGGCGTTGGACTACGGCGCCTATTCTGAGGAGTCAACCGATTACCCAGAATGGATAAGGCCCGTTGCAGAGGCGGTGGCCCGCGGCGAGGTTGACCGGGGCATCGTCCTGGGCGGCTCCGGCAATGGCGAAGCCATCGTTGCGAACCGCGTGCCGGGAGTCCGGTGCACTCTTTGCTGGAACGTCGACTCCGCTCGCTACGGCCGCCAGCACAACGACTCTAACGTCCTGTCCATGGGGCAGCGGCTGGTGACGTGGGAAGAAGCGCGCGCGATAGTGGATGCCTGGCTGACCACCGAGTTTGAAGGCGGTCGCCACCTGCGAAGGATCAACCAGATCGACAACCCCGACGCCGATTAGCCGTTCGGGTGCCGGTTAAACAAAAAGGGGCGACTTGGTGTCGCCCCTTTTCGTCACCCCGATCCCAGTGCGCTACGGCGCGAGCGCGTCGGTCACCCCGATCATACTGTCCCGGCTCACCAGCTGGGCCAGTTGGTCCTCACTCATCCCGTCAGTTCCCGCCGGGCGCTTGGGCAGGACCAGGTAACGCAGGTCTGCGGTGCTGTCCAAGACGCGCACCTCGGACTCCGCCGGTGGTTCGGCGCCAAACTCAGCCATGACGCCACGCGGGTCGCGAACGGCGCGGGCCCGGTAGGCCAAGCTCTTGTACCAGTCAGGCGGGCGGCCGAGCAGCATCCTGGGGTAGCACGAACACAGGGTGCAAACCACCAGGTTGTGAAGATCGTCGGTGTTCTCGACCACGGTGAGATGGGGTGTCTCCGCCGGAATTTCGATGCCCATCTCCGCGAGAGCCGAACGGGAGTCGGCGAGTAGGCGCGCCTTGAACGCGCCATCCGTCCAGGCCCTGGCGACAACGCGGGCTCCGTCCGCCGGAGTGCGGCCGTCCATCAGGTTCACCTGGCGTTGCACTGCGTCGGCAGTGAGGAGACCTTTCTCCTCCAGCAGGGCTTCGATGGCGACGGAGCGAAGCGCAACTTCGCTCATCGGCTCGTCATGGATGTGGTCAACAGCGTGGGTTGCGGTCATATTTCTCTCCCCAATGTTCTATCGGAGCGGCTATGGCGGAGCGGCTATGGATCAGTACCGATTATGCCGGCGAGCAATCGCCTTTGGAAATAAAACCTCTAATTGTGACAGCCCCGTGCCTCGATATCCCAAACCGCCTCCACCATTCCGTCGCGTATTCCGATGAAACGATCCCAGCGGCTTACCATGGCGTCCTGCTGGCCGGGAAGCAGCATAACCTGGTCGCCGACCGCCAGTTCGGCTCCCTCCGCCACTTGGAACACGGTGCGGTCGGTGTCCATATTGACGGCTTCAACCCCGGGGCGACCTTCCACTCGCGGCAACCCCTTCATGCCTCCCACGGCCCGGGCCCCAGCGTCGCCGATCGCCGTTCCCTGACGTGGGACGCTGATGATGGAGGTCAACACCTTGCCGGCCAGCTGAAAATCCTCGATGTATTCGTATGAGGTTTCCATTACCAGGTAGGAGCCACCCTGAATTTCGGTAACCTCAGGCATATCCCCCGCGATATCGTAGCTCCAGGTCTCGCCCGTCGAGACGATTTCAACCGGCAGTCCGGCGGCGATCATGGCTTCTCGAAGATCCAGAACCGGCTGGATGAGACGGTGTGCTTCGGTGGCCCGGTCCTCTCGGTCAGACGAGGGTTCGGACATCATCTGGTGGCTCATCACGCCTTTCAGGGACAGTCCGGGCAGCGAATCGATCAATCGAGCCAGAGCCAGGCCGGGTTCCACCTCATGCACCCCACACCGTAGCAGTCCGGTTTCCTGCTCGATGACCACACCCAGGTTTACGCCCTGGGAGGCGGCTACCTGGGAAAGGTCGTGGGCATTCGCTTCGTTTTCGCAGGCCACCAGGATCTCGGCGTGGTCCGCCAGGGCGCAAAGCCGGGCGATCTTTGGGGGTGCAACCACCTCGCTGGTAACGAATACGCTGGCCACCCCACCCTCCACCATCACCTCAGCCTCGGCAACCTTTGCGGCGCACACGCCGCCGATGGTGCCGCCGCGCTGGATCTGTCGCAGGGCCAGGGCCGGGCTCTTGTGATTCTTGCTATGTCCACGCAACTTGCTGTGGCGATCGCCATAGTAGTCGGCAATCACATCCATGTTGTGGTCCAGCGCATCCATGTCCAGGATCAGGCATGGAGTATCCAGTTGCGCAACCGGCGTGCCGGGTTGGGGTTCATGTGCTTGCGGCATGGACGTACCTCCGAGGTTCCTGCATATGTAATCGAATCTCGTTGTGAACACTGGCCGGGAAGGTGCGGTGATGAGGAACTACCCCAGTTGTCCCCGGCCGGCAACGCGCCAATACCCCACCAACTTGCCATCCCGCACGGCGCGGATGTAGTCATATTGATTGACGCAGAGGGCCAGGTTATACGGAACCAGGTGTACTTTGTCATTGGGCATGAACTGCTCAGTGGCCGGCCCCTCCAAATCCAGGACTCCGTGCTCCGCGCTGAATCTGGTGGCGACGGCGCCCTCGAATCCCTCCAGAACGGGTACACCGAAATCCGGCCCGGTAGTCTTGTGACCGGCGTCCAACACTGCCCGGCCCGCCACGGGATGGCCTATGACCGTAGCCAGGACTCTGGCCGCGGGCTGCAATTCCGGGCGAATTCGCAAGGTCTCCATGTCCATCAGGGCGTACACCCCGGCCTGAACCTCAGTGATGCCCGACAATTGGGAGACGATATCATAGTTATAAGTGCTGCCCGCGCTCACCGTCGCAATTTCAATACCGGCCCGCTCCAGGGCGCTTCGAGTGTCCAGAATTGGTTGCAACCGACGACGGGTTTCGGCCTCCAATTCGGCGCGATCCGTTATGGGTAACGGGCCCTCGTAGGTCATAATCCCTTCCAGGGCCAATCCGGGTGCGTTGGTAACTATTCGCGCCAGGTCAACCGCATCCTGCCCGGGCGCCACACCGCCAAACCCGTACCCGGCGTCCATGTCCACCAATATGCCCAAAGTGACGCCGGCGGCCTGCGCAGCTTCGGCAAGGTCCTGGACGTTGCGGGGGTTGTCGACGGCTACGCTCAACGTGATCCGGCCGGCGAGGGCGACGAGTCGGCTAATCTTGGCGGGGCTGACCACCCGGCCCGCTATCAGGATGTCGTCAATTGCGCGGTAAGACGACGCGGCCCCATCATCGGTGGAAATGTCTTCGCCAGCGGCGGCAAATGCCTCGGCTTCCGCCAGAGAGCTAACCGCCACGCCGCCAGAGTTGCTTTCTGCGGACAGCTGGAACTGAGCGATTTCAGGGCTGCCATGACAGGAGACATGAGGGCGAACTGCGACTCGGCCACTGCCCGATACATCGTCAGAGCCGCGAATAGCGTTGTGCAGGACCGCGATGTTCTGCTCCATTATCCCCAGATCAACCACCAAGGCCGGCGTATCCAATTCCTCTGCGGGGGAGCCAATGGGCTGAAATATCGGTCGCTCCATCGTTCATGTACCTCTCAATCGCGGCGCTTGCAGGCAAGATAGCACAAATAGCGGCCCGGGCTGGTCCATCTATTCCCGGCGCGGAAGCCAACTTCGAACGGTGTTGCTCGAGGCAGGCTTTGCGAGGAAGGAACGTTGAGGATGCCCGATCAGATCCTGCGCCAATCAGGCCGGGTCCAGCCAGTGCTGGTAAACGTCCACCAACAACGTGTCCGACGGGTTGCCGGCGTAGTCAGGCCAAAGATCCGTTTGGCGCAGACGGATGCGGTAGAGTGGCTGGCGCGGCAGTCCATCCCCGCCGTGGGCTAACGATTCGGGATTAGGGAACACGCCGCAGAGCGCGTCCACGATACCGGTGTGGCCCTGGATATAAGCCGGCGTGCGGAAGTGGTGGGCGGGCGATCCGACGCGGACGCGGACGGTCGTCCCGTCGGCGTAGAGCGCGGGTTCAGCAGATGTCACCATCAGAGACCCTGCTCCCGCAACACCGCGGTTTTGGCGTCGATCTCGTCGGCGGTGAGAATGCCCTTTTCGATCAGGAGAATCTCCAGGGCGGCGGTCCACTTTTCGTAATAGGACAACGCCTCGTAGAGTTCCGGCGGCAGGCTCTCGATGGCGCGGCGCATCTCGTCGGTGGTGCGTATGCCCTGCTGTCCGAGCACTTGGTGAACCGCGTCGACGCGCCGTTCCCAGTCGGTGTATTCGTGCTCGCTGCGGTCGATGGCGGTGTCGTCGGGCCAGCCGCCGCGGTCGTGTGCTGCGGGCCCAGACTGGTTTTCAGTCATGGCTACGCTCCTTCTTCCCACATCTGGGCAGCGTCCACCGAGCGCATGAAGCTAACGCCGGGGAAGGTCTTAATGTATTCAATCAGGCGTTCCAGCATGAGCAAGCGCCCCGGGCGCCCGATGTACTGGGGGTGCATGGTGAGGTTGAAACAGCGGCCGTAGCGATAGATGCCACGGAACTCCGCCGCCCAGCTCTCAAACACCTCGTCGGGGTTCCGCATGGGTCCCAGGCGGTTGGCCGAGGGGGCATAGGCAAAGTGCGGGGCGTCGTCGAGGAGCCAGTGGATGGGCAACTCGACCAGATTGCGGGGCGGGTCGCCGCCCTGCACGAAGTACGGCGCGTCGTCGCCCATCAGGCTGCTGTCGTACTGGAAATTGTGCTTGGCCAGCAGGTCCAAAGAGACGGGACTGAGCTCCCAACTGGGCGAACGATAGCCGACCGGCGCCTCGCCGGTGAGTTCCCCCAAAATGCCGATGCCCTTGATCAGAACCTCCTCTTCTTTGTCCGGAGTCATGGTGGCTGGAGGTTCGTGGATGTAGCCGTGGTGCGCCACCTCGTGGCCGCGACCGGCGATTTCGCGCACCAGGTCGGGGTGAGTTTCCGCAACGTAACCTGGGATGTAGAAGCTGCCCGGAATGCCCTGGGCGTCCAGCATGTCCAGGATGCGTGGCGTGGCGACGCTGGGGCCGTACTCGGCCATTGAGAGCAGGCTGGGGTAGTTGATGAAATCGGGATTCCGGTTCAGCCAGGAGGTGATGCCGTCAACGTCGAACGTGATGAGGGCGACGCAGCGGATGTCATCGGGCCAGATGCCGGCCATTGGGAACCTCCTGTGAACCGTTTCGGCAGTCTCGCCAATCGGCACGGACTGGGTGCGCAGGATAACAGATACGCTACTTGGCCGGAATCGTGTCGAAGCCGGTGTAGGGGCGCAGGACCTCAGGGATAACCACCGAGCCGTCGGGCTGTTGGTTATTCTCCAGGATGGCGATGATCACACGCGGCAGGGCCAGTCCCGATCCGTTCAGGGTATGCACGAACCGAGGGCGTTCCCCAACTGCCGGGCGATAGCGAACGTTGGCGCGACGGGCCTGGAAGTCGGTGCAATTGGAGCAGGATGACACTTCCAGCCATTCCTGTGATCCGGCGGCCCACACCTCGATGTCATAGGATTTGGCGGACGGGAAGGAAATGTCGCCGGCGCACAGTTGCAGGATGCGGTAGGGCAGGTCGAGACGTTGGCACACCGTCTCGGCGTTTCCCAGCAAGGCTTCGAGTTCGTCGAAAGAAGTGTCGGGCTCGACAAACTTGTACATCTCCACCTTGTTGAACTGGTGGACGCGCTTGATGCCACGGGTGTCCCTACCCGCGGCCGCCTTTTCACGGCGGAAGCAGGGAGTGTGCGCCACGTAACACAGGGGCAGTTCGTCGGAAGAGAGAATTTCATCCCGATGCAGGTTGGTGACAGGCACCTCCGCGGTGGGGATCAGCCAGAGGTCATCCTCCTCGTCGTGGTAAAGGTTGTCCGCGAAGAGGGGCAGGTTTCCGGAGCCTTCCATAATCTCGCGACGCACCAGGATGGGCAGCGCGACTTCCGTATAGCCGTGCTCGCCGCCGTGGAGGTCCAGCATCCAGGAGATGATGGCCCGCTCCAGCCGGGCGCCGTAGCCGTGCAGAGTGTAAAAACGGCTGCCGGAGAGCTTGACGCCGCGCTGGAAGTCGATGATCCCCAGGTTCTCCGCCAGATCCCAGTGTGGTTGGGCTTCAAAATCCAGTTCGGTCGGATCGCCCCAGTGCCGCAGCACCACGTTGCAGGTTTCGTCCAGGCCTTCCGGTGTGCTCGTGTGCGGCAGGTTGGGCAGGGCCAGCATGGCGTCGTTGATCCGGGCGTCCAGATCGCGCACGAGATCTTCAAGCTCGCTGATGCGGCGGCCGACGTCGCGCATTTCGGCCACGATCGCTTCGTCAGGCGGTCCGCTCTGCGAACGGGCCTGGCCGATTTCGCGGGACACCGCGTTGCGGCGGGCGCGGAGCTCGTCACCATCGGTGATGGCGGCGCGCCGGCTGGCGTCCAAGGCCAGGATTTCGTCCAGGCAATCGTCATCCTCGGCGCGGCGGATCAGCGCGGCGCGGACAGCTTCGGCATCGCTGCGGATTTGTTCGATGGAAAGCATAAGTGCGGTCAACGTTCGTCGTGCTGGAGATCAAAAGCGGCAACCATGGACTCGGTCAAAAGGCCTAGTCCGCCGCGTCAGCTAATCGGTCAAAGCAGAAATCGCCCCTTCGGCAATGATTTGCACCCTGCGCATCTGCGGAAATAGTAGCACATCCCGTATGGTGGACTGGCCGGTCAGCAGCATGACGAGGCGGTCGATGCCGATGCCCAGACCGCCGGTGGGGGGCATGCCGTATTCCATGGCGGTGAGGAAATCGGCGTCGGTTCGGTCGGCTTCCTCGTCGCCGTAAGCGTCACGCTGGTGCTCCTGGTCGGCAAACCGGGCGCGCTGGACCTCGGGGTCGTTCAGCTCGGTGTAGGAGTTGGCGATCTCCATTCCGGCGGCAAAGGCCTCGAAGCGTTCGACGTAGCCCGCCTTGTCGGGATGACCCTTGGCCAGGGGCGACATATCCTCGGGATAGTCAATCAGGAACGACGGTTGGATCAGATGTGGTTCGACATACACGGATAGCATCTTGTCAATGAGGCGACCCCTAGCTTCGCGTGGTGCGGGATCCAACCCCAGCTCCCGGCATTTGTCGGTTAGGGATTCAGCATCGGGATAATCCTCGATGTCTACGCCGCTGCGTCGGTGCAGTTCCTCGCACAAGGAGAGGCGGGGCCACGGCGGCGTGAAATCGATGATTTGGTCTCCCATCGCAACTTGCATACTGCCGCGCACGTCCTGGGCCAACGAGGAGACGAGAGACTCCACCATCTCCATTACGGAGTTGTAATCGGCGTAGGCCTCGTATGACTCCAGCAAAGTGAATTCAGGGTTGTGGTCCTGATCGATGCCCTCGTTGCGGAAGACGCGGCCGATCTCATAGACCTTGTCCAGGCCACCCACAATGAGGCGTTTGAGGTACAACTCGGTGGCGATGCGGAGGTAAAGCTGCTCGTCCAGGGCATTGTGGTGGGTAATGAATGGGCGAGCGTGGGCGCCGGCTGGTATGGGGACCAGTATGGGCGTGTCCACTTCGATGAAACCACGGTCGTCCAGGAAACGGCGGATACCGCTGATGATGCGGCTACGCTGAACGAAAGTGTCTGCGACTTCGGGATTTGCGATGAGGTCCAAATAGCGTTGGCGGTAACGGGTTTCGACATCGCGCAGGCCGTGCCACTTTTCGGGCAAGGGGCGCATCCCCTTGGCGAGGATGGTCAGGGATCGGGCTTCGATGGTGGGCTGGCCGGTGCGGGTTCGCATCATGTCGCCGTCGACGCCGAGGAAGTCGCCGAGGTCGAGGTCCTGCAAGACAGCATAATCGTCGCCAAGGACGTTCTGTCGAAACATGGCCTGGACCACACCCGAGGCGTCACGTAAATCCAGAAACGCCGCACGACCCATCACCCGCATCGACACGATACGGCCGGCCACGCTGATCCCGGCGGCGCGCTCCGACGTTTCGCTCGCTTCGGCGGCCTCGAACAATTTGACCGCTTCGTCGGCGGTGCAACTGCGTTGGAAACGCGGTGGATAGGGATCGATACCCCGCTGCCGGATGCGCTGCAACTTTGCGCGACGGCTATCCAGGTTGGCCTGAAGACTACCGGGATTTTCGGACGACAGGTCCTGGTTGATTTCGGTCGATTGGTCCATAGAAAGTGGGCGACACAAACGGCGCCGTCGCGGCGGCGAGTGGGGCTACTGCGTTATCAGTTGGTCCTCGTGGGTTGATACGACCTGCGGGCTCGGCAAGGCCGCTACGTCCCCGGTTTACAGGTTCTACAGCGCGGCCCGGATCGCTTCGACCAGCGCAAGATGCGCCTCGTCCCCGGACATGGGAATGTCGGACAACAAACCGGGGAGAGGCCAGACCAGCCCGCTCCCTTCATTCGAATTGTAAATGTGGAGACTCGGCTTGTAAAGCGAAACCGTAGCAACTCGGCGAACGTTCGCGATGACAAAAATGTAGGCTGACGTTTAGAATTCAACCAGATTTGCGCCAGCCATAGCCGGCCACGAATGACATACAGCCAGGGAACGATTTCAGTGAGGTGAGTTGATGATCCAACGAATGATTGGAGCAGCGCTATTCAATGCCGAAACATACGAGGAGATCGAAGCGGATCCGGGGGCAATCGGACAAGCCGTACTGGTAGTGATACTGGTCACCGTGTGCGGAGCCGTCGGCGGAGTGATAGGAGGTCTGTTAGGCGACGCGTCGGCGCTCAAGTTGTTGCTCGGAGTAATTGCCGGCCTGGTGTTCGGCATTGTGCGCTGGGCAATCTGGGTGTCCGTACTGAGCCTGGTGGGCGGGATGATGCTCCGGACCGGAAGCACGCATACCAGCTGGGCGGAACTGGGTCGCGTGGTGGGTTTCGCCTACACTCCGGGCGTGCTGTCCATTTTCAGCTTCGTGCCCTTCGTCGGGTGGCTGTTCTTCTTGGTCGGCTGGCTGTGGACTCTGGTGGCGGTGACCATTGCGGTTCGCCAGGCGCTGGACTTCGAGTCCACGGGACGAGCCGTCGCGGTAGTGCTGCTGACAGGGGTAATCGGGTTCATCCCCTGGATTATCATCAGAATAATCCAGGGGATAGTGCTGTAGCATAGGGGCAGCGATAACCGCCCCACTCGCAGGCATTTGTCGGGCCGGCTCCTCGATGGCCGGCCCGATGCCATAACCAACAACCATGCAGACGTTGCGGCAAGTTGCCGGCGTCGCGCTTTTCAACAAGGATACCTGCCAGGAAATTCTCTACGACCCGCGCGTGATCTACCAGGGTTTGGCAATCCTTGTGGCGGGGTCCGCGGCTGCAATAGCCTGGGCACTGATGGAGCCAGCGAGTAGTCACTGACCGTTATCCTCGGCCGAAGAACCGGGGATGTCGGAGTCGTCGGTAGGATCCGAGTTGGTGGAAGCCGCCGTATGCCACGCAGTGTGGGCAGCGGGGGTGGCAGTCATCATGGTGACCGGCCGTTGGGTAATGGGGGCCTACTCCCGGCCCAGCTGGCGGGGTTTCATCAGCTTCTCGAGTTTCGCCATAGCCTCATGGGTGGTGGTAGCCCTGCTCTTGGCCGAGTTGTCGGTGATAGGATACGGCGACGACCTGGGACGAGCCGGCGTGTTGGTGGCGCTGGCTACGTTGCTGGCCAGGATTCTGTGGGGAATAGCAGTGCAGGTACACGCCGTCAGGCACGCGTTTGATTCGGACTCGACGATCCGAGCCACTATGCTGGCGGTGGCGGTCTGGACGCGGCAGAGCGCACTGGGTTACGTCTTATAGTCCGCCCTCGTTTGTTGTAACCTAGCCACCAAATCGACGCTAACAAACGGCGGGATGTGCCATGCGTGACAAATGGGCAGTTCGTGAATCGGTTTGGACTGCGCTGGAAACGGCGCGAGTTGTCCGAGGGAAGTCGGTACATGACAAGATCCCGAACTTCATCGGAAGCGAAGCTGCGGCGACCCTGGTGTCGGAGCTTCCCGAATGGGAAACCGCGCGCGCCGTCAAGAGCAACCCCGACCAGGCGCAGCGCCCACTGAGGCAACTCGCGCTGGAGCAGGGGAAGTTGCTGTACATGGCGGTGCCGCGGCTCAGGGACGAGCGGGTATTCATCGAGCTCGACCCGGCTCGTGCCGAGGTTGTGCCAGCCAAGGCAGCCACGATCTCGGGGGCTTTCAAGGTCGGTCGCCCGGTGTACGTACACGAGATGCAGCCCATCGACCTGGTCGTGTCCGGTTCCGTGGCCGTCAATCGACGAGGGGTTCGGATCGGCAAGGGCGGCGGCTTCGCGGACCTGGAATACGGCCTGGCGGCGGCGGCCGGCGTGGTAAAGCCCGGTACGCCGGTGGTCAGCACGGTCCACCCCATGCAATTGCTGGACGAGGATCTGCCCTGGACGCAACACGACGTGCCGCTGGACATCGTGGTCACGACCGAGGCGGTCATCCGCTGCGACACCGGAGCGGACCCGATACCGCGCCCCCAGGGCATCTATTGGGAAGACCTTGACGAACGCAAGATCCGGTCCATCCCCCTGCTGGTGCAACTGCGGAAGGATAGCCAACCGGCCGGCTGAGGCCGAGAGGTGCGGGGGGCGCCAAAACAGTAGGGGCGGCCGATTGGCCGCCCCTGATCATATCGGGCTTTCTCGCGCGAATTGACGGTTACGATTCCAGCTTGACCGGGTTGCGCAGTACGCCGATGCCGCTGATGTCGATTTCGCAGACTGCGCCGTCGGCCATGTCGGACGTGGTGCCCGGCGTGCCCGTGAAGATGCAGTCGCCCGCTTCCAAGGTCACGTAGCGGGTGATGAACTCGATCATCGTGGGCACGTCGAAGATCAGGTGCGCCGTGGTCTCGTTCTGCTCCTCGGTGCCGTTGACGCGCGTCCGCAGGTGCTGAGCGTGGGGGTCGGCTTCGGTCTCGATCCACGGGCCCATGGGGGAGAAGGTGTCAGCGGACTTGGCGCGCCACCAGTCCGAGTTGTTCTCGCGGCGGTCCTTCTGCTGCCAGTCGCGGGCGCTAACGTCGTTGCCGCAGGTGTAACCCAGGACGTGGTTCAGCGCATCGTCCTTGGAGACGTTGCGGCACTTGTCCTTGATTACCACCACCATCTCACCCTCAGCGTCGAAGCGCTGAACTTCCTTGGGACGCACGATGGAGTCCTCGGGACCGATGACACTTGTGGGGGTCTTGTGGAAGATCATGGGGTATTCGGGAGCCGGCCGGTCACCGACGTGGCTGGTGTAGTTAAGGCCCATGGCGAGGATTTTCCCCGGCACCACCGGCGACAACAGTTTTACGTCGGAAAGGGCGTGGGTGTGGTCGGTTAGCTTAATCTGGGAGTCAAAGATGCTGCCGTCGATAGCGGTAACGTTGTCCCCATCAACGACGCCGTGGTGCTCGGCTCCGTGGGCGAGATAGCGGGCGATTTTCATAGCTGGAGTGCCTCCGTTGGAATGTGGTGACCGTTTTTGCGTGCGATATTGTACCAAAAGCGGCCGGCGGGTCAGTGTTCAATGACCAGTTTGCCGAAGAAGTCCCGATCGTGCATGACCTGATGGGCCTCGGCGACGCCGTCCAGCGGGAAGGTGCGGCCGACCATGCCCCGCAGCGCGCCCTGGTTGACCATCTTCATTGCATCGGCCATGGAGCGCCGGCTGCGCCCGCCGCTGCCCATCAGGTGCAGGGGGCGACCGTGCAGGATGGACAGATCCATGGGCGTTTGGCTGCCGAGGTGACGCCGGTGATGACCAACCGGCCCTCGTGCTTGAGGCACAGCATGTTCTCGTGCCACACGTCCGCGCCGACGCAGTCGAAACACCACGTCGACCCCTGGCCGTCGGTCAACTCCTTGACCTTCTCACTGATGCTGTCGACCTCGCGGTAGTTGATGACCTCATCGGCGCCCCCACTTCTTTGGCCTCTTCCAGTTTCCAGTCGCTGCCGGCGGTGGTGATGACCCGGCAGCCCATCATCTTGGCGATTTGGATGCCCATGCTGCCGACGCCGGATCCGGCGGCCTGCACCAGCACGTCGTCCCAGGGCTGCAACTTGGCCTGCGTGATCAGGCAGTGCCACGAGGTGTGCAACGCGATGGGCAACGCGGAGGCCTCGGAGAAGGACATCTCGTCCGGGATGGTGTAAGCGTTGACGGCCGGGGCGACGACGTACTCGGCGTGTCCGCCGTCCAGGTCGACGCCGATGCGCTGCTGTCGGGAGCACCACTGGTCGTTGCCGGCAGAGCAATGCTCACACAGGTCATGCCCACCGCACTTGACGCGGTTGTCGATAAGGATCCGATCGCCGACCTGGAGGTCTGTCCCGGAATCGGGGCTGATCTGCACGACCTCGCCGGCCAGGTCGCAGCCGAGGATGTGCGGAAAGCGACGGCAGTTGCCGGCGCGCAGGTTCAGGTCCAGGTGGTTCAGCGCGCTGGCGCCGACGCGGATCAATATCTCGCCGGGGCTGATTTCAGGATCGGGTCGGTCGCCGTGGGTCAGCACGTCGGTGCCGCCGGTTTCGTTGATGTAAACGGCCTTCATGGTGGTGTTCCTCCGCATGGCAATGGTGACGACGGCAGTGTAAAGGCGCAGCGATGCGCGAGCAAATCGGGGTTTGTGGGTCTCTATTGCTTCAGTTATATTGAGGGTATAGGGGGAACGCAAAATGTCCAAGCCGCCATTCATTAACCGCGTGAAGTTGCGAAACTACAAGAGTATCGCCCAGTGCGACGTCAGCCTTGGGCCACTTGCTATCCTGGTGGGTCCCAATGGCTCAGGCAAAAGCATTTTTTAGACGCTCTGGCCCTCGCTCGGGGCGCCTTGGACGTGACTTTGGATCATGCGTTACGAGAAAGAGGTGGCATCAACGAGGTGCGCCGCCGTTCAGGCAGACACCCATCCAATTTTGCTATCGACTTGCGCTTTTCTTTGGAAGGCGGGAAAAGGCAGGGACGCTACAGCTTCGAGGTCACTTCTCACAGCAACGGTGGATTTTCGGTCCGCAACGAGACATGCGAGATTAGCTCCGCAGATGCGATGGGTGACCCCGCTCGTTTCGTCATCAAGGAAGGCCAAATTACAACCAACGTCGGCGTGACACTACCGAGACCGGCGTCGGACCGACTGTTTCTGGTCAACGCCAGCAATGTGCCGGAGTTTCGTCCAGTATATGATGCGTTGACCAACATGGCTTTCTACAGCTTGGCTCCCGATGTGATGCGCTGGCCGCAGCCATCTGACTCTGGAGAGTTACTAGGCCAAAACGGGCAAAACTTGGCCAGCGTACTTGCCGCGCTGGAACGACGCAATTCTCCAAGATTTGATCGTATTCAGCGTTACTTGTCCAAAGTGACGCCGGGCGTTGAGGGTGTTGAAAGAATCGCCATAGGCAATCTAGAAACGCTGCAGTTCCGTCAAAAGGTCGCGGGCCAGAAATCAGCTTGGAGGTTCCCGGCGATCAATATGTCAGATGGCACTCTGCGGGCGTTGGCTGTCCTCACGGCTCTTTTGCAGGGCGACGGTGACGTCCCATCGTTGATCGGTATAGAGGAACCAGAAATTGCCCTGCATCCTGCCGCTGCAGGCATTTTGTGGGACGCTATGGATGATGCACAAGAAACTGCCCAAGTATTAGTTACGACCCACAGCTCAGATCTGCTGGACCGAAGTGACATACCGACACCGTCTCTACTTGCGACCACAATCGAAGCGGGCAATACTAAGATTGGACCCATTTTCGAAAGCAGTCGCAAACTGCTACAAGAGCATCTGTGCACGCCGGGCGAGTTGTTGCGACAGCGGCGACTGTCACCTGCACCTCTGGTCGTGCCGCCCCCGCCCGGATATCCGGTGTCGCTGCTTGACCTATGACCCCTCCGCTTATAGCGTCAATCGTCGAGGGTCATGGTGAAGAAGAAGCACTACCCAAACTCCTGTACAACGTAGTATTGGCCATCCGACCAGCTCTGTATCCAATAGTGCTACCTCCGCATCGCGTCCCCCGCGACAGCTTGCTGAACGCGTCGGGCGCACTCGAGGACTACGCAGTGAAGGCGATGACTGACGCTGGACCGACCGCCAGGTTGCTTGTCCTTATCGACGCTGATGATGATAGCCCTGCGGAGTTGGAACAGTGACTGTTGCAACGTGTGCCACAACACATCCCTGCGACACGGGTGTCGGTGTGCATCGCAGTTCGCGAGTTCGAAAGCTGGTTCATATCCAGCCTTGAATCCATCGCACCATTGGCCGGCATCGCTAACGATACGCAAGCGCCTGAGAATATAGAGCGAATCAGGAGTGCGAAAGAATGGTTGAGTGTGCGAATGCCTCGCGGGGACTCGTACAAACCAACACTACATCAGGCTGAATTTTCCAGTGCGTTGGATATTGATATCGCCCGCCAACGTTCTCAATCTTTCGACCGCTTCTGCCGTGAGGTGGAGCGGTTGTTGGCTGCTTGACGGGTTGCTATGCTGCTACAATCCCCGCGTCTCAACTGTCCTTGCAAATAACCCTCATGGAGGCACTCCCATGCCCATCTTCACCCCCGAATACCTGGAAAAGGCCGCCTACCACATCTACGTGGCCAAGGGCACGCCGCCCGATGAGGCCGAAATCGTGTCCGCGCACCAGGTGAAGGCCAACCTGACCGGGCACGACTCCCACGGCGTCATTCACATTCCGGAATACTGCGAGCGCATCGACCGCGGGCACATCGTGCCCGGCGCGCCGTTCGAGGTGATCAGCGAAACGCCGACCACCGCCGTAGTCGACGGGCACTGGGGTTTCGGATTCGTGGTGACCGAAAAGGCAACGCGCATGGCTTTGGCGAAGGCCAAGGAGAACGGTGTCGCCGCCTTCACCATCCGCCGGCAGAGCCACATCGGACGCCTGGGAGACTATCCCACCATATGCGCCCAAGAGGGAATGATTGCCCTGCTCACCGCCGACTCCGGCGCCGGTCCCAAAGCCGTGGCCCCCTTCGGCGGACGGGCGCGCCGCCTGGGTACCAACCCCATCTGCATCGGCGTACCGAGCAACTTGCCCGGCCAGGTGTTGCTGGACATGGCGACCTCCGCCGTCGCTGCCGGCAAGATCAGTTTGGCGCGCAACCGCGGCGAACAGGTGCCCACGGGCTGGATCGTGGACAAGGACGGCAACCCGACCAACGACCCCAACGACTACTCCGCCGGCGGCGCGATCCTGCCCGTGGGCGCGGACCAGGGTCATAAGGGATTCGGATTGTCATTCATGGTGGAGATGTTCTCTGGCCTGTTGACCGGTTTGGGATTCGGCATCGACCCGCAGGCCCGCCACAACGACGGCTGCTTCCTGGCCGTGTTCGACGTTTCGAAGTTCCGGCCCCTGGAAGACTTCAAGCAGGAGATGACCGAGTTCGCCGAGTTCGTGAAGACCTCTCCTCCGGCTCCCGGTTTCAGCGAAGTCTATTACCCCGGCGAGATCGAGTACCGCACCGAGCTGCAGCGGCGCGAGAATGGCATCTTCATTGAGGACGAGACCTGGCGACAAATCTCCGAGCTGATGGAAGAAGTGGGTGTCACCGAGGCCGTGGGACAGCCGTAGCCGCAGCGCCGCTCGTCGCAATCTACGAAGCAGGGTGAGAGACTAATCCCGTGCCCTTGTCCGGGTTGGGACTCCCTTCCGACGTGCTGATCTGGCACGCTGTTTTGCTGGCAGGAGTCTCGTTTCTAGTCGGAATCCTCGGTGGGTTCGTTGGCCTGGCGCTCGGGACGATGCGCCTGCCGGCGATGCTGCTGCTGGGTATGCCGGCTCCGGCCGCCGGTGGCACCAATATCCTGGTCAGCAGCCTGGCGTCGCTGGCCGGCACGATACGTCACCTGCGCGCCGGCAGGGTGAATCTGCGCATCGTGCTGACGATGGGGGTGCCGGCATTCATCGGCGCGTTCATTGGCGGGTGGTTCGCCGACCGGACACCGGAGCATCTGCTGATCGCGCTGGCGGGCGGTTTGGTTTTCTGGCAGGGCGTGGAGTTCCTCATAATTGCCAAAGACCGGATCCGCTCAGGACGGTCGGGCGGGGCGCTGTTCGGCCAGGATTTGGAAGGTTCACCCGGTCTCTTCACGCCGGCCCGAGTTGCTTCCGAAGGCGTCATCGGATTCGCGGTGGGGATGCTGGGCGGCGCGGTCGGATTGATCCTGGGCAGCATCCGTTTGCCCGCCCTGGTGCGGATCCTCCGAGTTGACCCGCGCATCGCGGCCGGCACCAATCTGTTCATCGGCTTCGTGATGGGCGCAGCCGGATGGGTGGGCCACGTCGTTCACGGCCAGGTGGACTGGGTGCTGCTGGTGATGATGGGCGCGACCGCAATGGCCGGCAGCTATTTGGGCGCCAACCTCACCGGCAAAGTCAATCTGAACCTGCTGATCCTGGCCATGGGCCTGACACTGCTGGTGGTCGGTATCCTGCTGGTCTGGCAGGGAATCGCAGGGATGGTTTAGCCCGGCGACATCTCGGGAGCAACGATCGTGTCTCGGGGGCGTTAGCCTCCGGCGCCGGCCACTAAAGACCGGCGAAGAAGTCCGCGGGGACGGTCTCGCCGTCAAGCACCGGGGGTTCGGCGCGGATGAAATGCTCTACTCCGATAACCGAGGCGGCCACTTCACGGGGAACGCGTTCGTAGGGCCAATCGGGCTGCAGTTGGGTGAAGTGTCGCTTGATGCAGGCCATCTTGGCCTCCAGGCCGTCCGATGCGTCAACCGTTAGATCGATGGTCTCAGGGTCGGCGCCGTCGTTGGCGCGATCGGACGATGGCATCGGGAAGTCCACGCCGGCGGCCTGTAGGGTTTCGGCCATGTGGACGCGGAAACCGCGCGGCCGCACGCTGTAGAAAAGGCGGTCGGTCTGATGAGGCTGAATGCCGAGCGCCATGTGGTGCGGGAAAGCGGAGTCATCCGCGGCGAGGCGGAAGGCAGTGGTGGCGTGATTACAAATGGCGATGTGGTCGGGGTGGCCGTAGAGTCCGTCCAGCCCGAAGGTGAGGATCACCTGGGGACGGAAGCGACGAATTTCAAACACCAGGCGGGCCACCACTTCGTGCTCGCTGGCCTGAACGAATGCCTTGGGATGGTGGTTGTCGTCCCAGCCGGCCATACCGGAATCACGGTACTGGAGGACCTCGTGGGACTCGATGCCCAGTTCCTTGATAGCCTCAGCCAACTCTCCGCGACGTACCTCGCCGATGGTCTGGCGGGTGGCGGAGCCAGGCTGACGGATTTCGCCGAGTTCGCCGGAAGTGGTGGTAATCAACCGCGCGGTCACTCCCCGTGCCGTGTGCATCGCGATGGTCCCGCCGACGGGGAAGGCCTCGTCGTCGGGGTGGGCGAACAAGATGAGAAGACGATGATCGGGCATGATTGTATGACTGTTAAGCCGGTCTCGGGTGACGGCGTAGGGGCGAATGCTCATTCGCCCCTACGCAAATACGGTTCGGAGATGAAATGGCCTAGCCGTCGATGACCTCGAGGACTTCCAGGATGATGCCCTGGGGACCTTCAAAGAACATGACCCGACGGCCGCCGCCCACGGTGGTCTCTTCCAGCACAGTGGCTCCGCCGTTCTTGAGGTCTTCGACGGTGCCCTCGATGTCGGTGGTGTCGATGGCGATGTGCTCGAAGCCGTAGTTCTGCGGGTGGGTCTGCGTGACGATGTGGTCGGTCACGTTGAGAGGCAGACCGTGGAGGTCCAGTCGGAACCCACCGTTGGCGGCCTCGGAGGTGACCGTAGCGCCCAGATTCTGTACGTACCAATCGGCCGTGGCTTTGGGATCAGGGGTCTTGAGGTGAACGTGATTCAGTGAGAACGCCATGACGATACATCCTCCTACGAATTGTGGTCAGACCAATTGCATGGGCAATCCGGGCCGATTGTATCACAAGGTCCGGTTCGATCCGGCGGTGATATACTTGCGCCGCAATATACCGGGAGGAGATATAAATGCTGGCGTTTTTGGGAGGCACAGGTCCGGAAGGCAAGGGACTGGCGCTGCGCCTGGCAATGGCCGGGGAAACGGTGGTTATCGGCTCGCGGGACGCCGTTCGGGCCCAGGAAGCTGCGGACGAATTGCTGGCCCTGGCCCCTGGCGCTGCCATATCCGGAGCGGTGAATCCGGAGGCCGCCGCGGAGTCTGATGTGGTGTTTCTGACCATGCCCTACAACGGCATGTCGCCCACCATCGCCGGCGTCGGGGACGCGCTGGACGGCAAGGTTGTCGTAACCGTGATCGCCCCGATGCGGTTCGAACGCGGCGTCGGAGCCATCGCCGAAGAAGTGGAGACCGGCTCGGCGGCGCAGGAAGCCCAGGCCGCGGCTCCGGCCTCCAAAGTCGTCGCTGCCTTCCAGAATGTATCCGCCGAGGAGCTGTTGAAGCCGGGGGTCACGCTGGACGAGGATGTGGTCATCTGCGGCGATGACGCGGACGCCAAGCAGGCGGTGGTCGGCCTGACCCGGAAGATACCCAACCTCCGCCCCGTGGATGCCGGCGCCCTCTACAACGCCAAGTACGTGGAGCAGATCACCCCTTTGCTGGTCAACATCAACCGACGCTACCGTGCCCATTCTGGAGTGCGGATCACCGGTGTGTGAGCCGGAATTCAAGGCTCCGCCAAACCCGACTGGAGGAAATACCATGCCACGAGCAACGTTAGATTTGCAAAACGCCGATGACCTGGCGGCGGTGGAGGCCCAGTGGAAGGTCGCCCACGGGTTCGTGCCGGGTGAGCCCAACGAGGGCGTGGTCAGCGAGGCCGAGGGCTCGCCCTGTCGCCTGCCCGGGTTTCGACGACTCCGGTTGGGAAAACTGCGGTGACCTGGGCGCCTGGCGCCGGCGCGGCGTATCGTTCGTCTGGTACCGCATCAAGGCGACGCTGCCCGAGACGGTGGGCGGTCGGTCTCTGGATGGCGCGCGCTGCCTCTTCGAATCGTGTATCGACGACTACGGCGAGATCTGGATCAACGGCGAGTGCGACCGTGAGCGCGCCACGGTGCAGGGGTTCAACGTTCCCCAACGCGTGGTGGTGTCCACCGAGCCGAAAGCCGGCGACGAAGTCACCATTGCCATCCTCGCGATGAACGGCCCGCTGGCCGCGCCGGGCGGCGCGGTGTTCGTCCGCTACGCCAACCTGGCCTTCGAGTGGCGCGAAGCAGGTTTCTGACCAACCGCGTACCGCAACCGAAAAAAGTAGGGGCGAATGATTATTCGCCCCTACAGCGTTCAGGACCTGCGGTCAGGCCAGCCAATCGTCTTCACTCTCTTCGGCGTCCGCATCCTCGCCGTCATTGGTAACCACCTGTCCGGGGTTGTGCGAGTAGCCTCGCGTTTCCAGTTCGGCACGGATGGTGGATGCGAAATCCGCCGGCGACAGGCTGGCCGGCAGAGTTATCTCAACCGCGCCCCGGTCGTTCACGCTGACCTCGCCGGGATCCTCACGGGCCAATTCCACGCTGACCGATTCGCGGTGGATGCCGAAATCGTCGGTCACGGCGAAGACCGCCACCATGTCATCCATGGTGATTATGGTAATGCTGTCGTCGGACATGGGGTGAGTTACTCCTGTGGAGGCCACTGGGTGCCGCCGGTGACCGGGCGTTCGCTGGAAGGCAAACCCATGCCATCCGCCACCACCTGCTGGAATTCGTTGAGGATCACCGAGCCCCATTCGGCGGCCTTACCGACCCGATGGGCAGTGCGACGACCTCGGGCCTGCTGACGGCTTTCGGCTTCGTCGGTCACCGCGGCCGCAGCCTGGGCGACCATCTCGTCCATGGCGTCGATGGCGGGCACCAAGGAGCGGGCCGTCTCGATGAAGCGGGCAATTTCGCCCATCTCGCCATCAAAGACCACAAACACCGGCACGGTTCCCGCGCGGTGCTCCGGCAGGAAGCTGTTCGCGGCCTCCAGCTCGTCGTCGCGGTTGAAGACGCTGAGGCGGATATTGTCGCTGGCATCGGCCAGGCGCAGGATGGCCGGCGTGGTGGACATGGCGTCGCCACACCAATCGGACGTGAACACGGCCAAGTTGACGGGTTGCTCCAGCCCGTCGAAATAAGCGAGCACGTTATCCGGAACCGAAACGCCATCGTGGATCTGGCGGAACGGGTCCTTGTTGACTTTGATGCTGTCGATGTACTGGTCGGTGGTCATTCCCTGGCTGAACTTTTCAGCGGACAGTGTCATAGCGCCCCTCCTGATTCGGCTGAGGTCGTCTTTTGCCGTGCCGAGTGCCCGGTGCTAAAATCGTGACCATATATTACCAGCCCAAACCGGGCCGCAACGGAGCCGCTATTGACTAACGAACGAAGCGGAGTGTACCTGAAATACGCCCTGTTCTGCCGGGAAACCGAGGAGGGGGACGGGGACGACCTGAGTTTCAAAGGAGTCATCGACCTGGTCGATATCCCGATGCCTGACGAGCCACCCAGCGGCGACGGACCGCGCGTGCTGACCGAAGTAGATGCGCAACTGGCCTTCTGCATCGCCGGCGCAACGGCGGGTACGCATACGCTCGAGGTCACCATCAGAGCGCCGGGAGCCAGCCTTTCCAGTCCGCCGCCACAGGAGATTACCTGGGAGGAAGGAATTTTCTTCCAGCGCTGGATCAAACCCTTCCGCATACCGGTCACGCGGCTGGGTCGGCACGTCGCCGCAGTCGCCTTCGACGGGATGCCGCTGGGAGAGGCCAGCTTCCTGGTGCGGCTGAAGCCCTGATGGCTGATGACGCATAGACGCTAAACGAGTAGGGGCGAATGTTTATTCGCCCCTACGTGGTTCCAGGCTATGGCCCGGGGTTTACCCGCCGTTCTGCCGCCAGAGCGCCTCTAGCACGGCGCCTGGGTTCATGGGCAGGCTTTCCAGGCGAGCGCCGGTGGCGCGGGCGATGGCGTTGCCGATGGCGGCCATGGGCGGGACCAGCGAAACTTCGCCGACGCCGCGGACACCCAGCGGGTGCCCCGGATTGGCCACTTCCACGATGACGGTGTCGATCATGGGCAGGTCCAGCGCGGTGGGCATCCTGTAGTCCAGGAAGGACGAGTTGAGCATCTGTCCGTCGTCGTCGAAGAAGTACTCTTCGTTCAGCGCCCAGCCGATGCCCTGGACGGCTCCACCCTGGATCTGACCTTCCACGTAGCTGGGGTGGATCGCCTTCCCGCAGTCCTGGATGGCGGTGAAGCGCAGCACCTCAACCTTCCCGGTGTCGGGATCGACCTCGACGTCGGCGACGTTGATCGCGAATGCGTTGCCAACTCCGGCGGGGTTGGCCGCGCCGTGTCCGACGATGGGGCCGCCGGTGCCGTTGAGACGCCGCGCCAACTGATCGAAGGTCATGCGAAGGGCGTCATCGGAGCGGTGGGCCAGCGTGCCGTCCTCCTGGTACTCGACGTCCTCGACCGGCACATCCCAGATCCGGGCAGCGCGCTCGATCATCTGGCGGCGCACGTCCTCGCCGGCCTGGTAAACGGCGGTACCCATCTTGAAGGTGACGCCGCTGCCGCCGGCGCCGCTGCTGTAGCCGATGCTGTCGGTGTCCACGATGGACGGCTTGATGCGTTCCGCGGGCAGTCCGAGAACTTCGGCAACGTGCATGGCCATGACGGCGCGAGAACCGCCGATGTCGGGTGAACCTTCGATCAGGCTGACGGTGCCGTCTGGCATGACGCTGGCGACGGCGGTGGCCGGACCGGTGCCGTTGAACCACGCGCCGGCGGCGATGCCCCGCCCAGTGACTCGGCCGGGAGCAGAGGGCTCCGGAACTGGCGCCGCAAGGTGCGCATGCTCCTGGGTGGCCTGCAAAACTTCCACCATGCCGATGCGCCGGAAGGCGGGGCCGCCGATCTGCCGGCTGCCTTCCTTGCAAGCGTTGTTGAGGCGGAATTCCACTGGGTCCACTCCGAGTTTCTCGCACAGCTCGTCGATGGCCTGTTCAGCGGCGAAGGAGGCGGCCGGGGAACCCGGCGCCCGGTAGGCCGCTGACTTGGGCACGTTGGTCACCACGTCGTAGCCCTCGACGAACCCGTTGGCAATCTCGTAGGGAGCGAACATGGTTCGGCATCCACTGGGGACGGGCGAGCCGGGGAACGCGCCGGCTTCATAGATCAAGGTGGCCTGGGCCGCGGTGAACCGGCCGTCGCGGGTGCCGCCGACCTTCACTTTCATGTGGCAGCCCGAGGTCGGGCCGGTTCCGGTGAAAACCTCGGTGCGCGTCATGGCGATCTTGACCGGCTGGCCCGTCTTCCGCGCCAACACGGCGACGACGGGTTCCAGATAGCAGCCGCCCTGGCCCTTGCCGCCGAAGCCGCCGCCGATCTCCATGGGGGACAACATTGACCTGCCCCACGGAAACGCCAATGATGCGGCTGGTGTGGTCACGCAGGGCGAAATGGCCCTGACTGCTGGCCCAGATCGTCACGGTGCCGTCGGTGTTCCAGCGCGCGGTGGCGGAATGAGGCTCGATGTAACCCTGGTGGACCTGGCGGGTATGGTACTCCCGCTCCACGATGGCGTCGGCCTCGGCGAAGCCGGCTTCCAGGTCACCAGAGGAAAACTGGAAGTGGTTGGAGATGTTGGACGCGTCGCCGGTCTCCTCTTCGGCCCAGCCGCCGGAGCGCTGCGCCGGGTTGGCCAGGGTGACCAGGCGTTCGTGAACCGCCGGCGCGCCATCGGCCATGGCCTCATCGGCGGTCAGGACGGAAGGCAGCACCTCCCAATCCACGTCGATAAGGGAGAGGGCTTCCTCGGCCAGGTGGGGCGAGTCGGCGACGATGGCTGCAACCGCGTGCCCCCGATACAAAGCCTTCTCCCGCGCCATTATGTTGCGGCTGTAGAAACCGTAGTTGACCGCGGCCCCCTCTTCCTGGTCCTTGATTTCGGCGGACACCTCGGGAAAATCTGCCGACGTCACGACGGCATGCACCCCGGGCAGGGCCAGCGCTCTGCTTGCATCGATGCCACGGATGCGGGCGTGAGCGTGGGGGCTGCGGAGGATCTTACCGTGCAGCATACCCGGCAGGTGGATGTCCGCAGCGTACCGTGCGCGACCCATGACCTTGTCCGGACCGTCGTGGCGGACGGGGCGCGTGCCGACCACGCGGTAGGTTTCCTCGGGATCGGAGAGGACGATGTTGGGTTTGTAGTCAAGCATAGAGCGACGACCTCCCGGGCGACATTGATTGAGTAGGCAGTGGCAGTAATTTACCACAACGGGAGCGGCCCAAATCCAAGGGTCGGCGCGAGCCAACAATTCGGGGCCGATTCGTACGGAATCGACCCCGAAGTCGGTCAGTTGACCGCGCATTGCGAGCGGAGGCGCCTACCTGCTGCCGTCACCGTCGCCATGGTCGCCGTGCCGCCGGCCCGAATGGCCGCGCGTTGCCGTGGGCAGCGAGTCGGGACGGTCGTCGTGCCAGTCGCTGAGTGCGTCGGACTCGTCCTGGGTCAACTTTTCCGCGTCTACCAATTTGGACAGCCATCCGTCCACCTTATCGGAGTCCGAGGTGCCGGCAAGCCGGACCGCCATTGGACCCGAGTTGGCAGGCCGCGTATCAAACCAGGTGTTGGCCGCGGTCGCCTGGTCCGAAGTGAGGCTTTCGTCGTCCACCAAGCCCTGTACGTGATCCTCGAACTTGGTGTTGGCCTGCTCGTCCAGGGCAGTTGCGAAAGCGCTGTCCAACTCGGTCCGCGACTTCCCAAGGAGTTCGGCCACCCGGTTCAACACCGTATCGCTGCCACCGTGGTGTCCACGGCCGCGCAGGTCGAAATGACCGCCGCGCCGCAGCGCCTCGCCCGGGTCGCTTCCAGCGGCGAAGACACTGCCGCCCACCAACCCAATTGACAACAGCGCGATTGACGCCGCCACCACAAACCATCGCTTCTTGATGCTACGAATTCTGTTGAACATCTCGTGTCTCCTGCGCCGCCGAGGTAGTTTGGTTTTTGGTCCGGCGGCTTTGTTGTGTGCAGAATAGGCTCACAATGTTAAGAAATTATCAATGTTCCGACAAGGGAAGATCGAACCCGAAACGGCTACCCGCGCCCTCCTCGCTGTCCACCCAGATGGTACCGCCGTGGGCTTCCACCAATTGCCGGGCGATGGTCAGGCCCAAGCCAGAACCTCCGGTCGCACGATCTCGGGACGGGTCCGCCCGATACATTCGGTCGAACACGTGGGGCAGAGCGTCTGCCGGAATGCCCGGCCCCGTGTCTATCACCTCCACCCTCACTGAACCCGATCTCCGGCGGGCGGCCACGACGATGTTGCCACCGGCCGGGGTATGTCGAATGGCGTTGTCCACCAGGTTCCCCAGCACCTGCTCGATCCGAACGCGGTCGAGGCTCAGCGCCGGCAGGGCTTCATCGATTTCGGCGTTCAGTTGTACCGTCTCGGCGTCGGCCCGGGCCCGGAAAGATGCGGTGACCCGCTGGACGATCTCGCCCAACGCAACCGGCTCCAGCTCCAACTGCAATTCTCGGGCTTCCGACTCGGCCAACAGCCTCAGGTCACCGACCAGGCGGTTGAGATGCAGGGCCTGCCGATGCACGTTGTCCAGAGTGGGTGCATCGGGCTGGAGCAGCCCATCCTGCATCGCCTCAATGTGACCCTGGATATTGGCCAGCGGTGTCCGCAGTTCGTGGGCCACATCGGATACCAGGGTCCGTCGCTGGCGCTCCGATTCTTCCAGGGCGTCGGCCATGGAGTTGAACGTCCTGCCCAGTTCCGCGATTTCATCGTTGCCTTTGACATCTGCCCGGCTGGACAGGTCACCGCTTCCAAGTCCCCGGGCCGCGGCGGTGAGATTTCCAATCGACCTCAGCATCCGGCGAGACAATAGGATAACCAGCAGAACACCGGCCGCTCCGGTTATCACTCCAGCGACCTTCAACGAGCGGCCCACGGCGTCAGCAAACCGCGTCAACGGAGGCTCAGCTTCAGGCAAGGGCTCGCCGTGACCGGGGAACACCGGCACCATACCCTCATGCCCGCGTACCGCCACCGCCACCGAACCCACGACATCTCCGTCGGAGGTTATGGGCGCAAAATATCGCTCCGGAGGGAGGCGCAAGTCCTGGTGGTCCGGACCACGAAAGAATTGCCGTTCGCGACCATCGCGACCTCTTGCCCCGGAGGGACGGAGTCGGCTGTCGGCCACAACCTGCCCATCGACGTCCAGGACCACAATTTCTCGCTCCGTTTGGAAACTGGTCCGGTTGACGAAGTTCTGCGCACCTTCCCAGCTCCCCGTTGATACTGTAGGAATCAGTCAGAGCGACGACGATACGTTGAGCCCGCACACGGTCTCGCTCCACCTGAACCAGGCCCACTTCCCGTTCGGCAACGAAATCCGTAAACAGGGCCACCGACCCCAGTGCCAGCGCCAGGATGACGGCGAACCCCAGCGCCAGTCGCCAGCGGAGACCGAACCGCCATCTAGGCATCGCCGAACCGGTAGCCAACGCCGTGGACGGTCTGGACGTAACGGGGTTTGCGCACGTCGGGTTCGATCTTGCGGCGCAGGTTCGCGATGTGCACGTCCACCGTCCGGTCATACCCGTCGAAATCGTAGCCAAACACGCCTTCGATGATCTGGTCGCGGGAGAAGGGCCGACCGGGCTGGGATGCCAGCATGGAAAGCAGGCGGAACTCGGTGGGGGTCAGCGACGGTTTCTCGTCTCCCAAGATTACCGTTTGAGTCTGGGAATCGATGGTAATGCCGTCAAGCTCGACCACCGAAGGCTCTGCCGGCGACTGCCGGGAGGTGCGGCGCAACACGGCGCGGACGCGGGCCGCCAGTTCGCGGGGGACTGAACGGCTTCACGATGTAATCGTCGGCTCCCAGATCCAGGCCGGCCAGACGGTCATCTCATCGACGCGGGCAGTCGCCATGATGATGGGCACGTCGGACTCCGCCCGCAGTGCCCGGCACGACGCTCATGCCGTCCAGCTTGGGAAGCATGATGTCCAGGATAATCAGGTCAGGGACGGCGGCGCGAGCGGCGTTGAGTCCGGATACACCGTCGCTTGCGGTGGTCACGTTGTGGCCGTCGCGTCGAGGTACAAAGTCACGATCCGGGCAATGCCCGGATCGTCTTCGATCACCAGTATGTCGTTCGCCATGTCACACGCGGGTCCAGTCTGCGGAGTCGGATGGTATACAGAATAAAGACGGACCGCCCATTCAAGCAAACCCGATGCGGAGACAAATGGTCACCAAGCGGTATCCCGACGCAGGTCAATACCGGCTGACCGGCGAAGTTCGCCCGGTTATTCGTTGACGTTCCCGCCTAACGTGTCGCCGTAAAAGTGCAGCAGACTGGTTACCGGGTTACCCGCCATCTGGCCCAACCCGCACAGCGAAGCGGCCGCGACGATTTCGGCCAAATCTCGCAGATCCTGCACGTCCGCGGCCTGAGCTTTGCCGGCAGCCACTCGATCCAAGGCCTCGGCGATCCGAGGGGTGCCCTCGCGGCAGGGCGTGCATTTGCCGCAGGACTCGGCGGCGTTGTACCGGCTCAAACGCGCCGCGACTTCCGCCGGCGACGCTTGGTCGTCGAAGACGGTGATGCCGCCGGCCCCCATCACGACGCCGCTGTCATGAAGCATACCGGGCCGCAAAGGAACGTCCAGCTCGCTCGGCGGCAACAGCCCGCTGGATGGTCCGCCCACTGCGGCGAACCCAAGACTGCGTCCTTCCGGCACTCCCCCGCCAACAAGGTCAATGACCTGCCGGACCGTGACGCCCATCGGCACTTCAGCCAGGCCCGGCCGCCGCACCGCGCCGCTCAGAGACACCAGCCGAGTCCCTCGCGCGTCGTTGAGGCCGACCGACGCGAACCGACGCGCGCCTCCCCGCAGAATGGCAGGGAGGTTGGCGAGAGTTTCCGCGTTGTTGATCACCGTCGGCTCACCGTACAGCCCCGCATCGGTGGGAAACGGTGGACGCAGACGCGGTTCGCGCCGTCGCCCTTCCACCGTATTGAGCAGCGTCGTCTCCTCTCCGCAAACGTAGCCGCCGGCGCCGCGACGGATGGTGACCGCGCACGCGAAGCCGCTCCCCAACACATCGACGCTGACCAGGCCCGCCGCCTCCGCAGCCGCCAGGGCCGACGCCATGCGGTCCGCCGAAAGGTTCGCCTCCGCGTTGATGTAGATCACCACATTCCCGGCGCCGGCGGCGTAGGCGGCGATGAGGGCCCCTTCGATAATACGGTGGGGATTACCCTCCATCAGGTGCCGGTCCTTGAAGACGCCGGGCTCGCCCTCTTCCGCGTTGACCACCAGGTGTCGCCGGGTGGAACTCACCCGTCGGGCCGCCTGCCACTTGCGGGCCGCCGGGAAATAGGCTCCGCCGCGACCCAGCAGCCCAGCGTCCAGAACCAGGCCGATGACCGCGTCGGGTCTCATCGACAGGGCGTCCGCCAGGCCGCGGTAGCCGTCTCCCGCCAAATATTCGTCCAGGGAATTGGGGTCAGCAGTGCCAATCCCTTCCATCAGCGCGATGTGCTGGGACGCGAAAAACCCTTCCAACTCGTCACCAGGACGGACGCGCGTGGGCGCGCCGCCGTCCACCGCGGTGATGATATCCGAGAAGTCGTCGTCTCCGCCAACGCGGTCGAAAAACCGCGCCGTGCCACCGGCCAACGCCACCGTCACCTGCGTAGCCGCAAAGCACGCTCCATCGCAGCCGGCCGCCACCACGACCACATCACCCCTTCCATCGAAATCCTCGGTGAGCCGACGATGCACCAGATCCGCGCCCACTGTCTGGCTGCAGTGTCCCCATTGCACCACCACGCGGGTGATAGCGGTCGACCCGGCCAGCCGCTCCGAGGACGCGTCGCGCATCGCCTGCCAGGCGAGCTGGCAGTTCGCCGCCTTCATCTCAATGCGCTCTCTACGGCGGCGACCACTCGTTCCGCGTCCATGCGGCCGAGCCAGACGCCGTTGATTCCAACTGCCGGAGCCAACCCGCAAATGAACGCGCAAGCCGTGGAGGTCACGCTGGCGGCTCCCGTGGGATCCGGGAGTTGCCGAGCCGAAGCCAGGAGATCTTCGCCACCGGCCTGCCAACAGGCCAAACCTGTGCAGACGATGACTTGGCATCGCTTTGGAGGATCTAGAAGCAATTCTGAGTAGGAGGAGGCCGCCCCATACACCTCAGATGCGGGCACGCGCAGATGCCAACCCACAACCTGCAACGCCCACTCGGGCAGGTAACCGTGTTCGTGCTGCACGAGGTGCAAGACGGGTAGAAGGTTGTGGCGGCTCCGCTCGGGGAAATGATCACGCAGAGCTCGACGCAGGGCGGATTGGCTTTCGCGGCGTTCGGCGTCCGCGGTCCCATCGCTGGCGGGGTCGACCTCATCGCCGCGGCCGCGTCGTCGTCGCATTTCTCCTCCGGCCACCATTGCGGGATTATATCAGCCCTATGGTTCCAACACGTTTGATTGACATTTAGGTTCCGCAATGTGCTTGGTTGATGATGTGCTTGGTGATACGGAAGTTAGACGAACGTTCTTCCAAGCAATGCGCTAGCGATGGGCCATATCCCGGGTGTTCCACAAAGTCGGCCGCTTGGCCCCAAGAGCATCATCCCGCGTCGCTCCCGCGGATTGACCCTTCGCCGGCCCGTTGCTAACATCCCGATATCTGACCCGTTTCCCGGAGGAGCGTCATGCCCGTAGTCTCTGTTGACATCAAATCCCGCCAGTCCTTTGCCGACGGCGCCGCGTTCGGCGCAACCGGCGACTACGAGCGCATCGACGGTGTGCTGGAATTTGCGGTCGATCCCGGCAACACGCGCAACGCGTCCATCGTTGACCTGGAATACGCTCCGGTGGACGGGGCCGGATTAGTCCGGTTCGCAGTCCGACTTCACCCTGGTGGCGCCACGAGACCCGTCCAAAAGGCAACGGTCGAGCGATCGTGGAAGCGGTCAATCGCGGCCGTCGCCGCACCATCGCGTTCTTCAACCGAGGGCCAACCCCTCCCATCGATTCTGGCGCCATCCCAGAGGGAGATGGCTTTCTGCTCCGCAACGCTTATTCGGTGCTGTCAATCGGTTGGCAATGGGACGTTTACCGCAGCAACGCGCTGCTCGGCCTGGACGCTCCGGGCATCAGCATTGAAGGCCAGCCGGTTACGGGTCAAGCCTGCGTTGAGATGCGACCTACAGCACAGGAACGCACGCGCCTGCTGGCCAACCGCGAACATGAGCCATACCCGGTTGCAGATCTGAACGACCCCGGCGCCACGTTGCTGGTGCGCGATTGGGAGGACGGGCCGGACACGGTCATTCCCCGCTCCCGGTGGCATTTCCCGGATCCGCAGCACCTCACGTTGGAGCCGGGATTCCAGCCGGGCAAGATCTACTACTGCATCTACACTGCCGCGAATCCGGTGGTGGTGGGATGTGGGATGCTGGCGATTCGCGAGGCCGCTGCATGGTTGCGAAACGCCTCAGATGGCAACCTGGTTCACGGCGGGTATGAGCGCGTTTACGGTCACGGCGTCTCGCAGTGCGGGCGGTTGCTCCGTCACATGCTCTACCTGGGCCTGAACCTGGACCAGGATGGCCGCCCGGTGTTCGACGGCTTATTGCCCCACGTTGCCGGCGGGCGAATGGGAGAGTTCAACCACCGTTTCGCCCAGCCCTCGTGCCAATCCAATCCTGGCTTCGGCCACCAGTTTCCGTTCGCCGACGACACGCTTTCCGATCCGCTCACCGAACAAACCGACGGCCTGCTTCTACGACTACGCGAACTCAACGCCGTCCCAAAGATCATTTATACCGACTCCGCGGCAGAATACTGGCGCGGAGATGCCGCCCTCACACACATTGACGGCACGGAAACCCTGGATCTGGACCACGCCCCGGAGACGCGCCGGTACCTGTTCGCGGGAACCCAACATCTCCCGGGAGATCCCGACCTCATGGTGGGTCAGGGTCCCGACGGTTCCACCGGCGTGCATCCTTACAACGCCGTTGACTACATCCCGCTCCTCCGCGCCGCCCTTCTCAACCTTGATCGGTGGGTTTCCGAAGGAATAGAACCACCCGAGAGTATGCACCCCCGGCTGCACGACGGTACTGTAGTTACCCAGGCAGACTATCTGGCCGGCTCTGTGGCGGTTCCGGAGCGGAGCCTCCCGGATCCTGATCGCCTGTGGCGCATTCGAGAAATCGACGTGGGGCCCCGCGCGGAACGTGGCATCGCTGCCTATCCGGTCAAGGAGGGCCGGGCATATCCACAGCTGGTTCCGGCCGCGGATGGCGACGGAAACGACCTGGCCGGAATTCGTTTGCCAGACCTCACGGTTCCCGTGGGTACACACACCGGCTGGAACCTGCGGCACCCTGACACCGGCGCGCCCGAGCAGTTGATGTCCATGCAGGGGTCCACGCACTGGTTCCCGGCCACGGAAGCCCAGCGGGTAGCTGCCGGCGACCCCCGTCCGTCCCTGGAACAGCGATATGCCAACCGGGAGGATTACGCATCGAGAGCCCGGGAAGCGGCGACCAAACTGGCCGACGACGGCTATCTCCTAGTCGAAGATATCGACCTGGTGGTCAACTCATGCCTCGAACGGTACGACTGCGCCACGGGTACGACGGGCTAAAGACGAAGAACATCCGGACTGTCCACCGGGCCCACAAGCTTTGTCCGTGATCGGCATCGGGCTGGGCGACCCGGCATGAATCAAACCGTGACGCACGTTTGCACCGTACACCCAGTAACAGGGAAACCGACCATCTGCCCCTTAACCAATTCTTGGCCGACCACGTAAGTTAAGATTATGCTTAGACCACAGCACGAGGCATTCGACGCATCAGATTTCCCCGTGCGGTTCGGTCAACGCAAGCACCTATCCATTGATCGGCACGCGGCGCTACAACTGATCAGTTTTCCTCATTAGACGGCGAGGTATATCCATGACGGTCCCAACCAACACCGGCAAGCTCTCGGTGGTAGTACACGGCGCCACTGGCAGAATGGGAGCGGAAACCGTGCGGGCTGTAGCGGCGTCGGACGACGTCACGTTGGTCGGCGCGACCTGCAACACCCCCAGGGGAGACCTTCTGCCAACGCCAGCCGGCGAAGTCCCATTGTCGACTGACCTGGCCTCAATGCTGGATGCGACCCAGCCCCAGGTGATGGTCGAGTTCACGCACGCGGAGGCATGCATGGAAGCGGCGCCGTTGGCCGCCAACCGGGGCATCCACATGGTGCTCGGCGCAAGCGGGCTCAACGCCGACCAGCTGCAGACGCTGGACACCATGAGCCGCGAACATGGCGTCGGGGTGATCGTTGCCCCTAACTTCGCGCTGGGTGCGGTCGTGTTGAAAAAACTGGCGGAGCAGGCCGCCGCTTTCTTCGACTACGTCGATGTGGTGGAAGCCCACCACGAAATGAAGATCGACGCTCCATCCGGGTTTTCCCTGGCCATCGCGCGCGGCGTTCGGGATGCGCGTGGCAGCGACTTCCAGCGGAACGAGACCACCGTGCATCACCTGCCGGAAACCCGCGGCGGCGACGTGGGAGGAGTGAGCATCCACAGCCTGCGGTTACCGGGCCGCAGCGCTCACCATGAGGTGATATTTGGCGCCGCCGGACAAACCCTGAGCATCCGCCACGACACGCTGGGCAGAGACTGCTACATGCCCGGCGTGTTGCGCTGCGTGCGGGAGGTGGTACACAGGCCCGGTCTCACCGTAGGTCTGGAGGCCGTGTTGGGTCTTTAGCTTATGAGGAACCGCTCACGTTCGTATGGACGAAAAAAGGGGCTGGTTGTACCCTGAATCAACAGCATTGCCAAGGTGGCCCAATCCATCGCGGCATCCCGCAACTCCACAATTCAAACACAGCAGGTTGAACATGGACCTTCAGGGCATGAAGCTCGCCATCGTAGGCGCCACGGGCGCAGTGGGCCAGGAAACCCTGCGCCTGATCGAGGAGCGCTATCCCCAGCACGACAACCTGAAGCTCCTGGCCTCCAAGCGTTCGGCGGGACGGAAGATGGATGTGAACGGGAAGACGTTCGCTGTTGAAGAAACCACGGACGACAGCTTTTCGGACGTTGATATCGCGTTCATCTCAGCGCGCACCGAAGACTCGCGCCGATTCGGGCCGGTGGCGGCACAGGCCGGGGCCCTGGTGATCGACGACTCCAGCGCTTTCCGCATGGACCCAGCCGTGCCGCTGGTGGTGCCGGAAGTGAATGGGGAAGATCTGGACTGGCACAACGGCATAGTGTCCATTCCCAACTGCTCCACCACGCCACTGGTCATGGTGGTGCACCCCCTGCGTCAAGCGAGCCCCATTCGGCGCATCGTAGCCGACACGTACCAGTCCGTCTCCGGCGCGGGCGGAGCGGCAATGAACGAATTGCGGGATCAGACACGCACCGTGATGCACGGCGGTCCCGCAGAACCGGATGCGCAGCCCCAGCAGATCGCGTTCAACGTCATTCCTCAAATCGACAGCTTCACCGAATCGGGATACACGCGGGAAGAGCAAAAAATGATCGACGAAAGCCGCAAAATCCTGCACGCGCCGGAGATAGCGGTGTCCGCAACCTGCGTGCGTGTGCCGGTGTTCGTGTCCCACTGCATCGCCACGCATCTGGAGTTCGAAGAGGCGGTGTCGCCGGGCGAGGCTCGCGAGTTGCTCAGTGAGATGCCCGGCGTAAAAGTCCTCGACGATCCGGGTTCGTCCGTCTATCCCATGCCAGTTGACGCTGCCGGATCAAACGATGTGTTCGTTGGAAGGATCCGGAAAGATGCCTCCCACTCCAATGGACTCGCCATGTGGGTAGTAACCGACAACCTGGTGAAAGGGGCTGCTCTCAATGCCCTGCAAATTGCGGAAAACGCCGTGTTTCGAGGAGCAGTGCACGGCAAATCAAAATAGCGTACATCCACATGTACAAACTCCGTTTGCCATAGCACACTAGGTGTGTATAATGTGCGGAATGTCGAGGGTGATTACCATCAGACATGATGGAACCCAATGTAAACTGCCTAGCGATAGCAACGGAGGAGGGACCCTTTATGCCGACTGAAATTGGCCGGCTGATTACCGCCATGGTAACGCCGTTTGACGCTGACGGGCAGGTTGACTACGAACAGGCCAAGCGTCTCGCTTCGGCGCTGGTCGACTCCGGATCGGATGGTCTGGTGGTCACCGGGACCACAGGTGAAGGTCCGGCGTTGTCCATGGAGGAAAAGGCCCGCCTCTACGGGGAAGTAAAAGACGCAATCGGTTCCCGGGGCGCGGTGATTGCCGGCACCAGCGACAACAACACCACAGCTTCCATTGAGCTTAGCCGGGAAGCGGAACAGGTTGGCGCCGATGCTCTGCTCCTGACCGTTCCCGCGTACAACAAGCCTCCCCAGGAAGGCCTGTTCCAGCATTTCCGCGCGTTGGCGGAGTGCACCAATCTCCCTGGGATGCTTTACAACGTCCCCAGCCGCACCAGCCTGAACATGACCAACGACACCACGGTACGGCTGTCCCAAATCGAAAACATCATCGGCATCAAGGAAGCCAGCAGCGACCCGGTTCAGATCGCGAAAGTCATACGGGATACGCCCGACGACTTCCGAGTGTGGTCCGGCAACGACGATGAGACCTTCCCGATCATGTCCATGGGCGGGTACGGCGTAGTCAGCGTTGCTGCTCACCTGATTGGCAACCAAATCAAGCAGATGATGGGATTGATTTTGGAAGGCGACGTGGAAGCGGCTGGAGCTGAGCACCTGCGTTTGCTGGACATGTTCAAAGGGCTGTTCATCGTCTCCAATCCGATCCCGGTCAAGTACGGGCTGAATACAGTTGGCTTCGACGTGGGTAACCCCCGCTTGCCACTCGTCCCGCCCGACAGCCGGACGGCAGAACAGTTGGATGAACTGCTGGACCGATACGACATCGACATCAATGCGCCGGCCGACTGAACAGGCTGGCGCGATGGGTTTAGTAGCCAGCGAAGTCGGCTCTGAATCCGACCACTGATGACGCAGTATAAATTACTCCGACCGCCGGCGTTGATCCCAAGTACTTATGTATTAACCTTGTAATGGCAAGGAGTACTGAAATGGCTCTGAAAACCGTTATCTTTGTGGACGGGCAGAACTTCCGGCATAACCTGCGGGATTTCCACTTCCGCTCTGACCCGCCGCATCCCAACAATCCCGAGTACCGCCTCGATGAGAAGCATTTCCGGTGGCAGGAGTTTTTCCAGGATGCCCTGGCCAAATTCGATTACGTCACCGGCTGGCAGCATCAACTGGCCAGGGTGTATTGGTACTACGCGGAAAACATCACACCGTGGTCACCCAACCTGTGGCGGGCACAGCGCATCGTCGACGACTACGGCATGCGGATACCGGAACTGACCACGGACCTGGTCATCCAGAAAGCGCAGGACTGGTACGAGCATGAATTCCGACGGTTCCACCAACTGCGCAAATCGGTGTTCGAAGAGATCCAGCAAAACACCAACTTCCTGGAATTCAGGTACGTTGGGCAATATGTGGTGCAACCGTTCCGGCCATATCGCCTTGAGTACGACTACGACGGGAACATAAACTTTCAGGGTACCCAGGTGGGCGAAAAGGGCGTGGACATTGGGATCGCAGTAGACATGATCTCCAAAATGGACAGTTTTGACGCAGCTGTTCTGGTGTCCGGCGACAGCGATTTCTTCCCGGTGGTGAAATTCCTGAAAGACAACCTCAAGTACGTGTACCACTTCTCAGTCGGTCGCGGGGTGGGCAACGAAACGCAGTATTTCTCGTCCTCGTTGCGTGGGCTTGTCGACTGTTTCCAGGGTTTTGACGAACTGGAACTCCTGACCAATTATGTCAACGAGCATGCCGGCATCCCGCCCGCTATCATGGACACCATCAACATGCGCGCCGCGGAGTTGGAACGCATTCTCGATGAAGAATCGATGGACTACGACCACCCGCCGGAGCGCGATGCAGCGGTGATTCAGCGCCGCTAGTTGCGGGTTACTGTTCGGCGCTAGACGTCCCGCGCGGGCTCACCACGCGAGGTCGCAGACTATCGGCGTACACACCGCGATACGATTCCGGGACAAGAGCGGCGATCCGCTGCATCACCATATCCGTAACTGAGTTCAGCAGCGCATCGGTGACCCGGCCCTCGATGTGTGGTGGCGTGAATGGGGTGCCGATGGTCACCTGCCAGCTGGCCAACGGGACTGGCATGTGCCAGGACGCAAATTTTTCCGTGCCCGCTATGCCCACCGGTAAAATCGGGGCTTGGGTTTTCAACGCCAGCCACGCCAAACCGGTCTTCCCTCTTTGCAGTTGACTCGTGGGGCTGATGCCTCCCTCAGGAAACATGAGGACTGCCTTGTCCTCCTGAAGCGCGGCCAACGCGTAGCGCAGGGCTCCGCCGCCACCGCGCTGTCGGTCCAACGGCACCGCTCCCACTGCATTGCAGTAAAACCGGCCGATTGGGTTTTGCCACAACTCCTTCTTGGCGAGGAAGATGATCTCACGGGGCAACGCCACTACCAGCGTCCCGGCGTCATTGAATGACAGGTGGTTACTCGCGACCAAGAGTGGTCCGTAAGGTGGCATGGCTTCCTGGCCGGTCACGGTCAACCGGCCGGTGAGCCCCCACATAATCTTTCCGAAGCGTTTGCTGGGGTGATATAGCCAGGCCATGGAGATTACCCGCTTCGTACCGTGTCGCAATCGTCGAAGGCGACGGACTGAATGGCCGAAACCACTGCCGACACCGTTTGTTCAAAGTCCATATCGTCGGTCCGGATAATCACCGCATCGGCGGCGGCGACCAGGGGCGAGTCCGCGCGCTCCATATCCAAACCGTCCCGCCGCAAAGTATCGGCCAATACGCGGTCGTATTGGATCCCCGGATCTACGAGGAGGATTTGCGCGTGGCGCCGTCGAGCCCGCTCTTCCGGCGCGGCATCGATGTAGAGCTTCAAGTCGGCGTTGGGCAATACGACCGACCCGATATCCCGACCGGCCATAACCATAGCGCCGGAACTGGCGATGCCTCTTTGCTGCCTGACCAACTCAACGCGGACGGCGCGCACCGCCGAAACCGCCGAAACGTTCTCGTCCACGTCCGCCGACATCAATTCGGTACCAAGAGGCTTACCATCAACCATGATGGCAGCATCGGTGTTGTCACTCTGCGCCAGTTCCATCCGGCATGCCGCAGCCAATTCTGCCACTGCGCCGGTGTCGGTCGCAGCAACCCCACTATGGAGGGCCAACCACGTCACGGCGCGATACATTATCCCAGTGTCCAGGAATCGCAATCCCAAAATCTGCGCCGCAGCTTTTCCAACCGAACTTTTCCCAGAAGCCACCGGCCCATCAATAGCCACCACCGGGGCCGCACATGAGAATGGCAAACCAACCGAGTCCATGGCCCAAATTATAGCATCGCACCCGAATCGAGATAACGGCAGCGCAACGGTAAGTTATCAACGTTCAGAGGCGGGGTGTGTGGTGACCCATAACCCTGAGCCATCGGTGACATATTCAACCGTGCCGTCACGAGCGGTGATGAACACGCTCTCGTTGCCGACCACCGTTGCCAGCCGCGCCACCACGTCGGTATGCGGGTGTCCGTAACGGTTGTCACTCCCAGCGGAAATTACGGCAGTTTCCGGGTCGACCGCCCGCAAGAACCGCGCGGAAGAGGACGAGAGGCTTCCATGGTGAGCCACCTTGAGGACATCGGATCGTAATCGTTCGCCCTGGATGTCAACCAGGTGACGCTCGACATCCTCTTCTATATCGCCGGTCAGCAGGAAAGAAACTTCGCCGTAGGTCATTCGCATGACGACGCTGAGGTTGTTCGCGTTATAGTCTATATGCGAAGGCATTTCCCCATCTGGAGGATTCAGGACTTCCAGCACGACGCCGGAGTCCAAGTCCACGCGATGCCCGGCTCGAACTTGGACCGTCGAATGTTGGCGCCGCCCGAGGACCGATTGCCACTGGTGAAACAACGCGGATCCCTGGGACGCCGAGCCCTGAATAACTATGTTGGTGTCATAACGATCCAGAACGCCGATCAAACCTCCAGCGTGGTCACTATCGAGATGGGTAACCACCACCGCGTCCAGGTCACGGTCACCGGCGGGCAGGTGTCGACCCAACGCGGCCAACGCAGCCCCGGGTTCAGGTCCTCCGTCCACCAGCACCTCGCGACCCTCAGGCGTCACCACCAGGATCGCATCTCCCTGTCCTACGTCGAGCACATGCACGTGGAGCAAACCGTCCGACCGAGTCGCCGTTACCTGGGTAAAGAGCAGGATCGTGCCCAACAGAGCAACGGGCGCCACTCCCACCAAGAGGCTGGCGACTCCGCTGGGACGCCACCTCGGTCCTCGTCTCCACCCGGAGGCGATCCGGCGCATCCCCCGGGATGACATTAGCAAGGCCAATGCAACCAGGCCTCCGTACCACATCCCCACGCCCGCCGGGGTCAACCAGCCGGAAGGAGCCATTGCCGGCGGCATCGCCTCGGCCACCCGGATGATCCAGGTCAGGGGAACCCAGGTCAACAAACCGAACGGCTCGCCCAACCATGGGGATACCACCCCCAAGGCAGCGGTGGCCGCGGCACCGACCAATGCGACGGGCATGGCCGGCATGGCCAAAATCGTCGCTGGGACACTCATGAGTGGGATCTCACCAAAGTGCATCGCGATCAGCGGGACCGTCGCCAGTGTGGTGGTGGTGGATATGACCACGGAGGCGATCAGCAACGTCAGAACATGCCGGAACCATCTCGTTGCCCCCGCGCTGGATCCACCCGAAAGCGGCGCGATGGCGCCGGTCAACATAGCAATCAAGGGCAGGCCGATAATTACCCCAGCCATCGCCGTGAAACTGAGCTGGAAGGACAGGCTTCCCAACAGCGTAGGATCAACGCAAACCATCACGCCGGCCGCCAGCACCAGCGCAGTGAGGCCACGCATCCCGCGGCCGGTCAGCCCCTGCGCCAGGGCCAGGCTGCCCATTATCGCCGCCCGCACAACTGGTGGATCGAGGCCGGATACGACCGCGTAGGCCCATATCGTCACCATGGCGCACAGGATGGCCAGGGGGTTTCCACTACCCAGCGCCGCCGCACCAACTCCCAACGCCAACGCCAACACTATCCCCACATGCAAACCGGATATGGCGAGCAGATGGGACATACCAGCAGTTCGGAACGAAGCCTTCACCGAGGACGGCAACTCCGAGCGGATCCCCAAAAGCAGGGCCTGCGCCAAGCTGGATTCCGGCGCCCGAATGCTGCGCTGCAATGCCGACGCCAGGCTCCCGCGGATCCGGTGCAGGGTCGCAGTCGTCCAATGGCCTCCGCCGACTGCAATCGTTTCGGCATCCTTGGCCCACATCACGCCCGCAATTCCCTGGGACTCCAGCCATGCCGCGTAGTCGAAATCGCCGATGGGGTCCGGCCGCTCCAATGTGCCGGAAAGACGCAGAGTGTCGCCGTAACGCAAATGGGGCGGGCCGCGCCGCATCGACAAATCGGGGGGAGGCAGCGCATATACCAGCAGGTCAGTTCCGCCAGGCACGCTGCCGTATCCTTCGGCTTCGTCGGCAACCACCTCACCACGAAAGCGTACCCGGCTGCCCGCCACAGTCGGGGCATCGGATATGATCACCGTGACCACAGTGGGGCCCGTGGGCACTATGGGCGGCGACGCATCGGCTGCCAACTCGCCGCGCCATGCTCCCAATACCAAGGCGGCGGCCAACACCACGGGAGCAGCGGGTACTCCCATCGCTCTGAACCCAGCCGCCAAAGCTACGGCGGCCAGTCCAATCAGCAAAAGCGGCCAGGGCGAACCCAGGGGCACATCGAACCACAGCGCGAGACCCGCGCCGGTGATTGCTGCTACAACCGCGATCTCAGGGAACAGACGCATCGCGGGCAGGTCACCTCGACCGCTCCCGGCCTTTCCCGTTGATCCTCCGAAGATAGCCGGGCAATCGGAAACGCTCTAACCAGCGGGACTCAAGGGGATGCAACCGTAATCATCTCAGCGATACGCCGGTAAATGCCATCGCCAATGCCGGACACGTCAGTAATCGCCTCGGGACTGGCGAACGGACCGGACTGCTCGCGGTGCGCAACGATAGCATCTGCTCGCACACCACCGATGCCGGGGAGGGTCTCAAGGCACTCGGCATTTACCGTGTTGATGTTAAGCGGCGGCGCGCAACCGCCCGTTTCGGCGGCTTCGACGACATTCGCTGTCGAAGCATCGCTGGAGGTTTCAACGTGGCCTACAAGCTCCCCGGCCTTGGGAATGTTGTAATGGGCAGCATCGGTCACGTAAGCCGCCAAGTTGATCCGGCTCAGATCGGCGTTCTCGGTGGGACCGCCGGCGAGTTGCAATACCGCGTCCAACCGCTCACCGTTTGCCACGGTGTACACACCCGGGTTGACCGCCTCGCCGGTGATATACACGGCGATCTGCGCCGCCGTGGTCGCCTCGGGCGGAGCTGGCGCTGAGGTTGTGACTGCGGGAGGCTCAACAGCATCAGAGGCAGAAGTGTCTTCCGGCGCAATTATCTGGATCCCTTCAGGCTCGCTGATATCCGCCCTGTCGCCCAAGATCATCCAAGCCGCCAGGGACAACAGCAGCACGGCAGCAGCACATGATACCCCGACTGCGATAAGTTTCCTGGTCCTTGACGGCCCCAAATCGGCGCCCCTCCGGATGCTGCGCACACCAAAAGCCGACTGCGAAGCGCTGCCCACTTCCTCACCGCATCCGCCTGCGCTTCGCTGCCGGCCGTGATCAATTAAACTACGTTACGTCAATAAAATGCACGGAGTTAGAATACCAGATTTTATGATTTCCTCAATATCATGGCCGCTAGACACAGCTAAAGGTGCCCTATGCATTCCATGCACCGATCTATAGTGGTCTTCTACGGCCGGCCAACCGGGTCTTGTTAGCTCTATCTGGCACGGTATGCAACGCATCACACCTGTGCTCTCAGTTTACTGCCCTGGGCAGGTCTTACCCGATCGACGACTTCCCGTCCGAAATTCCTGCCATCAAAGCGTCCGCCGCCAACGGCCCATACGTATCGGCGATGAAAGACGCGCCCTCTTCAGCTATCCGCCAGTCCCGAGCCTGGATCTGGTCCGCGAACTGACGCGACAGGCGTCTGCCGTAGTCGGCGACCAACCTGCCCAGGGCGTCCGATTCTGCATCCGATGTCATCTGCCGGAACAAGCGGAACATGGGATCGGTGCGTGCCGCGTTGTAGGCATCGTGGAACGTCAGGTTCTCCGGGTGGTCCCGGAGCAGCAACGCCACGCCGAAGTCGATGATGCGTATGTCACCGTCCGGCAACAGGATGGTATGTGATCGTCCATCAGGATCAGATACCGTCGCGTCGTTGTAGCAAATGCCGGCGGCGTGCAGTTTCGACAGTGCCGCGCCCAATCTCTGGCCGATGCTGCGCATCCGCTCTGGTGAAACCTCTTCGCCTTTGAGGTCAGTCAGGAACGGGCCGTTCACGAATTCCTCGGTGAGAAACCCTGGAATGCTCGAAAATTGCCGCGGGCCCACCTCGAGATCGCCGGCAATCGCGGCGATTTCAGTTTCACCGGGGCTCTGGCACGGTTTGATGACTATTTCAACTGATTCCCCGCCGCGCCGGCCACTGATAATTGCAACTCGACCCCGTGAGCGACCATCGTAACGAACGTCAACATCGGACGCCCCGTCACCGTAAACCAGGTCGTAAGATGCCGGAAACAGGCCGTACACTGAAAACCGGGCAATGCGCTCGTCCTCGGTCAGCGATCTCCACAGTTCATCTTCGCGATGGGCCAGGGGCCACAATGGCCATAGCCGCACCGGGCACTGTCCTCCCTCGACCGCAGAATCGCGGACGGATATGTCGTCGTGGGTGAGTAACGGGAGCTCGGCGATCACCCGGCGAATTGAGGACAGTTGCTCTTCCGAATACCGTATGCCGTCCAAACTCACCCTTCGCTCTCAAGGACGAACGTGCCGGGATCTGCCACGTCCGGTTTGAGCGCCCGAACCCTGGACACCGCGGCGGGTGTGATCGGCCCGTACACATGCGGGTAAATCTCCCCCGATCGGGCGGGCTCACGGATCACTGGCGAATCGTCGGAAAGCCGGTCGGTGTCCACGTCCAACACGAGCAGATCGTCGCGGCCGGCGAACAGTCGCGCAGCGACCCGGAGCATCTGCTCCTCGTCACCGCTGGCATGAATGAAGCCTTCTTCCGCCAGCGATGGCGCGCGATATTCGCCGGCGGCGAAGCCGGCCTCCCAGTCGGACCGGAATGCCAGGTGGTAGATGATGGAGGACATGCTTGAACAGGGTCGATTATCGGCAAGCTGCCCTCACCGCCCTTGAGATCGACGACAGGCGGGGGTTGTTGGTCGCACTGGAGCGGAACCCATTGGTGATGTACGCCATCGCCAGCCCCATCTCGGGGTCGGCCCAGCCCACCGAAGTTCCGGCGCCTCCGTGTCCGAAGGTGCCCAAGCCGTCACCGGCGTTGGTGCTGGCTCCCATGCGGCTGTCGTCCAGCACCAACCCCAGGGAGCGACGCATGCGCATCCCCAACGAGAAGTCGTTGGCCTCAGACTGTAGAGCGGTGGCTTCAGCTACCGTCTCCGGTTTGAAGATGCGTACACCGTCGAGCTCTCCCTCATTGCCCATCATGGCATAGAAGCGCGCCAGGTCACGGGCCGTGAAGATCCCGCCGCCGGCGGGATGCACCGCCTGGTGCACCTCTGGCCGGTTGTATGGCCGTATCATTCCCGGCCGGTCACAGTCTTCCATGGCGTGGATTCGCGAGACCCTGGGCTCAAGTTCCGGCGGCAGTCCCACGTACCCGTCACGCAATCCCAACGGATCCAGGATCTCCTCCCGGAGAAACACGCCAATGTGTCGCCCGTCGATCCGGCGCACCAATTCGCCGATCACCCAGCCGAAATTGCGGGGGTGATACGCCATGATCTGGCCGGCAGGATAATCGGGGATGATGTCCTCCATGCACTGGACCACGTAGTCCCAGTCCTGCCACCGGTCCCAGGACAGTTCCGGCGGTGTCTCCGGGAACCCGCCGCGATGCGTCAGGACGTGACGGATCGTGACCGCGTCCTTGCCGTGCTTGGCGAACTCCGGCCAGTGCTGCACGACGGTGTCATCCCAGTCCAATTGGCCCCGCTCCCACAGGATGTGCAGGCAGGCTGCCGCCAACGGCTTGGTGGAAGAATACAGAATGAACATCGTGTCGGCGGCGACGGGAGCGCCGCCGGCGTCATCGGCCAATCCGCCCCACAGATCGACGGCCAGGCGGCCGTGTCGATAGACGGCGAGGCCGGCGCCCGGGTGCAACCCCTGGGCAATTTGATGGCGGAACAGGTTTTCCAATTCCTGCACCGCCGTCGGGTCCATTGCTACTTCTTCCAAAACTGTGGTGGTGGTCATCAATAGTCCTCTGTGATCGCGGTTGGTGCGCGGTAATCCCGAATCGGACTGCCGATTCAGTCAGCGAACACCGTGTTGAGATTGGCCGACAGGTCAAAAAAGTGCTGCAGGCTCTGGTTGTAGCGGAAGAACATGTCCGCCCGGAGCTGGTCTCCCGTGGCGTTGTTGGAGATCTCGTTCAGCATGTCCAGGCTGACCAGCGTCTGACCCGCCTCCGCTCCGCCGTTGCACTTGATGCTCTCCAGCATGGCCCTCCAGGAGGCGGGCTCCATCTCGATGAAGAAGTCCACGTTGATCAGGTCGTACTCGCTCCCCGACCGTACCGAAGTGCATTCGAATGCCTCGAAGGCAAGCACAAACACTCCATCGCCAATCTTGACGCCCATGGACGCGTCAACAGTGCCAAACTGCCGGTATGCGGAGTCATCGTTGACCAGGCGTCGCAGTTCTTCGAACCAGGCAAGTGACGGAAATACTATCGGTTCAGCAGTCATTCAGACAGTGCCTCCGGGCACGGCAGTCACCGATCACGGCAATGCGAGACCGGCGATCATGCTATTCGTGGAAGTAAGGATCTCCCGTTTTTTCAGCGGAAGAAAACGGCGCCATTTTACGCAGATAGTGGTCAGGGTGGCTGGTCGATGGCGCTTTGCCCAAGGAGTCGTCCACCATTTTATAGTAGCGTGGATCGAGGTCCCGGTAGGTGTCGGCTTCAGTTCTGCCCCGGGAGAAGGAAGACATGATGCGTGCCATACCGTAGTCGCCGCAGTGTTCGCAGTTGACGTCGGTCGCTGACGAGGCCACCTTGAAAAAGTAACTGCTCACCCGGCTGCAGGACTGGCAACGATACTCATAAATCGGCATATATGGACCACCTCACCGGGCTCCGGTACTTCCCCGCAGGTTCAATACGAGACGAACGTTTGAACCCGGCGAAACCCCGCCGGTGATGTTATAGGAACGTGCCGGCAGTGTCAAAACTGCCGTACCTAGCCGGCCGGACCGTCGAACGCTGTGCGGTGCGGTTTGATGTCCACCACTGGCGAACCGTCCTGAGCGTCGAGACCGGTGACGGTGAGCACCGCCGCGCCGCCCTCAATGTCCTGTCGGATGCTTTGGATCAGCGCAATCGTTGCAGCGATGAAATTGGGCCGATACTGGCTACGGGTGGAGAACACGCCCCTTATGGGATTTGCGGGGTTGTGGCCGGGGTGCAGCCTGAGCTCGTACCCGGTGGTCGCGGCGCGGTGCAAGATGAACAACGTCTGAATGCGGTCACCGGGCTCCAGGCCCATCAACCCGTCGGCAAATTCCGGAAGCACCACGATCTCCGAGGGATGTTCCCCCATTTCGTCAGACGGTGCGTAGCCCGCGAAGCGACTCCGCACGTGCCCGATGGGCGTGAGCTGAAGGACGCTGGTTTCGGTTGCCATGGAAATGCGAGGGACGCTCAGTTGGCCGCAGCGGCCGCTTGCCCAACGGACGCCTCCAGCGAAGCCAGCCAGTTGACCACCGCCTCTCCCGCCGCCGGCATCATGTTGGTCAGGGAATGGTTCCCGCCCTCCAGCACCAGGTACTCGGCCCGGGGACTGTTCACCGCGCCGGCGATCATGTCCTGCGGAACATCCAGCAGCCGGGTGTGCGTTTCCAGCGAGCCGGATAGCACGAACAGAGGCACCCTGATCTTGGGAGCCTGACCGATGATGTTGTAACGTTCCAGCGGGCCATGCTTGTCGATGTACGCCATGGCCGAGAACATTTCCTTGATCGGGAAATCCACGTTGAACAGGTCCAAAGCCCGTCCTTCCGCCTCCATGCGGTCCGCGGTCACAAGGTTGGCACGAAACTCTTCAGCGTCCGGGGATTCCATGTAGTAGGAACAGGACAGCCGCACCGGCGAAATGGGCACCACCGCCGCAACCCGAGGATCGTTTTCCACCGCGCCGTAGTACGCGACCTTCACGGCGCCCATGCTCTGGCCCAGGATGGCAATCCGCTCGTATCCCTGTGCCGCGAGGTAATCGATGCCCGCCCGGAGGTCCTGGCGGCTATTGTCCAGAATCTCGTAGGCGTTGCCCTCGGCCACCCCGGTCTGCCGGTCCACCCACACCGTATCGTGACCCCGCGTGTTGAGAGTCAACGCGGCGTACCCCGCGCGTCGCAGGTCATTCGCCATGTTAGCCGTTGCCGGCGTATAAAAGTTGCGGCCGGACCCGTGTATTATCATTGCAGCGTCAATCGGACCGGACGGGGTCGAGCCCCGATCGGGCGCGAAAAACGCCCCGTCCAACTCCATTCCATCCGCGGCAGCGATTCGAATCAGGTCAACCAACATGGCTGCTTCCTCCCGAGTGTGCCGGCCAACACAGGCGGCGTGTTCCGATAATAAGCACAGTGTACACGCAAACGAGGCGCGGTTCATCCCGAGCGCCTCCGCAGACAAAGCGAAGGGCAGCCCATGTGGCTGCCCCAAAATAATGCCAGCTTTTTGGCCGCGTCACTTCTGTTGCAGCAGGTACTCGACCAATGCGTCCACGTCTTCGTCGGACAATTGGATGCCGGCCATGGTGGCGCTCATCAAGCCCTGCTGATAGTCCTGGGGGAGCCCGTCAGCCTCGCCCGCGGTGTATGCGTCGGGTTCGACAATGGACTCGCGTATGTACTCTTCAGCGGAATAACCGTCGATACGGTTGCCCGCGACCGAAGCGATATTACTCAACTCCGGCCCCAACACACCCTGGGCCACCCCCTGGATGGTGTGGCAGGACGCACACGCGGCGGTGCCGACAAAAAGCGCCTGCCCGGGGGGTGCATTGACCAAATCAATCGGCGTGTCCGGTACCAGGTCGGCGGGGTCCGCCGGGTCCGGCAGTTCTTCCGGTAGGGCCCGCGCCACGGGTTCGTGCGCGTCCTCGACGTGGTGCACGAAGGGTTCCTGGCGCGGTTCCGAGAACGCCCGGGGCGTCGGCCGGAATACGCCAAACAGCAGTACTAATGAGATGGCCACCACCAATCCCAAGCCCAGTCCCGCTACGAAGATTTGCCAAAGCAACTCGTTCTCAAACTTCAGGTGCATGAAGAACGCGACGACGCAGAAGAACTTGATCACCGACAGGATCACCAGCGGGGCGATGACCACACCGCTGCCCTGGAAGCCTTTGGGAACGATGATGAGGAATTCCACCAGGGTGATGATTCCGAGGAAAATCGCCAACAGGCCATATTCCTTCAGCCCGCCGTGCACGCCCTCCGGCACGTGGCCGAAGAAAAACCGCGATATCCCAGCGCCTTCGTGCGCCGCGTGTTCTTCGTGGGTCAAAGCGGTCTCGTGGTCCAAAGTGGCCTCGTGACCGGGGTTGGTGCTCATCTGGTGGTTGCCTCCTCGAAACCTAGCTGATCAAACCGGTAACCCAGTTCCATCCCTGCGCCGCGGCGTGGCCGGCTTCCGGGGGCCCGTCAAAGCCGCCGATCAGGTAAAGCAACGTGAAAATCACGATCCAGACGATGTCGACGAAGTGCCAATACAGGCCCGCGATGTCAACGTCCAGGCCGGAGGGTCGCCCGGCAGGGTTGCGGGCCGCAATGATGACGATGCCCACCAGCCAAACGAGGCCCAGTGTTACGTGAGCTCCATGGAAACCGGTCAGCGTGAAGAATGTGCTGCTGAACAGGTTGGTTTCGTAGCGCAGCCCTTCGACGCGGAAGAGGTTGAACTCGTACACCTGGAAGCCGATGAATGTGGCGCCCAGCACGATCGTGAACAACAGCCACTGGATAAGGCGCTTCTGGTTTCCGTTGCGGGCTGCGGAAACCCCCATCACCATGGCAAACGAGCTCATCAGGAGTACGAAGGTGCTGACGGTGGTGATAGGAACATCGATGATATCCCTGGGATAGGGGCCAATGATGCTCTGTCCCCGGTAGACCATGTAGGTGGCTATGAGAGAGCCGAAGAACAGGCAATCGGAGCCCAGAAACACCCACATCAGGAGTTTCCGGTGATTTATGCCGGTGGTGGTTTCTTCCTCATGTGCCGGTGGGTGTTCCGGCGGATGCGCCGGCGGGGCATGGGTGGTATCTGCGTGAGCCAACGCGCTCCTCCTGCCTGCTAATGGTCCAGGTACGCCCGAGTCGCTCGGTGCAACCTAGTGTTGCTCGGCCGCTTCGTGGTGTTCCTCAGCAGCCGGCTCGTTGGACCAACCGATGACACCTATGATCGTGATGAGGCCCCCGACGAAACTGATGGGGAATCGGATGTAGTCCCAGCCCACGTCGATGAGCAAGCCGCCCGCGATCCACACCACGCCAAAGGACGTGATCAGCGGCCAGTAGGAAGGGCTCGGCATGTGGATGGTGCTGGGGTCCACGTGCGGTTCGGCAGGCACGGTTTCGCCACGAGCTGCAGCCTCGCGTTTGGTGATCCAGTAGGCATCCTGACCTCGCACCACCGGCACTTCCGCGAAGTTGTAAACCGGCGGCGGGGAGGAAATGCTCCATTCCAGTGTGGGAGCGTCCCACGGGTCATGGCCAGCTTCCGCACCCTTCTTGATGCTGCGGAAGAAATTGTGAATGAAGATCAGCAGTGAAATGACGATTACGAAGTATCCAATCGTCGCGAGCAGGTTCATCCCTTCCCAGCCAAATCCTTCGGCATAGGTGTAGATGCGGCGTGGCATCCCGTTCAGCCCGGCGTAGTGCATGGGGAAGAACGTCAGGTTCATGCCGACGAACATCAACCAGAAGTGAACCTTGCCCAACATTTCGTTGTACATCTTGCCGGTTATCTTCGGGTACCAGTAGTAGATGCCGGCGAAGATGCCGAAGATGGCGCCACCGAACAGCACGTAGTGGATATGCGCGACGATGTAGTAGGTGTCCTGCTGCTGGAAGTCGGACGGGGAGACCGCGTGCGACACGCCGGACAGACCGCCCACGATGAACAGCGCCACGAACCCAATGGCCATCAGCATCGGCGTCTTCAGGTCGATTGACCCATTCCACATCGTGGCGATCCAGTTGAAGATCTTCACGCCGGTAGGCACCGCGATCAGCATCGTGGTAATGGTGAACACCGAATTGGCGATGGCCCCCAGGCCAACCGTGAACATGTGGTGGCTCCATACCGCCCAGCTCATGATGGCGATGACGATGCCGGAGAAGACGATAACGGGGTAGCCGAACAGCGGCTTGCGGCTGAAGGTGGGGATGATTTCGGAAACAACCCCCATGGCCGGCAGAATGAGGATATACACCTCAGGATGACCGAAGAGCCAGAAAAGGTGCTGCCAGAGGATCGGGTCGCCGCCGGCGGCGGTGTTGAAGAAGTTGGCGCCGAACTGCCGGTCAGCAGTCAGCTCAATCAACGCGACGGTAATTATCGGGAAGGCCAGCACCAGCAGGATGCTGGTCACCAGGGTCATCCAGATGAAAACGGGCATACGCATCATCGACATCCCGGGAGCCCGCATGTTGATGATGGTGACCACGAAGTTGAACCCGGCGGCCAGCGAGGCGATGCCGAGCACCTGCAGGCTCAACGCCCAGAAGTCCAGGCCCTTGCCTTCGCTGAAAGGCGCGGCGGTCAGGTTCGCATAGGAGAACCAGCCGGCATCAGGCACCTGTCCAATGAGGAAGCCGGCGTGCATCAACAACGCGCCGAACAGGAATGTCCAGTAGGAAAAAGCGTTGAGGCGAGGGAACGCCACGTCCCGGGCGCCGATCATCAGCGGCACCAGGAAATTGAAGAACGTGGCTCCAAAGGGCATGATCACCATGAAGATCATGGTCGTGCCGTGCATGGTAAACATGGCGTTGAACCAGTCTGCCGACACGAGCGAGCTGTCGGACGTGACCAGCTGCAGCCGCATGATCCCGGCTTCAATTCCGCCGATCACGAAGAAGAAGAACGCGGAAAAACCGTACAGCGCTCCGATGCGCTTGTGGTCTACGGTGGTCAGCCAACTCCACAAGCCTGTATAGCCAGTGGGGCGGGGAATGACGCCGGTTATGGATACCATGGTTCAGGTCCTCCGCTGCGGCTCGGTCAGTATCTGATTCGGCGATGCGTTAGCGGCGCTGGTTTGTAGTCTATGGATATAGGATAGCGCGGATTCAGCCGACTACCGGAGGCAGATGTCGGGTCCCTGGGCTGACAGATATTCCACCAGGTCTCCCAGTTGCGTCTCGGTGAGGTCAGCTCGATGGTCCAAGCGGGTCTGGTAGATGGCCGCGAGTTCGGACATGCGGTTGCCAGGCTTGATGCCATCCGGGTCACGGATCCACTGCCGCAGGCTTTCCCGATTGCGGTCCAACAACCCCGCCCCAAGTGTCGTACGGCACCCGAAATCGGTCAGATTCGGCGCGGCGAAAGCGGTGGGCGGTTCGTTTCCGGTTCGAACATCTTCGAGGCGTTCATGCGCACGTTTGTCCAGCCACTTGGTGTATGCAATGTAAGTCTGCATACGGCCGTGCTGGACACCTTCGCCCGTGGCTGGATTCACCGTGTCCGAGGCTCCGACGGTGTGGCAGGTCACACACTGCCCATCTCCCAGGAACACCAACTGGCCCCGGGACGCTTCGGCGGACAATTCGACGGGTTCGGCGAAACCATCGACCCAGGCATTGTAATCCGCCTCCTCGAGCACGTGGACACGGAATTTCATCTGGGCGTGGGCGGTGCCGCAGAACTCGGCGCACTGCCCGTAGTACATCCCGGTTTCTTCGGCCAGGAACCACATCGAGTTGGTCTTGGTGGGCACCACGTCCTGCTTGCCGGCGAGCTTGGGGATCCAGAAACTGTGGATCACGTCATCGCTCTTCAGTTCCATGATGACCGGGGTATTCACCGGAACGCGCATTTCGTTGGCCGTGGTGACCAGGGCGTCGTCGGCTGATCCGGGTATTGGGTCTTCATAACGGAATTCCCACCACCACTGGTGTCCCACCGCTTCGACCCGCAACGGCTCTCGCCCCTCGGCCCTTGCCAGCGCGATGGCCTCGCCAGGTTCGAGTTTGAACAGAACAATCACGGACCATACGCCCAACCCCAAGATAAGGATAGTCGGAACGATAGTCCAGGCAATCTCCAGGGGGGTGTGGCCGTGGGTCTGCGGGGGCAGCGGGTCGCCGGGCTTGCGGCGGAAGCGAATGGCGGCGTAAAGAAGGGCACCCTCGACCAGGACGAATACAATCACCATGGTCCACAGGAGGACGTTGAAAAGCAGCAACTGCTCGCGCGCCACCGGCCCGCCCACGCCGTCCAAGGTCCAGGGGGTGGAGCTCAGGATGGATTGGTGGGCATTGGCGTCGCAACCCAAGCCTGCCAGCGCCAGGATGCCGCCGAGGAGCGCCAGCGTTACCAAGGACCGCCGGCTGTACCAGCGTCGGGGGGAGTCGGAAGAGGGGTTCACCGGAATATCACTTTTTGCTCTGGGCCCGAGTTCTTTTCGGCGCTTGTTCGGTGAGTCTTCCTCGGCAAAGGGCAACTGCCCCATCGTGAACCCCCGGATACCGCGACAGCAGCCGGCCGCAGTATGTGCAAAATTTCACTAGCGGCGGTAACCATAGCATACGCGTTTATGGCTGTCAATTTGACCGGTGCCGCGTCGGGCGCAAATGCAATGGCAAATCACTACGCAATCCCGACCACGCTATCGACCATGACGGCGACGAACAGCAGCGCCAGGTACGCCAGCGAGTACAGATAGGTCGCCTTCGCACGACCCCTGTCGTCGCGGCGCCACAGCCTCCAGGCCAACCAGACGAAAGGAGCGCCCAGGGCGGCCGCCGCTGCCACATAGATCAACCCCACCTGTGGCAACAACCCGAACATCAGCGTCAGGCCCATCAGCGCAATCGAATAAAGGAAGATGTGCAATGTAGTCTGTCGGCGCGACGACACCACCGGCAACATGGGTACGCCGGCCCGCTCGTAGTCGGTCTGTATGAGCAACGACAACGCCCAGAAATGGGGCGGCGTCCAGAAAAAGACGATCGCAAACAGGTACACCGCCGGAAGGTCCAACCCCCCGGTCACCGCTGCCCAGCCCACCATGGGCGGGATGGCGCCGGCGGCTCCGCCGATGACGATGTTGTTGGGCGTGGTGCGTTTCAGCCACAACGTGTATATGAACACGTATAACAGGGTCGCGCAAAGCGTCAGGCCGGCCGCCAGCAAGTTTACCAGCGTGGCCAGGAGCACGAACGCCGCGACGTTGAGCGCCACGCCGAACGCCAGGGCATAGCGGGGCGCAACCCGCAGGCCCGCTACAGGCCTCCCCGCCGTCCGTCGCATATCGCGATCAATGTCCCGGTCCAGGAAATGGTTGACCGCGTTGGCGCCTCCCGATGCCAGCGCGCCGCCGGCCCAAACCAGGCCCAGCAGCGGCAGGGAAGGTATCCCCTGTTCCGCCAGGAACATCCCGCCGGCCGCGGTTACCAGCAGCAGGGAGATGATCTTCGGCTTGGTCAGCGCCAGGAAATCGCGCGCAACAGCCATTATCGAGGTGTTGCCCGGGGTCTCCACGGCCAACACCGACGCATCCTTTTCTGTCGCCTCGCCATCCGGACGGAACCCTGGCGCGCTACTGGCCATTTTGTCCCGCTTTCCGGGTCGGCTCAGATTGGCCTCCAGTGGTGCGCACATCCATATAAGCGACGATTGCCATACCTGCCGCCGCAGTCCACACTGCCGTGGCAGCGGTCAGGTGCAGGGCGCGCCAATGGGCCTGGAAGTCCAGCCAGATCGTCGCCGCGCCGACTATTACCTGCACGATAAACGTGGCGACGGTCAGGCCAACCAGCCACTTCAGCGTTGTACCTCGCCCTGCCTGGCCGTTCCAGCAGCGCCAGGCCGAGTATAGAAGCAACCCACCCAGCGCGAGCACCACGTAGCGGTGGAACATATGGATCGCCGTCAGGTGGTTCATCGGGAACGCCTGCCCCTGGCATAGCGGCCAGGTGACGCACGCGCCGGTCGCTCCCATAGCCGTCACCAACGCGCCGCTCACGATCACCACATAAACGCTCAACGCCCCCACGATTGCCCAGCGATGGTATCTGTCGCCGCGCGTTGGTGTCTCAGCCAAACGGATCGGCGTACGATACGACGCCATCATTATGAACACGCAGGTCGCCAGCAGGGCTTCCGCGGTGGCAAGATGCAGGGCAACTACTCCTCCGGGCAAATGGGTTAGCACCGTGATGCCGCCCAGCAAGCCCTGGACGATCAGCAACGGGACCGATACGACAGCAGGCACCCATACCCACCGGTCAGTGCGGTAACGGGCGATCCCGACGACGGCGGTAACCAACACCAGTGGTCCGACGATGACCGACGCCACGAAGCGATGGGTGTACTCGATGATCGCCGTATATTCAAGCGGCGGCAGCAACTTGCCGTAGCACAAGGGCCAGTCGGGGCAGCCCAGGCCGGACCCGGTGACCCGAACCACTCCGCCAATGATAACCAGCACAAACACGGAGATTACCGTTGCCGTAGCCAATCCCTGCAACCAGGTTGGTCCGCGCCGGCGTTCGGCGTCCGATGGTGTGCTGATGCTGATGGATGCCATTGGAGTGCGCGGCGGAAACTGAATGGCGGGGCAACCTGACCAGCGTTCGACCGCGTCATTAATGATAAAGCACGACCAATGGATTTGCTACAATCACCGCCGCCCGGTAGCTCCGTGTCAGCCGACCGGGCAGATCGCACCGGGGACCTACCGCGAGGCAATTTCCTGCGCACCTCGAAAAATGCCGTAGCGACATTCGTCGTGGCCTTAGCGCTCGCCGCGCTGCTGGCCGGTATCCTGGCTTGCGGAGGCGATCCAACGGGCGGGTCCGGTGGCCACGGCGATGGCGATTCCCTGTTTCCGCGATTGTCCAAGGTTACCGGCCACATCGACCGCGTGGAAGCTGACACCGTCAACCCGCGTCACTTTCGAGGCCTGGACCTCACCGACGCCGACGGACGCCAATGGCAGTTTCGCTCGGAAGGCTGGGTCGGCGTCTCCGTCGGGCACCTGAAGGACCACCAGATTCACGGGACTACGGTGACCGTCTGGTACGAAGGTCAGCCTGGCAAAATCCAGTTGGCGCGGTTCGTGGGGGACTGACGCCGGGTTTTATGATGGCGACCCGCGGCGGCGCGTCTCGCGCACGAACAGCATCAGACCAATTCCGGCGGCTGCGAACAGTATCGCGTCGACCCACAACGCCCACGGGAAGCCCCACAGGTCGGCGATGGCCCCGAACGCCATGGCGCCGGAAACCGTGCCGATCCCGGCGAAACTGCGGAAGATGCCCAGCGTAACCCCTTCCATGCCCGGGGGCGCTATATCCGCGTAAAAAACCGTTCCCGCCGGGCTCCCCAGCCCTTCGCCCATTCCCAGCAGGACACCCGACAGCAATAGCTGCCAAAGGCCGTCCGCCCAAACGAAGGCGGCGATCCCGGCGCATATCAGCACCACGGAAGGGATGATCGGCGACTTTCGCCCGAAACGGTCGGAAAGGTAACCGGATGTAATCGTCGTAAAGAATTGAGGCAGGTGGGTCACGCTCAACCACCACCCCAATTGCGCCGGACCAAACCCCTTGGCCTTTCCGAACAGCGGCATCACGCTGAAGCGAGCCCCCTGCCGATTCGCGACAATCATGATGGCGAACAGGCCCACGAAGATGAAAGCGGGACTGAGCGCCAAACTCCGGAGCGACCCCCGCGGTGAAGGGGCGGCAGGCGCCCGCTGGGTTCGCGATGCCGACGGTACAGTCGGACCCGCCTGGGCCTCCCGCCACCGCGACTCCGGGAGCGCGAACAATATCAGCGCGAATGACAGCGCCATCAGAACCGCCTGTGCAAACAGCGGGACCCGAAGCCCGAAAGCCGATCCCAGGTAGCCACCCAGCAAAGGACCCAATATCTGACCGGACAGGATGCTCAATTCCCCCGTGCTCAGAATGCGGCCCCGCGTTGCGGGATCGGACTCGTCCCGCAGATACACGGTTGTTACGGTGGAGAATGCGTTCGACCCCAGTCCGGAAACGAACCGCCAACCCGTTAGCCACCAGAAATGGAACGACATGGACACCATGGTGGCCCCGAACAGGTTGACCGCCGCGCCCAGGGCCAGTAACGGTTTCCTTCCGTATCTCTGGGCCAGAATTCCCGCCGGAACACCGGTGAACAACCTCCCCGCTCCGAACAGACCGATGGCGATGCCAACCTGAGTTGCGTTGACGTGATATTCCTGCTGCGTGAACAGGGGAAGCACCGGGCCGATGGTGCCCATCCCAAAGCTGTTCAACGCCCCGCAAACGCTCAGGATGAGGATGCTACGATACCGGTCGCGCAGCGCCGCAATGACGCCGCGCATCACCACGCGCACCGAAAGCCAGTGCGGTCAGCGTTGCCGAAATGGATCACACCTGCAAATATGGCACACACCCGTGGGGCCATCGCAAACGGGGGCTGAACGTGCTTCCGACACCGCTCGCCGGGCGTCCGGCAGCGATGAGGTTCACCGCATCGGATGAAGTTCACCGCATCAATGAAGTTCACCGCATCATAGGTGCGCGGTTTCCGGCCGTCAACGCGCCGGGGTGGGAGCGACCGAACAACCGTGTGAGCGCACGAAGGTTGCCCGCCTGCCCTGTGTTGCCCTAAACTTGCGCCCAATCCAAGACTCTCCGCATCAACCCTCTACACAGGAGGCTCAAACATGCCCCTGCCGACTCCTTTGAAAGGAATACGCGTGGTCGATTTCACCTGGGTCCGCGCCGGTCCGTGGGCCGCCCGTTGGATGGGCACCCTGGGCGCCGAGGTCATCAAGGTGGAATGGCCTCTCAACCTGGACACATTGCGCCAAAACCGGTTCACCGTGCCGCCCGGCATCGAGCCCGGCCCCAACTCCACCGGACAGTTCGCCGACACCAACGCCAACAAGCGCGGCATCAGCGTTAACACCCGGACGGAAGAGGGACTGGAACTGGTCAAGCGTCTCATCTCGGTCTCGGACATCGTGATCGAGAACTTCAGCAGCCGCATCATGCAGCGCTGGGGCTTGGGCTACGAGCAACTCAAGAAGATCCGGCCCGACATCATATATGTATCCATGGCCGGCTTCGGCCACACCGGCCGCTACCACTGGTACGGCACCATGGGACCGGCGGCCCAAGCGCTGAGCGGGCTCACCCACCTGTCTGGACTTCCCGGCGAGCCGCCCGCCGGCTGGGGCTGGTCCTACCTCGACGACACCGGCGGGATGTACGGCGCGATGAGCGCGTTGACCGCGTTGCGTCACCGCTCCGCCACCGGCAAAGGACAGCACGTTGACCTTTCCCAGATGATCACCGGTATCACGCTGACCGGACCCGCCTTGCTGGACAAGACCGTCAACGGCCGGAAGGCCCGGCGCGAGGGCTTCCCGCCCGGCAACCGCACCGTCTGGCCCGGCGCCGAGGTGGTCAACAACTACCGCGGCCCTATCGCCGCGCCTCACAACGCCTACCGCACCGCGCCCGGAGGCTACAACGACTGGGCGACCATTGCATGCCTGTCGAACGACGAATGGCAGAATCTGGTCAAGCTGATGGGTGATCCCGACTGGGCCGATGACCGTTTCGACACCATCGACGGCCGTCTCGAGCACCAGGAGGAGATGGACGAGCGCATCGGCGAGTGGACCAAGACGATGGGCAAGTACGAGCTCACCGAAAAGTGCCAGGGCGCCGGCGTCCGCGCCATGGCGGTGCAGAGCAGCCAGGACCGGGTGGACAACGACCCGCAGCTCCGGCACCGGGACATGTATGTTCCCATGGACCACCCCATGCTCGGGCCCTGGAAGTTCCAGAACGCTCCCTTCAAGATGTCCAAGTCGCCGGCCCAAATGTCCAGCCCGCCGCCCATGATCGGGCAGCACAACCGTGATGTACTCGAAGACCTGCTGGGCGTGGCCCACGACGATCTGTTGGACGGCTACGAAAACGGCATCTTCTGGCCCACCACCATGGACCGCTACCCCTACATCGAGGAGGCCCTGCGATGACTTCCGCCAATGGCGACCAACAAGAAGGCGTGGACATCGGTGGGGCCCATCCCGCCGACCTCAGCCTGCCCGGAGCCCTCGAAGGTCTGCGGGTACTCGAAATCTGCGACGAGAAGGGCCAATTCTGCGGCAAGCTGATGGCCGACAACGGCGCCGACCTCATCAAGATCGAGCCGCCCGGCGGCGAGGCCTGTCGGAATTTTGGCCCCTTCATGGACGACGTTCCCCACCGAGAGCGGAGCCTGTCCTTCTGGCACTACAACACGTCCAAGCGGGGCATAACCCTGAACCTAGAGACGAAGCAGGGGCAGGACATCCTCAAGCAGTTGGCGGCCACCGCCGACATCGTCCTGGAAAGCCGCAAGCCCGGTTACCTGGATTCACTGGGGTTGGGGTACGACGTGCTGTCTGCCGACAACCCCAGCCTGATCATGTGCTCGCTCACCCCCTACGGCCAGACCGGCCCCTGGCGGGACTACGTCAGCAGCGACATCACGCAGATGGCCGGAGGCGGGCAGATGGCCTCGTCGGGCTATGACGATGTTGACGTACCCAACCCGCCGCCCATCGCTCCCGGTGGTGGCAACTCCTGGCATATCGGCGCGCACTACTCCTACATCGGCATCATGGCCGCCCTGTATTACCGTTTCCTCACCGGCGAAGGGCAGTACATTGACGCCTCCATCCACGAGGCCTGTGCCCTGACCACCGAGGGCGCCATCGCCATCTACCTGTCCACGGGCGATGTGGTCCAGCGGCATACCGGCCGTCACGCGGCTCCCGATATGTCGCCGGCCATCCAGTTCCCCACGGGCGATGGCGGCTGGCTCAACACCACCCGCTCGGGCACCAACCTGACACCGCAGCGGTTGAAACTGTTGTCCGAGTGGTTCGACCAATCCGGTATGGCGGACGACCTGACCGACGAGCGATACCAGGACCCTGAGGTCATCGCGACGGAGAACGACCACATCGTCCAGGTGATGAAGAATTTCTTCATGAATTCCACGCTGATGGACTCCTTCCACGGCGGGCAGCAGCGGGACTTCCCCTGGGGCGCCATCCGTAGCATGGACGAACTGGTCGGCGACGATCACCTGATCGACCGCGAGTTCTTCAAAGAGGTGGAGCATCCCGAGCTCGGACGCACCTTCACCTACCCGGGTCCGGCCGCCCTGTTCAATGGCTCCCCGTGGCGCATCAGCCGCCGCGCTCCCCTAATCGGGGAACACAACTCCGAAATCCTCCAGGGCGAACTCGGTCTCACCAACGGCCAGATGCTGCTGCTGGCAGAGGGCGGGATCATCTGATGGACGACCCGCGGCAGGTGCCGTTGTATTCGATACCGGAGTGCGCTCGTTATCTCGGGCTGCCCGTATCGACGGTACGCCGTTGGATCATCTCTCACGGGGCTGCTCTCACGGATGACGACCGTCGGTTGGTGAAACCGGCGGGATCAAATCCCACGGCCCTGTCTTTCACGAACTTGGTGGAACTGCACGTGTTCGCGTTATTGCGCCGAACGTGGAGAGTATCGTCACGGGAGATTCGTGCAAAAATCGACGGTTTGAATAGAAACGGCCAGACCAAACATCCACTGGCTAGTCGGGAATTTTTGGCATACAGTCGCGATCAGAGGGTTGAACTTGGCGAAGACGGCTTGCCGAGTAGGTATTTCCCATACACTCGTGGATACGGCGAAAAGGATCCCAAGCTGATCGTGATAGATCCTTTAGTTTCCTTTGGTAGGCCGGTAATCAAGGGGTCAGGCGTCCGCACCTCGGCCGTTGCGAGGTTCACAAAGGGAGGAGAAACCATCGCTGAATTAGCCGACGATTACGCGCTCCTACCCGAGCAAATCGAGGAGGCTGTTCGCTACGAACGAGCCGCCTGATTTCACGTTCTTCGCTGACGAAGACCTTGGGACCAGGGCGTTCCCCGTGCCGATCCGGGAAGCGGGCCTGAACGTGGAAACACTGACGAGTCATTTCCACGCCGGAACCAGCGACGTTCACTGGATCCCGGTTGTCGCACGGCGTGAATGGGTAGTCCTCACCCATGACCTGAATATGCGTTACAACGCCTCCGAACGAGACACGATAATGCATTCACAGTCGCGAGTGATCGTGATCAGGAGTGGATCAACCCGCGCGGATATGGCGCAAATATTTCTGAATCTGCGTGAACAGATTATTGATTTCCTGCGCCAGAACCCCGCCCCATTTATTGCAAGACTATACCGAGACCGCATCGAAATGTGGCTGAGCTTGGACAACTGGATGCCCTAACTCTATCCATCATCCCACCCGCTTGACGCTCTACCCCACAAACAGATCCTCCGGCAGGAACGCCGACACCACGAAGTTGGGCACGTCCACCACGTTGCTTACCTTCAGGTCCACCGCCACGCTGCAGATCACGTATGCCTGGTCGCGGCTGAACCCACGCTCCTGCAACAGGTCGATCATGTTCAGGATGGCGTTCCGGCAGGCCAGCGTTAGGTTCTCTCCTTCGTTCACGCCGTCCTCCCTAACCGGCATCCCCATCGTTGCTACGAACCGACGCGGCGCGGCCCACTCCGGCGCAATGTAGTAGTCCTCCCGGCTGAACCGGGGCCAGCGGATGTTCTGCCGCTCCGCTTCGCCCTTCAACACTCGGAAGCGGACGGTACACGTCGCTCCCATCTCCACCGCCGTGACGCAGACCTCGCCGTCGCCCTGGGCGAAATGAGCATCCCCGGTGGAGAACAGCGCGCCCTCCACGGCCACCGGCAGCAGGAGCTTCGAACCCGTGGAAAGCTGCTTCACGTCGAAGTTTCCACCGTTTTCCCGCGGCGGCAGGGTGCGGATGCCGTGGGTGGCGCCAACGCCGGCAATGGGAACCGCGCCGCCCGCGTCCGGCGGCAGGGCCACACCTCCCCGCGAAGCTAATTCGGCCTCGCGTCGCGTCCACTCCGACAGCTGCGCATGCGACGGCGCTACCCCGGAAACCCCCATGAATGACGCGCCGGGGACCCGCACTCCCGGTATCTGGTCGGAGGTGGCAAATCCATCAGCGATGTTCCAGTGCACCATGAAAGGTTCGGTGAACACATCCCGCAGGAATCCGAAGCCGGGGAAGATCACGCTGAAAGCGTGGGGCTGCGGCTGGATGTCCACGAATTCGACCTCCAGCAGGTCTCCCGGTGCTGCGCCCTTGACGGCCACGGGTCCGGTGAGCGGATGGATAACACCGGCGTCCATGCCCGCGAAATCCGCTTCGGTGACGCCGGGACGCATCTGCCCGTCAAAGGCGTCCCGGGTTTCAAGCAACACATCCTCTCCCTCGTCAACTTCCAAAACAGCTGGAAATGTCCGGATGCCACCGGTTGTGGCCCGTGTTAGACTCCTCGCGCAGGGGCTTGCTGCGGTCGATCGTGATGCTCTGCATAGCTCTTCGCCTCCTCAGCAACCCCGTACTGTCGTGGCCGCTTGCCGGGATGCTATCGGCAGCCCCCGAGGGTGTCAAGAAACCAACCAGAGGAGGAGCCGCCGTGTCGTCATCCATCCAGAACTCCAACATCATCGCCGCCAACCTGGCCGCTGTCGAGGCCCACTTCCACTCCGAGGCCACCAACGAGGTGGAAGCGGCGCTTGATCTCTACACCGATGACGTGGTGTGGGAGGCCCCGGCCCGCGGCCTGCGCTTCGAGGGCAAGCGCGCCGTGGCCGACAACTACACTCAGATGTTCGCCAAAATGGAGGACGTAGAGTTCGAGACCCTGCAGCGCTTCGCCACCGAGGACCGCGTGGTCGACGACAGCGTTGTTCGTTTCCGCCTGACGGGCGAAGGCTATCTGCCGCTGTCTCCCGGGGCGCAGGTGGAAATGCGTCTGGTCCATATCTTCGAGATGCGAGACGGTCTCATCAGCAAGGAGATCGGCTACGAGATGTGGCGGACAGCGGCCTAGCGACGGTTTCGGGCCAGATATTCGTTACGTGGCAACCGTCAGCGTATATGGGCAAGGGTCGAAATGAGGCTGACGTACTTCGGGCATTGCGCCTTTCGCTGGGAAACACCGGGCGGCATAACGGCCGTCGCCGATCCCTACCGGAACCAGGCCGACCGCTACTGGTTCACCCGGCTGTTTCCGGAAGTCCGCTGCGACCTGGGGCTCATCACCCACGCCCACTTCGACCATGACGCCGTTGACCGGTTGCCTGAGGCAGCCTCAATCTTGCGAATGCCCGGTGCGTTTTCCGCTGAAGACCTGCACATCCGCGGTATTGGAGATCTGCACTCCGGCGCCTCCCGCCTGAGCGATTTCCCCAACGTGATGTTCCGGTTGGAAGCGAGCGGCGTCAGCTTCCTGCATATTGGCGACAACCGCGCCGAATGGCCGGACGATGTCGCCCACGCCGTCGGCAACATCGACGTGCTGCTGGTGACGGTGGACGACTCCAAGCACCTGCTGACCTACGAGCAGGCCGACTCGCTGGTGCAGCGCCTGCGGCCCCGCGTGGTCATCCCGATGCACTACGCCGTCCCGGGATTGACCGCCGCCGAATGCGAACTCCTGCCCCCGGAGGGGTGGCTGGCACGACAGCCGACGGTGCGCCGCCTGGAATCCGACCGGTTCGAGTTCACCACTCGAAATCTGCCCAACCGGACAGAAGTGTGGCTGTTCCAGCCGGCTGCCGAATCACTGACAGCGCCCGAGGCGCGCCGCTGATCCCGTACGCCCGATGGCACTGGCCGCCCGTATCACTGGGGACCCTGAAAGCAGTACGGTTCGGCGATAAGGCGTAGGCGCGAATGCTCATTCGCCCCTACTGCAACGACGAGGTGGCGTCCGCCGGGTCAGCCTTCCGGCGCCTCGTGCGACCAGGTGAATCCCTGTTCCGGCTCGTCAATCAACCGCCACTGCGGCAGCATGAACCCATCTTCCACGGGCAGGAACGCCACTTCCACGCGCTTGCCGATACCGACTTTCTCCTCTTTCTCCATGTTGAAGTCGGCGTCCACCAGATTTCCCGTAATGCGCAGGCCATCGAACTCGGTTGGCTGACCCCGCTGCTCGTCCAGTTCCACCAGCACGATTGCAAAGGGCGTCAGGTCCCGAAAGCTGGGGATCACCGTGTGGGCCACCACCTGGTAGGAATAGATCGTGCCCTTGCCCGACACCTGCTGCCACTCCCACTTCAAAGACGTACACCACGGGCAACCCGGCCCCGGCTCACCGCGCAGCAGCCCGCATTCGACGCACTTCTTCACCACCAAGCGACCTTCCCCCGCCGCCTCGAAGTAGCCCTTGTATTCGGAATCGTTCTCCGGGATGCTCAGCGTGATGCCCCGGTAGTTATAGTTTGGCATTGTCGTTCTCCCTGCTCCGCGGCGCCTAGCTGAGCACGTTGCCCATAATGAGGGAACTGCCGACGGCCGGCGTTCCCCAACCCATGTTCATACTGATCTTCGCGTCCTGCACCTGCCGGCAACCGCCCTCGTTGTAGTCATAGGTGTGGTCGCCTTCGGTAGCTCCGGGGCAGTAGTCGTCAACCGTGCCCCGCAACTGCCGCACGTTCTCGATAACCATGTTCATCCCATGGGTATATCCCTCGCACAGGTGGCCGCCGCTCAGGTTGTTGGGTCGCTTGCCGCCCAGGTTGATGGCCCCACTGGTGACGTAGTCCTTGCCCTCGCCCTTCTCGCACCACCCGTAGTCCTCGAACTGCAACAGCACCGTGTAGGTGAAGGCGTCGTAGCAGCCGGTCAGGTCGACGTCCTCGTGCTTGACGCCGGCGAGGTCGAAAATGCGCGGAGCGATGTAGTGGCCGGCCACGCGCGAGATCGGGCCGTGCTGGTAGTGGAAGTCTCCGCCCGGCTTCGTGCCCCGACCCTGGACGCCCTTAATGTAGACGGGCTGGTGCTTCAGGTCCTTAGCCCGTTCGGCGGACGTCACGATGACGCAGGTGGCGTTGTCCGTTTCGAGGCAGCAGTCCAGCAGATGGGCCACCGGCCGGATGATCCAACGGGAGTTCATCACGTCGTCAACGGTCACCCGATGCTTCATCAGCGCCTTCGGGTTGTTGGAGGCGTGGTTGGAGTGGGCCACCTTGATGGCCGCCAGGTCCTCACTCTTCACCCCGTACTCGGCCATGTGGCGCGTGAACGTGTACGCGAACTGCTGCACCGCGCTGATCAGGCCGTAGGGCCGTTTCATCAGGTCTGAGCCTCCGATGGGAGCCGAAGCCCGGGCGCCGGTGCCACCGATGCGAATATTGGAATAGCCGTTCATCGAACGGAAGATGGCAACCACGTCGCACATGCCTGCCTCAATCGCACCGATGGCCAGACCCACCAGCGCCTCGGTGGACGAGCCTCCGCCCGAGCAGTCCATGTAGAAATTCGGCCGGATGCCCAGGTCGTACTGGATGGATGTCGAAGGCGTCGAATCGCCGCCGTGGTAGCTGAGCATCCCGTCCACCTGGTCGGGCGTCAGTCCGGCATCGTTCATGGCGTTGCGGATCGCCTCAGCACCCAGGGCCCGGGTGGTGCGGCCCGAGGCCCGGCTGTATTCCGTTTCGCCCACCCCGACGATGCAATATTTATCTCGTGGATTGCCTGCCATGTCGTTCCTCCGGTTGGCACTGAATCAGAAACCACGCGGAGACACCCGGCGCGGTGAGACTACGCTAACACGGTCACAAAACAAGGGGCAACCCTGCGGTCGCCCCGTTTTCGGTCGGATGGGCAACTGCCGTGCGTGCCACCGGCGGACGTTCTCTCAGGTGTAAACCACCTGCATCGCCTGTCGAACGTCCTCAATCGTCTGCCGTGCTATCGCCCTTTCGCGTTCAGTCCCGGCCTTCAATACGTCCCGCACGAAGTCCGGGTGATCCTCGTACCATGACCGCCGTTCGCGGATCGGCTCCAGGAACCGGTTGATGGCGTCGACTAAACGGTCCTTCACCTCCATGTCGCCCACCGTGCCCGCGGAGTACCGTTCTTTGAGCTCCGCAACCTCGTCGGTATTGTCGTTGAACGCGTCGTGGTACAGGAACGCCGGGTTGTATTCCACCACTCCCGGATCCGTCGCTCGCATCCGGGGATTCTGTCCCGTAATGTCCGTCACCATCCGTTTCCCGTTGCTCCACGGTGCTCGGATCGTCGGCCAGGTAAACGGCGTTGTTCAGGCTCTTGCTCATCTTTGCCTGGCCATCGGTTCCGACCAACCGGGGAACGCGGCCCACCCGGGCGCGCGGGACCGGGAAGACCTCTCCGTAGAGGCGATTGAACCGTCGGGCCACATCCCGGGTGTACTCGATGTGGGCCACCTGGTCTTCGCCCACCGGCACCAGGTGCGCCTTGGGCAGCAGTATGTCGGCGGCCTGGCTGATGGGGTAGTTGAAAAACCCCAGGGTGATGGACTGGCTTTCCGACTCAAGCTGCGCGGTTTCCGCCCGCAGGGTCGGGTTCCGCTGGTGTTGATTCAACGGGATCAGCATGGAGAAAAACATGGTCAGCTCGGCGTGTTCCGGCACGTAGCTCTGGATCACAAACGACGACTTCTCCGGATCCAGGCCCACCGCCAGCCAGTCGGTGGCTACCTCCAGCACCGAGCGTTGGATCAATCCGATGTCGTCCAGGTGGTCTCCCATCGCCTGGTAATCAGCGATCAGAAAGAAACACTCGTACTCGTGCTGCATTTGTATCCAGTTTTCCAGGGCGCCCAGGTAGTGCCCCAGGTGCAGCTGTCCGGTGGGACGCATTCCGGTCAGGATACGTTGCTGGTCTGCCATAACCGTTGGTCTCCTGCAATATCTAAAGGTGTGGGGTCAAGGTAAGCACGGCGCGGATTCTGTCAGGACCGTCGGCCGACATTCTTTAGTCATGGGCATGACTGAACTGTGACGGCATTCTCCTCGTGGCGGTCGCGCGAGTGTGCACGAGCTATCATGCCGCGTCCGGCAACCCGGCCATTTGATTGGCGGCGTTCCTCGCCTGTTCTGACGGGTTGTCCCGCCGGGAACGATGCTCCCTCAGATATTCTAGCAGGCGGTCTGCCGCTGAAGTTTTGCACTCCCCACACAACAACTCGCCCGAGCGGCACCGTGATTGGAGCCGTGCGTACTCCTGCGGGTCAGGAGTCGCGTAAAAGGCGTGCAGGCTGGAAACCGAGCAGACCCGCGGGTCGGGGTTACCACCCTTTTCCCGCTGTTCCTCCAGCGTCCCGCGTCCGCCGGTGTAAGCGCGGCCGACGCGTCGCCGGATCTCAGCGGGATCATCTCCATAGGTAATGCGGCCCGACGGTACCCGGTTGGTCATCACCTCCACCGCGCCGCCCGTCTGTGGGTCGTTGTAGGTTGTCAGGTTCCGCACCGGCCGCAGATACAGCGCCGACGGTTTTAGGAACCCGAACCGCTCCGCCACGTTCCTGGCCATCCGCACGTACACGTCGCCGCCGATGCTGTCCACCACCAGCGTCCTGCAGGGGCCGCCGGCCTCCGCCTGTTGCGCGTGCAGAATGTCGGCCAGCCGCAGCAACGGTCGGAAGGTTTCGGTGGCACTGTCTCGCAAACGCAGGCCCAACGCCGAGTTCAACACGCTCAGGGGGATGGCCTCGCCGATTTCAAATGCCGTCCTGACGATCGGCGGGCTATCCTGCTGCAGGTAGGCGTGTGTACGAGAGAGATCCAATCCTTCGGCGGCCATCATCAGGAGGCTATCCCGCATGATCCGCCGCGCTTCGATCAAGTCGCCGAGTTCGTCGCGGAAGCCGAGCGCAATCTCGGCGCCCAGAGCCTGGAAGTAAGCAAGGATGCTCACCGGCGTTCCATGGCCCAGGTGCATCGGACCGTCGATCGCCACCGTGGCAACTACCTTGCATCGTTGGCCGTCGGTCAGCGCCTGCAGGAATATGTCGGCGTCACGACTAGCGACAATCATGCCGGTCGCCAGGTATGGATGCGGGGACTCAAACCACTCCAGAAAGCGACGTCGTTGCTCCGGGTAGGCTTCATTCAACCCGGTAACTCTGAGTTCCTTGAGCAGTTCGTTTTCGCGGGCCAACGGCTGATCGCCGGTTCGTACAACCAGGGACGGGATCGCTATGTCAGCCTCATCGGTGCGGGTTTCCGGCGAGTCTGCGTCCAGTATCTGGCCGTGCAATCTGCTCAGCCGTTGGGCAATATCGTTGAGGGTACGTTCCTGCACCTCCCGCGCGTTGGACAGCAGCAGCCTGGCGATGTCCTCCGCCGTCTCAGCGGACAAACCCAGTTGCCGCGCCCGGCGTCGCGCCCCCACGAACAGGTTTTCCTCCACCGCCGGCTTATGGATCGTGTCGCTCTCCAGGTACTTTTCCGCAGCCACGTTGCGTGACGCCTCGATGCGGGCGTGGGTCAGTTCCAGGATCCGGTCGTGGCTTCCAGAAATAACGGCGCGCTGTCGTCCCCGATATTCCGCGTACGGCAGGCCGCGAGTGGGCATTTCCGATCGAACCGCGACCGGGTCCTCGCCTTCGAGCAACCTGCGGACGCCGCTTTCAATCTCCCCTACTTCGGCCAAGCGTCGCCAATCCGGCGGCACCAAATCAGCCGGCTGCTGATCTAGCCAGGCCGACAAGTTCGCCACACGCTGGTCGTAGATCTTCACCGACGCCGGAAGCGTCAGGCTACCGCGAAGTTGCAACGCCGGCGTCAGGCATCTGCCACGATAGTCCGCCAAATATGGTTCACGGAGGCGTCCCGGAGGCGGCACGTCTCGCAGGTAGTCGGAGTGCCTTTCGACGCTCATCAAGTCCAACCGCGCCGCATCCCGCAACAGCGTCGCTGTGCCGTCGTCGCCTACAGCCCCCCAAGCGCCCCTGATGGCCGCAGCAACGGCCGTCACGTACTGTTCCGGGGCGCCCGACCCGCGCAGCCACGCGCCGGCCAGGGCAACCGACGCCTCCGCCCGGTCAGGGTCGGCCGGTCGGCCGGCAAGATGCAACAGAGCGGCTATGTTAGCCACCGTCGGATCAACGTGGTGGTCGCCGGACTCGATCAACTCCGCTGCGGTCACCGCCGCTCGCCTCGCCGCGGGCAGCCCCTGAGCGTCGGGATACCCGGCGTATATGCCCGCCAGGGACGCGTCCAGGCGATGTCCGTCAGGAGTGTAGGTATGCGTCGGCGTCATGGTTCGAACAACCGGATTCGCGCGTGGTTGGCCACATAATACCAGCAACGCCGGCCAACCAAACCCCGGGCATACAAAAGCCCGGCTGGCGGCCGGGCTGTGAACCTGGGAGCTTGATAACTTCGGCTAACCGTTGCTGTCATCCAGCCGCTTCAGAAAACGCGCGATGGCGTCGTTAACCGCTTCCGGTTGTTCCAGGGTGACGAAGTGCCCCGAGTCGGACACCACTACCACCTCGGCGTCCTGCAACTCGCGGCCCAAGTATTCCGCATAACGCACCGGGGTCATTATGTCATCAGCGCCAACGATCACCAGCGACGGCAACCCGATCTCCTTGAGACGCTCCATTACGTCGAACCTGTCGCAGGCCGCCAGGTCGTTGTGCTCGACCATCGGGCCGGATTGCAGAGCGCGGGATGCCAGTTGAGGCGCAAGTTGTGCGTTGATGGCCTCGTAATACGCCGGCGCCTCCGCGCGCCATTGGGCCTCATCCAGGCAGCGGTTCAGGTAGTCGGGATGCACGCGCAGCCGCCCGCCGGTTCCGATCAGCACCAACCCGGCCAGGTCCTCAGGGAAGCGCAGCGCATAGTCCAGCGCAATCGCTCCGCCCATGGAGTGCCCGAACAGAACGAAGGGCGGATACCCTTTCCCCTGCGCGTAGTCCCGCACCCAATCTACGTACCCGCGGATGCTGTCCCGTGGTTCCCCGTCCGGGTGGCCGGGCAGGTTGACGGCATCCGCGTTTTCGAACCGCGCCGTCTGGTAGTGGTAGGTCAGTTCGTTCTGGCCGGAGCCATGAACCATCACCAGTTGCATCTCAGAAATTCCTTACAGTAGCGGAGCCTGCCCGTTCACGTGAGTGTCCGGATCATCGTCGCCATCGCCATCGTCGTCGATGTCATCATCCGCCGTATCCTCGTCAACGTCCTCGTCTTCGCCTTCCTCGTACTGGCTGTCCGCCTGGGCCGCGACTTCTTCGGCCTGCGCAAGGGCTGTACCGGCAGCGCCATCTTGTAGGGCCGGGTCGTCCTGGCTGTAGTCCGTGGCCCGGAAGCAGTAGATGGATACGACACTGTCGTCGCCGCCGCGCTCGCGCCAGATGATGACTCCCTTGGTCTGGCGAGTGTTCACGACCTTGATCTCGGCCAGATTGATGCGCACCACCTGGCCGCGCGCCGAGATGATGAACACCTCGTGCCCTTCCTCGTCGTTCATTTCGGCGGAGGTGACGATCTTGGCGTCCACCACCGGGCCGGTGAGCTTGTCGCTCTGGTCCACGGCGAAGGTTTTGACACCCATACCACCGCGATTGGTTTCGCGATATACGGGTTCACCCTTGCTGTTGCACAAAGGAGTGGCTTTGCCGTAGCCTTTTTCGCTGACCACCAGCAGGTATTCGTCCTCGTGGTCGTTGACCACTTCAAGCGCGACTACGTGGTCCTTGCCCCCGAACTCGTCCTTGAACTTGATCCCGATCACGCCGGTGGCGTTGCGATTTCGCTCCGGTACGCTGGTGACCGGACACAGCAAAGCCTGGCCCTGCTCAGTGACCAGGATGATCGAAGCGTCGCTTTGCGCCGGTCGCACCGCAACCAACTCGTCACCGTCCAGGACCTTCATCGCGATGAGCCCGGACTTCCTGAGATTCTGCAACTGGCCCGGACGCAGCGCGTTCACCCGGCCGTTGCGGGTGGCGAAGACGTAGAGGCGGTTGTATTCGTCGCGGCTGGCCGGCAGCATGGTCTGCACATGCTCTCCGGGCTGCAACGGAACGAGGTTCACCAGCAGGGTGCCCCGGGCCGTCCGGCCCGAATCGTTGGGCGTCTCATAGACGCTCAGAGGGTACACCCGACCCTTGTTGGTGAAGAACAACAACTGCTCGTGGGTGTTTACGACCGCGATCTGCATGATCACGTCGTCGTCCCGGTTATTCGCGCCGCGGACGCCCTTTCCGCCCCGTCTTTGGGTGCGGTAGGTGTCGATGGGCACGCGCTTGATGTACCCGCGTTGGCTCAACGTGACAACGACGTCTTCCTGCACGATGAATTGCTCGATGGACTGCTCCTGCAGTTCCTCTCTAATTATTACGGTGCGGCGCGGGTCCGCATGCTTGCGCTTGACCTCACGCGTCTCCCGCTTGATCTCCGCGCGTATCTTCTGCGGGTTCTGCAGTAGGTCCTCCAGCCGGGAGATCGTCGCCAGCAGGTCGTTGTATTCCTCGTCCAACCGCTGGCGCTCCAAGGCGGCCAGCCGGCGCAACTGCATATCGAGAATCGCCTGGGCCTGAATCTCCGACAGGTCGAACTGCTGCACCAGGTTGTTGCGCGCGGTTTCCACGTCCTGGCTGCTGCGGATGGTTTCGATGATCGCGTCGATGGCGTCAAGGGCTTTGAGCAGCCCCTCCACGATATGCGCCCGGTCCCGGGCCCGCCCCAGTTGGTACTCGGTCCGCCGCCGTATGACCTCTTCGCGGTGGGTCACGAAATGGTTGATCAGATCCTTGAGCGGCAGCTCCTGCGGCTGCCCGTCCACCAGCGCCAGCATGATGGCGTTGAAGGACGACCGTAACGCCGTGCGCTTGTACAGGTTGTTCAGGATCACCGTGGGCTGTGCGCTGCGGGCCAGCTCAATCACCACCCGGATGCCCCTGCGGTCCGACTCGTCGCGGATCTCGGTGATGCCCACCAGTGTCTTGTCCCGTACCAGGGTGGCAATCTTCTCAACCAACGTCGCCTTGTTGACCTGGAAGGGCAACTCGCTGATTATGATGCGTTGCCGGTTGGAATTGCGGCCCGGCATGTCCTCAATCTCGGTTACCGCCTCCATTATGATGCGCCCGCGGCCGGTGGCGTACATATCGCGCACGCCGGCCACGCCGCGGATCCGTCCGGAGGTCGGAAAATCAGGCGCCGGGACGATCTCCATCAACTGGTCAACGTTGCACGTCGGATTGTCAATGACGTAGTTGATGGCATCGCAGATCTCGCCCAGGTTGTGCGGCGGCATGTTCGTCGCCATGCCCACGGCGATCCCGGACGAACCGTTGACCAGCAGGTTCGGCATTCGCGCCGGCAACACCCGCGGTTCTTTGAGGGAATCGTCGAAGTTGTCGGAGTAATCCACGGTCTGCTGATCAATGTCCGCCAGCAGTTCATCGGCGATGGCCGCGAGCCTGGCTTCGGTGTAACGCATGGCCGCCGGCGGATCGCCGTCGATACTCCCGAAATTGCCCTGCCCGTCGATCAGCGGCGCCCGCATGGAGAACAACTGCGCCATTCGTACCAACGCGTCGTACACCGACGCGTCGCCGTGCGGGTGGAACTTGCCCAACACCTCACCCACGATGCGCGCGCTCTTCCGGTACTGGCTGCCCGGCCGTATCCCCATGTCGTGCATGGCGTACAGAATCCGACGCTGCACCGGCTTCATCCCGTCCCGCACGTCCGGCAATGCCCGCGCCACGATGACCGACATCGCGTAGGACAGATACGATTCACGCATCTCGTCCTCAATGGGTCGGAGCGTAAAATCTCCGCCGGGCTGCGTTGGGGGTGCCGTAGTCATCGTGACGTTCTCCTCATGCCGTTGTTGTCAATAAAATCCTGGGCCCGCTCCACCAACCCGAGGAACAGGTTGTTGAAGCTGGCGGGCACTTCGTCCGCTCTCTCAGGCAGGAATTGCACGCCGATCACCCAGCTGTGCTCCTTGCTCTCGAGGCCCTCTATAACGCCGTCGTCCAACTGATAAGCGATGGTCATCAGCCGCTCGGCCCGTTGCGGTTCCCGTATACCCTCGTGATGCCGGCTGTTCACCCGGAACATGCCGGCGCTGCCGATGATCGCGGCCACCTTGGAACCCGGTGAAAGGTAGATCTGATGCCGTAGCGGATCCGAAATTTCATCCGGGTAATGCGCCACAATTGCCGAGGGAGCGCCGCCGCCAAAGTGCCGGTTCAGCGCGTGCATCCCGCCGCCCGTAGCCAACACGGGCATGTCCGCCTCTAACGCCGCGTGGAGCACAGACGAGCCGCCGTTCAATCTACTATCGGGCAACAGCAACCCACCGGAACCGCTGAGAGCTTCCTCATCGGAAGCAACCGATGCAATTAGTCGAACCTTGCCGCCGGCCTGTTCAACTGCTCGAATAGACGGTTCTGGACTATGGCCGTTGCGGTCGTCGGCCAGGAAGGCGATGGTTGGCAACGTGTATGGCCTGCAATCATATTCGCGTCGAATTATCTCTAATTATTATACTAAGAATAGACCTAAATTGCATGTTGAAACGTCAGCACATTGAACGTATTTCGTGCCAATGCCGTGTCAAACTGAGACCACGCCTCAGTAAACCAACCCCAACTCAGCACCCGTATCTCGAAGTCGCCGATCTTCGGTCCATAATCGGACCGACCCGCTCATTGATACCGCTGCCAGCAGGTGAACGTCTACGTATCCTATTCCCCGACCCATTAGCCGGTTTCTCTCAATGAAAAACAGGACCTCCTCATGACTCGCTTCTGCAATTCTCGGCAAACCTCTCAACATCTCCAGCACGATGTCCCGGTTCCCGAGGTTGCCACAAGCCAATTCGCCCATCACCATCGGATGCATGATGACTTGTGCCTCTTCGAGCAATGCCGCCAGGTCGGGTTCGTTATGCCGAAAATGGTTTACCCATACCGACGTGTCCACCAGGGTCATTTTGAGATACCCCGGCGCCTGGGAATGTCTTCCAGTTGTGGTTCGCTGCCACCGAGTTGAACTAACCGACGGGCGCTTTCGCGCTCGATAAGGGCGCGCAGGCCTTCCCTCACCAGGGTTGCTCGTCTGTCTATGCCTGTAAGACGCTCCGCTTCCGCAAGCAATTCATCGTCGATATTTATTGTCGTCCGCATTCCAGGCCTCACTAATCTCACGGTTAGGCGTCATATTATACATCACATGATGCGCTTTTGCGTGCGCAGTATTGCGTCTAATCCACGCCCATGTCCTCCAAAACCATGCGCGCCACCCGTCGACCCATCCGGACCGAGTAGTTCGTTCCCCGGTCCTCCGGATAGATCTGCGTGGTGTTCGCCAGGTACAGCGACTCGAAGGGCGTCCGGTGGTCGGGAATGTTGCGCTCACTGTAGTGCACACCGTTTATGGGTTGAGCCCCATCCACCCGGTGGTGGTGGTATTCCCGTATCCAGTCTCGTGAAAAGTCCGGGTTCAGTTTCCGCAGGTGAGGAACATATTCCTCCAACAGTGCTGCGGGCTCTTTACGATATAGCTCGCTGTTGCGGTCCGGGTAGTTGGTGAGGTACACGATATGGTTGCCGCCGTACAGGTCCCGGTCGATCATATTGGTGTGTTCGATTACTCCCACGAAGGGCAATGACCGGTCGGCCACATTGAGCCAATACTTGGCGGTCAGGGGGCGATCCAGTACCAGGATCATGAGCACGGCAGACAGGTACCTCGCCGACTCGAGCACTGACCGATAATCATCCGGCAGATCAGGCGCAAGGCGCGTGAAAATGTACGAAGGCGTTGTAGCGATGACCGCGTCGTATTCGTAGTCTCGTTCCGAACCCCCCTGTGCCGACGCGACGAAACCCGAAGCCTTACCGTCCACGACGTTGATCCGTTGCACCCCCGCGCCAATGTGCACCCGCCCGCCCTGCTCTACGATCCGCTCCCCGCAGGCGTCAAACACCCTGCCGAAGCTGCACATGGGGTAGCCCAGCCGCTCCTTCTGCATTCGTTTGCGTGATGCCACGCGCAGGTAGATCTTTCCCCACAGCCACGTCATGCTCACCTGGTCGTAGTAGTCGCCGAATTTGCCCCGCAGCATTGGCTCCCAGATGACCCGGTACGCGTCGTCCCCCATGTGGTTGCGCGTCCATTCCGCGGCCGTAACTCCTTCGAACTTGCGCCAGTCGCGAGTTTTCTGCAGCAGGAACGTCCAGAGTCCCAGCCTGATCCGCTGAGTGAACGGCAATGGTGAGAACCTCATCAGGTCCATCGGCGTGGCAAAATTCCATATGCGGCCGCCGTGGAACAGTCCCACTTTCGACTCCAGCCATTGCAGCGAATCGCCCAGGCCCAACTCGTTGATCAGGTCCACCATGTCCGTGTCGCTGACGAACAGGTGGTGGTATCCGCGTTCCAACTGGCCTCCCCCGACCTCGAAGGTTGACGCCTGCCCACCGAGGAAGGGCGCCGCCTCGAAGACCTCAGCAAAGTGACCTCGGGACGTCAACTCCAACGCGGCCGCAAGGCCAGCCGCGCCACCGCCGATGATGCCTACCCGCATGCTCTAATCGTCCTGCGCCGCGCCCCGTCGAGGCTGCCCGGCACGGGGCTGCCCGGCAATCGATGCCGCGCCGGCATCCGACGTGCTTTCGGTCCCGGTCTCCGGCAACGCGGTGAGACGGCGCAGCGAGAGGTTGTGCCAGAACAGCAGCGCCAGTCCCGCGATGTTGACCGGCAGCCACAGCGCGATCAGGTGCACCGCCACGGTGTAGGCCGCCGCTGCCGCCGCGCCGATACCCAACGCTACCAGCGTCTGCTGCGCCACCACTTCGAACGGCCCGATCCCTCCGATAGACGCCGGCACCGCCGTGACCAGATTGGAAGTCACAGTCACCAGCAGTATCGCCGCCGCAAGCAACCAGAAAGAGCCGAACCAAGCATCCAGGTTGAACGAGTACGCCACTATCAGGTAAACACCCGCCTCCGCCAGCCATACCGGAAGTGAACCCAGGAACAGGATGGCATGCTTGCGCGGTGAGTTAAGCGTCGCCAGCCCTTCCACAAACCCGTGCGCCACTTCCACGGCCATTGAACGGAACCTGGCCGGCAGGATCGCGGTAGCCGCGATCAGCCAGTCCACCGCCCGGCGGCTCGTCGCCAATGCCGTCAATGCCAACAGCGCCACCACGAAGCTGCCGATCACTCCCACCATCAGTATGACGGCGGTGGACTGATAAGCCAGGCTGGCCTCACTGAACAAACCCGCAGCCAGCAGGATGGGCGCAGCCACCGCCCCCATGGCCAGCAGCGTCAGCCCGTCGTAGAGCCTTTCCACGCTCAGCGTCGCAATCGACGCCGGCACGCTGACCTCTTTCTCTCGCTGCGACAGGTACACTGCCCGCACCAATTCGCCCAAACGCGCCGGCAGCACGTTGTTCGCCATGTATCCGATGATGATCACCGGATACAGCCGGCCGGCCGAGACCCGGGTAATGGGCGCCAGCAGATATTGCCAGCGGAGCGCCCGAAACCACTGACCCAGGAAATACAGCGCAATGGCAGGCGCCAGATACCAGTAGTTCGCCGTCAACAGCGCTTCGGCCAGCTCCCTCCGGTCCACCAGCAATACCAGCAACCCCAGCGCCACCACGCTGACCAGTACACCGGCCCAAAACCGCCAATTGCCGAAAAAATAACCCACTGCTGAGAACGCTAGTGTGTATTGGAGAAGCCGGTTTGCGAGGTGTCGCCAACCTGCAGGTCCTGCCTGCCGGTGAGCATTCTCACCCGCCAGCGTTGATCCACGTCGTTGATCGAGAAGGGACGGGGCGGCTCTGCCAGCGCCCGTTCCAACTCCGGCAACACGCTGGAAACCACCGTGATGATGCCCTCGATTTCCGGCCGGCTCATCTCATTGTCGTAGAAATTCCGGTGGCCGTTGTCCGCGGCGATATATGCGTTCAGGACCGGAATCTCGGGATATTCCACGCCCAGGTGTTGGGCGATACGGCCTACCGTCCGGTGGCTCCCCAAGTTCATCCAGCCGCGCAGCTGCCCGTGCGCCTTGAGCATTTGCGCCAGCGCGCCCCAGACCTTTTCCGTGGCCTGGAGGCGGTCCTCACGGTCAAGCTCCTCGCGTGCATGCTGGATCAGCCGGAGACTGATCTGCACCCGATCTTCAACCGAGGCTGCTCCCGGCTCTGGCAATGCTGGCGCCGTGGTCATTCATCAGCCTCGGTGGTCAGGGTCCTATTCCCTTGCATATTGATAATAGCTAGCGGAATACCAGTCGCTTTCCTGGCGTCGGGCCAAGACGTATTCGAGCGCTGCCCGGAGTTTGTCCGGATTGGCGGCCGCGCCTCGGAAAAACGCGGCGTCGGCTTCCAGTTGCTTCCAAAATCCGGTGTCGGTACGCGCTTCTCCCGGACGTCGGTATGTTTCAGGATACCATAGCAGGTTCCGCATGGGCCCTTCCTTCAGATAGCCCGGCGCATCCTCCTCCTCCACCGCGTGGCCGTGTTCAGCCAGGTATACAAGCGGACCCGCGTCCTCGCCCACCGCGCGGCAGTCTCTTGTCTCGTCGTCTTTTTCGTCGTCGCTATCGTTATCGCCGTTATTGGTAGCCGAGCAGAAACGGTCAAACCGCAAACTGCCCGCTTCCGATTCGTGGCGGACGTACCACTGGAAGGGATACCACATGTCGTAATCCACCTTCACCGACGAATCGCCCGCGCCTTCGCCCAGGGCGGTCTCTTGCAACTGCGTGTAGGTTTGCTCCAAGTCCGCCGACCCCTGCGCATAGGCGAGTATCTCAACGTTCGAATCGTCGTAGGTGTACGCCGCCCTCCCGGCTCCGGCCACCCCGAAAAGCAGGAGCAGCGCGGCGATCCCCAACACCGCTGCCCTTCCGGCCTGGCTATGGCCGCGGATCAGATAGGCAATCGCAACCGCCAGGGGCAGCAGGATCAACACGGCCAGCCAGATGGAAAAACTGTTGACGTATCCTGTCGTCGCCAACCAGGCAATCCACACCGCCAATGCCAACCAGATCGGGCCAAGGAGCACCGTGGCCACTGCTCTGCGCGTCAGACGCCCCCAGTTGATCCCATCCATCACCTGACCCAGGAACATCCCTCCCACCAGAGCCAAAGGAGCCGTTATGTTCACCAAAAGCCACGGCATCTTTTCCGCAGCAATTGTGTACAACGCCAGCGTAGCGATCACCCAAACCGCCAGCACGACGCCAATACCACCGTAGGTCGCCCGACGCCGAATCAGCCATACCACGCCGACCGCGCCGAAAATCAGCGCTGCCAATTCGTACACGCTCAACCCAACGAAATAGTAGTACCAAGGCTGGTTACCACGAGCGACGTCCTGCTGCATCAGCCAGTAACCCAGGCTCTGCCACGAGCCGGTGAAGACTCCAGACCAGTTGGTGAACATGGTGGTGTAGAGCGTGGTCCATATCGCATAGAAGACCACCGCACACCCGAGCCAGAGCCCTCCCCCCCAGGCGATTCCGACCGTCCCGCCCGCGACCAGCAGTACCAATAGCGCCAACACCGGAACCAGGTAGTTCACGGCGATGCGTCCCGCCACCACGTCCTCGGAGGACACTGCTGATGGTAGCAGTTGGCTGATGAATTCGGTCCCACCCCACAGCAATATCAGCCAAGCCCACGTCAGCAGCGCCGCCGGCCCCAACAGCAGCATAGTTCCCCGCCATCCGACCAACGATGACAGGTTGAGTCTCAGGGCGACGATGCCCAGCAACAAAAGCGCCGCGCCGGCGGCGAAGTCCACGACGGCTCCGGCTGCTCCTACGCCCATCGCATCCTGCATGCCCAGCAGGTTGTGAAATGGTCCGACCACCACTACGCACACTGCGGCCACAGTCGCCAACACCGCCACTCCTACCGAAACCAGATCGATCGCTCCCCTGATGCGCCATACTCCGATCGCCAGGACCAACGCCAAGCCGACCAGCGCGGCTGCGGCCACGATGTGCAACCAAACCGGCGCCGCCCATATCGGCAACGTGACGAACGGCGTCTCCCAAACCGGAGAGCCGGTGTCGCCGGTTGATCCGGTGTCACGAGAGGCGATCGTCAACCCCAATGGCGACTGCGCCAGCGCTATCAGAGCGGCAGCCTGGGGCAGCGTCAACGTCGCCATGAGGATGAAGAACCCTGCGGAGCCGTTCAAGGCCGCCAGTCCGCGCCGAGTTTTGACGAACCCTAATATGTCTCGCCAACCCAGCGCCATCGCCGCCACGCCCATGAACAGGATGACAAAGTATGCCGTCTCTTTGGTCGCCAGCATCAGCGCGGTCACGATTGCCGCGCCAAACAGGTAGCGTTTGCGGCTACTAATCCCGTATTGCCACAGCATGATCAGCAACAGCAACGCCCACACCGCCATGAGGATGTCATTGCGGCCGAACCGGCTGAAGTACAGCAGCGTCGGCGAGAACGCCAGGATGATCGCCGCGCAGACAGCCCCCTTGTCGCCGATAAGCCGCCGCATGAAATACGGCAAAACGGTCAACGTCACCCCAAAAAGGGCATAGGGCAATCGCGCCAGGAAATCCGTATCCCCAAGGTACTTGAGCACGACCGCAACCAACTCGATCTGAAACGGCCCGTGCATCCAGGGGGAATGAACGTATTCGATACCTCGGGCCAACTTCCACGAGAAGTGCAGGTGGATGGCCTCGTCATAGTGCATCGTCCGCCCGTCCAGCTCCCACAGCCGCATGGCGGCCGCTACCAGAGCGACGAGCAGGAAAGCCCATTCAACGGCGCCGAACCGCACAACGGGCAAAAGGGTCTTGAGATGCGAAACGCTGTCGCGCGCCCACCCAAACTTCAGTGCTCGGGAAACCATGACCCGGTTTACGCTCGCTTGCAGCGGCCAGATTGGCGCGTTGCCCGGCCGCATGTGGGCAGGACCGTCATCGGTAGGGATTGAGAGGCGGTTATCTCGCCAGAGCGCCGGTGGTCCCGGGCAACCGCGTCACGCGCGTCAGCAGACTGCCGGCCGGTGCTGCGCCCAAGGCCGCGCCGCTTCGAATGCCGCCATCGCGCGGAGCACCCGAGCCTCGCCTCCCGCCGGTCCGACAATGTGCAGACCCACCGGCAGACCCGCTGCGGAGAATCCGCACGGCACGCTGGAGGCGGTTTGCCCGCTCATGTTGATCGGGAAGGTGAAGGGAAGGTACCCCCACCACGGTTCCACGGATCGCCCACCGATGCTCGTCGGATGCTGGCCAATCGGGAAGGCCGTCACCGCCATCGCCGGCGTGAGCAGCAGGTCATAGGTGTCGAAGAAATCCGCGAAGCGCCGCTTGAGGCGGTCCACGTATGCCAACGCCCGGGAGAGGTCGGCCGCCGTATGTTGAGACGCGGCGTCGAAGGTGTTTTGCACGTAGTGGGTCAGTTCTTCCCGTCGTCCCGGGTAAAGCCCGGCGTAGGAAGTATATGACGCCGTGCCGAACACGGTGGAAAACGCCGGGAACGGGTCGCCCTCGATTTCCGGCGCCGCTTCCTCAACGATCGCCCCCAACTCCTGGAAAACCTGCGCGGCGCCGCGTGTGATCTGCACGACCTCGGGATCCACCGCGGCGTACCCCAGGTCGTCGCTCCACGCCACTCGCCAGCCCTCAACACCACCCTCCAGGGCCGCCATGTAATCCGGAGGCGCATCGGTCATCGTGTTGGGGTCCCGCGAGTCCGGTCCCGCCAACACCTGGAGCAACATCGCGGTGTCCCGCACCGTCCGGCTCATGGGCCCGCTTTGCGAGAAATGGTTCACAGCGGGCCCGCCGTAACCACCGTATCGGGGCACTCTCCCGTGCGATGGCTTGATCCCGGTTACCCCGCTGAAGCTGGACGGTATGCGGACGCTCCCGCCGCCGTCGCTACCGGTCGCCAGTGTACACAAACCCGCGATCAGCGCGGCCGCCGCGCCGCCGCTGCTGCCACCGGGGGTGTAGTCGGTGTTCCAGGGATTGCGGCACGGTTCGCTCACCAGGTTTTCGGTGGTTCCCGACTGCCCGAATTCCGGGGTGTTGGTCTTGCCCAGTATGATTCCGCCAGCCGCCTTGACCCGTTCCACCACGATGGAGTCGATCTCCGGCACCCGGTCGCGGAAGACCGCTGACCCCATGGTCGTCCGGACTCCTTTCGTGAGTTCCAGGTCCTTGATCGAAATGGGCACGCCGTGCAGCGGTCCCAATTCGTCTCCCCTCTGTACCGCTTCGTCCGCGGCCGCGGCGTCGGCCAACGCCTGCTCGGGGCACACCGTCAGATAGGCGTTCAGGCGCGGATTCAACTCATCGATTCGCTGGAAGAAATACTCGGCGATCTCCACGGAAGAGATTTCCCTGGCGGCGATCATACGCCGCACTTCTGTGGCGGGAGTGAAAGCGATTTCAGAATCCATAACGCGCTCCTGGTGGAATTCCTGTTGCGATTGGTTGGGATCTCACGCCCGCCGGGTTCGTCCCGAACGCGCTCGAGTCGAGATGCTGCCATGCAGCTGGACACGACGATTGATCGGTCTGGCCGTCAACGTTCGCAAAATTTCCAAGCGCTCAGAATTGTATCACCCTGACCATGCTGCCTATGCAACCGACGCCGGTTCAATCAATGGCTGCCCGCCGGCTGGTGCGCAGCCATGGTGTATAGTGGGCCGTCGTCACTGATACCAGCCTGTCCCGCACCGCGCACCCACATGACCACCGTCGGAATCATCGCCAATCCCGCTGCCAGCAAGGACATCCGCCGGCTGGTGGCACAGGGACGTGTGGTGCCCGATTGGGAAAAGGTCAACACCGTCCGCCGCGCTCTCATCGGCCTGCAGTCTACCGATGTGCAGCGCGTGATTGCCATGCCCGACAGCGGCAACCTGTGCCGTCGCGCCGCAGACGATTCCAGCATCACTCTGCCCCTGGAAATGCTGCCCATGTCGCCTCTCTACACGGAGGGAGACACGACACGGGCAGCCGCCATGATGGCCGACATGGGAGTGGGTTGTCTGATCACTCTGGGCGGCGACGGCACCAACCGCGCGGTTGCCGTCGGAACCAATCAGATTCCGCTGGTGGCCATTTCCACCGGAACCAATAACATCTTCCCGGTCATGGTCGAGGGTACCCTGGCCGGTATCGCTGCGGGCCTCGTCGCCTCGGGGAGTATGGAACTTCCGGACACTTCGGTGATCAGCAAAACCCTGCAAATCCACGTCAACGGGGAGTTCCGTGACCTCGCCCTGGTAGATGTGGCTATTTCCCGGGAACGCTACGTTGCCACCCGCGCAATCTGGGATCTGGACACCGTTCACGAGGTGTTCCTCACCCGCGCCGAACCCAGCGGCATCGGTTTGTCATCGGTGGGAGGCCGGCTTCATCCGCTGTCCATCGCCGACGTGGGGGGCCTGCACTACGTCCTTTCGCGCAGCGGAGCCGACTCCGAGGATCCACCGAGCGCCACCGTGATTGCCCCGGTGGCGCCGGGCATTGTTGAGCCCGCGTCCATAGCCTCGTGGAAACTGCTCCACGAGGGCATCCCTGTGGCACTGGAACCCCGGTATTGCACCGTCGCCCTCGATGGAGAACGTTCGCTGACGCTGACCCCGGCCGATTCGGCGGAAATCGTGCTGGCCCGAAACGGGCCTCCCGTAGTCCTGGTCCAGCGCACCCTGCGCCGCGCCGCCCAACTCGGACTGTTCAATCTCCCCTGATGCTCTTCGGTTGGGAGCTTGTTGTCATCCTGGTGGCGCTGCTGCTGGGATCATTCGTTTTCAGCGCCGTCGGTTTCGGCATGGCGTTGGCCATGGCCCCGATCCTGCTGCTCATACTGGCTCCGCGGCAGGTGGTGGTGCTGTCCAACGCGATGATCGTCGTCGCCACCGTGTTGATTCTGTTCCAGGCCTGGCGCGCCTTTCGCTGGCGGCAGTCGTGGCTGTTCATCGTCGCCGGCCTGCCGCCGGTGCCTCTGGGGGTGCTGCTGCTCAGCGTCGCCGCCCCCGCCGCCTTGCGGATATCCATCGTCAGCCTGATCCTGGTGATCGCCCTGATCACCCTGTTCGACGTCAGACTTCCCGCCGCTCGCACCCGGTGGGGGGCCGTCGGTTTCGGCTTCACGACCACACTGCTCACCACGACGCTCAGCATCGGCGGGCCGGTGGCCGCCATCTACGCCATCGAGCAGGACTGGACTCGCGAAACGATGCGCGCGACCCTGGCGGTGTATTTCCTGCTGGCCGGCGTCCTGGGGTTGGTCCTGTACTACCTGACCGGGTTGATCCCCCAGGACGTGGAGTACGAAATGGCGGCCGGCGTACCGGTGGTCGTGATTGGCTCAATGCTCGGCGGCTGGCTGTCGCGTCGCATGAGCCTCCGCATCTTCCGTTACGCCGTGCTCTTCGTCATCATCGGAGGCAGCACGTCGCTGCTGGTTCGGGAACTGGTGCGATTGATTTAGGGGCGGGTACTATACCCGCCCCTAAATCGCGATCATAGGCCGATCCCGTCGGCCGTTCACGCTGACAGGTCGTGGAAAGCGGCCAGCGCGGCGGTGATACCGTCCCCAACGGCTGCTCCCAGCTGCCGGGTGGATTCGGCCCGTGCGTCGCCGCACACGTAAACCTTCGGGATGTTCGTCCTCATGTGCAGGTCGCCGTGGATGTGGCCCAGTTCATCCATTTCGAGCTTTTCTTGGAAGGCCTCGGTGTTGGGGTGAAACCCCACGTAGACGAAAGCCGCAGCGGTGGGATAGTCGTACACCTCGTCCGTTTTCACGTTCTTGACGCGGGCCGCTTCCAGGACGTCGTTCCCCACGAATTCCTCGACCACATGGCTCCACAGCCATTTGTACTTCGGGTTGGAAAATGCGCGGTCCTGCAGCACTTTGGTGGCACGAAGGTCGTCCCGTCGATGAATGATGGTGACCGAGTTACAGATGCCCGTAAGATAGAAACTCTCGTCCATGGCGGAGTCGCCACCGCCGACGACCACCACGTCCTGCCCGCGGAAAAAGTTGCCGTCGCAAACGGCGCAATACGAAACACCGCGGCCGCCGAACTCGTCCTCTCCGGGCACACCCAGCTTGTTGTGCGAGCCGCCCGTGGCGATGATCAGAGCGCGAGCCGTGAAATCGCCTTCGGAGGTCCGGACCAGTTTCCGGTCGTCGTACAGGTTTTCCACACCTTCAATCTCGGCATACTCCATCTTGGCCCCAAAGCGCTCGGCCTGGTTGTACATCTCATCGGCCAGCGTTTGGCCCTTCACGCCCTCCCGGAACCCGGGGTAGTTCTCGATATCGTCGGTAATCAGCAGTTGTCCGCCGGGACCGATGCTTTCGATCATCAGGGTGCTGAGCATCGCGCGAGTCGAGTAGAGCCCCGCCGACAAACCTGCGGCGCCGGCGCCAAGGATCACAACGTCGTAGTCGTTGGACATCTGGTGGGTTCCTCCTTTATCCGTCGGACCCGTCGGCAACCGCCGGCGCCGGGTTCGCGTGATGGCGCCTGCGGTCCGACATGGCGCCCACACGACTGGTGCGCTGCGAAAGAGAAGCCCGAACGTACTCCACCGAACGCTTCAGGCCCTCCTCCAGCGACACCTCAGCCGTCCATTTCAACTCTTTCTCTGCGCGGGTCGAGTCCAGGGCAATGTTGAGCACCTCTCCGGTCCGTCTGGGTCGATAGTCGGGCTCCTGGTCAAATCCCGTGATTTCCCGCAGCAGTTCGTAAATCCGCGCGATGCTGACCTGTTGCCCCGTACCAATGTTATACGTTCGGCCATCGCCCCTGTTGACAGCCGCGAGGTTGGCCTTAACCACGTCGGACACGTACACGAAATCGCGTTTCTGGAGACCGTCGCCGTAGATCTGCGGCCGGCGTTCACCCAGCATCATCCCGGCGAAAATCGCGATAACGCCGGCTTCGCCATCAGGATTTTGACCGGGACCGTAAACGTTGGCGTATCTGAGGATCGTGTAATCCAGCCCATAGGTCTCGTTGAACAGTTCCAGGTACTGCTCGCCGACGTATTTGGATAGAGCATACGGGGTAAGAGGGTTCACCGGCGTACCTTCATCGCAGGGGATGGTTTCCGGATCGCCGTAGATTGCCCCGCCAGTTGACGAAAAGATGAACTTCTCCACGCCCTCTGCCGCCGCCGCCGCAATCAACCGGATCGTGCCCATCACGTTGGAGTCCGCGTCGGCCACGGGATCAATCGCAGATCGGCGGACGCTGCTCTGGGCCGCCAGGTGAAACACGATCTCCGGTCTTTCCCTCTGGATGATTTGCGTCAACCGGACATCGTTTAACTCCGCGTGGTGGAAAGTCGCCCGGTGATTCAGGTTGCGCAATTGACCGCTGCTGAGATTGTCCACCACCGCCACGTCGTATCCGTTGTCCAGCAGCCCATCAACCAGGTGCGAACCGATGAAGCCGGCTCCGCCGGTCACTAGCACTTTGGTACGTACAGTCAAGTCGTCGCGTCCGTTCCCATCGATCATGCTGATCGCGAATCATCGTCTATCGTAATTCATACGACAGCGGGCAGCAACCAACACCCTCCATTCTCGTTCCCCAATACGGGCTGGGCGTTTCTTGGAGCCCCGTACCGACCCTCCCACGCCCTGCCGCTGCCATTGATCCGTCATCCCCAAGCCAGAAGGAGCAAGACGCCGGAGCGCCGTTGATCGAAGGTTATTTCGGGACGCCTCAACCTGGGCCGCAGTGAACCGCCTCAGATTGTGGTTTAATGCGCAACGAAAGAGAGGTGCGTTATGGTCAAGAAAAAGGGAACCGCCCTGCTGATTGTCTTCACCGACGTCGACATTGAGAATGAAGCCGAATTCAACGCCTGGTACAATCAGGAACATGTCCCGGAACGCCTCAGCGCTCCCGGGTTTCTCGACGCAGCCCGTTACGAAGCCCTGCGGGGCGGTCCGCGCTATTTGGCCGTCTACGAGTTGGAGACCGTCGACGCCCTCCAAACCGATGAGTATCTGCGCATGAGCCGGAATCCAACGGAGTGGACCAAGCGCATGTCGCCCAACGCCATTGGTCGCGGCACCGTACGCAACGTATGCGCGCAGATTTATCCCGAGGAAAGTGATCCGCACACCTTGGGCAGAGGCATGGCTCCTGCTTTGCAGATCGGTCGCATGGACGTTCCTGTCGACATCGAGGCCAAGTACAACGAGTACTACGACACTGTCCGCACTCCGGCCAACCTGCAGATTCCCGGCTGCCTCCACGTTCGCCGCTACCACGCGGTGGAAGGCGGCCCCAAGTACCTTACGATGTACGAGTTCGAGCACGAAAAGGTGCCGGAAACCCTGGCGTGGGAGAACCAGCGTCGCCAGGACACCATGCACGAATACATCGGCGGCTCCTACGGCCACGCTCCCGGATCGCCCGGCGTTTACCGGCGTGTCCTGCCGCCCCGGTCTTTCTAGCCGTAACCCGGCGGTGAAACCGCGCGTGTTAGAATGGCGCATCCACAGAACCTTGATTTTGCCCACAGCCAGTTGAGGAGGCAATCGATGAACGCTCCGGCCCGCATGAAATTTGGCGTGTTTATGGCTCCGTTCCACCGCGTCGGCGAGAACCCTACGCTGGCCCTCGAGCGCGACCTCGAACTCCTGCAATGGTTGGATCACCTGGGCTACGACGAAGCCTGGATCGGTGAGCACCACAGCGCCGGGTGGGAAACCATCGCCTCGCCCGAAGTGTTCATGGCCACCGCGGCCGAACGTACCCGGAACCTCCGCCTGGGTACCGGCGTCATCAGTCTCCCATATCATCATCCCTACATGGTGGCCAACCGCATGGTCCTCCTGGACCACCTCACCCGGGGGCGCGTGATGCTGGGTGTGGGACCTGGCGCCCTCGCCTCCGATGCCTACATGTTTGGTATCAATCCGGCCCGGCAGCGCGAGATGATGGACGAGTCCCTGGGGGCCATCAAGCGCCTGATGGACAGCGACGAACCGTACACCTACAAGAGCGACTGGTTCGAGTTGAACGATGCCCATCTGCAGTTGCGTCCCTATCAGCAGCCCTTCCCGCTGGTCGTCGCGTCGGTCCAGTCACCGGCCGGAGTGACCACGGCCGGCAAGCACGGGGCCGGGGTCATCTCCCTCAGCGTGCCCCGGGACATGGTGCGGTCCACCAGCCTGAAGGACCAGTGGGCCATCGCGGAGGAGACGGCTGCCGAGCACGGGCAAACCGTGAAGCGCGAGGAGTGGCGCCTGTCAGTTGGCGTGCACTTGGCCGACTCGAAGAAGCAGGCCCAGGAGGACATCCGCGAAGGTTCCGCTCGCGTGGTCACCGAGTATTTCGGCAACACCCTCGGCCACGAGGTTCCGGATGTCCCGCGCGACCAGATCGTCGACTTCATGACCGACAACAAGCAGTGGATCGTCGGAACGCCGGACGACTGCATCCAGCGTATCAACGAGCTGCAGGAGATGTCCGGCGGGTTCGGCGGCATGCTGGTTCGGGCGGAGGACTGGGCTCCCCGAGACAAGCTCCATCGTTCTTACGAACTCCTGGCACGTTACGTGATGCCCCAGTTCCAGGGAAGCCTTTCGGGAATCAAAACCTCCCAGCAGTGGGCGTCCGACCTCAAGGACACCCTGCAGGTCAATCGTCGCGCCGGCCTCGAACGCGCCAGCCAGGCCTACGAGGAAAGCCGCCAGCGCAGTTGATCCAGGGTCCCCGGCAACCAACAACCACGTAGGGGCGGCCCGGCGGGTCGCCCCTGATCATTACCGGCGGCCAAATTCCGGCTGCACCTCCTCAGCCATACAATCCACAGAGCACGTCCTCGCGGCATCGTATCTTTCCCCCGCTTGACCCGCCTCTCCGTTGGGCCATCCAAACAACCAGATGAAAAGCGGCGTTGACGCCGTGCCAAACCTTATGACGAGCCAAACCGAGGCCGGGTTATAATGGCGCAAAGAAAGCGGACCATGGAGCAGAGGTAGACGTTATGCGCAAGACTAAGATTATCGCCACCATAGGCCCAGCATCCCGTTCTCCGGAAATCCTGGACCGTCTCGTGGGCGCCGGCATGGACGTTGCCCGCCTCAACTTCTCCCACGGCACGCTTGAAGAACATGCCGAAGTCATCGCGGCGGTACGGACCGCGTCCGAAAAACACAACCGGCCCGTCGCCGTCCTGCAGGACCTGGGAGGCAACAAGTTCCGGTTGGGAAACATGGCGGAGCCGGCGCAATTGAACTTTGGTGATGAAGTTTCCATCGTCAACGAGCCGAATTCAGTCTCTCCGTTTCGCCTCCCCTTCCCTGAACCTGACATCCTGCGCAGCATGCGTCCCGGCAACCTGGTTTATATCTCCGATGGGACCGTGTGTCTGGAAGTCCTGGAAATAACCCCGGACCTCGAAGTAAAGACCAGCGTCCGCAACGGCGGCAATCTCTCCTCGTACAAAGGGGTGAACCTCCCCGACGTGCCCATCGACATGCCGGTAATCACCGAAAGCGACAAGATCGCCCTGCAGTTTGGGGTGGATCAGGATGTCGACTGGGTCGCGCTGTCCTTCGTGCGTACCGGCGAAGACGTCCGCTACGCCCGAGCCTATCTCAACCAGCTCGGCAGCCGCGCACCCGTCATGGCCAAGCTCGAACGGCGCGAATGCATCGCCAACCTGGACGAGATACTCGAGGAGGTCGACGGCATCATGGTCGCCCGCGGCGACCTTGGCGTCGAGATGCCAATGGAAGAGGTCCCCATCATACAGAAGGACATGGTGACCCGAGCCAACCGCGCCGGACGTATCTCCTCGGTCGCCACTCAAATGCTGCGGTCGATGGTCAACTCACCCACGCCAACGCGGGCGGAAGTGTCCGACATCGCCAACGCCGTGCTTGACGGCTGCGACTCCATCTTGCTGTCTGACGAAATCGCAGTCGGCGCTCATCCGGTCGAAGCGGTGCGCATCGCCGACGCCGTGATCGTCCAGGCCGAGAAGATGTACCACTATTATTCCGAATTCCCCCAACGCGACCAGACCCAGTCCGTCACCTGGGGAGCCACCCAACTGGCGAAATCGCTGAACGCCAAACCCATCGTGATAACCAGTTCCGGGCGCGCCGCCTACGAGATGTCGCGCTTCCGTCCCGAAAACGACATCATCGTGTTCTCCCATGACGCCGCCGTACAGCGCCGCGTGTGCATGGCGTGGGGGCTGATCCCCAAGGGCGTCATACCCGCCGAGCCCGACGTCGCCAAGTTGGTAACCATGCTGGTTGACGCGGCCATGGCCACCGGAATGGTTTCGGAGCGGGACGTGGTCACCCTGGTCCACGGTTTCATGACCGGGGTCACTGGTACCACCAACACCATCCAGGTGCTCAACATCCAGGAGTACCTGGACCACATCGGCCGAAACGCTGTTGCCTCTGCCGCACCGGATGTCGTCTGAGGGGTTCTAGACCAGTCCCAAAAATAGAGGAACGGGCTGGATGATCCCAGCCCGTTTTGCTGTCCGTGGGTTGATTGGGTTCCGCCTAGCTAACGGCGGATGATCTCGGCAGTTGGCTAGTTCCCGACGACAGGTACTGGTCCACGCCGTGCGCCACATCCCGTCCCTCGGCAATCGCCCATACCACCAAGGACTGGCCGCGTACCATGTCGCCGCCAGCGAAGATGCCCGGCACCGAGGTCATCTTGTTGTCGTCAACCTTCACGTTACCCCTGCCATCCAGCTCAACGCCAAGTTGGTCCAGCATCCCGCCGTGTTCCGGATGGAGGAAACCCATCGCAAGCAGCACCAGGTCCGCGTCCACGGCGAACTCGCTGCCGGGCACTTCCGACATTTGAAAGCGGCCATTTTCGCCCCGCGTCCAGTCCACGCGGACGGCATGCAATTGGCTTACTTGCCCGTTCTCTCCCGAAAGTGACTTGGTCAGGATGTTGTAATCGCGAACGCCACCCTCTTCGTGCGCGCCTGACGTTCGCAGCACCATTGGCCAAAGTGGCCACGGGTTATCGTCCGGGCGTGTTTCGGGAGGCTCCGGCAGCAGCTCGAACTGGTGGACTATCTCGGCTCCCTGCCGGTGAGCGGTACCCAGGCAATCCGCGCCGGTGTCGCCGCCGCCCAGGATGATAACTCTCTTGGCCTCGGCGGTTATCTGACCATCGACGGTCTCTCCCGCCAGCACCCGGTTCTGCTGCGGCAGATAATCCATCGCAAAATGCACGCCATCCAGCTCACGCCCGGGAACGTCGAGATCCCGCGCCTGAGTGGAACCGCCGGTGAGGCACACCGCGTCAAAGTCTTCCAGCAATTTCTCCGCAGGGTAATTCACGCCGACGTTGGCGCCGGTGCGGAACTCAATACCTTCCTCTTCCATGAGCTGGACCCGGCGCTGAACCACTGACTTCTCCAGCTTGAAATCCGGAATGCCCAGCATCAAAAGACCGCCGATGTAGTCCGCCCGCTCCAGCACCGTGACCTTGTGTCCCGCGCGGTTCAATTGCTGAGCGGCGGCCAGTCCGGACGGCCCGCTGCCAACCACGGCCACGGATTTGCCCGTCCGCGTCTTGGGGGCCATCGCTTTGATCCAGCCCTGCTCATAACCCCGGTCGCTGATTTCCTTTTCGATGTATTCGATTGTGACGGGGTCAGCATTGATGCTGAGAACGCAGGACGCTTCGCAGGGAGCGGGGCAGATGCGGCCCGTGAACTCTGGGAAGTTGTTGGTGCTGAGCAGCACTTCCAGGGCCTTCTCCCAGTTTCCCAGGTAAACCTGGTGATTGAAATCAGGGATGACGTTCCCCAGAGGGCACCCCATGTGGCAGAACGGTACGGCGCAGTCCATGCACCGCCCGCCTTGCTCCGCAGCCTGTTGGTCGGACCAACGGTGGTAATACTCGCGATAATCGCCGACCCTTTCCGAAGGGGGGCGGCGCTCCGGCGGTGTCCTACCGAACTCAACAAACCCCGTGACCTTACCCATTGGGCACCGCCACCAATTCAGCTGCCGCGCGCTGCGCGCGTTCCATGACCACGCGCCGATAATCGCGGGGCATCACTTTGCGGAACTCGCCGATGCTGGCCTGCCAGTTATCCAAAATCCGCTGTGCCGGCCCGCTTCCGGTCCGCTCCAGATGTTCGGTTAGCAGACCCTGCAACAGGTCAATGTCTTCCTGCTCGACCAAGTTTTCCAGGTCGGCCATTCCGTCGTTGAAGCGGGTGTGGAAATCGCCGTCCGGATCGTGAACGAAGGCGATGCCCCCGCTCATGCCGGCGCCGAAGTTCCGGCCAGTGCTGCCGATGACGGCTACTACCCCGCCGGTCATGTACTCGCACCCGTGATCGCCCACGCCTTCGATAACGGCTCGCGCTCCGCTGTTGCGTACGGCAAACCTTTCCCCAGCCCTGCCGCGGATGAATACGTCACCGCCCGTGGCTCCATATAGCGCCACGTTGCCGATAATGATGTTGTCCTCGGGGACGAAACCCGAGCCATTGGGCGGGACAATGACCAAGCGCCCGCCTCCGATGCCTTTGCCCATGTAGTCGTTGGTGTCGCCCGCCAGCCGAATCGAAACGCCAGGCGCCAGGAAAGCTCCGAAGCTCTGGCCGCCCGAGCCTTCCAGTTCGACGTTGATGGTGCCGTCGGGGAGCCCATCTTCGCCGTACTTGCGGGCAACGCGCCCGCTGAGCATGGCTCCGACGGTACGGTTGGAGTTGCTTACGGGCAGGCTGATGTGTACCTGTGTCCCGTTATCGATCGCGGGTCGGGCTTGCTCGATCAATTGGTGATCCAAAGCCTTTTCCAACCCGTGATCCTGCTCAATGCAGCAGTAGGTCTGGACGCGTTGGGCCCGGGCCGGAATGGTGAGCAGTTTGGACAGGTCGATGCCCGAAGCCTTCCAGTGGTCCACGGCTTTGTGGGTCTCCAGCTTGTCGACCCGACCCACCATCTCGGCAACCGTGCGGAAACCGAGCTCAGCCATGATCTCCCGCAATTCTTCAGCAACGAAGTAGAAGTAGTTGACCAGGTGCCCCGGTTGTCCGGCAAAACGCTTGCGCAGCTCGGGGTCCTGCGTCGCGATGCCCACTGAACAGGTGTTCAGGTGGCATTTGCGCAGCATGATGCAGCCGTTGACGATCAGCGCGGCCGTGGCCATGCCGAACTCTTCCGCGCCCAACAGCGCCGCGATGGCCACGTCGCGGCCGGTTTTCAGCTGCCCATCAGTTTGAACCACGATGCGGCTGCGGAGGTCGTTGGCCACGAGCACTTGCTGAGTTTCAGCAACTCCCAATTCCCAAGGCAATCCGGCATGCTTGATGGAAGACTCCGGAGAAGCCCCGGTGCCGCCGTCATGACCGCTGATAAGCACCACGTCACCGTGACCTTTCGACACCCCCGCGGCGATGGTCCCCACTCCCACCTCGGACACCAATTTCACATGGATCCGCGCCTCGGGATTGATGTTCTTCAGGTCATGTATCAACTGCGCCAAATCTTCAATCGAGTAGATGTCATGGTGAGGGGGCGGAGAGATCAACTCCACTCCCGGCGTGGTGTGCCGCACCCAACCGATGTACTCATCCACTTTGTGGCCGGGCAGTTGGCCGCCCTCACCCGGCTTGGAACCCTGGGCCATCTTGATTTGAAGATCGGTGGCGTTCACCAGGTAGTTGGGCGTAACGCCAAATCGACCCGAAGCCACCTGCTTGATCGCGCTGGAACGGTTGTCGCCATTCTCGTCCGGGTCGTAGCGGTGGAAGTCCTCGCCGCCCTCACCGGTGTTGCTGCGGGCGCCCAACTGGTTCATCGCTATGGCCATGGTTTCGTGGGCTTCACGGCTGATGGAACCCAATGAGATCGCCCCGGTAGCGAACCGCTTCACGATCTCCACGGCCGGTTCCACTTCGTCGAGGTCAATCGGATGGAGGTCAGTGAAATCGAGCAGGCCCCGCAGCGTGGCCATGCGGCGACTCTGGTCATTCACCTGCTCCGCGAACTCGCGGTAAGCTCGCGGGTCGTTGGCGCGGGTGGCGTACTGTAGCTTGGCAATCGCTTCCGGGTTCCACTGGTGGAACTCGCCGTGCCGTCGCCATTGGTACTGGCCGCCCATGTCCAGTTCCTGCATGCCGGACACGAAGGGGTCATCGAAGGCGGCCCGGTGGCGCTGGAGCGTTTCCTCTTCCACGATGTCGAGACCGATCCCCTGGATACGCGAGGGAGTGCGCGTGAAATATCGGTCAACCAGTTCGTCGTTCAGACCGATGGCTTCAAAAATCTGGGCTCCCCGGTACGACTGGACCGTAGAGATTCCCATCTTGGACATTACCTTGAGGATGCCTTTCTCATTTGCCTTGATGAAATTGTAAACCGCATAGTCCGGCTCGGTTCCGTTCAACTCCCCGCGCTCGGCCAGATCGCGCACCGATTCCAACGCGAGGTACGGATTGATTCCACCAGCGCCGTACCCGATCAGCAGGCAGATATGCTGGACTTCCCGTGGCTCGCCCGACTCCACCACCAAGCCAACTCGCGTGCGTGTCCCAGTACGCGTCAGGTGATGGTGAACCGCGCTGGTCGCCAGCAAACTGGGTATGGGAGCATGGTTTGAATCCACGCCACGGTCGGACAGAATGATTATGTTCTTGCCGGCAGCTATGGCTTCGGACGCAGCGGTACAAAGATCGTCCAGCGCGCCTTGCAACGAGCCGGTCCGGGCTTCAAACAGGGTGGACAATGTAACCGACGACAGTCCCTGGAGGTCCAAGGCCCGGATCTGAGCCAATTGCTCATCGTTCAGCAGCGGAGACTTGAGCCTCAATTGGCGGCAGTGCAGCGGCGATTCGTCAAATAAATTTTGCTCGCTGCCGACAAACGCTTCCAGCGAAGTTACCAACTCCTCCCGGATGGCGTCCAAAGGCGGGTTGGAAACCTGGGCGAACAACTGCTTGAAGTAATCAAACAGCGACCGGTTCTGATCCGACAACACAGCCAGCGAAGCATCGTTTCCCATGGAGCCGATGGCCTCGTAACCCGCTGCGGCCATGGGCGTCGTCAGCATCCGCAGTTCTTCAATGGTGTAGCCGAAGGAACGCTGTTGCTGGCGGAGGTCACTACCTCCGGTCGGCGGTAGTGGCTGCGCAGCCGGCAAGCCTTCCAAGGCTACCTTGTTTTCCTTCAGCCACTGTCCGTAGGGTTGGCGGCCGGCCAAGGTGTGCTTTAGCTCCTCGTCGCCGATGATACGGCCTTCGTCGAAGCTCACCAGGAACATCCTTCCGGGCTGCAAGCGGCCTTTTTCCCTGACACTCTCCGGCGGCAGGTCCAGCACGCCGGTCTCCGACGCCATTACCAGCTTGTCGTCATGCGTCACCGTGTAGCGGAACGGCCGGAGTCCGTTGCGGTCAAGGACGGCACAAACGTCCTTTCCGTCGGTGGCCAGCATCATGGCCGGCCCGTCCCACGGCTCCATCATGCCCGAGTGATACTCGTAAAAGTCTTTTTTCTCCTGGGACATGGTTTCATGCTGGTCCCAAGCCTCCGGGATCATCATTAGCATGGCATGGGACAGTTCCCGGCCCGTCATGACCAGCAGTTCCAGCGCATTGTCGAAACTGGCGGTATCGCTCGCCTGGGGATCGCAGATTGGCGCCAGTTTGTGGATGTCGTCGCCGTACAAGGGGGAACTGAATTGGAACTCCCGGGCGTGCATCCAATTGATATTGCCGCGCAATGTGTTGATTTCCCCGTTGTGCGCCAGGTAGCGATACGGATGCGCCAGCTTCCAGTGTCCCAGGGTGTTGGTGCTGAACCGGGAGTGGACGAGCGCGAAAGCCGACACCATCGTTTCGTCGTTAAGGTCCAGGTAAAAGTCAGGCAGCTGGTACGAAACCAGCAGGCCCTTATACACCACGGTGTTGGCGCTCAAGCTACAGATGTAATAGAAGTCGGCATCGTCGTCGGTGATGCCGGTGGTGTGCAAAGTGTTGGTGATGGCCTTGCGCACCACGTAGAGCTTGCGCTCCCAAGCCGCCCGGTCAAGAGTATGGGCAGCCCCTTTGCCAACGAAGAATTGCCTGATAGTGGGGCAAACCGCCCGGGCATCACGTCCGATTGCAGCGGGGTCGAGCGGAACGTTCCGCCATCCGAGGAACGTCAAGCCCTCGTCAGCCACAACTTTCTCAATGTGCGCCACGCAGGCGGAAAGCGGAACCGAGTCCTGGGGCAGGAAGACCATGCCCACCCCGTATTCCCCTTCCGGTGGAAGAGTAAATCCGGTTTCAGTCGTGGCCTTTCGGAAAAAAGCATCCGGCATCTGAACCAGGATGCCCGCTCCGTCGCCGGTGTCAGGGTCGGAACCGGAAGCGCCCCGGTGTCCCAGGTTATTCAGAACTTCCAGCGATTCAGTGATTATGGCGTGGGTCTTTTCACCCTTAATATTGGCAACCATGCCGACGCCGCAGGCGTCGTGCTCTTGCTCGGGGGCGTACAATCCGGTTTGGGCCAGTTCTTTGAGCGAATTCATGGCTGCACCCTGCGGTCGCTGGGAAAATGAAAAAGCCGCCAGCTATGCTGAACGTCACTTACGCCTACCGGGCGCACGGACCTTCCCGCCGCTGGCACAATTAGTTTGTGTAATATATCACAATTGGCGGGGATTGCAAGGTAAACCACAGCCAGCCTATACTCTCGCCACCCGCCCGCTGGGGTTGTGGGTGACTTCCGAAATCGACGTGTGACAGCATTTCCATGACCACTACTACCGATATTTTGACTCCCGCTGACGTTGCGCGGTTGGCCGTTGACGTGGCCGCCGATAAGCTAGCCTCGGACATCCTGATGCTCGACCTCCGAGATCTGAAGGTCTTCGCGGACTACTTCGTCGTGATGACCGCCGATTCCGTGCGGCAAATCGAAGCGCTGGAGGAAGATCTGTCCGGGGCCCTGAAAGACGCTGGTGTACCACGACACCATCGTGAGGGTACCCCGGCGTCGGGTTGGGTTCTCCTGGATTTCGCCGACGTGGTTATCCACATCTTCGGGCCCGAGGAGCGCGAGTTCTTCAGGTTGGAACGCTTGTGGAGCCGGGCTCCTCAGGTGGTCAGGATTCTGTAATCCATTCGTCGGCGCTGCGCGAATAGTCCAGGGCGTCGCCGGCCCCGAAGAACAGGTCGATTTCGCGTTCCGCGGATTCCGGGCCGTCGGAACCGTGAACTAGGTTCCGGCCGATGTCTATCCCCAGATCGCCCCGTATCGTACCTGGCGCTGCCTCAGCGGGATTGGTCGATCCCATGGTTTGCCGGGCCAAAGCCACGGCATTGTTCGCCTCCCAGATCATCGCCACGATGGGGCCGGAGGTGATGAACGAAACCAGAGAAGGGAAAAACGGCCGGTTGACGTGCTCCGCGTAGTGCCGTCCGGCCAGATCCTCATCCACCTGCATCAGGCGGATGGCGACCAACTTCAAGCCGCGACGTTCCAGCCGGGAGACGACCTCACCGACGAGACTGCGCTGTACCCCATCGGGTTTGATGGCGACGAAAAGTCCGTTCCATTGGTTTGCTTACTCCTGTAGATGAATGATGCCTAGTATTACAACGACGATTCGCGGAACCGCCGTGTAATGGTGCCTGGTGGTGAGCATGAGAAGTGCTTGGCAAAGGGCCAACGGACGCCGTCGATGGTGCAGTGTCAAGCACGATTCCGTAGAGGTGTCGTTGTAATACTAGATGAGTGATGCTGAGCGAAATATTTTAAGACGAAGATGGCCGTCCCTGGCGAACCCGGTCACGCTGGCGGGGTGCGCCGATAGTCGGCATCCGCAGGTAATACGGCTGAAGGCTGGACAGGTCGTCAGCATGACCTTCGGACAACCGCCCGGCAGCCATCTCCGCGAGGGCCCACAAGCGGTCGGCCGGCGTCCAGGGCATGACGACGCATGCGGGACCATCCCCGATCAGCGCGGCGATCTCTTCCCGCTGAGCCCACGCCGCCTCGCCGCAATAGATGGCCGCCCGTTGATCCTCCGCGTCCTGCCGTAGCAGTTCGGCCGGCGACGCGACCCGGTCGTCCCCCAATCGTTGGCCACCAACACCGAACGCGCCCGCCGCGATCTCGTTGCGCCCGGCATCCAGCCAGGATATGGGGACCAGCGCATCCGGCCGTTGCCCGTGCAGCGCAGGGTCCAAATACCGCCACGCCTCCAGGAGCAGCGTGTCCACGCCGACTATGGGAAATCCGCCGGCGATGGCCAGCCCCTTGGCGGCGCTCACACCCACCCGTAGCGCGCTGAAAGGCCCGGGTCCCAGCGCGACGGCCACCCCGGTCAGTTCCGCGGCTCGTATGTCACGCCCGGTCAACAACTCGGATACAGCCGGCATCAGTTGTGCGGTGTGATTGGCGGCAGACCGCCACACACGGACCTCCAGCAATTGTCCATCGCCATCGGCGAGGGCGGCTCCGCCGTAGCGCGAAGAAGTGTCGATGGACAGCAGCATCAGCGGGCCAGGCCCAATTCATCGGAGGGAGTAGAACCGGAGGGGGCGAAACGCGTCAATTGTGCCAGCAGCCGCTCGTATCGTTCCGGAGCATCGGCAATGGCGATGCGGTGTCGCGACGGAATCGAACCGTCCGGACCGGGTATCACCTCGCACGCCGCCGGGCTGCCGTCCGGCGCATAGTCCAATTGGATCCACAAAGGCGTCGAGAGGAAAAATCTCGGCGGCTCGGTCCGCCCATTCCACGATGAGCACATCTTCCCCGGTCGCCATGATATCTTCCAGACCCAAGTCCCAGGCTTCCGCGGGATGACCGATGCGGTATAAATCGGCGTGATGGATCGTGAGACGACCCCGATACCTGGTCACGAGTACGAAAGTGGGACTGCGGGCGTAGCCGGGCGCATCCAATCCCCTGGCTATACCTTGGGTGAGGCAGGTCTTTCCGGCGCCCAATGGGCCGGTGAGCAGGTAAATGTCACCGGGAGAGGCCTCCTGGCCGATGATTTTCCCGACTTCGCGGGTCTCCTCGGCGGTATCGGTGTTGATTGTTATGCTCGTTCGCATGACCTGATGTGCAGCCCCAATATACGTTTGCCGGCCACAATCAAATGAAGTGATCCCACCCCGCTCCACCGCGGAGATGGGGGGAACCATCGGGTCCCCATACGTTGACCGTCCCGGCCGGTCCATCGGTTATCTCCCCGATGACCGCCGCGTCATCGGGCAACAGGTCCATTACGGCGCTCATCACCTGCGGTTCCGCAGTGAACAGCAGAACATAGTCCTCCCCGCCGTAAAGCGCCAGGTCGAGCCAGTCTCCGGGGAACACGGTTTTAAGCGCCGGGTGCGCCGGCACTTTTTCGGCCCAAAGATCGCATGCCACCCCGCTGGCGACGCACAACTTCGCCAGATCATCCGCCAACCCGTCGCTGACGTCCATGGCCGAGTCCACCCCATTGGTTACCAGCGTTTGCCCTTCCGGTACATGCGGGCGCGGGCGGCGGTGGATCGCCCTGAGTTCATCTGCCGCCCAACCGGCGACGCCATTTTGATCCAGCAACACCCGCAGCCCACCCGCCGACCCACCTATGGTGCCGGTGACCCCCACCAGATGACCTGGCTTGGCCGTTGTTCGCACCATTGGATTGCCAGTCGCAATACCAGTCAGGGCTACCGTAACAAACGTCACCGGCGATCTCACCATGTCACCGCCAATGACGCGCGCTCCGAATTCCCGACAAATTTCCGTCATTCCGACGTACAGCTCTTTGACATCATCGACCGGCGTTGCAGGCGGCAAGCCCAGCGTGACCAACGCAAGCGCGGGTGTCCCACCCATGGCCGCAACGTCACTGATGTTCGAGGCAATGGCTTTCCAACCCAAATCACGCCACGGCGTGGACTCTACGGTGAAATGCACTCCGTCAACCATGGTATCGGTGGTGTACAGTTCGGTCACGCAAGCATCGATGAAGACCACGGCAGCCGCGTCGTCCCGTTATCAACCACGGTGCGGAAGGCGGATGGAGGCTCGGCGTGACCTGCAAAACTGGGCTCGCGTGTCCATTCCTGGACCAAACGTATGAGCCCGAATTCGCCGAGTTCCGAGATGCGCATGGTCACAACACACAAAAGAAACGGGCCTTTATACAAAGGCCCGATTGATTTCGTCTCTCATTAGCGGCTGAATAGTGAAAGGAAATAAGAAATTTGCGATTTGTTTCGGCACATTTGCCGATGTCAGCGGTTTTCTCAGGGCACCCGTTCTCTGGATCCGGGAGTCTAAAGACTCGACCGAAGACCCGAGTGGCGGGAACGTCCGCTGATTGACCTGGGAGTGGTCCAGTTCGCGCGCATAAAGCAACGCTCGCCGAACTTGGTCTCCCTTTAAAGGAGGTGATCCAGCCGCACCTTCCGGTACAGCTACCTTGTTACGACTTCGTCCCAGTTACCGAACCCGACCTCGGCACCTGCCTCCCTTGCGGGTTAGCTCAGCGACTTCAATCGTTCTCGGCTTCCATGACGTGACGGGCGGTGTGTACAAGGCCCGGGAACGTATTCACCGCAGTATGCTGACCTGCGGTTACTAGCGATTCCGCGTTCATGCAGGCGGGTTTCAGCCTGCAATTCCAACTGGGGCCGGCTTTGGTGGGATTGGCTCCATCTCGCGATTTGGCAACCCATTGTACCGGCCATTGTAGCGTGTGTGTAGCCCTGGACATAAGGGCCATGATGACTTGACGTCGTCCCCACCTTCCTCCTCCTTGCGGGAGGCTGTCTCGCTAGAGAGAATAACTAGCGACGAGGGTTGCGCTCGTTGCGGGACTTAACCCAACACCTCACGGCACGAGCTGACGACAGCCATGCAGCACCTGTGGAAGCTCCCCGAGTTACCCCGAGGTCGTTACCCTTTCGGGTTCCTACTACTAACATGTCAAGTCCAGGTAAGGTTCTTCGCTTAGCATCGAATTAAACCACACGCTCCACCGCTTGTGCGGGCCCCCGTCAATTCCTTTGAGTTTTAGCCTTGCGGCCGTAGTCCCCAGGCGGGATACTTAACGCGTTAGCTACGGCACGGAGGGGGTCAATACCCCCCATACCTAGTATCCATCGTTTAGGGCGTGGACTACCTGGGTATCTAATCCAGTTTGCTCCCCACGCTCTCGCGCCTCAGCGTCAGATACAGCCCAGTAAGCCGCTTTCGCCACTGGTGTTCCTCCCGATATCTACGCATTCCACCGCTACACCGGGAATTCTGCTTACCTCTGCTGTCCTCAAGTCGAATAGTATCCCTTGACCTCTCCCAGTTGAGCCGGGAGCTTTCACAAGAGACTTATCCAACCGCCTACGCGCACTTTACGCCCAGTGATTCCGGGTAACGCTTGCCCCCTACGTATTACCGCGGCTGCTGGCACGTAGTTAGCCGGGGCTTATTCCCGAGGTACCGTCCTTTCTCTTCCCTCGGAAAAGGGGTTTACAACCCGAAGGCCTTCGTCCCCCACGCGACGTCGCTGGGTCAGGCTTTCGCCCATTGCCCAAGATTCCCTGCTGCTGCCTCCCGTAGGAGTGGGGGCCGTTCTCAGTCCCCCTCTGGCTGGTCATCCTCTCAGACCAGCTACCCGTCATCGGCTTGGTGAGCCATTACCTCACCAACAACCTGATAGGACGCGAGCTCCTCTTCCGGCGGCCGAAGCCTTTCACCGGCACCCCAAGGGATGCGGGTCGTATGCGGGATTATCCTCAGTTTCCCGAGGCTATACCCCACCGGAGGGCAGATTACTCACGCGTTACTCAGCCGTCTGCCGCTTTATCATTGTGGCCGAAGCCACGATCACGCTCGACTTGCATGCATTAAGCGCGCCGCCAGCGTTCACCCTGAGCCAGGATCAAACTCTCTTAATGAGAACCTTACTTACTTCCTTCCACTATTCAGCTGTTAAGGAGCCCTCACTGCCGGTGACTTGGAGCCTCGACGGCGAGTGAGTTCCGTAACTGTAGCCGCTTTCACCCTCGTTGTCAATACCCAGGCCGTTTACAAGATTTGGTCCTGACGGGCGGCGCCGGCGCGAGCCTGCACCCACGTCGCCGACGCGCTTCCAGCCGCACCGCAAATCCCGGGCGACCAACGTGTCGGACTGACGGAAAGCGCCGTTCGCGGATTCGCCCGAGCAAGGACCAAACCCCCCGGAGCCTGTCTTTCGCGCGCGTTGACCGGTTGCCTCCCACCTGAATACACTACAGTGTGATCCCGACACCACGAATTTCGTCGGTGAATTCCATGTACAGCACATGAGCCACGTCGCAACCGAAGATTCGCCTCAAGATTTCCCGTCCTACCGTTGGGTCGTGATGGGCATCTGGCTCACCTCCAGCGTCATCGGCTTCATGATCATTTCAACCGTCGGGATATTGATGCCCGGCGATAAGCGATGAGTTGAGCCTCTCTCCTTTGCAACAGGGCATGTTGGGGTCCGCCGCCTACTGGGGGAATCTGGCGCTGGCCATCCCAGTGGGTTGGTGGGCATCCCGGTTCGCCCCAAAACTCCTCACCACCGTGACCATGGTCTTGGGTACGCTGTTCCTGTTGTCACAGGCATTCGCTCCCGGGTTCGCGCTACTGTTACTCGGTCGCATCGCTTTCGGAATCAGCGTGGTAACCCGGCAGCCGGCCCGAGCGTTGCTGACCCAACAATGGTTCCCGGCCAGGCAGGTAGTGTTGGTCAACAGCATTTCCAACGCCATGTTCGGTCTGGTGGTAGGCGGGGGCGTCGCGGCGTCTCCGTTCATACTGGCGGCTCTAGGCGATGACTGGCGCCGCACACTCCTTTGGTTCGCAGCGCTGTTCGGCGGGATGTCAGTCCTCTGGGTCGTGTTCGGCAAGGAGCGGGTTACATCCGAGTACCGAAGACGGCTTGGTTCTCAGGACGTAAACGTCCTGCGGGGCGCCCTTCGATATCGTGATCTTTGGATTGGCGGCCTGGGGTTCGTGGGAGCCACGGCTGCCTGGTCCGGGTTTTTGAGTTTCTATCCCACCCTCATGTTGGATACCTACCAGATGCCGCTGATGTGGTCGGGCGGCATTTTGGCTCTGGGAATTTTCATGGGCGGCGTTAGCGGTTTGGGGTTTGGGTGGTTGGTCATGAACTCGGACCAGGGCCGAACGATCTTGCTCGGCACCGGAGTCACCATGGCCGCAACTTTCGCGGCCATGACAATGACAGGATCCATTCCGGCGTTGCTGGCATTGACATTCGTCAATGGCATCGCCTGGGGATTCTGGCCGGTGCTTTATTCGGTCCCGTTCAATCTTCCCGGTATTCGCCCGCGAGAAATCGCTGTCAGCCTGGCGTTCATTCAAATGATGAGCTCCGCGGGAATAACGCTGGGACCGCTGGCTACGGGACTGCTTCAGGAACTGACTGGCGACCTCAGGTTGGTTCTGATGGTGATCAGCTTCGCTTCCCTTTCCTTGTGCGCTGCCGGGCTGACCATGCGGCACGGGCTATCCAGCCGTACCGCCGCCTCCACCGAGTGAGCGGGAATCCCGCTTTCGAATTCCTTCCCGGTCCAAACAACCCGCGTACCCCCGAGACCGATTCACCCGTCCCCCGGGCATGCGGACCCACCCCGTATCCGGCGTTCCCCTCAGGCCGTCGTGTGAGGCTGTGTATAATCGCCCGATGCACTGCACAGGCTTTGAATTCCGCTACCGAACCGGCTTCGGACAAAGGAAATTCCCACGCACCCAACACGCCAGGCGGGCACGACCCCACGCATGTTGAGGGCAGCTCGCAACCGCCTTCACTACGGCTGGGTGATTTTCGTACTGTCACTGGGAAACCTTACCGTCGAGGGCGGTACCAAAAACAGCGAGGCCGTTTATTTCAATGCCCTGAAAGACGCCTTCGGCCGCAGCGCGACCTATACCTCAGCGGTCTTTTCCCTCGCCGGACTGATCGGCGCTATCTGCGCTCCATTTCTCGGCATCCTGTTGGATAGATGGGGGGCTCGTGTCCTCTTCCCACTGGCGGGACTATTCATCCTTTTCGGCTGGGTTGCGTCCAGCTACACCACCGAGCTGTGGCAGATGTTCGTCGTTTACAGCGTTTTCGCCGGGATCGGACACACTGCCATCTCATCCTTTTCGATGACCGCAACCGTCGCTCCGTGGTTTCCCCGGACTCGCGGCCGCATGCTGGGCCTGGCGGACAGCGGCAACCCTATTGGCCAGGCGATTTTCGCCCCTCTGGCCGGGGTCTTGACCACCGAGATAGGCTGGCGTTGGGCTTACCGCATCTTCGGCGTCATCTTCGCCGTGCTGGTCGCCTTACCCAACGTTTTGTTTCAGCGCCGCCTCCCGGAAACCGGACCCGTGCCGTTGGCGCCAAAAGACGCCACGGAACCCCAGACCGGGACAGATAGTCCGGGCGCCCGCCCTGCCCCGAGTGGAGCACGGGAGGCGCCAACCTTGGGCAACGCAGTCCAAGACAGCGCATTGTGGATGCTGGTGCTAACCCGGGTGTTCGGGTCCACCGGTACACAGATGATACGCGTTCACCTGGTCACGTTTTTCGTTCTGGCGGGTTACAGCATACAAACGGCCGCGAACACTCTGGGCGCAGTGGGATTGGTCAGCGTGTTCGCTCGCCCTCTGATGGGGCTGGCTACCGACCGCTGGGGACGGGAATCGGTTTATACCGTCGGCATGAGCGTTGCCGCGGGAGCCGTGCTCCTGGTGCTTTGGCTGGGCGACGGTGCGAGTTTTTGGCCGTTGGCGGTGTATGTGGGCCTGGCCGGCATTACGGACGGCATCAGTGGCCTGATAATTGGAGCCAAGGCTGCGGACATCTTCCCCAGCGAGTCCCTGGGTACCGTGATGGGGTTTGTCGAAATGGGACGCGGAGCGGCAATTTTTCTGGGGCCGATCATGGCCGGCTTGATGTTCGACCTTCAGGGCGACTACGTGCAGGCGTTTGTCCTGTCTGCAATCCTGACCGTCGCGTCAGTTTGCGCGATGTGGATTGCAGATTTCATCGGCCGCCGGCGCCGCGCTGCGTAAGCCACCGGTTATACCGATGCCCGCCCGCCGCCGACTGTTGGGACATCAACGCCGCAACTGTCGTTTCCCCAAGGGCGAGGCCGGGGCCGGGCCGGTCGGCTTCGCCACCTGACGAGGTCCCATCCCTGACAAGGTTCCCCCTTCGACTACCAGTCCGCGCCGCCGCCTCGTGGCGGCAACACGCTTGTTTGGCCCGCAATCCTTTGTTACAATTCCGGCGCACGAAAGATACGGCTCGCGGACGAGCGTGCTCTGCCACCGGCGAGCCGCCGTATCACTGTAGTTCGCGCAACCAATGGAGGAGGAAATACTATGCCGTCGTTCTGGGAAAACATCCGAATGCCTGAAGCCACGGACGAACGCGAATCGGGCGCCAATATCGCTGAAGCCGGCGATATGGCCGCTTATGTGAGCTTCCCACCGCCCAGCGCCGGTACGAGCTTGCCGGCCATCATCGTCGTGCAGGAAGCGTTTGGCGCTAACCAGCACATCCAGAAGGTAGCCGACGGCTTCGCCGCCGAGGGTTACGTGGCCGTTGCTCCGGCCCTGTTCCACCGCAACGAGCGCAACCCCAACCCAATGCTGGGCTACACGCCGGACGATTTTGACGCCGCGGTCAACACCTACATGCCGGCGCTGACAGGGCAGGGGATTATCGCCGACATCAACGCAACGATCGACTACCTGCAGCGCACCTACCCGCGAACCCGCGGCCAGAACATCGGGATAGTCGGATACTGCATGGGTGGGCGCGTGGTTTACCTGGCCGCTAGCTCTTGTTCCGGTCTGTCCGCTGGCGTGTGCTACTACGGTGGCGCCATACTGGCCCCGTACAGCGATGGTGTGACCCCCATCGACGGCACCGGCAACATCAGCATCCCGCTGATGGGCAACTTCGGCGAGACCGACGGCAACCCCACGCCGGCGGACGTTTCTCAAATCGAAGCAGCGTTGGATGCAGCCGGGAAGTCCTACGACTTCAAGATGTATTCCGGCGCCGGCCACGGTTTCAACTGCAACGACCGCGACAGCTATGACCAAGCTGCCGCTGACGACGCTCAGGCGCGCACCGTAGCATTCTTCAACGAGCATTTGAAGTAAGCGAAACCACAACGGCGCCTGTTGACGGCCCCTGTGTCAAAGACGCGGGGGCCGCACTTTTTCTGGATCGCGCAACTACCGGGCCCCACGCCAGCACGCTGTAAGCAGTCCTGGCTGAGCGCACATCCTCTCGTTGCCTGGCCGCGGAACCCGTCGGCATTGGAGAATCCCACCCGCTCCGGCGATGGCAGACGGGCCAGTCACGGAGCCGCAATCCGCCCGTGAATGAATTTTGACGGAGTCCGACGGACCAGCGTGCTGAACACAGCGGAGACCCGTCCCCTATCTTGGACCGCACGCCTGGCTGGAGTCAGTGGGTCATCCACCCAGCGGGGATATGCCTCTCACCAACCGTATTATGTCATTGGCGGAGATAGCGATCACCAGGGCCAACAGAGCCACGAACCCGATCAGATGGACCAATCCTTCTTTTTCGGAGGGCACGCGTTTGCCTCCGCGGACCCACTCGATGAATACGAACAGGAGACGCCCGCCGTCCAGCATCGGAATCGGAAGTATGTTCAGCACCGCCAGGTTGATGCTCAACAGAATAGCCACCAGCACCCACCCCTCGAGGCCGCCCTGGCGGGTTACCTCCCCGGTGATCTGTGCGATACCGATGGGTCCGCTCAGTTCCGGTCCCCGGCCGCCGCCGAACCAGCCTCGGATTTCTCTCCCCATCAGGGTCAGCATGTCCCATGTGCTGGTCACCCCGAGGCGGGCGGCAGTCCATGGAGGTTCAATTCGCCGGACCTCCTGTTGGTCCACTATGGCAAATGTGATCCCAACAGCGCCCTCACCCGGAGGCGGGTTCACACGCGGTGTCACCTGGGCCACCTGTCGCTGCCCGTCCCGTTCGATGATCCAGGTCATCTCGGTACCGGCGGAGAGATGGACCTCTCTGGGCAATTCTTGCGGTGTACCCGAGGGCTGGTCGCCCACTTGCAGGACACGGTCTCCGGCAAACAGACCCGCTGCTTCCGCCGGTGAGTTTGGCGCAACCGATGTGATTTCCGCGGATCCCCCTACCATTTCCGTGTGCGGGACCATGAACATAATGGCAAACGCCACTATGGGGAAAAGCGCGTTCATCGCTGACCCGGCCGCCAGGACGATCGCCCTTTGACCGACACCCCGGCGTGCCAGGCTGCCGGGCGCCGCCGGGTTGTTTTCGCCCGATAGCCTCACAAACCCGCCCAACGGCAGCCAGTTGACGGAGTAGATCATATCGGCCAGCACGATGCGATCCGGCAACACCTCTCGAACACGTCCCTCGTGGCGGAGGTACTCATCCGTCTGCACGTCGTCCAACCGTCTGCGCGCGATTTGTCCTGGATTGCTCTCGGATTGAGGTCCCCGGCCAAAGCCCGCCAACCCAACAAGAGATTGAAGCAATCCTCCCCACCGACCCGATTCGGGCAGCTCGATAAAGTGAGCTACCAGTTGGCCCTCGGGATTTTCACCGGATAGAACGCGGATCACCTGGCCTGGCCGCACGGCGCCGATGGAAGCGTTGAGGCAGACGGTGCCGGGAGTGAGCAGTGTTTCGGTTCGGCCGGTGTAGATGCTGACGGCCCGTGGCGGATACCCCACGCCAAACTCGAGCACCTTGATCCCAAAGGCCTTGGCCGACCAGAAGTGCCCCAGTTCGTGCACCACCACCAAGAGCAGCAACATCGGCACGAACGATGCCACCGCGATTATCCACGTATCCATAGCTTTGGGTCGCCAGGCCGGCTAATTCACCCCGCTGCTCGCGATCTCGGCAGCGCGCCGGTTGGCCCAGCGGTCTGCATCTAATATAGCATCCAAATTCGGCGATGGCTGAGGATTGTGTTCGCTGAGCACTCGGTCAACCAACCTGTAGATGTCGGTAAAACCAATGCTGCCGGACAGGAAGGCCTGCACCGCCACCTCATCTGCGGCGCTCAGCACGGCGGGCATTGTGCCCCCGGTCTTGCCGGCAGAGACCGCCAGGTCAAAACAGGGAAAACGCTTTGGCTCCAACGGTTCGAAGTCCAGCGACCACGGAGCCCCGATGTCCAAACGAGGTATCTCGTCGTTGGCAAAACGCTTGGGGTGGAACAGGGCGTACTGTATGGGCAAACGCATGCTCGGTGGCCCCAACTGAGCCTTCACCGATCCGTCGTCGAACTCCACCATGGAATGTATGGTGCTTTGGGGATGCACTACCACCGCGATGTCTTCCCACGGCACGGAGAACAGCCAACGCGATTCGATTACCTCAAAGGCCTTGTTCATGAGCGTGGCGGAATCGATGGTAATCTTGTCGCCCATTCGCCAGGTCGGGTGCCGGAGCGCCTGCTCGGGAGTGACCTTATCCAGTTCGTCCAGCGGCGTGCGCCGAAACGGTCCGCCGCTGGCGGTAATCATCAAACGCCGGATGTGGTTGTCTTCTCCCTGCAGGCACTGCCAGATAGCGCTGGGCTCGCTGTCCACCGGAAGGATGACTCCCCCGTATTCTGCTTCCGCTGCCTTCAGGATCTGACCGGCCATCACGATCGGTTCTTTGTTGGACAGCGCGACCTGCTTCCCCGCACGCAGGGCGCTCATCGTCGGGGCCAAGCCAACCGCGCCCATCAAGGCGACCATCACCTGGTCCACCTCCGGAAGACACGCCATCTCCGCCATCGGCAGTATCTTCGTGCCGTCCGGCATCTCCGCCGGAGGGTTAGAGCACCAAATGTAGTCAGGGGTGAACTCGGCTACTTGCTCGAGAAGCAGGGCGGTATTGTTGCCAGCCGCCAAACCGATCACTTCAAACTCTTGGCGGAACGCCCGGACAATGTCCAGGGTTTGACGCCCGATTGATCCGGTAGAGCCGAGTATAACTATGCGCCGCATGTATTCGCTTCCGGGTCAGTTTTTAGGGGGTACTCACGGCCGCCAGGACGTAAACCACTATTAAAGACGGGAGAATACTGTCCAAGCGATCCAACATCCCGCCGTGGCCGGGAAACAGATTGCCTGAGTCCTTGGCGTCCGCCAAGCGTTTGACCTTGGATTCCAACAGATCGCCGATCGGCGATACGACGCCTAAAATAACACCGATCGTCACCAGCTGCCAAATCTCCAATTTCAGCGGAAACAGCCCTCCAATCACCACCGCGGTTATCACCGCAGCCAGCATTCCTCCGGCGGTTCCTTCCCACGTCTTCCCCGGGCTGATGCTCGGGGCCATGCGATGCCTGCCGAAGAGCCGACCTGCGGCGTACGCGCCGGTGTCCGCGGCATACACGGTGAGGATCGCCAACAGCAGCCACCAGCAGCCGGTTTCCGTGAGAACGGCGGCCTCCTGTGCCAAATCAGGGCCGGTTATGTCAGGCAGGAGCCAAAACCCGCCATCGCCCGCCGGGATGTCGGGAGCGATTTCAAAGGGTTCACTGATCCCATCGTCTTCTATCGACGGGGGTAGCGATATGGAAGGTGCCTGGCTGTCTGCTTTCGCCCTCCATATCCTGGGCAGTCCGTCTATTCCGCGAAGCGCGGTAGCGCACGCCAACGCTCCTCCGATGTAGACCGGTGACAGGACCAAATAGCCCGCCGCGGCCACCGGGCGCTGCCCGTGCCATGCGGCGATCATCCACAACCCGGCCACGACCATACCGACGGCGCATATACCCAGAACTGCCCACCCGAAATCCGCCGGCCGCACCGCCAGTTCTCCGGCCAGCACCAACGCCACGGCCCATGCGCCACCCAACAGCACGGGTAGTGGCGTATCCTCTACTACGGGAAATGGCGTATCTTCGACGGGTAGTGGCGTATCCTCGATGCCATCGTCTTCCGGCGTCCGCGTGGAAGTGGGATACAGCCGATACGCCTCCCTCACCCCGATGATCGCAGCGACAACCGCCAGGACGGTGATCCACGGCGGGCCGAACCATACGCCTGCCAGCACTACGGGCACGCCCACCAGGGCAGTCAGAACCCGATGGAACAGCACCCGTCCTACGCTCCCGAAGGAATATCCTGGTTGTCCAGGGAGCCGTACCGCCTCTGCCGCTGACCGTAGGCGCTAAGAGCGCGATCCAGCTCTCCCGCATCCAGGTCCGGCCAAAGCACTGGTGTGTGGTAATACTCGCTGTAAGCGGCCTGCCAGATGAGGAAGTTGCTGAGCCGCTGCTCGCCGCCGGTACGTATGATCAGGTCCGGATCGGGGCAACCGTCGGTGTACAGGTACCGGCTGAACAGCGATTCGTTCACCGACTCGGGATCCACTCCGTCAGCCAACATCCGCCTCACTGCTTGCAGAATTTCGTACCGACCGCCGTAGTTGAAAGCGACGTTGACCGTGATACCCACATTCTGCTCGGTGGTGGCCTGAGCTCGCCGTATCGCATCCTGGAGTGCCGGATCCAGCGGGCGCGTGTCGCCCAAGTGGACCAACCTAACGCCTGCTTTGTGCAGTTCCCGGGTCTGCGGCTCGATCTCTTCCGCCAGAATTTCCATCAGACCGTCCACCTCATCGGTGGGTCGTCGCCAGTTTTCTGTTGAGAAGGCGTAGAGCGTAACTACCTTGACCCCACGCTTGGCTAACAACTCGACAATCCGGCGTATGTTGCTCACCCCGCGCCGATGCCCCGCTTTCCGCGGGAGACCCTGGCGCTCCGCCCAACGTCCATTGCCATCCATGATGATGGCCACATGGCCGGGTATCGGATCGCTTTCGGAGCCGGCATCGGTGGCCGGCAGGCAGCGGGTTGTGTCGGAAGAGTTAGACTGATGCGACATGAACAAATGGTAAATAGCGGGGAGCGGGCGCTCCCAAGTGGCTCTGATGCGACCCGGCGTTGTACTGACCCGGCGCTGTACCGAACGGTACGGCTGCATCCGCGCCGCACGGGAATGAATGTGTGAGACTGATTAAGGAGGGGTGCGGGCAAGTTTTTGCCCGCCTATCGGTTCTCATCAGGACGAGGCCCCGGATATGGCGGGCGTCGAACAGCGGGGTAGGGTCACGCTAGCGCGTGCCCATGAGTCTGAGCCTGGAGCTATACCTCCATGATCTCTGCTTCCTTCGTGGCGGCAACGTCGTCGATGGCCTTGATATGGGTGTCGGTGGTCTTTTGCAGCGAATCCTGGCTTCGTCGATTCTCATCCTGCGAAATCGACTTTCCCCGTTCCATCTTCCGCAGGGAGTCCACGCCTTCGCGCCGTACGTTGCGGACCGCCACCTTGCTGTCTTCCGCCTTGCGCTTCAACAACCGCACCATTTCCCGGCGACGTTCCTGGGTCAGAGGTGGTATGGGCACGGTGATCACGTTGCCGTCATTGGACGGGTTGAACCCCATTTCAGACTGGGTCAAGCCCCGCTCGATGTCACGCAAGGCCTGCCGGTCCCAAGGCTGAACCATGATTGCACGGGCGTCTGGGGCCGATATGGAAGCGATCTGCTTGAGCGGGGTCGGCGAGCCATAGTAGTCAACCAGCAAGTCTTCGACCAGTGCGGGTGTCGCGCGTCCCGTGCGAAGCGTGCTTATATCACGACGCATCGCTTCAATCGATTGCCCCATTTTGCGCTCCGCTTCAACCAGCACGGCCTCCATGTCCGGCCCATCCTGATCGCCGCCGTTGGCCCTATTGTTGCGATCCGGCATTTGGTCCCTCCTTTCCAGCTGAGCGTCGTGATACGGCAGTTCTCGTCTTACGATCCGTTGCGCCGGGAGCCGTCGTCGATGGTCGTTCCCACCACATCTCCTCGCAGAATGCGACCCATCGCGCCCCGCTCGAATATATCAAAGACTATGATCGGCATCTCGTTGTCCATGCAAAGCGTCATCGCCGTGGAGTCCATCACCTCCAGCCGGCGATTGACCGCATCCAGGTACTCCAGGTTGCCGAACCGCACTGCCTCGGGATTGGTCTTGGGATCAGAGTCGTAGACCCCGTCGACGCCGTTTTTCGCCATCAGCAACACCTCCGCTCCAACTTCAAGCGCCCGCAGAGCGGAAGCCGTGTCGGTGGACATGTAGGGATTGCCGGATCCGGCGCAAAACAGCACAACCCGCCCTTTTTCCAGGTGGCGGATGGCCCTACGGCGAATATATGGCTCGGCAACTGCCTGTATCGGCAATGCTGATTGAGTCCTCGTGATGATCCCCCGTCGCTCCAGGGCGTCCTGCAACGCCAGCCCGTTGATGATGGTCGCCACCATACCGGCGTAGTCCGCGGTGGACCGTTCCATTCCTCTCCGCTCGGCGGCAGAGCCACGCCAGATGTTGCCGCCACCAACCACAGCCGCCACTTCCACGCCCCTGGAGTGGGCATCGATGATTTGATCTGCGATATAAGAGACGGCTTCGGGATCAATGGCATCTGGACCCGATCCCTGTAAAGATTCGCCGCTGACCTTCAACAGGACGCGGCGATAGATCGTTTCACCCTGGACGCTGGCGGAAACCATTTGTCAAACCCGACGCAGCACCAACCCGAGAGGGATGCCGTTTACGCTTGGTTGGTTACTCCCCGAGCGCCAGCCTACGGAAGCTGACCACGCGGACATTTTCCCCGGTTTGCGCGGCCGTTTCCCGCACCAGATCCTCGAGGGTCCTCGAACCATCTTTGATGAACGGCTGTTGCATCAGGCACACCTGAGCGGCGGGGCGATCATCTCCTTCGTCCTGGTCTTCTTCGTTCAGGTATATCGGAGACATTGCCGCTACCTGCATGGCAATGTCGTGCGCCAACGAGCGGAACTCGTCGGTGCGCGCCACGAAGTCGGTCTCGCAGCCCAATTGCACCAACGCACCGACCCGACCGCCGGTGTGGATGTAAGACTCAACCAACCCTTGGGAGGTTTCGCGGTCGGCCCGTTTGGCCGCCTGCTCAAATCCCTTCTGCCGGAGCGCGGCCATGGCCTGCTCCAAATCTCCCTCGTTGTCTTCCAAGGCTCGCTTGCAATCACTGATGCCCGCGCCGGTCTGTTCGCGCAGGCTTTTTATCAGTTCAACGGTTACTGCAGGCAACTTTTGAGCCTCCTGTGGTTGATGCGATCGGGCGATTGATCAGGCTTGCCATTTACGGCTCGAGCGGCCGAGAGGACATCATCTGACCCAACTCTTCCAGCGTCACGGTGTTGCTGAAAGGCTTGGCGTCCTCTTCCTGACCCTCTTCGCCTGTCTCCGCGTCGGCTTGCGCGATTTGCAACGCCTCACGCTGTGCCTGGCCTTCTTCGATTGCCGATGCCATCCGTCCCGTAATCAGTCGAATGGAGCGCACCGCATCGTCATTGCCGGGCACTGCATGCGTAACTTGGCCCGGATCGCAGTCGGTATCAACGATCGCGTAAATGGGAATGTTCAGCCGGCGCGCCTCGGCGATGCAAATGTCCTCTTTGCCGATGTCAATGACGAAGAGCGCAGAGGGCAGCCGGTCCATGTTGCGAAGGCCGGTAAAATATTTTTCCAATTTGTCCAGGGTGTGCGTCAGACGCACCGTTTCCTTCTTGGGCAACCGCGCCAGATAGCCCGTGTCCCGCTGCTCTTGTAGGCGCTTCATGTGGTCGATGCGCCCCTTGATGGTCTGGAAGTTGGTCAGCGTACCGCCCAACCAGCGTTGGTTCACGTACCACTGATCGGTGCGCTCGGCCTCGGACGCGATAACATCCTGCGCCTGCTTCTTGGTACCGACGAAAAGGACCTTGCCACCGTTCGCGGCCAGCTCCACCATCGCTCGGTATGCGTCGGTGATCAGCCCCATGGTCTGCTGCAGGTCTATGATGTGAATCCCGTTGCGCTGTGTGAAAATATACCGGCGCATGCGCGGGTTCCACCGCCTAGTCTGGTGACCAAAGTGGACGCCGGCCTCCAGCAAAGATTTCATCGTGATCGGTTCCAGAGCGGGAGCCGCGTTCACCACACTCTCCGCCGGGCGTTCCGGGGCTTGTACCATAAGCTTTGTCCTCTCTCTTAGTCTGGCGCGAGATCGGTCGCGAGTATAGCACACGGCAAAAGCGAGCGGCAATCTGAAACGGTGCCACTGACTTGGCACTCGAGCCGGGCCGGCATTCAGTCTGCAACGCGTTTCCTTGCCTCTGCACGACACGATATGTACACTCGCGCCTAACCTCGACCATGCGGGAGGTAAAGCGAATGCCAGTATCCGACGAAACGCTGAGGCGCATAGTGGCCGAATACGGCGGGTTCGAGTTGTCCGACGCCGAATTGGCGCTGATCAAACCGGAGTTGGAGAGCTACCTGTCCGAACTCCAGAACCTGCGCGATCTCGACCTGTCCGATGTCCCGTCCGCGCGGCTCCTCCGGGCCGCGGAAGGAGCGGAAGCTGATGCCTGATTCCGACCTGCTCAAGCTGACCATTTCCGAAGTCGCACCTCTGATACGGGCAAGGGAGGTATCTCCCGTTGACCTTGCCGAGGCCGCACTTGCCGAGGCCGAGCGCCGCCAACCCACACTCAACTCCTTCATAACCATCATGCGGGAGCAAGCCCTCGCCCAGGCCGAAGAAGCCGAGGAATCCCTGTCCCGGGGCGAGTACCTGGGCCCGCTGCACGGCATACCGATCGGCATCAAGGACAACATCGCCACGGGCGGTATCACCACCACGGTAGGAACCAAGGTGTTACGGGACCACGTTCCCGACGAAGATGCCGAGGTCGTTCGCCGTTGCAAGGCTGCCGGCGCCATCATCATCGGCAAAGAAAACCTGGAGGAGTTTGCCGCCGGGGCGACCTCCAACAACCCGCATTACGGCGCGGTGCACAACCCCTGGAACGTCGACCACATTCCCGGAGGCTCCAGCGGAGGCGGAGGCGCCAACGTGGCTGCCGGCGTCACCTTCGCGTCCCTGGGAACCGATCTGGGCGGGTCAGTGCGCCTGCCGGGCGCGTTCTGCGGTGTCGTTGGGCTCAAGCAGACCTTCGGAAGAGTCAGCCAACGCGGCCTGTTGGTGACCAGTTTCAACGGTGACCACATTGGCCCCATGACCCGTTCCGTCCGGGATAGCGCGCTCGTTCTGCAGGCCATCGCCGGCTATGACCCCCTGGAACCCAGCACCGTGCCGGTCCCAGTGGATGATTACGCGCTTATCATGGAACGCGGTGTCAGTGGGCTCACCATGGGCATCCCGTCCAACTACTACTTCGACCTCCTCGATCCCGAGGTTGAGGAAGCCGTTCGGCGCGCCATAGCCGCCCTGGAAGAGCTGGGCGTCGCAACCCGCGAGGTGAGCGTTCCCAGTATGCAGTACGCCGGCGCGTTGCGCTTTTCCAGCATGGCCGACAGCGTGGTAACCCACGAGCCGTATATCGCTTCCAGCCGCGAGGACTACGGGCCCGACACTCTATACCGCACCCTGGCCGGCCAGTTCGTGCTGGGCCGGGACTACTCCAAGGCCATGAAGGTCCAGCGCATCATCAAGGAGGAGCACGCCCGCGTCCTTCAGGATGTGGACTTCCTCGTTACTCCCACCACGCCTCTGCCCGCGCCCCGCATCGACGCTGATACCATCGACGTGGAAGGACGGCGTCAGAAGGTGCGCGGCCCCGGCTCCGGCCACGTCTCCCGCAACACCAGCCCGATGAACGCGACTGGCTTCCCGGCCATCACCGTGCCGTGCGGCTTCAGCGGACTGGGACTGCCCATAGGTCTCCAGTTCATAGCCCGCCCGTGGGAGGAGGGAAACCTTTTCCGCATCGCCAACGCCTACGAGAGCGTCTCTCCCAGCCGGGGCGTGTCGCCTAATTTGGAGTGACGACGCTTAAACCTTCGTCGTAGAGGAGCAATCCCATGGAATACCGGCGTTTTGGACCCACCGACATGACCGTTTCGGTTTTGGGATTCGGCTGCTGGGAAATGGGGGGCACCTACGGTGACGTTGACGGCAGCGAACTCTACGCCGCCGTCAACCGTGCCGTCGACCTCGGCATCAACTGCTTCGACACCGCACCGGCCTACGGCAGAGGGGAGTCGGAGATAGTGCTGGGCAGGGCGTTGGGTGATCGGCGCAAGGACGTTATCGTCGTCACCAAGTGCGGTGTGGGCTACGCAGATCGGCCCAAGGGTCGCGACAGCCGCATGGTGTCCGTCTTCGCATCCGTCGAGCAAAGCCTGCAGAACCTGGGAACCGATTATCTGGACGTGTTGCTCATCCACTGGCCGGACGTGAACACGCCCTTTGACGAGACCATGCACGCGCTGGACAGCCTCGTGCGTCAGGGCAAGGTCCGCGCGGTCGGCGTTTCCAATTTCACCCTGGACCAGATCAATGAATGCGAGGATGTCCGCAGCGTGGACATCGTCCAATATGGCCTGAACATGTTCGACCGGCGCATGGAACAGGAAATATTTCCGCACTGCCTCGATCAGGGAACCGGCGTCATGGTATATGGCCCCCTGGCGTTCGGTCTGCTGACCGGCGCGATGTCGGCGGACACAACCTTCGGCAACAACGACTGGCGGGCCACCGGCGGTAGACCCGGCTGGAACGTGGGCGTGTTTGCCGAGGAGCACTTCCAGCGCAACCTCCAGGTCGTCGAGGAACTCAAGCCCATTGCCCAAGCCAGGGGCAAAAAGATGCCTCACCTCGCCCTACGTTGGGTATTGTCAAACCCGGCCGTCAGCGTAGCGCTCGTTGGCACCCGCACCGTGCGGGAGGTGGAGGAAAACGTCGCCGGTCTGGAATGGGCGCTGTCCGGCGCAGATCTGGAGCAAATCGACGCAGTGTTCCAACGGTACGGTGTCGACACCCACCCCGAGATAGTGATCGACCCGGACGAATAGGTCCGGGTCGATCGTTGGTCATTGGTGACCCGAGGTGATCAGCGCTGGATTACCCGGCCGCGATCCAGTCGACCACTCGCTCCGCCACCATGATCACCGTGGGGTGAATTCCGCCTGAGCGGGGGACCCGCGGCATTACCGAGGCGTCCGTCACCCAAAGCCCCTCGACACCACGCACCCGGCAATACTGGTCGACCACCGCCATGGCGTCACCGTCCGGCCCCATGCGGCAGGTGCCGGAAACGTGGCGCGCCGTGCCAGCCGTTTGCCGTGCCCACAGGTCCAGGGCGCCGTCGTCGTTCAGGATGTCATCCGGCGGGTTGATGCGGAAATCGTACACGTCCTTGAAGGCGTCAGATTCCAACATCCGAGCGCCGAAGCGAATGCCTTCCCGAATCCTTCGGGCGTCATTGGGATGCTGCAGATACTGATAGTTGAACTCCGGCTGCACGTCAGGGTCGGATGACTGCAACTGAACAAACCCCGAACCGTCCGGCAGGCCCAGCGTGCAGGAGATCCGCGCCGCCCGGTCCGCTGGCACGTCCCCCGTGTTGTACCGCGTTCGCACGCCCGCAACCTTCTCCTCACGTTCGTCCACCACCGTGCTGGACCGCAGAACCATATCGTTGGTATAGCCGGAGCCGCTGGCGGAGTAGTGCAGTCCGAAGTGAGGCGCGTCGAGATCCCCGGTCAGCGTTTTGCCATCCTTCACCTTGTATGTGATGTGCACACTCAGGTGGTTCCATAGACCCTGGCCAACTCCCGGGCTGTCGTGGATCACGGGGATCCCGATCTGCTGCAGGTGATCCCTGGGGCCCACGCCGGATAGCATCAACAGTTGTGGCGACCGGATGGCCCCGCTGCTGAGCACGACCCTATTCGCGCCAACGGTGAAAATTTCGCCACCGCTCTCCGCCTCGACGCCGACGGCGTTGTTGCCCTCGAACAGGACCCGCCGGACGTACACGTTACCCCGAACGGTCAGGTTGAGCCGGTGCCGCATCGGGTTGAGGTGCGTCATGGCCGCGCTCATCCGTATGCCGCCCAGATTGTTGGTGGGAGACACGCCTACGCCCGTCGGGTTGGGTCCGTTGGTGTCCTCCACGGCCGGGTAGCCTTCGGCCAGGCAGGCATCGTGAAAAGCCTTCTGGATGTCCGCCCACGTGCCGGATACCCGGCGGCGCACCGGCATTGGACCGTCGGAACCGTGGTAATCGTCCTGGATGTCCAGATCGTTCTCCATCTTCCGATAGAAGGGTAGGACCCTGTCGTAGGACCACTCGTCATTGCCCATTGCGGCCCAGTTGTCGAAGTCCTCCGGGAAACCCCGCTGCATCGCCTGGCCGTTGATGGAAGAGCCGCCGCCAATCACCTTGCCCTGGGCGACGTGGATCTCGCCCTGCTCAGCGGTGATGGTGCCCCGCAGCGCCCAGTTGTGAACCGAATCCTGGGCTTCGGCGTATCTGGTGCCGCCGAACTTGACATCGTCCGGCAAGACCGCCGGGTCCGGATAGTCGTTGCCGGCTTCCAGCAACAGCACCGAGGTGTTCGCATCCTCAGCCAGCCGGCTCGCCAGAGTGGAGCCGGCCGCGCCGCCTCCAACCACGATAACGTCGTACTTCATGCGTCCTCCCGGGGCTATCATTTCCCCATGCCGAATTGATAGTTTAGACTGGGATTATATCGGAAAACCGCCCCCGCCAATTGCGGCCGTCATCAAGTAGCCAATCAGGGGAGCCATCATGTCAGAACCAACGCAAGACCAAAACCTGCACCTCCCCAGCCTGGTCATCAAAAACTTCCGCGGCATCGACGAGCTGACGATACCGCGGCTCGGCCGCGTAACCCTTCTTGCCGGGAAGAACGGTGTGGGTAAGACGACGGTGCTTGATTCTATCAAAGCATACGCAGCCCTCGGTCGCGCAAATGTTCTCGCTAGCATACTGCGCAACCGTGAAGAAGTCCGACGCTTCACTGACGAAGACGGCGCGGGGATGATGACCAGCGATTGGAGTGCCATGTTTTACGGCCGTGAAATGCCGGCCGGACATAGCATTAGGATCGGACCAACGGACAACGGACCGGATTTAACCGTTAGTTGCTTGTGGACATCTCGCAGAGAATCAGGAATGTTCCAACCTTCCCTGTTCCCCGAAGACGAGGTGCTGGTCCTTAGAATTGAATTCGGCGGACAGCAGCAGCGCGACATTCCCATCGACTATCCAATAGACGGCATGCGTCGTCAACGGGCCGCGACTCTGGCACCTGAACTGCACACGGAGACCGTGTGCGAGACTTTAGGTCCGGGACTTCCCCGCAACTCAGATTTGGCCCGTTATTGGGACGAAGTTGTGCTGACCGACGACGAATCTCTGGCAATGGAGGCACTAAATTTAGTGCTTGATGCTGCGGTCGAAGGAATAGCGGTGATAGGCGATCCACCCCGACGGGACTCTGTTCGTGGCCGACGAGTCGTAGTCAAGATAGCTGGCCAAGCGATGCCCGTGCCTCTACAGAGTTTAGGCGATGGCGCGGTCCGCCTTTTCGGAGTGGCTTTGGCGCTTGCAAACAGTCGGGACGGTTTTCTAGTGATTGATGAAACAGAGAATGGGATACACCATTCGGTCCAGCGCGATTTCTGGAAAATGGTAATGCAAACGGCGCACGAAAATAATGTGCAAGTTTTAGCTACCACACACGGCTGGGATAGCGTGGTGGGTTTCGCCCAGGCAGCCAACGAGCTGGAGGATGTGGAAGGCGTACTGTATCGCATCCAACGAAACGGCGAGCAGCTTCGGGCCGTGGAGTATTCGGAGGAGACCCTCAGAGCTGCGGCCAAACACGGTATTGAGGTGAGATGACTTAAATGGCTCGCATCGAATCTGATGAAACGGAACCTCAACTCCTGTTGGTCGAAGGACGAAACGACAAGCACGTGGTTTGGCAGATTTGTAACCGCAATCCGGAACTTCCTGATTTTTTCATATCGGACCGTGGCAACATCAACGCTGTTTTGGAGTCGATTGGCCCGGAGTTCTTGGCGCCGGGGAGACAGGCTTTGGGAATATTGGTTGACACGGACGATCATCCTCGAGCGCGTTGGGACGAGATAGCTCATCAACTACGTACTTACGGCGTTCAACCTCCTGCCGCCCCGGATCCGACCGGGACAGTTATCCCAGGAGCCGAAAGGCGCGTCGGCGTATGGTTGATGCCAGACAATACTCTTGCCGGCGAGATCGAAGAATTCGTCGCAGGAATGATCCCACGAGACGACCCGGTTTGGCCGTTGTCTCAACAGTACATAGATAGCATCTCGGACGATGACCGCAAGTTCGCTCCTGGCAAAACCCTTCGCGCCCAACTCTACGCTTGGCTTGCAACCCGGGAAGATCCCAGGCTCATGGGCCAGGCTATTGGCACCCGCGACCTGGAGATCAACGGCCTCCTCTGCCAGCGCTTCGTCACCTGGCTCAATCGCCTCTTCAGCTGACCGCCGCGCGCACGGTGGTCGAGAGCCGTCGCCCCGTGTGTTATCATCCCGCCATTCTTGTCGTTCGCCTGCGCCGGCCCGGCCGGAGGTTCCAATGCTGTACCAACGCTATCGCTATTCCCAGTGGGATGGCACCCAGCAGATTTTCGACGTGGATGCCAGCGAGGTGATGGACGCACTCTCTGACGACCTCCTGCAGCACGGCGATCTCGCCCGGGCACTGCGCGACCTGTTCCGCAACGGCATGCAGAACCGCGACGGCGCCCAAATGCCCAACCTGCGCCAACTCATGGAACAGCTCAAGCAGCAGCGTCGCCAGCAGCTCCAGCAAAGCAACCTCGATTCCGTGGTCGATGACCTCAAGGAACGGATGGACGAGATCCTCCGCACCGAACGCGAGGGTATTCAACGCCGGCTGGACGAGGCTGCCGGTCAACCCGAGCCCGACGACATGGAAGGCAAGGAGCAGCAACGCGCCCTGAACCGGCTGCTTCAGGATCGCGCCCAACGCAACCTGGACCGGCTGAACGACTTGCCCGACGGCCTGGGCGGGCAAATCCAGGAGTTGATGGAATACGACTTCATGGACCCGGACGCCCAGCAGATGTTCCAGGAACTGCTGGATATGCTCAAGGGCCAGATGGCCCAGAACGTATCCCAGCAGATGCAGGATCAGATGCAGAACATGAGCCCCGGAGCAGATGGAGGCGATGCGTCAGATGATGCAGGACCTCAACCAGATGCTCCGCGACCGCATGGAGGGCCGAGACCCCAACTTCGAGGGTTTCATGCAGAAATGGGGTCCCATGTTCGGCGATGACCCGCCCCAGAGCCTGGACGAGCTCATGGAGCGCATCCAGCAGCAGATGGCGCAGATGCAGTCGCTCATGGACAGCCTGTCCCCCGACATGCGCCGCGAACTGGAAGACGCCATGCAGTCGGCCATGGACCCACGCCTGATGGACGAAATGTCCGAGTTCGCCAGCCTGATGCAATCGCTGATGCCGCCGGACGAACTGGCGCGGCAGTATCCGTTCCTCGGCGACGACAGCATGACGCTGGAGCAGGCCATGGAAGCGATGCGGCAGATGCAGGATCTGGACCAACTGGAACAATCCTTGCAACAGGCCATGCGCAGCGGCAACCTTGACGACGTTGACCCGGAACAACTCGCCGAGCTATTGGGCGAAGAGGCCCGCCGCGCTTGGGAAGAACTGGACCGTCTCCGGCAGTTGCTGAAAGACGCCGGCTATATCACCGACGACGACAATCTCAGCTTGACCGCCCGTGGCATCCGGCGCATCGGTCAAAAGGCCATGCGCGAGGTGTTCCAGCACCTCAAGAAAGACCGCATCGGCAACCACGACCTCAATACTCGGGGGGCCGGAGGCGACCTGCTGGGCGATACCAAGACCTACGAGTTCGGCGACCCTCTACAATTGGACCTCCAAACCACCGTGAAGAATGCCATCGTCCGCGGTGGCCCGCAGGTGCCGGTCAAACTGCGTCCCGACGACTTTGAGATCTACCGCAGCGAGCACATGACTCGATCGGCTACCATCGTCCTGCTGGACCAAAGCCGCTCCATGGGTCTGTTCAACAACTGGGCGGCGGCCAAGAAGGTCACCCTCGCCCTGTTCGCCCTCATCCGGCAGCAATACCCCAGAGACACGCTGCATGTGGTGGGGTTTTCCGACTACGCCCGCGAGTTGGAAGAAAAAGACCTGGCCGGTCTAACCTGGAACAACTGGGTGTCCGGCACCAACCTGCACCACGCTCTGATGCTGTCACGTAAGCTGCTGTCACGTGAAAAGGGCGGCACTCGCCAGATACTGGTCATCACTGACGGCGAGCCTACCGCCCACTTGGAAGGCGAGCAGGCCTACTTCTCGTATCCGCCCAGCTACCGCACCGAGCTCGAAACCCTCAAAGAGGTGCGCCGGTGCACGCAGGAAGGGATCGTCATCAACACGTTCATGCTGGAAAACAGCTACCAGTTGGTCAACTTCGTGGACCGGATGACCAAGATCAATCGCGGCCGGGCCTTCTACAGCAGCAGCGAAAACTTGGGCGAATACGTCCTGGTCGATTACATCACCAACCGCCGCAAGCGGGTTACCGGCTGATCCGTGACTGCTCACGCGTACAGAGTTTATCGTTGCGGAGAGTGAGGCGACGTGGCGCTCCTGCAGCCTGAGCGACAACTCCAGCGACCACGCTGTCACGCCCCGGTTGCGATGACTGTTCGAATGGAAACTGGCCCGAGGTGATGTTTCGGACCCGCCCCTACTCGGTGGTGTCGCCGGTGGTCGCAGTCGCTGGGCTCGGCCCGGCGTACCGGGCCATAAAGCCCTTGATGGCGTTGAAATACTGCTGGAATCCCACGTACATCAGGTCGTTGTGGCCCGCGCCCGGTATGATCTCCAAGTGTTTGTGGGCGGTCTCGAGCTTGTTGAACATGTCCACCGCGTCGGCCAGCGGCGCCGACTCGTCCCACTGGCCATGGATCACCAGCGTGGGAATGTCGATGGAATAGAACTTGGCCTGGTAGTCGTCCTCCAGCGCTTGTACCACCTCCGCCTCCAGCCCCTCAGCTATCCGTCCCAGGTTAGGCCGTCCGCTCTCTATGATTACGCCGTTGATCCGGTCGGCGGCAGTTATGGCAAGCTCCCCGGCGGAGTGACGTCCCATGGAGCGCCCCATGACGTACAGCGGGCCCGTGAACCGCAGCGCCTGCATCGTCTCTCGCAGCCAGTCCAGCACCTGGTGCGCGTCCGACAGTATGCTGTTGAAACTCGGTGACCCGCTGGACGCGCCGAAGCCTCGATAGTCGGCGACTAAAAAGTTCGCGCCGATTTCATTGTAGTGCGGCGCGATCTCATCGTAACGGGCGACGTTCTCCCCGCCACCGTAGAAAAACAGCACCGTGGGGTTGTCCCGCCCAACCGCGAAGAATCGGCTCGACAGGACGGTCCCGTCAGCGACGGTAATCCCGTAGTCCACCGCCCCCGGGGGCGTATCGGCCCAGCCCCGCAAGGGGTGGAACGAACGGGCCGACGCCTCTGGGTTGTCCAGCACGGAGTAATCAACGGCAGTCATGGCGGGCCCCCTCAGCAGAAGTGGGCCGCATTATACTGTCGTGCGGGCCACAGCCGCAGCATCGACGGGGCCACCGTTGGCTCAACTCCAGGCCTCGGCCGCTATGGAGATGGCGTTCAACGCCGCCGGATAGCCCGCGTATCCTCCGGTCTGGATCAGCACCTCCACTATTTCCTGCTTGGAGAAGCCCACCCGAGGTCCGGCACGCAGGAAGTTACGCAACTGGGCATCGGCCTTCAGCGCCGCCAGCGCGGCCGTGGTGCACACCACCCGGGATTTCAGGTCCAGTCCAGGGCGGAAGAATATCTCCCCAAACCCGTACTGGTAGGTGAGAACCCGCAGGTCCGGCGCAAGGTCCTCTAGCGCGCTGGCGTAACCCTGCTGCCCCTCGGCGCCGAAGAGCTGTTCCCGGAGCTGGCGCCCTCGCGCCTCCATCTCCTCAAGGCTGAGCTCGGGCACCTCGGTCTGCGGCGCCTCGATGCCCCTCTCACCGAAGGCCTCATGAACCAGTTCCAGGGAGTTGACCGCCGAGGGGAACCCAGCGTAGAGGGAGCAGTGGATGGGTACTTCCTGGATCTCCTCCGCGCTCAATCCCAGGTTCAGCGCACTGTGGACGTAGGTCTGAAACTGCGAAAGGCGCTGGAGCGAGGACAGTACGGACAGGGTCGCAAGCATCCGGTAGCGGATGTCCAGGCCCGGACGCGCCCACACCGCACCGAAGATAGACTCCCCGGTATAGTTTCTCAGTCCGGGGATACTGGTCGTCGCCCGGGGACGCTCGCGCACGGGATAGGTGCCGTGTTGCAGGCGTTCCCGTATCTCATTGCCCTTGCGCCTAAGTTCCTCACGATCATTCATTGCTTAACTCCAGTTTGTGTTTTGAAACTATCTCAAAACTGACGTCCCAAACAACCCGCAGTTCCCGCGCAGGAGGGACTCCACGACTCGCGCGGTCTGCGATAAGACTTATGGTCAGCATGACGGGTTTTGGGGTGGTTTCCAAGGGATTCCAGTCGGCTTCGTCGCAGTCCACATTCTACCTGCACGTCGGTGCCGCAGGCTCCTACCAAAATCACGCCATACCCGGAAACCCCCGATCATTCGTCGGCTTGGGCACCTATGGGACCGAACCCCTGCGAGCCTTCCCGATCGGCTATGTTTTGGCCAGAAAACTTTTTGCCGCCAGTATTGGCGGCAAAAAGGCGGCAATCAACAACCATCTCCATCAATGGCATTTGCGACGTTTTCGGCCAAATCCTTCTGCCATCCTGGCAGCACATGGCCATAGAGTTCCAGAGTGGTGCTGACCTTGCTGTGTCCCATCCGTCTGGACACAACCACCAGGTTGCTCCCTTCATCCAGCGCGATGGTCGGGTGAAAATGCCTCAGCTTGTGGTCGGAGGCTTGTTCGATCGTCGGGCTGAACCGTACGGATACTTGGGCGTCGTACGCCCTGATCTCGCGTTCGGTGATCTCCCGCGTTTGGAGGAAGGCCCGACAGGCCAGTCCATAGACTTCGTCACGGTCCCCCTGGGATGTGAGGTCCGAGGAACGGCTGGGATGACCAACGAATTCATCGGCCTCCAAATCCAGATCGTCCGCTGCCTCGATCAGGGCATTCAGGTAAGCGACCCTCTCCACCCCGTCCGGGGCACTTTCCTCCATGTGGCGGAGGCAATGCCTTACTCCCCGCAGGTTAGCCTGACAACGGAAGCAGTGCTGATACCACTCGACGGCCTGTTGCCATTCCGCGAAATCTTCTGGATCTTCGAAGACGTTCCACTCTCCCTCGACCGCTTGCCGCAACCGCTCCCGCAACTCGCCGTGGTGGGAGAGTATCCGGGTGAGCAGCTCAAACCGTTGGGACTCGGCAAGGTCAGCGTTGGCCCGCTCACGGGTGCCCGGCAGGAAGTCGACCAAGTCGGAGATTTCAGCATCGCACTCGTTGGCGCAACCCAATGCCGCCAGCACCGCCAGCGAGTTGGTTGGCGCGGTCATGAATGCCTCCGCGATGTCCATCAAGGCGGAGGCCTGCTCAAGGCGGACCTCCACGCGGGCGATCGTCGAATGTAGATCGAGGAGGAGGCTGGGCTCTCCAGAGCCGGTATCGGTATCTCGCCGGATGTCATCACCTCTGTGATCCTGTGTCGTCAACCTTAGCCTCGCAGGTGATGGTCAGCCGATGGCAGCGTGACAATTGATCCTGGTCGGCGCCGTCCAGCGATTTGAGCGCCACTGGCACCATGGCAATCCAACTCACAGTATGCCCGCAGCCGCCACGCGTTTCAACGCAGACGAGGGGATGTAACTGTGCAGAGTTGGTGAGGTGAATTGGGAGTACTTGGTTTGCGGATGGATGGTGCAGCGAGGGGCGGTTATGTCATATAACTGGGGTGGATACCGAAATTGATCTCAGGACAGCCGACCGGGACGTTCTCATTGGCGTCATCGTCAAGCAACAGGCGGTCATCGAACGGCAGCAGGCCATCGTTGAACGTCTGGAGAAACGGGTTGTCCAGTGGGAAGGGCAAGCCAAACCCAGCGGCTCCGGTCGGATGCCCGGTCTGAAGCCCCAAGCCGACCGGAAGCCAGCACGCCCCAAGGGGCCGCGCAAACCCCGACCCCACGGCTTTGCCCGAACCCGCATGACGCCCACTCACCGAGTGGAGCACGCGCCGAGTGGAGCAATGTCCCGACGGTGAAACCCGCCTGTCCGGTGGTTGGGTCCAGCGCACCCGGGAGATCATCGATCTGCCTCAGGTTCCGGTACAGGTAACCGAGCACGTCGATATCGCTCGCACCTGTTCCCTCTGTCGACGGCGCTGGGCGCCCCGGGCGGCAACGGACGGCGTGGCGTTGGGTCAGCAGCGATTGGGAGTGAACGTCGTGAGCCTGATCGCCACCCTGCGGGAGGAGGCCAGGCTGCCGTTACGCACCATCCAACGGTACCTGGACACCGTGCACGGGCTGCACCTCAGCCGGGGCGCCATCGTGGATGCCATACGCAAAGTGGCTGGTCAAGCCCAAGGAATGGTGGCAGACATACTGGAACAGGTCCGGGCTAGCCCAGTGGTCCATGCCGATGAGACCGGCTGGCGGGAGGACGGACACAACGGCTACCTGTGGACTTTTAGCACCCCAGACCAGCGGTACTTCCTGCGGCGTGGTCGAGGCAAGGCCGTGGTGGATGAGGTCCTGGGCGACGAATTCGCCGGCGTGCTGGTCAGCGACTTCTATGCTGCCTACCACCATTGCCGCCTACCACCATTACGACGGCCCCAGCAACGCTGCTGGGCCCACCTGCTGCGCGACATCCACGACCTGCGAGCACGCTACCCAAATGATGGACCACTGGCCCAGTGGGCTGACGCCGTCCACCAACTCTACCGCCAGGCCACGACCTTTACTCTCCCCGCAGAGAAACGACGCCACACCGCCAAGCTGGCCCTGGAAAGACGACTGCTGGCCCTCTGCCGTCTCTTTCCAGGATGACCCGTCGGCCGTCCCGGCCAGGCTGTGCCGTCGCATTGAGAACCACATCAAGGAACTCTTCGTCTTCGTGGCCCAACCGGAAGTGCCGCCGGATAACAACACCGCCGAGCGCAGCCGGCACCAGGTGGTGGTCAGCCGCAAGGTCAGTGGGGGCACCCGCTCAGCCCAGGGCACCGACACCAAGATGACGCTGGCCTCAATCTTCGGCACCTGGCGGGCTCAAGGTCTCAACTCCCTCGTCGCCTGCCGCCAACTAATCGCTTCCCCTCAACTCTGAACTGTTACGAGCACTGCAGCCCATCACCCATGCTTCTCATCCCCTGCGTTACCAGCCCGCTGGCGTCCTTTCGGTGGATTTGGGCCAAGGCGAGAAGACGACGCAGCTCCAACTCTTCGGCATCAGGTACTCCCATGGATTGAGTTCGGTCAGCGTCCAGCAAGTACTACACCGCTCAGGGATATCCCGGTAAACCACGGTCGACATTCATTCTGGGCGCCGGCTGGCTCGGTACGTGGAGCTGAAACCGCCAGCGGTAGCCCGTTTTGATACCTTGTTTAGCTCGCACAACCCTCATTACGTAAACGGCCCCGTACAGAAGTTGCCCCCGCCAATGCCATTACGATTGCCCCACGCCACAGTGAATATTCGATTGCTCCGGCCCACTGGACCTCAACGCATCAGCGCCTTTACGCTGTCCTGAGCGCCACTCAGAGCCCCCGGCCAAGGCTCTGGCCAGCAACTCAGCCGTCTCGAGAACTCCGCTCTGCGCTACCCCAGGGAGGACAGCCACTGCGCAATGGCCTGTCCAATCTCAGCCGGCGCGTCCTCCTGAATGAAATGGAATCCTGGCGCGGTTACTTCCCGTTGGTTGGGCCAACTCCGGCAAAACTCCCGCTGCGTGCCGGTCGGAATGGTCCCCGGGTCGGCGTTGATGAATAGCTAGGGAACGTCGCTGACGCTGAGCCAACCGGCGTAGTCGTCCACGATCGCCACCGCGTCGGCGGGCTCGCCGTCCAGCGGTATCTGGCGTGGCCGGGTCAGCGTCGGCCGCCGGGACTCCCCAACTTCAGGGTAGGGTCGACGATACACCTCCATGTCCGCTTCGCCCAGACCCCGCATTACGCTGGCCGGCAGGATGCGTTCCACGAACACGTTCTTCTCCAGGATGATGTCCTCACCCGCCGGAGAGCGCATCGACTGGAACAGCGCCCGGGAGCGCTCCGGCCATTCATCCCACGCCAGCGGTCGGACGATGGCTTCCATGCAGTCGATGCCCCTGACCCGGCTCTGGTGGCGCAAGGCCCAGTGGAACGCCAGGGTTACCCTTTTGGTCAGCTCCAAGACCTAAACCAGGCGTCCGGATAACGGGCGTGATCGACAAAACGGTAGGAGCCGGACGGGGACTTTCCCGACTCGCCCATTCCCAGCAGGTCGAGGGCCAGGCACCGCGCAATCGTTTCCACATGCGGCATGACGTTTCGCCACAAGTAGGATGAGGTTGGGTTCCCGTGCAGGTAAACCACCGGGTCTCCCTCGCCGGTATCCACGGTTGCCATCTCCACATCCAGGGCCGGCACCGGGCATCTCGCGTAGCGGTCTATGGCAGAAATGGAATGCTGAGGCGTGGTTCACGGTCCCCATGGTCTGTGGGATCAATGTTATCAGGCTGACCCGGGCAGGTGCGGCGCGGATCAGCGAGGCGGTTGCCGAGGCCGTCGTTTCGTAGGAGTGCCGATGGCGGCAGGAAAATGCACCGGGAGCGGGCGGGGGCTCATCGCCCGGAACCTGGATGCGTTGGTCCACACCTCCGTCTCATCCAGCGCCAGGCGACTCAACTTCATCATCCCCGCTCGCTGGCACAACCGCGTTTTTCGCGACCCTCATTAGCCATTCCCAGATTACGCATTACGTCGACAGCATTCCCATCTCCGGATCTCTCGCGCCAAGCCGTTACTGATGCCAGACTGCCTCCGGCGCCGGATGCGCCGTCCGGTTTTGCGAGACGGTATAGATCGAGCACAACAGACCCATCACGTCAATCCAAGCACAAACTGTACTTTGGCTTCCGGGACAGCGGCGTGTATGCTCGTGCCGCCCCAGTGGCCACGGCAACGGGTTGACCCGACGGCTTCTTTAACGAAGCTGATCCCTCCCCGGGTCGAATATGGTAGCCTCCGAACCTGTGTGAAGTTGCTACCCACACTATCGGGACGGTTGAGGATCCAAAAGTGACGACCATGATGGACAGCGAGATCCCCCAGATTGCCCGCGAGCTTCAATTGACCGAAGGGCAGGTTGAGGCCACGGTTGGTTTGCTGGACGACGGCGGCACGGTGCCCTTCATTGCACGGTACCGCAAGGAGAATACCGGCAGCCTTGACGAGGTGGCGATCACAGGCATTCGGGACCGGTTGGCGCAGCTGCGAGAACTCAGGGACCGACGGGAGGCCATCCTGGCTTCCCTGGACAAGCGGGGTCTGCTCAGCGAGGAATTGCGGAAGGCCGTTCTATCTGCCGAAACCATGGCAGTCCTGGAGGATACCTACCTGCCCCACCGGCCCAAGCGGCGTACCCGCGCGGCCATCGCCAGGGAAAGAGGGCTGGAACCCCTGGCGTTGCGCCTCTGGGGTCAGGACGATTTTGACGTCACCCGGGCTGCTGATGAGTACGTCAACCCCCAAGCGGGCGTGGCAAACGCCAGCGAGGCCCTGAATGGAGCCCGGGACATAATCGGCGAGTGGGTCAGCGAGGACCCCACCGCGCGGAAGGAAATCCGGGAGCTGTTCTGGTCGCAGGGCGCCATTTCCGCCGCGGTGGCCTCGGGCAAAGAATCGGCAGCGATCAAGTACCGGGATTACTTTGCCTGGCAGGAACCGGTTGCCAGCGCGCCTTCCCACCGGATCCTGGCCATGCTCCGGGGCGAGAAGGAAACATTGCTTTCGGTCCGCATCGCGCCGCCGGTATCGGCGGCAACCGCGATCCTGGAGCGGATCTTCGTCGGAGCAGAAACGGAGGCCGCCGTGCAGATCCGGCTGGCCATTCGGGATCGATACCGACCGTTGCTGGAATCCCCAATGGAAAGGGAGGTCCGCAAAGCAGCGAGAGTTCGTGCCGAGGACACCGCCACCGGGGTATTCGCCGACAATCTCCGCGAGTTGCTGCTGGCGCCGGCCCTCGGCCAGAAGAACACCCTGGCCCTGGATCCCGGGTTTCGCTCCGGTTGCAAGTTGGTGTGCCTGGACCAGCAGAGCCATCTGCTGCACCACGACACCGTCTATCCGTTGCTCGGGGAACGGGGCGAGGCGGAAGCCGCCGCGAAAATACTCCTCCTGTGCCGTCAGTACCAAATCGAGGCCATCGCCGTGGGCAATGGCACCGGCGGCCGCGAGACCGAAGCCTTTCTGAGGACCCTGGGGTTGGACCCCAAGATCGCGGTGGTCATGGTCAACGAGAGCGGGGCCTCGGTCTACTCAGCGTCGGAGGCGGCGCGAGCCGAATTCCCGGATCAGGACATCACCGTCCGGGGAGCGGTCTCCATCGGTCGCCGGCTCATGGACCCCTTGGCCGAACTGGTCAAGATCGATCCCAAGTCCATCGGTGTGGGCCAGTACCAGCACGACGTTGATCAAAAGGCTCTGAAGGAACGCCTGGACGATGTGGTGATCAGTTGCGTCAACCAGGTGGGGGTGGAACTGAACACCGCCAGCCCAGAGTTGCTGTCATACGTTTCCGGCCTGGGACCCCGTTTGGCCAATGCCATCGTGGAGTACCGGAACCGCAACGGCCCTTTTGCCTCCCGGGATTCCCTGAAGAAAGTGCCGCGCCTCGGCCCCAAGGCTTTTGAACAGGCGGCCGGGTTTTTGCGCATCAGAGCGGGCGCCCAGCCACTGGACGCCAGCGCGGTGCATCCCGAGTCCTACCCGGTGGTGGAAACAATCGCCAGGGACCTGGGCCGTCCGTTGGGACAGGTGCTGGGCGACGCCCGTATCGCCGGCAAGATCGATCTCGCCCGCTACGTCAACGATCGGATTGGCCTGCCCACGCTGGATGACATCATCAAAGAATTGGCCCGGCCGGGACGAGACCCACGCCAGGAGTTCGAGCCTTTCGACTTCGCGGCCGGCGTCCACCGTATCGAGGACCTGACGGTGGGCATGAAATTGCCCGGGGTGATAACCAACGTTACCGGTTTCGGCGCCTTCGTCGATGTCGGCGTACACCAGGACGGGCTGGTGCACATCAGCCAACTGGCTGAGGGGTTCGTCCGCAATCCCTCTGATGTTGTCAAAGTACAGCAGCGGGTGTGGGTAACGGTGCTCGAGGTCGACCTGCAGCGCAAACGAATTGCCCTGTCGCTGAAGTGACCGGCGCCCGCATTGCCTCAGATCCCCGACAATGGGAAACCGTCCGCAGATTATGCCCGCGGACGGTCAAGCTATGGGGGTGTCGCGCGTACGCCACAATCACACGACATTACCATTGTAGAATTGCCACGGGCGTGCCGCAACATTGGCTGGCAGGGGACCAGGGTCTTCGATTATTTGTAGACAGCACCGATCAAAGCCAGTGGGCGTGATGGTTGAGCGGCGTGGCGACGCAAGGCGGCTGTGACGTTGGTTTCGCCAGCTAATCGGATCCCATTGATGATCAGATTGCACGGGGCTGCGATGATCTGGTGCTTCGAGTCGGTGCGCACCTGGGAGCGGTGTTCATCCGCGGGCCGGTTCACCAAAAACCCGCCACCAGCTACATTTCCGCTATCATGGGTTCGGTATCTCGATGAACGGCATCGCAGACCCGAGCGGATGCAGGAGGAAATACCTTGGGAACACTGAACACAGCAGAGGTGGATGAATTTCTGTCCCAGCCTCGAACGGCGCAGTTGGTCACCATGCATGCCGCCGGCACTCCCCATGTGGCGCCGGTCTGGTTCCTTTGGGATAACGGTCGGGCTTTGGTGATGGCCGACAGAGCGGCGGTCAAGGTGCGAAACATTCGCCGCAATTCTGCCGTGGCCCTATGCGTCTCCACCGCGGATCACCCCTATTCTTTTGTGACCATCGAGGGCACGGCCAACATCACCGACAGCGGGCTGGATGACATGGTGCGCAGGACATGCGTCCTTTACGAGGCAGACGAGCGAGGCGCCGAGTTCGCCGCGGAACTTCTGGCAGACGAACGGTTGACCCTGATCGTCATTTCCCCCGGTCGTTTTATCTCTTGGAAAGAGGACGACGAATAGGAAACTATCTCAATATTGGGAAACTGGGACAGCGCCCAATCCGTTTTTCGCACTGCCGTATCCCCGCGAAATGGGCACGACAGGACATGATTGACCGAGGAACCACCAACTGATATTGATCAAGATCGCCACGCGCCCAAGGAGGTACACAGTCCTTGGCTATCACCGGCTCAATGTCCGCGGCGTTTCACAATAGTGGATTAGATAACCCTCGCCGCCCGCAGCAGTCCCAGGTCCCGGACGGTGAGGCCCAGCTCACCACACAGAATTTCGACGTTGTGTTCGCCCAGGCGGGGCGCCGGTCGGGCCGATGCCATGGCGTTTTCTCCGTCGATAAAGAATCCCGAACCCGGGTATTTCAATAGGCCGGCCCTGGCATGGTCCATCTCGACGAAGAACCCTCTCTCTTCCAGGTGCGGCGATTCCATTACCTGCTGCGGCGTCTGAACCAGCCCTATCACCAGGCCCCGGGCCATGGTCTCTTGCATCAAGTCCAGGTTGGTCCACTGGGCCAGCTTGGGGGCCACCAGTCCATGAAGCTCCTCCCAGTGTTCCATCCGGCCGGCGCGGGACGCGAACTTTGGAGTCCAGCAGCCCCGGTTCCTCCAGAAACTCGGCCCACGCCTGCATGGGACGGCCGCCGGTGCCAGCCGTGGTGAGTGTGACTTCCCCATCCAGGGTGGGCAGGTGCATCCCGTCCATTACGTTGCCGTCACTGCCGCCCCGGTGGGGGTTGCGTCCAGTGTAGGTGTAGGGGTGAATCAGCCCGGAGGGGGTGCTGACGGCGGCCTCCATGGTCGAGACATCGATGTGGGTGCCTTTTCCTGACTGCTCCCGCCGCAACAGCGCCGCCATTATCGCCACCGCCCCGTTGCGGGCAGCGGTAATCTCCATCTGCTGCAGGGCCGTGCCCATGGGCGGTTGGCTGGCCGAGCCTGTTACCGCGTAAAGGTAGCCCCCCATGGCCTGAGCCACCAGATCATCGCCCTGGTAGCTGGCATAGGGCCCGTCCTGACCAAAATAGGTGATGGAAACCAGGATCAGGCCGGGGTTGGATTGGGACAGCTGTTCATAGCCCAGTCCCAATTCCGCCAGCCTCCCCGGTGGACAGCTCTCAAGAATAATATCCGCAGTGGTGGCCAATCGCTCGAAGAGCTCCCGACCTTCTGCCTGCTCCACGTCCAGTGTGATGCCCCGCTTGTTGGTATTGAAGGCAAGGTAGGAGGTGCCCCGGTCGGGATGGGGCACCTCGTCAATAAAGGGCGGCTCGTGGCGGGCCTGGTCGCCCCAGCCGGGCGGCTCAACCTTGATGGTGTCCGCGCCCTGGTCAGCCAGCAGCTTGGCGCAATAGGCACCCGAGGGCCGGTGGGTCAGTTCCAGTACGCGCAATTCTGAGAGTATTCCGGGCATGGTCTCTCCAACAATTGCTTACCCATGAATGCAAATATCGCTACTCTTCGCGATTGTTCGTCTGCCCTGGCGCATGAATTACGGCCTTGGTTCGTCGGGCCGGGGTGCGCCAAAAACCACGCCTTCGGATTCCAGTTCCCCTATTTCCGCCGGCGACAACCCGGCCAGCTCTGCCAATATCACCTCGTTGTCCTGTCCCAATCCCGCGACCTTCGCAATTGACATGGGATTGCCGGGATCTCTGAAGGGGCGCCCGGCGAAAAGACGGGACCCAACAGCAGGGGCCTGAGGGTTGGAGAACTCCCACATATAGCCCCGTTCCCGCAGATGAAGGTTGTTTACCAGGTCCTGGGCGGTCATCGCCGAGCCGGCGGCGATGCCCAGTCCCTGCAACCTCCGCGTCAGCTCCAGGTCATCGTGCTGGGAGGTCCAGTTACCGATTAACTCGTCCAATTCATGGCGGTTGTGCCAGCGGGCTAAAGCGGTGCCGAATTTGGTTCCCTTCGGCCCACTGAGGCCTACCCATTGCTCCCTTCAGCGATTCCCATTCTGTGTCGGACGACACGACAATAACTATCCAACGGTCGTCGCCCCAGGCCGGATACACATTGTGCGGCGCCTTCCACCAGTGGGCGCAGCCCAAACGATCGCGGGTTATGCCCCGCTGCGCTTCCAGGATGGCCGGTCCCACTGCCGAGACCCCGGTTTCCAGCATGGTAAGGTCAACCCGCATGCCCTTGCCCGTCTTGGTGCGCTGGTACAGGGCCAGCAGCAGGGCGTAGGCCACGTTGTTGCCTACGGAATGATCCATGTAGTTGGGGCTGGCCCGCATGGAAGGGCCGCCCTCGTAGCCGGTCAGGTAGGACAAACCACAGGCGGCATCAACGGTGCGGGCCCGGGAGCCGGCCCGTCGCCAGGGTCCGGTGTACCCGTAAGCGGTGCTGCTGAGGGTAATGATGCGGGGGTTGATTGTGGAGAGGCTGTCATGGTCGAACCCGAACCGCTGCATGGTGCCGGGACGGAAGTTGTCGGTCACGATGTCAGTCTTCTCCACCAACTTGAGAAAGACTTCCTTGCCCCGCGGGTTGGTCACGTCCATGCACAGGCTGCGCTTGTTGCGGGTGCCGTAATAGACCAGGTTGCCGGCTTCGTTCCACCACTCTTCACCCGGAGTTCCTTCAGGAAAGGGGACCGGATTTGCGGTCCTGCAGGTGGTCAGGGCTTTCGACGCGGATGACATCGGCGCCTAGATCCGCAAGGAATCCCGTCCCCCACGGTAGCGCATGCACCTGCTCCAGGCTAAGGACTCTAACCCCGTCGAGAATTCCCTTCTCCGCCATTGCCCCTGGACCTCCATTTGCCGCTGCTGCGCCGAAGCGTTTGACAGGCCCAATGATAGTCCAGACCAGGGACCAAGTCCATTTGGGCCGTCGCCCCCAACCAATAAATCTATAGTGTCATACCATTAGTCGATAACCTGCACCTCAAGCGTGTAGTCGTCGCGCTCGAAATCACCGTAAAGGTTGTCGCCACATTGGTTGTCGCCACATTGGTGTAAGCGCCAAGGTTGAGCCACCGCGTAATCCGGGAGTTGAGGCCCGGGCCGTCGTCGTCCCGTTTGAGGTAGCTAACCCCATAGGCCGGGCCTCCAGTCAACAAATACATTAAGGTATCAGCTGATAGACGACAAAAAGGAATGCGCATTGCCTCAAATAAAACGTTGCCGAGCCAACTTGGGTAGCCCGCAGTGTAACCCCAAGCCCCATCAGCCGAGCTTTCCGGCCGGAGTTCCAGCCCCGATGCGATCGGCGGGTATCAATCGGTAGGTATCAAAAGAGCGCCGGATCGCGAGCATCTCCGGCGAGCCACACTTCTGACGAAAGCCGTCGCCAAGCTGGTGCAGTACGGGCCCAGGACGACGAATTCCAGCCAATTCTCGCTACAGGCACCGTAACCGCGGGGTTGGAAAACGGGGCGGCGGAAACCGGAACCGGGAGAGACGCCGTCCGCCCCGCACGAACCGATTTACGTATCCCCATTGTGCGAAGCGCTCCCAGTATCAATACGCCCCCTACGCCCCGTCACCTCTCCCTCCCTCCATCCGCCCACCAACCCCAGCCTGACATCGTCGCTGAACCAGTTGAGCTCCCCGATGATCCACCTCCTGACCCGGGGGCAGCCCATTGATCCCCGTGGCGACCTCCAGCGCCGCCCAATCCGTCATACGGCCCAATCTGTTGGCAAGCTCGATCAGCGGCTCCGGCGATTCGATCCCCTCCATCGGTATCGACCGGCCGGTGGGCACGTGGGACAAGCCGTAGACGCTCGGGTCGTCAGCATTCCGGTGCACCACCAGGCCCGCATCATCCGTCGCGTAGCAACTGACGTCCCGCCACTCAACGCCCCCTCCGTCACCCTGCGACGCGTCCGCCTCGACCGGGACGGCAAATGCCAGGCGGCAGGTCCGTATCGGTCGTTTTCCCATCGGTTCACCGCCCTGCGCATGACACTTGGTCGGCAGCGGCCGAGTGGGGAATGTTCCGCTGACGTTTACCGAGTTTAGATTGTAAATCAGTTTCGGTCTCTGCGGCGCTCGGACCGGATTTCCTCGGAACCATCCCAGACCACACCGCCGCAGACGACAACCTCCGCACGCCACCACGCCAGCATCAACCTGACCGGTTCGCTACCCCTCCTCGTCGAACATCCGCGACGATGCCACCACGGCGAACTCGGCGTCGATGAAGTAGGTCTGCAGCGGCGCGTTGGCCACCACCGGTCGGCTCAGCCGCATCCCCCGCTCCCTCTGTAACCGACGCAGCGCATGGCCCATGCTCACCAGCAACCCCCGCAGCTTCTCCGGAGACAATTCGGCCCGCCGGCACAGCACACTGCGGTGGATCCCCCGGTCGTCAGCCTGCCAGGCGTTGAGCACCACCCGCCTGACCGCAGGACCCGGGCCCGCCACGACGCATTCCTGATTGTCGTTAATCAGTTGAGGCGGTTCCCCCGGTTGCGGATGATCTGGGCCGATGCCGGCTACGCTGGCCGATTGGTGTCATGCGCCTGGACCACCGGTGGTTGGCTGCTGACCGTGGTGCGGCGCCAGCCCGACAGCCACCACTTCGAGGTGTTGCCCAGGCGGTGGCTGAAGGAAGAGCAGTTGTCAGCGGCGGTGGCGGAGTTGCACGGGCGGGACCAGGAGGTGGATGAAAAGGAGGACCGACGGTAAGGTCGGGACATGCGCGAAGATGAGTTGCCGGAAGAATTGGCCTTTCGTGAAAGCCGGCTGGAGAAGATCAGGGATGCCATGGCGGCGCTGGAAGCCGAGGCTGAGGCAGAACAGGCTGAGGGCAAGGAGCATCGTGGTGTGCCTGATGACAAGGCCCAGCGCAACTTCACCGACCCACAATCCCGCATCATGCCCGCTCTTGGTGGTCGGGACTCCCTGCAGGGCTACAACTGCCAGGCGGTAGTGGACCACTATCATCAGGTGATGGTGGCGGCCCGGGCCACCATCTTGGCATCAGACAAGCAGCAGGCCGTGTCCATGATGACAGAAACCATTAACAACACCGGGTTGGCGCCCAAAGAAGTATCCGCCGCCGCCCGGCTATTACTCGGCAAAGGTGATCGACGATTTACGCGCTTTGGGGATGGACCTGTTCGTCGCGCCGGACCAGACCTGTCACGGCAGAGCACCGCCGTCAGCGCCCCGAGCACGCATACCCAAAGGCCTGTCACCCAGATCCCGGATGCGGCGCAAGGTACAGACCAAGCGGGGTCGCCAACGCTACGCGTTGCGCATGGCAACGGTGACGCCGGTGTTCGGCCAGATCAAGCATGCTCGAAGGTTCCGGCAGTTCCTACTACGTGGGCTGGAGAAGGTCAACGGGGAATGATCGCTGATCTGCACCGGCCATAACCTGCTGAAGCTTTTCCGGTACCGTCGTCCGACGGTCAGACCAGCGCCGCAAACGGTGTGACCCATTGTCTCGCCACGTTTCAATCGGCACCCATCGCTAATCCTCAGACGGGCTGCCATGTCATACGTGAGCGTGAGGCGACCGCGCTAGGTCGGGTACAGTCCACGGGACTCTTTGGCATCTTGGGACGAGGGCCCACCCGGCTCACAATTCCGACGACCCGCCCGGATATCGGTTACCAATGTTATTGGAGGCGAAACCGTACAACCAGATGAGAACGGGTAGGCATAGGGCCGAAACAAGCCTTGGCGGCATGCCAGCCGCAGCTACACTTATTGATACTTAAATCAAATGGGGACCGGAGCTTATTGAGAAAGCGGTGCCGAGGGGGCGGACTCGAACAGTACGCGTCGCAGATTGGTGAGCCAACTGGTTTCTTTACTCAAATCCAGCGCGAGCATTGGCCTCTTCCCGGCGGTTCCGGTGGCTTTAGTCGACAAATGGTCGACAAATGGTCGACAAATTCCTCGTTCAGTATCAATCAGCGGATAGTCCGTTGTCTCAATAGCGGAACCGCCCTCAGCCGTCCTGCGGATCACCATCCTCGGATGGTACCGAGTGAGAGTCAAGCCGAAATACTTCCATAGCATTGTCAATGGCGTCGGGCGCCCGTGGCTCGGTGCCGGGCAGCAAATGGGCGTAGGCTTTCCACGTAATGGATGGGTCCGCGTGTCCCACGCGAGCCGAAACCTCAGTGATTGGTACGGCCAGATCGAGCGACTGAGAAACGTGAAAGTGCCGAAGGTCGTGGTTGCGCATATTGGTATGCCCGACCCGTTTTGCCAAGGATTGCACTGTGCGGGTCAGGTTCATGGGGTTGATAAACCGTCCAATGTCATCGGCGAACACCAAGTTGTTGTTCTCGTAGATTTCCTCAAACTCGGCAATGTGAAGGTTCTGTCGTTGGCGGTGCCGTCTCAGCACTGCAACCGCGACCGCGGGCAATTTGATCGTGCGCCGGCCGCGTTCTGACTTGGGAAGGTTGACCACCAGACCGGTGGAACGGCGACCCACGGAGCGTTCGACACGGAATTCACCTTTGCCGAGGTCCACATCGTCCCAGGTCAACGCCAGGAGTTCTCCCCTGCGGACACCGGTACAAGCCTGAGTAAAGATCGCTGGGAACAGGGGATGCTCCTCCTCTTCCGCGAGTTTCAGCATGTCGTATACCGTGTCAGCGGAGGGAGGAATTATTTCCCTTCGCGGGATTGGCGGAGGTTTGACATCCCTCACGGGGTTATACCGGACGTATCCCATGGTAATGGCGTAATTCATGGCGCCCGACAGCACAGTCCGGACAAATTGGACACCTTTAGGGTTCATGCCCTCGTTGAGGAGCGCGATTTGCAGCCGTTGCACATCGCGTGTAGAGAGTTCGTCGAGGTACACGTCGCCCAAATGAGGGATGAGGTGCTTGTTAACTACACCTCGATATCGATCGAAGGTGGATTGTCGCCAACCTTGGACGGTCCCGTGCTCGTCGATCCATCGTGGCAACCAATTGCGGAGCCTGATGCGCTCGGCGGGTGGAGTGGGACCCCCTTCCAGCTCGGCGAGCAAGCGCCTCAGCTCGCGCTGCGCATCCCTTTTAGTGCCCTTGAAGGTGCAGTACCTTCGGATTCGCCTGCCATTTTGGTCGCGGCCCAGGCTGATGGTCAGTCCCCAGGTGCCACGGCCACGGTCACGTATACTTCCTGTCATGTGCCTCCATGCTGATTGACGAATTTTGTATCTGGCCGGATCTGTGGACCCGCGGGAACCATAGTCGGCCTCGTCGCACAGATCGTCAGAGACAATCGGAACGTGATGATGGTGAGGCCGCTTTGACGGTGACGTCCCGGTACGAACAGGGGAGCATTTGCAAGCCCTGCGCGATTCCGGCAAAACTAAGGTGGCGCGGTCCGCGCTCCGGCTGTTTTATTGATCAGCCGGGTATTCGTTCGTATCGCCAGCGGGTTCTGGGTCCAGGAATGCGACAAGTGCTGCCTTGGGTATGAGTAACCGCTCTCCGGCTGTCCGTGACCTGATCTGCTTCGTGTAGCACAGCTCGCGCATCTTCCACTCACTGATCCCCAACATCTCCGCAGCGTCCTTCGCTGAGTAGGCTAGTCTTTCATTCATCATCGCACTCCTCTTTTTACCGTTCCTGAGAGGCATGACCACCGTCACTCGGTGCGATTGAGGTGGACGTTGCCGACCGTGTGACGAGAGGATAAACGGAGAGACACTGCTGTCTTTGTCGTTAACACGGCGCAACTGGCGTCCGATACTGAAAGGCAGATTTAGTCGGTTTCCGGGAAAGCGTGATAGGCAACAGGCCGGCAGGACTTATTGTCGTCTATCAGAGGCCGCAGATCGTGCAGACTATGGCGGCGCATCAGGGTCGCGGTTCTGACCACCGAGGAGATCTACCGGCTGGTAGCCGCCTCGGGGTGGCCGGTTTGGACCCCAGGGAGCAACGGGATAGAAACCTGATCAACCGGGAGCTCAGTGACTTGGCGGGTTGTACCACCCAGGGACACAGCAGGCCATCGCCACAGGTGCTGACCCGAGTTGGCCGCGGTCGCTACCAGTACCGCGAACCCGACCGGCCGATGGACGTGGAGTTGCTGCGGGAATACCTGGAGTCGGCGGAGGTGTATGAGAAACGACCGGCGCGTCGACGGCGGGGCGGATCAGACCGGCGCGAGGTTCCGGAGTCGGTACGGATGGCACTGTACGTGGTGCAGCAGGGCGTCTGTCCGGGATGCGGCATCCACCTGCCCCATTTTCTGAGGTTCGAGGCGGACCACATCGTGGCGCTTAGCGACGACGGGGAGCATGAGGTCAGGAACTTGCAGCTGCTGTGCTCCTACTGTAATCGGTTGAATGGTACGCAGGCGAGCCAGGGCTTCCGCATGAAGATGAAGGAGTTGAGGGCGCACAACGTGGCGACGGGGGTGATGGTGGACGAGCAGGAGGCGGTGCTGACAGGCCGCAGGCTGGTGCAGTACCACCGGGAACTAGGCGCACGGACCGGGTGACACCCCGAGAGAGACGGCGTGAAGCGACCTGGGGTGCCGTGTGTTTTGGTGTCCCGTTTTTGCGGTGAATGCTACCTGGGTTGGAGGTGGCCCTACTTACGTCATCGAAAGCAAGGATGCGGCTTGGGACGGGTGACATAATGGAGGTGATGCGGAATGGGATTGAGTGGCGCCGACGGCGGATTGATGGCATCTCAGGGCGTTGAGGGTGGAACGGTGGATGACGACACTTCGGATGTCGCCCCGTACGACGATGCTGGGGCGTGGTTGGTGGCGAGAAACCGCGGTTGACCGGCAGGCGCCGCGGGGCGTAGTCGACGAGGAGTGGGACCGGCTTAGCGCGGAACCGGAAGATGTCGCGGAGAGCGTCGATGATCCGGTGAGCATCTATCTGCGGGAGATCGGCCGTGTTGATCTGCTCACGGGCCCGGAGGAACGGGCGCTGGCGCAGGAGAAGGAACTGGCCAGCCATCTGCGGGACCTGGAAAGGGAACTGGCCCGGGGATTGACGGACGCCGCGGCTGAGGACCTCGCCCACGGCGGCGAGGGTGATACCGCCGCTTGGGAGGGCGCCGTGCTGCTCCTGGCCCGTATCGCCAGTGGCGCGGCGGTGGCGCGGGCGGCGGCCCGTCACCTGGGGCTGGACGCCGCGTTGACGCTGGATGAGGTCCGCAAGCATCCCGCGCTCCGGGCTGCCATCGATGGAAAGGTCGATCCTGAACTGGTGGACACCGTGGCCCGTGAGCTGGACCTCACCGAGGATGATGCCCGCGCGCGCACCGTCGGCCTGTCGCTGGACACCAGGCTGTTGCCTCCCGAGGTTGCGGAAACAGCGTCCGCCTACGTGCCCGTCTGGGCGGAGCTGCATCCCGACCGGGCGGCGGACCATGACATGCAGCGTGACCGGTGCACGCTGGCGCTGCTGTCGGAAATGCTGCGGGACCGGTGCACGCTGGCGCTACTGTCGGAAATGCTGCGGGACCCTGGGCTCAGCCAGCGCATGGAGGCGGTGGCTGAGTGTATTGGGCTTCACTTCGAGAGGGTGCGGAAAGCGGGCAGCCGGGCGTGTGATCATCTGGCCGAGGCGAACCTGCGGCTGGTGGTGAGCGTGGCCCGGAAGCACCAGGGCCGGGGCATGTCCCTGCTGGATATGGTGCAGGAGGGCAACCTGGGCCTGATGCGCGGCGTGGAGAAGTTCGACCACCGGCGGGGTTACAAGTTCAGCACCTACGCCACCTGGTGGATAAGAGGGTGTGTGACAATAGGTGAAACCCGTAAGGTGGGTTCTTGGGGTGAGGATGGGGTGCTGGTTACGCTGGGGGCATGAGCAGAAAACCTTATCCCAGCGATCTCACCGACGCCCAGTGGGAGGAATTGGCTCCCTTGTTGCCGCCCGACACCAGGAGAGGCCATCCCAGGACCACAGACCTGCGTGAGGTGGTCAACGGCATCCTGTACGTGCTGCGCGGCGGCATACCCTGGCGTCTGATGCCCCATGACTTGCCGCCCTGGGGCACAGTCTGGTGGTACTTCCGTCTGGTGGTACTTCCGGAAGTGGCGAGATGACGGCACCTGGGAACGGGTGGAGGAAGCCTTGCGGGCCCGGGTTCGGGAAGTTGCGGGACGGGAGGTTACGCCCAGCGCGGCCATCATTGATAGCCAGCATCATTGACAGCCAGTCGGTGAAGACCACCGAAAAAGGGGGCCGCGGGGTTACGACGCGGGCCAACGGGTAACTGGACGCAAGCGGCACATCGTGGTGGACACCATGGGGTTACTGCTGGCGGTGGTGGTTCATCCCGCCAACATTCAGGACCGAGACGGCGCCAAGTTGGTGCTGGTCAAACTGTTGGGGCGGTTCCCCCGGTTGCAGGTGATCTGGGCCGATGCTGGCTACGCTGGCCGACTGGTGTCGTGGGCCTGGGCCACCGGTGGTTGGCTGCTGACCGTAGTCAAGCGCAAACCCGACAGCCACCACTTCGAGGTGTTGCCCCGGCGGTGGGTGGTGGAGCGCACCCTGGCCTGGCTGAGCCGATGCCGACGGTTGAGCAAAGACTACGAGGAGCGCCCAGAGAGCAGCGAAGCATGGGTGCATGTCGCCATGGTCAACCTGATGCTCAAACGGCTCCAGCCTTGCTGATCCTATTTGTCACACACCCTCTAAGACAGGCGGTGAGCCGGGGCATCGCCGGCCAGGGCCGCACCATACGGTTGCCGGTGCACGTGGTGGAGACGGTAAGCAAGCTCAGGAGACGGGAACTGACCCTGATGCAGGAGCTGGGGCGGGATGCCACCGATGCCGAGCTGGCCGAGGCCATGACGGTGGGCGTGGAGAAGATCGAGTACGTACGGCAGGTGGCGCGGGAGGCGGTATCGCTGGAGACGCCGGTGGGTGAGGAAGGAGACGTCCAACTGGGAGACTTTGTGGAGGATCCCAACATTGTGCCGCTGGAGGACGCGATGATGGCTGAGATGCTGGGGGAGAAGTTGAGGGAGGGGCTGGACGCCCTGGGTGAGCGGGAGAGCCGGATATTGCGGCTGCGCTACGGATTGGACGATGGTCGGCCCCGCACGCTGGAGGAGGTGGGAGAGGTGTTCGGGTTGACGCCGGAGCGGATCCGGCAGATTGAGGCGAGGGCCATCCGGAGGCTGCGTAACCCCGCTCACTCAGGCATATTGCGCGGTTTCCTGGAGTGACCGGACCTTCTCCGGCGCGACCGCGGGGCTAGACGACTTCGTAGTCGCGCAGTCCCTCGTTCCAGACACGGCGGACCCCCTGCAGCGGGAAGGTCTTTGACTTCCCGCTGCAGGGGGAAGCCCGTGTCGGGAGTGCCGGAGAAGGTGAGTTTGACGAGGCTGGCGTCGTCGACGGTGGCCTCCACGCAGAGGCCCACGTCGATCCTGAGTTCGTTGATCATGACGACGAGGCACTCAAGGGCATCGGCCAGGGCCAACTCGGACACCGGGGGTTTCTGTTGTTCCACCATCTTCGCTCCTCCACGGCGGAAGGTCTGCGGTGAAAACGCCCGTCCAGCGCACGGGCGCCAACCGGCCCGCCGGGGCAATTGTCGTTCATCACCGGTTCCAATAACGGAGGCAGCCGGTCAGGCAGTTGGCAATGGGATGGGCCGGTCAGGCCGGCGGTTGGGACCGGGACCCAGGGGCAGGAGAGGTGGCATCTGTCCGGTGCGGTAGGCCCGGTCGATCTGGGGCAGCATCCACTGGCCGGCAGTGGTGTTGTCGGGCAGGACGATGTTGGCCAGGAACTCGGCCTCCAGGGTGGAGATGCCGGCGGAAACGGCCTCCAGCTTGCCCTTGACACTCTGTCTTCAATCAACCGCGCGTTGCAATCCAGACGATGTGATGTCCGCCTCCCTTGCGGCTGCTTGCACTGCGGGCCCGCACCTTGACTTCATCCACCTCGAAACCGGCGCGGCGCAACCGCTTGACGAATGCCGGTTGAGGACCGGCAGACCACGTCGCCAATACGCCGCCGGGTCGCAATGCCGCGTAGGTGGCGGTCAGCCCAGGCAGACTGTAAAGCCAATCGTTGCCCTTTCGGACCATCGCCTCCGCGCCATTGTCAATATCAAGCAAGATGGCGTCGTAGCCAGCTCTGGATGCCTTGATCAACTGAACAACGTCGGTTTCATGGAGGTCTGCCCGGCCGTCGTCAAGAGGCCGGCCGGCCAGGTCGGCCAGAACTCCCCGGTTCCACTCAACCACGGCTGGCACTAGCTCTGCGACCACCACCTGGGCATCTTCGCCGAGGATATCCAGCGCCGCTCTCAGCGAATAGCCCATGCCCAGTCCGCCAATCAGAACGCGGGCGCGGGGATGTTTTGCCAGTTTCTGACAGCCCAGTCTGGACATGGCTTCTTCTGACCCGTGAACACGGCTGTTCATGAGTTCCCGATTATCAGCTGTGAGCGAGAACTCCGAGTCACGCCGGTACAAAACGAGCTCTGCCCCTCCGCCAGGAGTTTGTGCCCTGCCGAGCAACTGCCAGGGATTCATTGATACCTCGCGATGATGTCTGGAGCGGCCGAGTCAATATCCTCGGCGGGATCCGATTCCGTGAACCACTGGATCACCCGGGTGATATTTTCAAGCGGTTCGGTCAACAAGTTCATCCGGCCGACCATTCTAACGAGCCGTTGGACCGTTCGGTGGCAGGTCGGATGTTAGCGCCGGGCCAACGCCGGTCCCCCCGTCAAGGCGAGACCCCCCACCCCACCAGCCAGGCCGTGGCCGTCAGGCATCACCCAGGTGGTACGGCATTCCCCCGCCCCTATGGCATGTTTACCGCCGCTCTTGACACCACCAGCAGCAGAGCCCGCCACTTCTGGCGGCAGGCCTGGCAGTGGGCTTCCTGCTGGGCCTTTTGGCTGCGCTCCCGGGGCGGACTGTGGTTGGTGAGGCGGAAGTCGTCGGGATCGGGTAGCTCCAGGACGAAGCGCATTTGACGGTTTTCCATGACGAAGATGACGGTAGCCAGGGTGCCCTGGGTGGCATAGGCGAAACCATCAGCGCCGTACCGGTTCAACGTCTATTCGATCTCGTCGCGGGTCCGGTTGACGGCGACCGTGGTATTGCGGGCGTAGGTCATGGCGTTTACCTGGAGGATGCGGCAGATCGTTCCGGCCTGGGGACAGTGTAGCGCAGACGGGTGAGCAATTCCGGCTGAAGTTTTGGTCCGGAACTTTACTTCGGTGTCGACGCGGGGAGGCCGGGCCGGTTGGGGGTCAACGCAGCGGCCAGGGTCGATGGTCAGTGCGCGCGCTGTACGATGGCTCGGTTGCAGGCATCAACGACACGCAGGTCCAACGCCATGACGCTGTCCGACAGTTCAGGCTGCTTTGGTCAGGGGAGGACGCCGATGCGGAACTTCTTCGTGCCGCAGTCCACGCAGGTGGAGCGGGTGGCGGCGCGGCCGTTCTTCATGGTGACGGCCTCGACGTCTTTGGATGCGGTCCTGGCCTTGCACTTGACGCAGTAAATCTGGACGGTTTCGGGAGGGGTGGTCACGGTCGTACACTCCTGTTGGCGATTGACATGAGTGTACCCCATGAGTTGGGAGACAGCGCCGTCCTGGGGTCGCACGGCCCCTGAAATGGGCCACAGACGGCCGGAAAACACAATCGCCCCGTCGGCGGGAAAAGGAGCAGTGGGTATGGTGAAGGTCGATCTGGAACTGGAAGGCAACGCTGACGCTGTGGTTCGGGGGTTTTGCACAAAAATTCAGTTTCAAACAGGGATTTTGTGCAGTTCATCCCAAAACCCCGTGCTGCCTTCTTCTGTCGGGCACTTGTGGTCTAAGCATCGGAAGAGTCGGTTCCGGTGGGTGGTCCGCGGGCCGGACTTGGGTCGGGCTGGTTTGGTCAGCCAAGCAGCGCGTGGTGGCTTTCGCACTGTGTCGTGCTCGCTCCCGTCGGTGCTGAGCTGGGGCCTCAGAACGGGATGTTGGCCCGGATCATGGTGCCCTGTCGGAGTTCCGTCTCCGTTATTTCCGGCTCTGCGGCGCCGTACATGGTGAGGAGTCCGGCGCCCGAGTGGATCTGGAGTTTGCGACCCGGCCGGCGCATCTCGGCCACTGTTATCCATAGCCTGATGCCGCGGGTTGGCGTGCCGGTTCCGGAGATTAGTTCCTGAATGGCAAGGGTGATGGCTTCCTGGTCGGACTGGGTGGGCGGCAGGTTCGGGTTCTGGGCTAGGGTGGCTCTGATGCCGGGCCCGGAGTCGGCGACGACGATGTCGAGGCAGTTACCGAAGCGGTGTGGCATTACGCGGACGTGGCAATGGGCGCCGGCGTCGTTCATGCCATGCTCTGCAGCGTTATTGAGCAGTTCCGAGAAGGTTTCGACGGCTACGCCGCTGATGCTGGCCGCCTCCGGGTGTCGGATTGTCAGGTTCTGTTCCAGGGTGTTGGCCAGTTCTTGGGCCTCCCGCATGGAGTGGAAGATGGATGGCGGGAGCAGGTAGGCAGTTTCTTGGTCCATGGTCGAGTTCCTGGTCCGGTTTTCGCGCTGCTGGTGTGGCGTTGACGTCGGGTTCGGTTTTGATGTCGTCCCGCTGGAACAGCGGGCGTCAGCGACCAGGCGTTGGTCTTGGGACGGTCGTAGAGTGTTTTTGTTCAGGATCTTGGACCGTCGTACCAAAACCTTATTTTTTGTGCAAGGCCGGTTCTGGGCCTGCGCCGCATCGTTGAGGGGCCGGTACGGGTAGCGTCGTACCGGAATTGGGCCACGTCCTGCCGCAGGCTGACGGGGTTAGGGATTCTGAGGCAGCGACAGTTGTGCCGCCGCCGGTTCCGACATGGACGGAGGAGGAGGCCGCCGGCTTGGCGGCGGGCCTGGGTCTGATGGCCAGGCGGGTGGTGCTCCACGTCTGGCGGGCTGGCGATACGGGGATCCACCGCAGTGTGCTGTGCCGGCGGGCCGAATTGTCTCCGGAGGAGCTGCGGAGGTTGCTGGTGAGCATGGGCCACGCTCTGCGCCAGTTCCAGCAACAGCGAGGGATGCGGCTGAGCCGACCGGTGGTGTCCAACGCGCCGCTGCAGACCTACTTCGTCGGCGCCGAGTTCGCCGCGGTGGCGTCGTCGGGGATGTTAGATGCTGACCGTGGTTTGCGGGCGTAGGTCATGGTGGATACCTGGAGGATGCGGCGGATCGTTGTGGCCTGGGGACAGTGTAGCGCAGACGGGTGAGCAATTCCGGCCGCAGCTTTGGGTCGGGACTTTCCTGCGGCGTCGACGCGAGGAGGCCGGGCCGGTTGGGGGTCATCGCAGCGGCCAGGGTTGACGAGGGACAAGGGGGTCGATGGTCAGTGGACGCGCTGTACAATTGTCGTTCATCAACAATGGCTCGGTTGCCGGCATCAACGGCGCACGGCGCTACCGGACGTGCCCGACCTTGGTCAGTTCACGTAATCGACGGGATGCAGGAGAGATGAGGCGAGCGGTTGCGACGGTCCTGGCCCTGGTTTGTTTCGGGGTGGGACTGGCGGGCTGCGAGTCCGCTGATGAGCGGTTGGTGCGTGAGTACGCAGAGTGCATGGCGGATGACAACAGCGCGCTGCACCGGCGGATGGTGTCTGGGGAGACCGGGACCGTTCCGTTGAGCGTGGCGGGCGCGGAAGCGTGGGTGCGGGAGCAAATGGAGCGTGGAAAACTGACGATGGCGGAGATGGAAGCGTCCTACGCCCGGTTGTGCGGGTAGGCGTGGCCAGGAACGATGCGACGTGATGCGGACGCTGCGCCGGTCATTGATCGGTCATTTAGAATGATCCGGGACCCGGGCGAATGGCGCGGTTCGGGGGGCAATATCCCCGGCTCAGCAACGGAGACTGGTCATGAAGTCTGATTTCCAGTGGGCTGACCCCTTCAGCGCCGCTGGTATCGAGCAGATGGCCGACTGGATGGCGCGCCGGTTCGGGCAGTCCCCCGTCTACCGCATCGCCGTTGGGTCCGGCGACGCCGAGCTGCTGGCCACCGTGATGGCCGACCTCATGACGGAATACCTGGCTGAAATCGGGTATGACGCCCGGGTGCGCCGCGACCGGAACTTCGTGACCATCGCCACCGGCGACGATGATGACGGGAGCCGGCGGGAGCACAACATCAGCGTCCCGCTCGCTCGCGCGGTGATGCGGCGCCTCCATGGTCCCGGTCCCCATGGGCGGGCCACCGGCCTGGAGCCTTTTGTCTGAGCCGGCGGGAGCGGGCAGGGGCGTAACGCTGCCGACCGTCGTTAGCCTGACCAGGTACGGTTCTGCCCTACAACCAGGGCCGGCGCTTCGAGAATGACTTGGCCGATTCGGAGGTGGGCAGGCCGCGCTGCTCCAGCAGCATGAGGGCCACGCGGCGGAACTCGGCCCGGTCGTGGCCGGAGATGACGGCCTGCTCGTGGGCCTCGGAGATGGCCACGGGATAGCCCAGGCCGAGCTGGCACTGTTTGAGCAGCATGGCATGGGCCAGGGCCAGCAGTTCGGGGTCGTCGGCCAGCCAGTCGGGGACCTCGACGCGGGCGATCTCGGCGCCGCCGTGCAGGTAGAAGAAGCTGTTCCAGTCCTCGCCCACGGTCCGTTGGTATGAGACCGGCTGGCCGTTGATTTGACCGGCAGATTGGAAGTGCCGCATACTCTGTGCCGTACAGAGTGATACGGACCGTAAGGAGCATCATGGCGCGGTTGGATGTACGTCTGGGCGACGAGCAGCGGCGACGATTGGATGAAATCGTTGAGGAATGTGGCTTACCCATCTCCGAGGTGGTGCGTGGCCTGATTGACGACGCTTATGAGGCCGTGATGCGGGAGCGTCGCCGGGAAGCGGCGCAGCGGTTGGCGGCGCTGGAAGTCGAGGATGCGCCGGAACCCGCGGAGTTGGCCAGGGAGCTGGAGGCGGCGCATGAGCCGGGAGGTCTTCATTGATGCCAACGTGCCCATCTATGCGGCGGGACGGGAGCATCGGTACAAGGAGCCATGCGCTCGGATCCTGATGATGGCGGCGGAGCATTCACAGGCGTTTGTGACCGACGCCGAGGTGCTGCAGGAGCTGGTGCACCGGTACGTGGCCACTGGGCGGTGGGCATTGGGGCGGGAGGTGCTGGAGAACTTCGCCGAGGTGATGCAGGGTCGGGTGGAGCCAGTATATGGGGAGGACATTCGCCAGGCTGGGCGATTGACCGATGATCATCCCGAGGTGAGCGCTCGGGACCTGGTGCACCTGGCGGTAATGCAGCGGTTGGGACTGGGGCTCATCGTCTCGGCGGACACTGACTTTGATCGGCTGCCGGGGGTGGCGAGACTGGACCCGGTTGACGTTGGTGAATGGGGAGCCAGGATAATCGCATCGGCCGGCGAATGAGGCATCGCGGCGAATGAGGCATCGCGGCGGAGGAAGGACGGATTTTACGGAAGCGGGCCAACGTGCGAACCGTGATGGTGGATATGCCTGATGGTGGATATGCCTACTGGCGCCGCTATCTGGACGAGAGTGACTGGGAGCCGGTGGACGTTGCGGTGGTGGAACGTGCGCTGCGCGAGGTGTACCACGACGTATCGCTGGCGTTGGATTTCCTGAACGAGGCGGGCAGTATCCGTACGCCAGCCGCCATATTCCAGGCCAAGACCGTCTGACCATTGGATGTAGAGAGCCTTGCTCAGGTTTCGCACACCACGCCGTCGCCGTCTCGTGCGCTGGGCGCCACCGCCTTGGGGAAAGCACGACCCGAGCCCTGGCTGCAATCTGGTGCGCCGCGACCGGAACTTTGAGACCGTAGCCACCGGCCCACAGCCTTGCGACTGAGCCCACGTGATCGGTTCGGCGTCGCCGGACCCTCGGTTGCAGGCAAGGCGAAACAATGCCGACCGTCGTTAGCCTGACCAGGTGAGGTTCTGCCCTACAACCAGGGCCGGCGCTTGGAGAATGACTTGGCCGATTCGGAGGTGGGCAGGCCGCGCTGCCCCAGCAGCATGAGGGCCACCCGGCGGAACTCGGCCCGGTCGTGGCCGGAGATGACGGCCTGCTCGTGGGCCTCTGAGATGGCCACAGGATAGCCGAGGCCGCGCTGGCACTGTTTGACCAGCATGGCGTGGGCGAGGGCCAGCAGCTCGGGGTCGTCGGCCAGCCAGTCGGGCACCTCGACGCGGGCGATCTCGGCGCCGCCGTGCAGGTAGAAGAAGCTATTCCAGTCCTCGCCCACGGTGAGGCCCAGGGCGAAGCGGGCGGCG